ATTAGTTAATGTGTACGATATAAAAAAGGACTCTTAATGTTCATAGACAATAGACAAATAATCAGTGATAGGGTTTGGAGCGCATTTAAAGGACTGTCGCTGACAATCTGCCGCGCCCCGCTTCATAACGGGCCGAAATCATGACATCTTTACTGAACGGACTGAAATATCCCCTGCTGCCAATGACAGACCTATCACGAACCCCTTTTTCGTCAGATTAGTTATTAATTCCCTTTTATCTAATGCGCCAGTGCGTCAGATCCAAACGCTCCCTGCATAGACGAACGCTTAGGCGAAATATTACAGCAATTTTTAACTGAAAGGACTGCTTTGTGACAAAACATAATAGTAATTGGCCGTTACGGGGTTTTGAGAATATTAGCACGGGGTTTACAAAATAATAATTACTCTATTTAGGTGTCCGCACATGGAGGAAAATAAAATAGCCTTGTGATATCCGCGTCCGAATGATAAATAAGCTTTGACCGAAATTCAGATATCGTTGGACTTGTATGGTATAAAATCGAAGTGAATTCTCGCTTTCTATCTCCTCTTTTGACGTTTGAAATATGTGTTTCCGTTTGAATCTTCGGATTTAGACGAAATAATAAATTGGCAAAAAATTGAGATATCGATGTTGAATTGATTCGATATACCTATTATTTCGTCTTACCCTATTCGTAGAACGTTTATCGTGCGTGAAGACAAATTGGAAAATATTTCAAGAATTTTAATAAAAAATATCAAAGATATAACGAATAAAATTGAGAATAATAATATATCTATAGTACCATTATTTAAGCTTCTTTTCTTTACAATTCTTATCCATTTGCACAGTCTCCTAAATATTTAAAGGGAAGTGTTTCATTCTTTTTTATCATGGAGCATCTACATTTATCTACATGGTCTACTATCATTTTAGCGAACGCATACGTTTTAGCTAAGCTGGCTGTTTATCAGCATTTCAGGCATTTCATCAAAAGGGTATAAAACGCAAACCTGCAGGTAATTTTGAAACAAGGAACCTTTTATATTTTGTGTCTTCGGGGCTTTTTCCTTTTAGATACCCAGCACTGATCGTATCACTAATGAGAATACGTGGGCATTAGGAAATGTAAAAATATGGTAATACCGCTCACCCAAATGGATTTGAATATTTATCGGCTGAATTTATACAACAAGGATACCTTTATAACACTACACATATGTATTATGTATTTGTTTGGCCAATTTTCTTCTTTCTTTTTATATTGGTTGCTTCAATTCAGACCGCAACATGGTCGTTTCTATGAGTTGAACAAAGAAAGATTAATAAAATAACAGTTGTCAGAGTGAAAAGTTACAATGATTCAAATGTCACTCTTTCTTTTTCCTTTATAAATGTCTAATGGAAGTTGTCTTTATCGCACCCATGGCCTATATAACCTATGTTGCGTTCAAAAATGGAGCAACTTGTATATCCTATTAGTATTGACAATTATTTTTTCAGATTTTATTAACAAATCTTAGGTGAATGAATCTGCACATACTTAATAAAAATAATTAGGATTTTAGAGTTTACTTGTGTACCTAATATTTCTATGATTTGATTTTATATAATAATAATACAATTATTACAGATATTAATAATACAAAAAGTAGAGCTATCGTAGTTTTGCGACTGCTCATCATATCTGTATAGGTGTATAGAATTATGATGCAAAATTGTTTGTAATATGGGCTGTGGGTGTAATAAAGACAAAACTTCCAATATTCTCATATAAAGCAAGAAGAAAGAGTGATATTGTAGAATTACAACGTTCTCACTTCCATTTAATAATCTATCTTTTTTCAACTTACAGAATTGACCCTATTGCAAACAATTTTGTACTTACCCATATATATTTTCCATCGATTATATTGTGATGATGATGCATTAAAATCTAATCGTTCGTTCCAGCAACATTCTTGCATGTCCAAAAACGATTTCCTTGCTAGTATAGTTAATTAAATTTAGTAAAAATATAAGACATGGGCCTTATCGGCAGTCTCATTACTGGAGATTAAACGCTCTCCCGAAATTAATATGGCGAACGTGACTTCCAAGCTCTACACTGGATACAACATTTTGTACTTGTCGTTATTTTGTCCTAACAATTTATCTTCGTCCGATCCTCTTCAACTCGAAAGGGTATTAAGAAAAATGAGTTCCCATACAACGTAATAAACTTTTTGTTTATTGAAGCTGGATGGGAAATAATTGTCCCCGTCGAAATGAAATTCCTTCTCGTCAAGATTTCGTCCATTAAAATTCAACCCTCATCGAACAAATGTCTGAGTTACCTACGTATAACTACAGATTTAACTATAAATTAATTCTTAGCATCCCCATTGCTTATAATAAAACCTACATTCAAACTCCCCTAAAACCCTATCAAATTTCACTCAGGTTAATTAAAGATGTTGGTGTGGTATCTCTAATTTATTTTATGTGACAGAACCTCTCGCATATAATATACATATGTATCATTATTGTTGAAATGCTTTAAAGTGAGTAAAAAAAGGAAGTGCGAATTTTTCTGCCGGCTATACCATAAATTCAATGCCGGCTTTAATTACGTCGACCCTCTGCGAACAAACAGGAATAAAAGTGCTATTTAAAAAAAGCCTCGCAATGAAATCCTCCTTGAATTAATGCTCTTAGAAAAACACGTAAGTGTACGACAGGAATCCTGGGGGGCCATTCAGATGAAATCGATGCGAAAATGGGTATTGAGCTTTAGAAGAACTTCGATTAGTAAGCATCGATTCCTGCTGTAGTAGACAAGTTCGGCGCACTCCGACTTTTCTAATTTCACACTTGCTTAAACTTTTGGCAAAGTTAATCTCCAGGCGCTAGTAAGGGATTCTATGGAATTCACTCGGAAATTTGTTTTAGGATATTCGGTATTAATATTTGGCGAACGTACGACTGTTCGCGGAAAAGTTTTTAGCGGCTGAAAATATTTATTACGTGGAAATTCCTGAAAGAATGGAAATGTTGTGTTATTGAAATTATAAACAAATAAAAAATCTAATTAACTTGTCATATTGTTAGATATTGTATGTAGTTTACTTCTTAATATATGCGAAGTTTATGAAAAATTTGTTTGGCGTAGGTAGACATAAAAAGTTCGCATAACACAGGTGTATTAAAATTGGATAAAATGTTGAAGAAAAAGGTCGTAGAGATGAACACAACAGTATTGCATTTATCCTTGTACTGGAAAGATATCATGTTTTCCCTTTGTTTTTTTCTCCGTGACCCAGTTTAGCGATATCAGAAGTTTCAACTTTTTGTGTTAGCCAGAACTCCAAAGAAAAGATATAACTGTTGACAGGTCCGTAGAGTACACAACCAAAAATTTTGCCAGTAAGTCGTATTCGCACTTATTAGGTTCTAACGTTTTTATGAAAGACCAGGCAGAAGGTTGTGGAAACTTGGATGCTTTCAGCCTGCACGCATTCATTCGATTAAACTTCGCTAAATTACAACTCTTAAAATTACCTTTTGAAAACGTGCCAACTTTTCTTCAATTTTATAAATATTTCTTATACATATGTACTACTAACTCCAGGTATGCAAGTTTACTGAAGTGCTAATAAAATTACCTTCGACTAACAATTTAACTAATTTAACTAATCATAGATTTGAATCTAGATGAACACAAACAGGAAAAACAAAGTATACATGTGGGTTGGTTAGTCTGGTGAATTGACAATTGTTCAAATATTTACAATCGGTTAAAATCTGCCGGGAACAAGGGAACACAATAATGACACGCGTTATCTGCTTGTAGTATTTAAGCCGCTTTCCATGTTATATTCCTGCAAAGGATTGTTGGATAATGCGCTTTCGAGCTGAGAGTTTCATACTAAATTGGGCAACTAACAAAATACTTTTTAATGTTTGTGATACGTTAAGTTTAGTATTATCCAGAAATGCCAAGCCTAGTAAGCTACAAAACTTTTTGGCATTACTCAAATCTTATTGTTAGTTAAAATAAATATGCCTTTATCCTCTATGAATTTATCATCTACATTTACATAAGCTACTGTACAAAAATACTGGAAGCCACGATGAAGCCGACAAACTCATAAAACATTCCATTCGATGCAGCAGTGGGTTCAATAATTTTTAACAGAAACCAGGAAAAACTTAAATGGGATTTTGAGACCAGAAACTCTCAAAGTTGGGTAGCTTAAACTTGCATTCTTTCGAAGATTGTGTTTATTTTTCTGTTCGAACAAAACTCTGGAGTTTCATAATGGAAAAAGTCTGCTCTCGCCCATCTTTGAAGAATGCATATTTGAGATACTTATTGAATGCCAGAAAATGCATGGAACGTTCACGTCAAGTTGGATATTTTTTTCTGTTCTACGTATAAAACTATACAGGTTGAAAATACCAAATGGAATAAATCCATTGTTTCGATTACTGTACATATTTACAGAAAATCTCGAAACAAGTCAACGATTAATGATAATTTGACATTCTTCAACGTCCAAAAGTTAGCCCTATCTTTAACCCCTTTCGAAGGATAGTCACAACCCCTAATTTTTTAAATGGGAAGTATAGGCTTGTGATATATCGTTTAAAAGATCTCTTCATTTTCTATCCAAAATTTTTATTATTTTCCAGATTATTACTTATTTCCTGTTTTAGCCTTAATAATAAGACTAGTTTTTTTTAAAAGGCCTTAGCAAATTGGTTTGTAACTATAACTGCGTGAGAGTAGTTGTCACTTATAATTTTTGTTTGAATTTCGTTAATTGCGTCAATTAAGAAAAATTGTTAGATTAGAAAAATGCATAAAATGACAGTTTTGGTGAGGAGATTCATATTTTTTAAATTGTGAACAATTAGGTATTACATAATGAGTGTATTATATGGAATTAAGGCCATCAGATGATTTTATTTTTTTTGTTAATTTTGAAAAAGTGAAAGTTGCAATCAATGACGCCGTTTTTTATTGTTTCAGTTTGTTCTCCGATCTGCGGAACCTTTCCGGGACAACACTCATGAACTTATTGGCTGCTCTTTTCATGACTCAACTCCTTTACGTTGTAGGAGTCGGCGGAGTCCCAGTAAGTACCCGCACTCGCATTCCGCTACGTTTAACAAATTCAAAATATTTACCCTTCGTAATGTAGAAATCCTTGGGAATTACAAGGGCCTTGTTGTTCGGTGAGCGTGTTCAAATAAAGTAGTCTTAATAAGGAATTTGCGCCTTACTTACCGTACATCATATACCTAGTCTATATTTTAATCTTCTTACATTGTTAATTAATGTAAGAATATAATTAATGGTGTATCCTTAAAGTGGGTAGTAACGAAATTTTAATAAGAATGCAAATTATTATTGTATAAGGTATGCTTTAACCGAGCCTTCGGCTTTCACGCTGTTTTATTATCTACAGACTCGGTCAACCCCTGTTTTATAAATTTAAAATATTTGGCCACAGTCTCATCCTTTTACTTTGATTAACCAACCGTTAAAAACGAGTTTCCTTTAAGTTATCTACTCTTATGAACAAAGGATTTGTTTACTGAATTTGTAATGAGTGAAATTTTAATAAACTTTCAGCGGAGTTTAAGGAGTTTTACGGATGTTGAACATCCAATTTTAATTGGTCTGGAACTTCGAGGGCAACAAACTATTTCATAAATAAAGTTTGTACCCACTTCACTTCAAAATGTACGATTAGAATATATGTTACTTATATTCGTTGAAATGTGTAATTATACTTTCCTTATCTCATGTTTAATGTACAAATGGATTTAATCAGATTTATGGTTTTCGAAACTCTATGTTCTCTCTAATGGGTATTTATCCGATATTATCAACTTTGTACTGTATCTAATTAAAACGATCAATTTAGTTTCCGCCATAACGGATAATTATGTACCTATTACGTATAATCTACATATATATTTCAAGATACAATACCACTCAGCACATATGTTGTCACCGCCGGTTACAATGCCGGCTAATTGCATCATCGTACCTTTCGTGTCTTCCTCATCTTCCCATCCCTGGGGATGCGTTTGCTTTGACGACACGTTTGAAATCACTATCGACGATCAGCACTACATAACATATATAATCTAATATCAACAGTTGAATCACGTTTGTTCTAATCCTATTTCCTCATAAACATTCTCCATTGGTACAGATTTAGCGAAATTTAACTTGAGAGAAATTTGATTTAATGTTCATTGGCAGAGAACAAAGTCTATTTAATTGATCATTTAATTCATATTTAATTTTTTTAATATAACCTGGAAATTAATCATGTGTTAGAATTAATCGATTAAAAGCTCTTTAAAATGAATTTAACGCTTCGAAGCAAACCGAGTGTGCCCTTACTTGGAGGAACGAAATGTAACAAAATGCGGGAGGAATTTTTTATTGTAATCTCTCTCTTTCGAGGCAATCTACCTGTATACGATGTAGGATAAGGTTCACAATAAAATTCATGAAATTCAAAGGAACGAGTGATTGATGGTGGAAGAAAGAAATTCGAAATGGAATAAACAAAATATATATGAATTAATGCTTTTGTCTGTATCATGATCTGGAGAAAATTTAATTAAACACAACCTAAGTAGAATAGACGTGTTCATATACAACAAATTTAATTGCCGCAAGTTTAAAAATTATCCATCCGAAAAATTCAAATTTATGTATTGTGCTCTGTAGCGTATTGGAATATTATATTAGTTTATATGCAAATATGTTACCCTGTTTACAATGCATTTCCATTCATTTTATGTTTGACTAGTGGCATCCATATTGATGAACAAGATATTATCTCATCTGTATCAAAATATGGTAGAGGTGAAATGCATACCTATAGGTATTGCTACAGTTACAGAAATGAAATATCCATTATTATAACTCCGTTGCGAATGCACCTATCCTTACATATCGACATAAAGGGAACCGTATAACTAAAGGAATTTCCGTAACAAAGGTTTTCGTAGAGACCAAGAACCAGGAATATATCATGCAAGCGTATCAATTGTTCATGCTATCCAATGCTAAGAATTTCCAATAAAGGTTTTAAATATTAAAGCAGGGTACTTTTAAAATGTTTGCACCATGACTATTAAAACGCACTAATAATAATTATTATTGATTTTCGTCCTCGTTATAAACCTCACGAGATTATCACGTATCATTTATTCAACGTGCTCGGAACCTAAATGTTATATCGGAGGTAGGTACTCCCCCGCCTTATTGCTGGGCAAACTCAAGTGGTATCTGACAGTAATTAATTAATATATAGATATAGCCACGGTCCAAAGAGCAAATAACATTACCACCATTTAACTGCGTATGTCTGTGTACCTAATCCAGCGCCACATAATTCATGTCCAGACAAGGGATAATTTTATAGTGTTCTCACCTATAAACTTTAACAATAAAGCTACTGTAATAAATTTTGCGGACGCTGCACACGTGATTACCATATTCAAAATATACAGGATGATCCCGGCATTTATTTTCATTAGCATAATCATATTGGTATAAAGTGTACAATTATTGTAAACATGATAATTGGATACTATTATTGAGACACTCTATTGAGCCACAAAACAACCCTGTGAATTCTAACCATGTGAAAGGGAATTCCGTGATTGAATGTCTGCGAAACCAATACGACTTCTCTTGAACAATTCTCTATTTTTATTCAGCGTATGCCTTCCCAAGTTCATTTGTTTTCAATTTGAACGCCCCTAGAGACTCGTATAACTTTTATGAGTTCGAATATCTTAACGAGATATCTTTGGATAAAGGCTACCTACTTCGTTAGGATTCATTAAAATGTTAGCAAACCCTCGGATTCGGTGTCACGCAATGATTGGGTACGCAAAAAAGTCAAAGGGAAGTAATTATCGGTATTTTTTTTGGTTCCGTGTCTTCGATTAGGATATTATCAGAGAGGAGCTAACTTAGTATTCTGGATTTGTGGGTTTTTATTTAGGTATTAGAAAATTGCGATAAGCTGGATGGTTCATTTTTGTAAAATACCAGAGATGTAATTAATGATAGGTTAATAATTTGTATTAAAAAATCTCAAGTTGTATCTTAAACCTTAATATAATATAGAGTTTTTCCTAAGTAGGTGACATTAAGTGGATGGGTGGGAAAATATTATGTAATAAAAGACCACCTAGAGCGTCACTTAACACTATAATTGGCAATTCAACCTAAGCTCTCCAATTTCTTTTAAGCACAAATTAAATTAAACGTATGGGTATATTGCCAAAATGTATTCTTCTTTATATTAAATTTTTTCCCTTTATGTTTACAATTTTAATGTAATTTATAGGTATCAAAAAGGTATCAACAAAACGAATTTTCCTTACACTCTTTCTACAAATTAATGTACCTTCAGAAGGCTTCAATTTCGGTGAAATATATCTTTTTTTTGAGGTCTTTCAGCGCATACGTTAAAGATCGAATGCTCAAATTACTTTGAACCAAACCAAATTGATCCTGCCTTGTAATCTGTACTCGCTAACGCCGAGAAAAATCTCCATCATCAATAAGGCTCTATTCGCCAAGATTACGTGTGCCTTACCCTTCTTGATGTATTGACGTACATGCAAGAAAGCTATTTGTAAGTCAAAATTCAACAGAGGCAAGAATCACCAGTACGTTTGTCAATTCCTCTCATTGGTAATTTCTAGTTATTTTAATCAATATAGGAATATTTACAACTACAAAAAGGTGATACAAAACAAGCATTTCTGATTACAACTTAATTATTGTGTATGAGTTTAATAATAATTTTATAAGTTTTTGAATTTCCCATTTTCTAAAAACAAAATAATATGTTGTGTGATTTTCATTCCTTGGTCTAGAAGTCAACAGGGATGAACATGATCTTATTATTCAAATCTTACGTGACATTTTCGTTGGAAAAACCAAGTGACATTTTCGCAAACCGTGAAAGACTCTTCCACAACTCATGAATATATTTAAAACTACTAAAATTGTATAAAAATTCTAAATACGTATGTTGCATCACGTTCCATCTGTTTGATTAATTAACTAAATTAGTTTTGTTGAATACGGCGATATTTAGAATGCTGTTGGAAATAAGCCCCAAAAGGCTGTCTGTAATTAAGGTAATTAGTTTCTGGTAACAGCCTATTTTTTAAAACAAATTGGATCATTCGATTAATTTATAGGCAAATTGCATCGTATATTGAATAATACGTTTTTTCGTCAAAGGATATTACCAATTTTCCCTACGTTTGTGTATAATAATGGGTAAAATTGTCGAAAATTATTAGATCGATATCTGAAAATAAGATTCGTCTAATAAATTTTACCTTCAATGTGCCTCGTTTTAGAATCCCATATTCCATTTCGACGCTTTAAATTCCTGGGGCTATTTTACAAACAAGACTCCGCATAACGTATAATGAAAACTGCGACAATACGGATTGGAAATTGCACGGTTGTATAGGTTCCTATAATATTTAACAAATCGACCCTTTTAAATATTGAAATTATAGGTACATACTATAGGTACATTAAAATATCTATAAATAGGTAAAATAAGCACCAGATTGAATTCATATTCATGCTACATTACAACACCTACTATTATATCTGCAAGTTCACAAAAGGAAGTAACTGGAACGTTCAGAGAACGAAAAAGTTCTTCCTTTCGAATTATGGAGATGGAAAAATCAGTTGTCGAGTTTCCGTTTTCTTTTTATGAATTAATTCCCCGATGGGAGTAATAGCGGCAGAGTTTGCTTTTTTTTGCTCAATTTCAGAAAAAATCTCCGATTAATATCATTGGGGATTAAATTGTACACGACGTTAATGGAAAGCACTTCATTTTCATTCGACGAAGAATCGCGGCATTTTTATTAATTTCTCTGTCGAATAGTTAAAAACAGAATGAAAGAAAATTACACAATAGCAGAGAGAAAGTGTAACAAAAATTTAAATATTGTTGAGAAAATTCGCACGGTTATCAATGAGTAGACGAATTAAAGAAAATATCAAAACCAAAGGAAACAGAACTAGTGTATGCATAATTTAAATTTGTATTTGTTTAGATAATAAAATCTACATTTATTGCTCACCAATATCCGTTGTATTATGGATGCGATTGTTTCCTACTTTATGTTCCTATACATTTTGGATTATTGGAAACGGATCGAATCTCTTCGAAAGGACCGGAGAGTAAATTTGATAAGTACATGGACGCAGTTTCCTGGCATACAAAGGCTATTATGTAGATCCAATCTGTATACCTATAAGCTTCTCCACTTTCCAAATACTCAGAATATCAGACCTTTATCGCGTACCTTTACGAAGATACATATTTTATTACTTTACCTATATTATGCATCTCAAGAAATATTAGTAAGAGATTAAATTGGATGGAATATTGTTTACAATTTTACCAATTTCATTAGTTTCATTAGTCAACAAAAACCCGGCCGCTTCAGTAGGTATGTAAGTACTATAATTTGCGAGAAAAAATTGCCTTTCAAAAAAATCTAGATAAATTGCAGCTTCAGTTGCAGCTATAACACTGAAAATATTTTTACATTAAACATTCTAGCATCTGCAAATTGCCTTATCTTTTAATTTTATTTCGAGTTAAATTGCTCGAGGGCTATTCCTGCTCAACCTAATTTGAATATTTTTTGCATCGAAACACAATTTTTCCGCTCATGCTTGTTAAGTTAAAACTATCTTCGTTTTAAATTGTTTGTTCTTTCGCGCTCGTGAATTGTGAGTTGAGTTAAATAAACTTTTTGATTCGTTCTGTTCTTCATCAACTAACGATTGTTTAATTTAATTTAATTGCACTGCAATTTGTTCCTAAATAAATAAATCTCTTTTCTGACAATGTGCAGTTTTCATGAAACTTTTGTTATTAAATTATTTTCATTTAGAGGAGTATGTATGTATATACTTTGTAACTTATATCTAAATGTAACTATACTCATATCGAATGTAAGATTTGTGTTTTTAATTATTTACTTAAAAACATTATAAGAGCCTGAAGCAGATTTTAAAAGGGGTAATTTTTTATGGAATGCAAATTCATTTATCTCCGAGATTGGTACGAATAACAAAGAATAAAAAGGATTTAGAATTACTAATGGCTCTGTGAGGCGATAATGAAGAAAAACTGTATAAAAAATTAATGATTTATGGACAAATTGTTAATTTGTGCTTCTATTTTATACTGCTTAGGAAAATACGCTCATCGTTCTTATTGTAACCAGTTAGTTGATATAGGAATGGGCACGCTATTCAAACATTAAGCCTGCAAAGCTTTCCTTATCAAAATAGTTTACAGCTGGCAGCCCTAGTAATCTCGTACAATACAGAGATGATTCTAATTACTTCTCAATTGTCAGAAAATACTTGCAGCTTGAATATTTGTGTTTCTTAAGGCTTTTGATAAGAGTAGTCAGAAGAGGTATTTTCTGTTTCAAAAGCATTATTTTGTAAATTGAATGTTTAATTTGAGAAATACTGTAATTTCATATGTACTTTTTCAAAATGATTTATTAATTGAATCAAAGTTTTAAAGAAGTAGGTATTATTATAAATTATTGTAATAATCTCCCTATTACTCATACTAATATTTGGCATTATCATTGTGTAACCTTCAGTAGAATGCTAGTTTTAGGACCCCTAATGATACTAGCCTGGTTAGCGAAAGGCATGTCGTGTGTGATAATATATCATTTTGATTAATAGTAAAATTAATTTTCTCGTTGGAAACAGAGCCGGTCTATTATAATTATAGTCTTTTTTCGGTTATTGTACGCATATCTTAAATAATGAATTGTAAGAAGTATTTTTAAAAACATAGCACTTTACCAATTGATTGCTACCTAATTTCATAGCTAAATTTGTGTAGAGATAATTTCAAATTGCATATTTTTTTCAGGATGCTGAATTATGCATAGCCTTGGCGTTTGCTCTGCAATATGCTCGTCTGTGCACTTTCTGTTGGATGCTGTTGATGACACACAATATGCACAATCAATTTCGAACCGGTCTGCATTTGGTCCCCGTGACAGACAATAATATCACTAGGAATTTCCTTCGGTAAGTCGAAAAGGACATGATTAAAAGTTGTTCGTAACATTTTCGTTTAAATAAGATTACTTCGAACATGGGCCTGTCATGCTCGAAGATAATTACTTAGTATCCGCCTATTGATGGGTTCGTTTTGATGAGAAATTTGAACTTCTAAGTTTTATCAGTACTTTCAGTAATTTTTCTTTATGGTTCATTCATCATTTTATTTCATTTATCCCGAATATGCATTCATCCTGTATAATTAACAACTTGGGCGATGCAATTACTTCGCTGTTTTTTTTAATAATTAATTGAACCTCGCTTTAGACAAAATATAAATCATTAAATATGATTTGAACTAAAACATCAACAAATTTATTTTGTTTGTGATTAAATACATTATAATTAGCGTAATATTAATTGAGCCTTTTGGTCAACATTTTCATGTTCTGTTTAAACTAAACATTGGTTGTAATTACATTTAGTTCCCTTTGAAATACTCTCACAAATTGATCAAATTTTGTTTTATTAGTTCAGTATATTTGAATAGAACTTAGAGTGGAGTTAAATTTTAGAAACGTTTTGCAACCTGTTATGTTGTATGCACTATTAAGCGTTTATAGGTCTCTTAATTGAAAGTTTAAGCTGAAAAATACCCAACAGGGTCACGGTAATTTCCGTGTCATTAATGTTAAATGGCACTGTGAAATTCCCTTTTGACCCAACATTACCAGCGCACATACGTACATTCCTAATGTTTATGTATGTTATGCTGTGCAAAGTATGAACGTCCGACTGCATAGATAAATATTTCTACAACGCTTCAGCGTTTCAAAATGGTTTAGAAAATTATTGAATTTGAGCTCAAAGAAATACAGTTGCGAACTATCGACAGAAGAAATGTATTTACCCCAAATAATCAACTACAAATGCTTGCAATTTAAATATCATTCTGAAATTTTCCTTTTTATCTAATGAAAAATTTTATTGCAACGTCTACCTACACGCCCACTTAGGAAATTAAGCTTTGGGAAGTTCACTGAAACTATTACGTATAACGTTAACTCGGGCCCCATTAAAGATCTTGTAAACTCTATATTTATTACACTTTCTCAATCACTTACCTGAAAATAGAAATGGGGTATTTTGGTAGCTAGCTTTTAATAAAATCAGTTTTTTTTTTTAAATTTATGCTTTTAGAAAATGCTCAAATATAAAAACATATACGGCAATGCCTGAATGCCGATTCCATTATACATTGAATGTTTAACGAGTTACCTCCTATGTTTCCTCCCTACTGTTTTTCCTAAATTGTTGTTATAACGTACCTGCTTGTAAAAAGTATGGAAGCGAATGATTTAGGAAGTTGTTATGCCGACAAAATGCCTCATAAAATACCTGCATTTACGACTTAAACGCTGCTGAAATCCGTAATAATTTTTATAACCTACTCCTTTTAAAAATAACGAGTTTTTTCATATACCTATTTTGTTTTTAATTTATATTCTGAACGGCCTAGAAAATTAATTAGACATTTGGTTGAAACTTATGATGTATCGAATAGAGAGGGTGGAGGTATCTCCTAGAATATAGCTTCCTCTTAAAATAATCTGCGCTAAAATTAAATGCCCAATTTAATGTAATTTGTAATTAACGCAACTAACGAAGACTGCAGAACATTAATTTTATAGCTCGGAAATTGAGCTGTTAACATCTTGGGAGAGTCGCCGTAAAGTTTTCGTCTTATTATGTTGGAGTGATCAAACGATCTTTTAATTAAAAACCAATTATTGCTTTAGTAGTGGGGATTTTCGGTGAAAAGACATCCTTCGTTGCGTTGGCTGATCCTTTGCGAAATAATTTAAACTTCGTCTATTTTTTTAATAACTTCACTTAAAAGTTACTCCATAAAAATAAATATGGATTTACCGCATTACCATTCTTTTTTAGGATTATTGCGTGCAATTTTGCTTATCTCCTTAAAGCGAAATTGTCCAGAAGTTCCGCAGTTTAATACATTATGCGGAAGGAATAAATCGGCCCCGAAAAGCACTTGTGCACATTTACATGAAAAAGCAATGGCCCGTTTTGTTGCAGATACTCAGTCTTCGGATGGGGCCTACCTTCAGCTATTTTGAGCGCCAGCGTTTTAATTCAATACCACGACAAGGCGGGAAAACTCCTTGACACCGCTTCACTCAGAGGACAAAATTGCTGGTGAGTAAATAAGGACCCTATTTTGCTCTTCAAAGCCTTTTTCTAAGGGTCCTTTCGGTAAACTTGATTGATACGTTATAATTAGTTTTCTCTGTTGACTTTGATTGATTGGATAAAACAAATCGTTTTTTTTTCTGAGTAATACATGATACTGTTTTTTTTAATAAGCAAATATTCCTATAAAAATATTTACGAAATTTAAAATCTATTTTCCTATCTCTTGAGATTTAATTGGATTAGTTTACCAACTAGTTGTAAAGTGTATGTTGCTCTTTAAATAGATTAGATTCTTGTCTGTCTATCGAGAAATTTTGATTCAATATTGAAATTCACAGCAAACATTAGAGACTCTATAAATAAAATATTATAAGCTGTACGGTGTGTTTCGTAACGCACAAATTTTTCTGAGATTTCGATTTTTCTTTCCAAGGTTTCTGGATACGAATGCATTCATTTACGGTCTCCTGGCACCCAGTTGCCTCATCATAGGCGCTACATTCTATTACTTGGTTAGATCAGCGATATTGGCCAGATACATCATCAGCATGCAAGCAGACATTCGAACGCGCGAAAAGATGAGCAGGAAAAGAACACTTCAGATTTTGCTTTTTTCAAAGGTAGGTAGAACAAAAATTACGCATATTATATCATATTATTACTTGCCCTTTCTTTAATTAATCACGATATTATATAATGACGTATACATAGTTAACACAATTGATGTAATAAAGTATGTTATCTTTTGATCATTATCTATAGGTACATTCTTAATTAAATAACCTTAATATCTTAAAAAAAAACACTTTTAATTACTAGTAAGTACCACCTACAATTATGCGAAATGAATTTTGTAATATATTTATCCAGTTCTGTCGGCACATTTGTTGTTAAAATCCCCCTTTTCGTCGACTACGCACCTCTACTGATTAATTTCATTTATTTATGAGTAGCCGGATAGCGGAATGGAAGAGAAGTAAATGAAGTTTATCCGATAATTCCGCAAAACATAACAAATGGCTGTAATAAAGGTGACACAAAGTAATAATCCTTTCCTATCCAAATAACGAAGTTGGTAATGGCGCGGCTGCTACGACATTTATTCTTCACTATACTGAATGAATATATGACTAACTTCAGAGCCGTCAGAAGTAAGGATGATTTATCCTTATTTTAGTCCTTGTAGGAACACTTTTATGCGCAATCAATAATGCTATATGGCACACCAGCTAATGTATTAGCGAATTAATATTACATTAATGGGTAAAAATCTTAATTCTATCTTAATCTTAATAGATTTCAACGCATATGGAATTAATAAACCATTTAATTAAACATTTGTTTAATACACTCGTTTTTAGAAAATAATTCGCTGCTATTTTACTACTATACGAACCTTTCTATTTATTTGAATGTTGGTACTAGGAGGACTGGAGGACTACACTTCCCAATAAATCGGGATAATTCGAATTCCGAATTTAACCAAACAATGGAAATTGAGTAAATTTTAGTTCGAATTCCGATTAATTTATTCAACTACAACTTAAATTCGAATATAATATAGTCGAGATATTTCCGACGATTGCCTATTGGTTTGCAGGCAATAAACAAAACAAAGCCAATTAATGTTCATAAATAATTCCAAATGAAATACAAAATTGGTTTTGATAGATACTATTTAAAAATCGTTTAAAATAAATAGAGACATTAATAATATTTGATTTCCTATATATTTATGTACGTATGTAGGTACACTGTAACAAAAAAGTATCCGGAATTTCTGAATTAAATTACCTACACTTAATATTTTTAACTATTTCAAGTTTCTGTGTGTAGGTAACACCAAAAAATTAGAGAGATTTCTCAATTTATGTCAGTAGTTCTCTGTGAATTTTGCAATGGAAATAAATAATGAACAATTTTGAATTTTGAACGGAATTTCTTGGGCTGAATCGAGGCAAATGATTAGGGTGACTCTGTTTTATCGATAACCCATATTTATAAATGGTTTCTTGATAAAGCTAAATATACAGTTACAATTATATTTATTTAAGTTAATTATACTGTATAAACGAACCATTATGGATTGCTTTTTAATTTGCAATCGCTATTATGTTCCTATTTTCTAATACCTAATGCGTAAAGCCAGAAAATTTAATACGAAGATTTAATTATTAAAAATGTTAAACGAACTGTATGAGTTGTGTGTTGAAATATTTAGGCAATTCGCAGCTTTACACCGTTACGTAACAATTCAAAATTTCATGTGCCCTAAAGGGAATTGCGTCGGCGTTGCAGCCTTTTTATATATTTGAATAATGGCCTCTGTTAAACTATTACGGCATACAAAAGTGTGCCGAGGGAATGCGATAATTCCGTTACTGTTATCTCATTTGCAGACTTTTCCCGTTGACGCTTCGCAGTTTTATCGAGTTGCAACCTAACTTCTAATTAGAAGCGCCCTTTTTATTCTTATGTTATTTCATTAACGCCCGGCTTCTGTCTATTTTAATTCAACGTCCGGTACACTCGTTTCTTTGAAATGGACACAAGGCAAATAAAAAGTAATAGAACGGCATAATATACGTAATATAACGTGATAATTTAATTAATTTATGCTTTTGTGAATCATCCTTGTATTCAATTATCTCCTTATAACCTTTAGAAACAATGTCGGGATCGCTTTATTTTCGTGTGTATTCTAGCGAAAGGATTTCGTTTATTTGATCCATTTGACTGTTACAAATCCTTTCAGCGGAACATACAAAAGGCTTTACCTAGTTTTAATTCCAAAATAACAGTCAGGAATGCTGAATGTTCCTTAAACGTTCTTTTTGCTTACGATTCAGATGGAAGTTTTTTCGCCCACGAAGCAAAAAGAAATCTTTCCCGTAATAAATAACACAGGAACTAGGTATAATTTCTTCTGACACTTTTAAATAGTAAGAAATTTATTTCTGGTAATAATTTAGTCCAATAGAAACTGAATAAAATTTTTGGCAGAATAGGGAGATTTGTATTTCGTTTCGATTTGTAACATTTTTCTGTTTGAATGTAAAATATACTTTATAAATGGTAAACATTACGTCAATGCATAGGTATAATAAATTTTAAGTGCCTGTTTTTATTTACCCAGAAATTCCATGGGAAAGGAAACAGAGATTAATATGTTTTGATGGAAAACCTACGTATTCAGGTTCAATTTGTTTGTTATTTGTAATCCATTCCAATATACCTACCATATATAATGTTTGAAATATTAGAATTGAGATAATTTAGGAATTCTCAAGAAAATAAGAACGCAGAATCTACGTCTGAACAAAAAAAAGGCGAAGGCAACTACTCAAAGTAGTCAAATTTATTTAAAGGATGTAGTCCAAAAATAGCAAACATCGAGGGAATTCGTTTTACGCTTTTATGCCCAGTTTACCACAATCCTTTTCCAGGTGGAATTATTAGACACGACGGCAGAAAATGAAATAATAAAGTTTAAATTTGTGAAAGATTATTTTTTGAGCTTTTTTTGTAGGTGTTAGGTTCAATATTTTCTAAATAATGCACAGAAGTAGGTACTCGTATTACTTACAAATAAGAATTTTATATAAAATTTTGGTAAAATGATCAATATTTAAAGTCGTTGGTTATGTACACGTATATATTCAACCTTTCTCTGTTATTTAGAATCATATATTTCATCCAAATAGGACCTTAAATCATTCGAGTTTTACCTATAAAATCCCTCTGGACAATATCTAATCAAATTTATAACCAAAATCCTAAACATTTGTTCGACCGAGAAATACTGTAGAAATATTGTAGTATGAAATATGCAGATATAATATATTAAAGATACCTACCACTTCTACGACTAGTTTTATAATACGTTGATACGAATAACAGTAAAGAAATAGTTGAAGATATTTGAATAATTTCGAGCTTATGGTTGTTCTAAAAATCTCCCGATTTGGTAAATTGAATCGAAGGGTTTTTTATTCAAGAAAAAATTTCATCTGGAAAATACAAGGCATGCATTCAATAAAATTCGAAATCATATTTCTCATCCGTAATATCCAGTTGCAATATTTTTTTATTCCCAAGTCATATCTTCCATCAATGGGTTTCAAAAGCTCCGAAGGATTACTTTTGTGTCGCTCCTTTCTCGGTTGAACGAACATTCTATACGTGTGCTACCATCGACAGTGTTTCGAAAATCGTGCATACTCCTTTCACAATTCACGGATTAAGTTTGCCGACTTTTGACTGGCATGTACGTAATTCAAATTTAATATTCTTTAACAGGGTCTATATCTTATATAATCTGAAATTGAATATGTTGTTCGCACACACACACCTTTATTCATTCATAACTTTATTGTGTTTTGCTCTTCTGTTGTTAATATATGTTTAAACTTTGCGAAAATATGTGTGTGAAAGTGCAACATGTGTTAAAAGATATATTTTATCCAACCGAACATTTTGTTGCATATTCGAAATAAATTTTAATACTTTATAACAAGCAGTTAATGCGAGTAAGACCACTACGCTCGACACGAGCAAGTTGTTGAAGTAGGATGTAACAAAGCAGATTATTGTTGAAGCTGTTCTGGAGACTAGACAAACAAAGTTTGGTCAGAAACTTTACTAAACTATATATAACTTAATTACACGCAAACTTAAATATTATAATGCTTTATACGTATACAAGGATGAGTCATATTAAAAGTGGTAATTAAAGGTAGTCTTCCAGAAGAATCAACTTTTGCTTTGCATTATTGGCCTCTTCTGTTGCTGACAACATTATGCTTGCCTGTACTGAAAGAACGATATTGGTCTTTGTGAAACTTAAAGCTTTGTGTTTATTTCGATTTCAAACTCAAAACCACACTCTTAACAAAGAGTTTCGTGCTAATTATAATTTAAGGTTCAGTGCGGATTACTTCTATAATAGAAGTCGCGTTTTAATTTGACTTTCATTGTTTGCTATTTTTTATAATACACAACACAACAGACGTAGTTCTACTAGAGGCTACAAAAGCACCATTATTAAAACATTTGTCCAGTATAGCATTTTATGCAATAATCGCAAAAAATAAAATTAGGAAAAACCATTTCAAACAGTTTTACTTTTTTTACAGATAACGATCGTCCTATGTATCGTTCTTACTCTGGCAGCATTCAGCAAACTTTCCAATAAGTCCGAGCCCTTCTGGATATGTTATCACATGACGCAAGGTTCCCAGGGATTTTTAATTTCAATGCTCGTCACATGTAATTGTCAAATACTGAAATTGTACACTCGAAGCATCAAGTCACGTGCTTCAAAGCACGTGCCTTATTACGTTGGACGAGGGGATTCGAATCCTCTCAGCAAATCAACGAGTCTGCAGTTGTTGACCTGGGATACCCTTCCAGATGCAGTCTAAATGATCGATTCTGGATTCTTTACTTTGGTATTCAATTGCGGTTTGGTTTTCACTGAATGTACAGCTTTCCTGCAATTATTTTTTGTGTATATAAAATTCTATTGCCTAGTATTGTAATTGTTATTAGTTACTTATAGTTAAAAGGAGTTTTTGTTATTCGTTGAGAAATTCTCTATGAGAAGAAGAAAATTGAGGACCATTTTTTTGGTTTATTTACATTTTTAAAATTAACAGAAAGTTTATTATTTGAAATTAATGTAGGTAAAATAAATTTATTTTCTGATAAATTTTAGTCAGACAATAAAATTTAGAGATTAATCATGAATTTAAAAAATGTCTCGTTCTTCTCCAATAACAGTATGCATGGCTAGAAAATTGTTTCATTCAATTTTTAATTTAGGCAAAACATAGATTGTAACTATCAACACTATACCTATTCTAGTAACATAGTATATATATATTTCAATTTCAAATTCAATTTCAAATAAGTAATATATAGTTCAGTATAATTCAAAATACTCATATCAGAAATGCATATTTGTACGTGAATAAATATTCTATCTGTAAATAAATTATAATAAAATAAAGAGATGTTTTATAATAAGCTGTTTGATTTAAATAGTGAATGACTTGCTAAAATTATTACTTGTAGGTTTAGTACGATTTCTTGCATGTTCACATAACCATCACTGCACTCGGATTAAAGTATAAATATAAAATTATCGCTCTAAAAAATTAATAAAACGAGTAAAATTCATTAAATAGTATACGGCTCTCCTAAGTGATATATTTACTACTCATTTTTATGTTTCCAGGTACAGATTTTATGTCGTTATAATAAATTACTTAGCGATAAATCAACTTATCTTAATTGTCAAAGTAATATAAATTCTTTTATAATCAAGTTTAATTAATTAAAAAAAAACAAATATTAGCCTATTACGACCTAATCACTTAATGATACGAGATATGCACAGGCACTTTAATTTCGCGAGTACTTCTGTATGTAAAATACTCGTTGAATAATACAAAAAGATAAATCATAAGATCAAAGATAAAGAGAAAATTCAATTTATCTTTTTTTAAGTATTCTTTAGTTTAGAATCAAAAATAAAGTCGAATGTGATAGGTATTACCTACATATAGGTAAGTATTTAAAAAAAATCTGTAGGGACATACATTTCTTCTAATATTTTTTCATTAATATTATTTATAGATTAAATTTTAGTTTTGAGTAACTTGTTAAAATGAGCAATAATTTACCTTCAATAAAAATAGAGCGACCTCTATACGAGTATCAGAAATTAAGAGAAGATCTGAACTACGAGAAAACTAAAAAGCCTTGTAAGTACATTTTTCCTTGATTTCCTTTCGGTTTATGAGTTTAGTTTTTCAAATCTTTAAGTTTATATGAAATTTGTCTTTATATTTGTGGTATAATATTCGCAAAAAATGTTTGAGATTCTTTAACTTTGGCTCTAATTGAAATACTTAAAAGTTTGCAACTTTTTTGAAGTGTTCGAAACATGTGAGGCATATTAAAACCATAAGAGAGCATGACCCTAAAAGTTGGAAAGTCCTTAAAGATACTGTAATCAACCTAGAAAAAAATATGCCCTATTTTAATTATAATAATTATTACAATTTATGAAATTTTAGATAAATTTTGTAAAAATGTTACTTGCAAAAAAATTATAACCAGCACAATTCCGGCTATCGGTTGGATTCCAAAATATGAGAAGACTTTTGTTTTGGGTGATCTCGCAGCAGGATTTACAATCGCTGTCATGCACATACCTCAAGGTGAAAATTATAAAAATAATACCTATTAAATAACCACAATTACAAACATTCATACTTTTCAGGAATGGCTTATGCCTTATTAGCTAATTTACCGCCAGTAAATGGAATTTATATGGCCATATTTCCAGTTCTCATGTATTTTTTCCTCGGAACCTCTAAACATGCATCTATTGGTAATACAAGCAATACATTAATAAACTGTTTTAAATGCATATTTATTAATTAACAGGGACATTTTCGATAGCTGCAGTAATGACTGGTAAAGCTGTCTTAGAGTACAGCGATTCAGAAACATCACCCAGCCAAGTAGCAGCTATTCTCACTTTAGCAGTGGCTACAATACAGGTGAGTTTCGAATTAATTAGGTACCAAAGAGAAAATGTGAGCATTATTTATTTCAGTTAATCATGTGCTTTTTGAGACTGGGTATTGTGAGCACTCTTCTATCTGATGTATTGGTGAACGCTTTTACTGCAGCGACAGCATGTCAAATAGTAGTCACTCAAGTGAAGGATCTTATTGGTTTAACGATCCCAAAAGTTTCAGGAAACTTTTTAGCGATAAGAGTAATTATTTTTAAATTGAAGTTCGAAACTAGTTCTAATAGAAAAATTTCAGACGTTGATGAAGATATTTGAAAATATTGGGGATTTCAATGTAGCGGCGACCTTAATCAGCGTTATTTCAATAGCGATATTGGTAGTCAGCAATGAATATTTAAAGGTATTAAGGGGTGTTTTTTAAATTATTTAAATCGTCCTTTTTAGGGAGGAAAGTCTTTTAGTTAATGTTTATATTTTAGCCAATTATTGCAAAGAGGACAACAATTCCGATACCGAGTGAACTGTTTGTAGTTGTATTAGGTGTTTTGACGTCTCAATATATCGATCTTCCCAATAAGTATCATATCAAAACAGTGGGTCACATTCCTAGCGGGTAACACATTTTGTTATACTGGATGATTCTTTTGAAAAGTTTTTACCTTCGATATCAATCCCCACGCTTCAATCTCGCTGTTTCACAATCTTTGCTGTTTCACTTGCTAAAATATCGAAGGTGGAAACTTTTCAAAAAATCACTATAAATAAATCATAGGTACTATAAATTTTTTCTTCCAGCTTTTAAAGCGTTGAATTTGATAACTAAATAAGGGACTTTTCAGGTTACCTGAACCATCATTGCCTCCAATTTCTTTATTTCCCTCAGTAGCTTTAGATGGGCTGTCGCTAGCCATTGTTTGCTATGTCACTTCGATGTCTATAGAATTAATCCTGGCTCACAAGGCAAATTACGAAATTGATCCCAATCAGGAATTAATGGCCATGGTAAATCATTCAAATATATTGATTTCAATAAGATGAAGTTTTGCGATATTTTTTCAGGGTGTGAGTAATGTAGTGGGATCATTGTTTTCTTGCATGCCGATATCTGCTTCACTATCTAGATCGACAGTTCAACTAGTTGTTGGTGGGAAAACTCAGATTGTTTCTATTTTTTCAGCCAGTATATTGATAGTGACATTGCTTTCGATTGGACCGTTTTTTGAGCCATTGCCCAGAGTGAGTAAAATTTTCATACATACGTCTAGCAAATTTGAATCGAGATTTATTACGAGATACCATATACGTAAAAATTTTAGCAGAGAAATTATTTTTTAGAGCGTACTTGCAAGTATAATAGTGGTTGCACTGAAAGGGATGTTAATGCAAATGAAACAAATAATTACTTTTTGGAAATTGAGCAAAGTGGATTCGACTGTATGGATAGGGACATTTCTAACAGTGGTTTTCGTGGGTTCTGAAATTGGACTTTTAGTTGGTATTAGTCTATCACTGTGTTCAGTTTTCATCTTAAGTTTGAAACCTGATACCAGTCTTTTGGGTAATGTTCCTAATACAGATTTGTATCTAGATATTGATAGATTTAAAAAGGTTAGTTAATAGTTTAGTAGTTCAATAACCACAAATAAATATTTACCGTTTTGGTAATACCTCTTTTGATACGTATATGTTGATGACTTTCTCTGCTTCTTAGGCAAAAGAAATAAACGGCATTAAGATTTTCCATTATTGCGGCGGGATAAACTTCGCGACGAAAAATATGTTCCGTGATGAATTATACAAAATGATTGATTTAAACGCACAAAAGGAATTATTATTACGAGCTAAATTAAAGAAACTTCAGGAACAGGTATAGTCGTATCTAAATAGCTAGATAATTATTTAATTTTACGATTTTAATTTTAGTTTGAAAAGAACAAAGACGGCAAATTAACGGAAAAAATGAACAGGAACGAATCTAAAATTAACAAGTGCATAAAATATTTGATAGTAGACTTTTCGTCCGTAACTTATTTAGACCCAAGTGGGGCGGAAATGCTGAGAAGCGAATTCAATAATTTCAAAAAATTAGATATTTCGTTTTATATAGCTGGGTGCTCAGGTAAGCGAAACTTTGCATAAAATGCAAGCTATGTTTATTTAATTCTTGTGATATTTATACTTTTGTTTTAATAATACTCGTATATTCTTTGTAGATCGAGTTTATAACACTTTTGAAAGATGTGGTTTAATTTCTAAAGATGAGAATTATTTGCGAATATTTTCAAGTATTCATGATGCCGTGCAATGTGCTTTATTCAATTTAGGAGCAGAAGAAAATCAAGCCGAAAAAAGTAATAAAATTGAAGAAATGGAATTAGCTGAATTAGTATAAGTTACTTAATTTATTTTAAACAAAAATTGAATTCAATACTCGTAGTATTAATTGTTTGTAGTATAATTGTATATACATACTTGGATGGAAGATTAAAATAGAAAAAACTTTTTTAATGTCATCAGTATAACCCAATTAAAATATCTCTTACTTTAAATAATGCTGGTAATATTAGGTATATACAATACAAAATTATAATTTTGTTTCGCATAATATCTTAATTATTCATCTTCATCAACTGAATAAAAAATCCATTCTACTGAAATTATAAAAAGCCGCAGATTTTCGGCGTTCTTTGTTGTTTATATCCATTTTTCTAATCTTAATATCCATCCGCGAACAAAAGCGATTTACGATTAGTAAAGAAATTGGCCTGACTCGAGGTTGGTTTTCGAAAGATTATAAAAGAATATAATGTCCCGTATCAACTTCCATTTAAACGTCTACGAAAGCAGTGGAAAGAAGCTTCAGACCTATTATAGTATAACCCAACTGCATTGAAAATATCCCGCGAATTTTCTTTCATCCAATTTCCAAGTCGTTTCCGCTTAATGCTTACATTATTTAAGACACCCACATGGATACATTTTAAAAGCTCATACTTCGAAATGTATTCGTTCTGCTCGCCCGTTAGGAATGCATGAAAATTTTAAATTATAACTCTGCGGTTTCAATTTAAACTTCGTAAGTTTACTTTCATATAACCTTATCAATCCACCTGTCTTCTAAGTCAGCCCTTAATTTCTGAATTTTCACCTCTCCTTTATACTATGGTTATACATTAGGCATCAACGCGAATATATGAGATCTCAAGCGTGATATTAAGTTCTCTTTGCGGGTACGCAATAAGGCAACGTTATTGAATTCTTGAAGTTATGTACAACATTTCGTTAATAACTAACAACAAGAATAGAATGTAGGTAATACAGTCAGAGATTATACACTGTGCGTCATTCCAGATCGCAACATAGGTTATATAGGCTATAAGTGCGATAAAGACAACTTCCATTAGACACTTTATAAAGGAAAAAGAAAGAGTGACATTTGTGTTATTGCAACTTTTCACCCTAACAACTGCTATTTTATTAATCTTTCTTTCTTCAACTCATAGAAACGACCATGTTGCGGTCTGAATTGAAGCAATCTGTATATATTTATTTAGTACAAAGTACTAATGATTGGAAGAACCCAAAAGGTATCTAACATATACAGGGTGTCGCAAAAAGGTTGGGACATGGCTTAACTACCAAACTTACCATGGCGTAACTCCAAAACTACTGTAAAGCAGTCACAAAGGTGTTAAAATTAAATATAAAAGATTTTTAAGAGATTTTTAAGAGATTTTTTGATATATACATATATGGACTAATTTCTAAGTGATTATACATTAAGATACATCATTTTTACGATCTATTACTGCCTAGTCTATTTAAACTATCCTTTAAAGATATATCTGAATATACGGGTGTCCCACGACGAGTTAAAACTCTGTATATTGGAAACTAGCTATCCGATTTAAATAATATTTGGTATATGTATATATTATGCAATAAGACGAACCTTTTAAAAATATTTTGACAGTTGTACCACTTCCGGATATACCGGAAGTAGGCATCAACTTTGTTATTTTATATGGAACACCCTGTATATTAATATATTTTTGAAATCTACGTAAAATTTTAGGGTACTTTTGTCTAAAACACTTTTTTCAAAAATGCATATTTTTTTGAGTTAATAATTTTTGTTTGAAAAATTTGACCAATGCAAACCCTTGTGAATATTTTTTTACGGGGATATTGGTACTGGGTGGTTCCATTAAAAAAAATGAAGAAATAAAATAAAAAGTTTTTCAAAGCAGGTTTAAATACCTCTGACCTTTCTACTAGCCACCCTACTCAAACCGTTTCCGTGTCTTCAAGAGGATCATCGTAAAAAACAATTTCTAAGATGTGCTTCGGTAAAATTTTTCAAACAAAATTATTGACTCAAAAAGTATGCATTTTTGAGAAAAGTGTTTAAACAATAGTACCCTAAAACTTTACGTTGATTTCGAAAATATATTAATATAAATGGTGTTCGATTTGAAATAACTAAGTTAATATCTACTTCCGGTATATCCGGATATGACTGTCAAAATATTTTTAAGAGGTTCGTCTTATTGCCTAACATATACATACCAAATATTATTTAAATCGGATAAGTAGTTTCCTATTATACAGATAGTTTTAACTCGTCGTGCAGGACACCCTGTGTTGGAGTACCTATGCCGTTTTCACAAATCTCAGGTATATAAATACAATTTATGTTAATTGATGCGTTATTGCAGCTGCTGTGAGTCAACAAAGAGGCAAGCGATTAGACGTCAACATCTGCCTTTAAGACGCTCTCTTGAGCCTTATATCCGAGCATAGTTTCTTTGGGAAAAACGACTAGCTCTGATATGCGGCGTTCCTTGTGTAAATTAAATCAAAACTGCACTTTAGCTGCGCTTATATCGCGAATATTTATGGAGCAAGTTCCGGAGGATCGAGTTTTTTTTGTTCAGATAATAAGCAAGCTATGTTATCTGAAACAAGTTTTAAATTATTAATAGGGAAACTATGGAAATGGATAAGGGGTCATGAAAGGGAAGGTTGCACTTGAGTAATTTATAAAACTCTAGGTAATAGGAGCTTTCCTTATTGCTTCTAGGTTCTGAGGAGCTTTTATATACGAATTTGAACAGTCGAAACTTTGAGAATCTTTTTTTAATTCATCTGATTTCTGTTTGTTCTGCGCCAGTTAGGAACTCTAGCGACGGGCAGCTCAATTTCGTTACAAAATTAAATGGAAACTGTTAACAACTAAGAACAGAAAACTACATCAAATGGTAAGTACATAAATTCCAAAATAAGCGTAAAGATGGATAATCTTTTTTCTTTATTTAAATATTAAGCTTATTTAAAATAAGTGATTATTAATTTTTTTTTAATCTAGCTAATGATTTGTTTATTATCACAACTGTAGTAATATTATCTGTCTATTTTACGGTTTAATATTGCTGTGGAAAACTAAAAAAAAAATACATATGTTCCAACAATGAAACATTCAGGTTGGGAACTAAACGGCAGATGGTAAGAAGTTTAAAGATAGTTACAGTTCGAAAAACCTTTGTGCAGTGAATGGTACTGTGGTATTAATAATGACTATTATTTAATGAAAACAATGGTAAGTATAAAAAAGGCTGTCATTTTTATAAGTTATCTTAAAAATTAGTTTGGAATCGAAAATATTCGAATTTTTAATAAATAATTGCCTTCAACATAGTATTAATTCTTGTTGGTTTTGAGATTTTTATAATTTCGAATTTTAAAGATTTACAGATTGTTTATTATAACAGATTACGGATTGGTTAAGGTATTTTGTGGTATTAGATAGTACATTAAATTCCTAGAGTAACTACGTATTTTAGTCCCTATTTTTTAAATGAATCAATATAGATCTAGTAAGGGCCAATAAAATGCAAATGACTGTAAATAAAATATATATACTGAAATAATATTTATTAATACCTAATTAACACAAGTGTCATTTATGTTAATTTGAATTATAACTTTTTAAGACAGGTAAGGAAAAAGTTGTATAAAGTACTAAAAATTATTATAATTATAAGTATAAATGTGTATAGAGCATACTAAAGAAATAATATTTATGTATAATTAACTAAAATTTCAATTGTATTAATTTGAAGTAGGTATAACTTTTAATGTAAGGTAAGGAAAATTTTCTCTAAAATGCTAATTTAAATTCAATAGCGTTCCTTATTAGGTATAAATACAGGGTGACTCAGAGTAGAATTCGGTTTTCAAACGTGCTTTGTGCAACCGTTTTTGGGGTGGTAGCACTGGCAATTTTTGGTGAATATCTACATGCGGATTTTCGGTTTTCAGTCGAGGCGGTTTCTAAGCGAAAGATTCATATGTAGAGACAATTCGATGTTTTTGCAACCATCACAATATACTACGTATACGTAATACTCATCCCTGTGACAAATTTAGAATTTTGAACCCAAAATACGGGTTCAAAGTTTCCGACAAACAGGTTTCGTGGTAAATTGGAAGCACCCAGGTCAACAAAAATTTATCAGAACGCCAGAGAACATTGGGATTATGCGACGTTCTGCGACTAGAAATCTGAGACACTCAATCCCAATGTTCTCTCGCGTTCTTTTTGGAAGCTTTGAACCCACGATTACACTAAATTTGTCGACGACTAAAAAACGTCAAATTGTCACTACATACGAATCGTTCGCTTTAGAAACCGCTTCGACCGATAATCGAAAATCCGCATGTATTCACCACAAATTGCCAGCGCTACCCCCAAAAAACTTTCCACATGGTTGCACAGGCACGTTCGAAAACCGAATTTTACTCTGAGTCCCCCTGTATTATTTAGCCATTTATTACTTTTGGTAAATTAAATAATTTATGGAAGTTTCATATTTACATGTAGTAAGTAATTAGTAGATATGAGTTCGTAGTGAAATATAATTATAGTTATGTTAAATTAGGGTATTAAGTAGTTGAAAAACTAATATTTTTAATTGTAACTATATTATATTCTGTTAACTTAAATTGTATAGGTAAGCTTAATTCTTAATTTACTTAATTATTTACTTATAATAATATTTTTATGCTACGATGGGCTAGGATAAACCTATTATAAAATAATATTTGTCCAGAAATTCCTTTGTTAATAAAACTTGACCGCAGTAATTGAATAACAAACTTTTCCACTGGCCTTTTAAAAATATTTCTGTTACAATTACATACATATGTACATACATATGTACTTACATATATGAAACATGAATCAAATGATTAAGTTAAAGGGAATAATATTTATTTAACTTTTATTCAACGTATCATCAGCTATAACCTAAAAATAAATGTGATTAAATATTTAAAAAATATATGGCGTTATGAATTATATGAAAAGAAAACAGGTTCTCATTTTTGCAAGCACCTTATAGGTATTCTCATTATTTACCTTGATAAAAAATAATATTGCAATTAAAGTTCGTTTACATTGAGACAAAATATACAAAGAAATTCTATCACAGACTAATATTGAATAACTTATATAACTTTATGCGCAAAATAAACATGCAATTATTATACGACACCGTGATTTAAGTAATTTATTGTTTAATACGACTTATTACGGTTCCTGGAGCCTTTCCAAATAATCCACAGTTCCTTATTCATACATAAATAGATGTTATTAAATTTTTTAGCGCCAAAATTAATCGATACTAACAATGTCTAATGAATTATTTATAATTAAATTTATTTGTGTTAAATTTAAATACAGGGTGGCCCAGAACTCACGCCCCACCGGGTAATGCCTTATGGAAACGACAATAGAGATTCCAAAACTGCAGTCGAAAACATGAAAAAGTTGTTCCTTTGGTAAATAAAGAGGTTTAAAGTCGACCAATCCCAGTAGCAGTTCACATTCGCGAAAATGACGTAAATTAGCCTACACCTATTTGATAGCAAACCTACACAATTTTTTAATGCTTCAAAAGTGGTTCGAATCGAATGATGGATTTTTTGATCAATCTGGAAGCATATCTTTGATCAATAGTCGCAGTTGATTCTGACAAATTTTGTCTAACCTTGAAAGTGGAAAGGACATAGAATCTTTCAATAATGTCAAATTGGTGTATAGCTCATTCATGTCATTTTTGTGGATTTGAACTCCTACTGGGATTGGTTGATATTAAACCTCTTTATTTACCAAAGGAAACTTTTTCATGTTTTCGACTGCAGTTTTGGAATCTCCATTGTCGTTTTCATAAGGCATTTCCCGGTGGGGCGTGAGTTCTGGGCCACCCTGTATAATTATTTGTCACCCAACGTACGTTATACGTATGTATGATGCCCTGCGGACCTATCGCTCACCCCATAGACCTATTAACTATGGACGCGGTTTAGACAAAGAGGTAGTGTTGTCGATGAATGAGAGAGATGCAGCTAGTTTGGACATGGTAATGAGAGATTGGACAATGCATTAGCCAATAGTAAGAAAGAAAAAGACCACGTGAGTTACGTTTTCAGAAATGCAAGGTAGTTGGGGTAGAGGAGGGTAGATTATGGTAGAATAGGGTTGAGGATTTATAATTTTTTTACCGAGCAAAATGCATTTTTCAGCTGAGCCTAAATTCCCACACATTTGCAAATACAGTTCTTATTTTGTATTGTTATTTGGAACCTCCTACCTATTAGCCTGTACAGATTTCGCAATTTAAGACCTAGCTGTTTTCTCTTGTAAAAAATATGTTTCTTCCAGATCATTCTTCTGTCCAAGTGAATACCAAGATAAAAACAATATTTAAATATTAAGCGTATAAATAATTTAACAGATTAATCGCCTTTTTCCACACACCCTGTATATATTTTATATATTTTTTGGTCCCGCCTACTTTTAGCCCAAACTAGCTCCATCTCTCACGGACCTCTCTCTCTATCATTGGGAACGCTGAATAACCTCAAAATAACGATAGTGCCGCGTCCATACTTAATAGGTCTATGGCTCACCCCGAACTCTCACTTCTGTATGTACTATCTGCTATCTGTACTATCTGTACTATTCTTTACTATCACCGTTATATGTATGTATTTTTATGCCGGAGTTCTTGGTCCTGTAAAAAAACCGAACTTTACATTACGCTTTACATACGAAACACGTCTACTGATACAATCGTATACCTACTATTCGAATCGCTTCATTTTCTGTTATTCTAATTTCGGAACTGAATGAATATTAATTATAGTTAACGTAAGTCAAATAATTACATTTTATCACACTCATGTGGTACGTTTTGAAAAAGACGATTTGATAACCAGTTTTCCGTTCACGCATTTGTACGTGTACTGTTTCAACTGTTAGCATTAAGAAGATTATAAATTAACATCAAAAATAAATATTTAAATAGGAGATATAATAAATTGAACGTAACCCAGTGAGATTTGGTTCATGCATGTGAAAGTGTTATGAGGAAATGCGTATCAATGCTTATTTGAGAAACAGTGCAATTAAAGTATGTATCTACTATGTATCTATCTAATTCGTTAAGTAAGTTTATACTTATTTCTTTTATAAATATAAACGTTTTTTTACTTGGTTATTGTTTACTTTAATTTTTAATTATGTGCATTAAAATGGATTATTTTACTGTTTTTTAGAACGAATGTAAATAATTGCCAACAATTCTGGCCTACTTTTACTTTTGCTAAATCCATTTTATTTATATTGTAAATTTTAAAATCTCAATTTCTTTTATTTCTTATTTTTATTCTATAATTTGAAGGTGGATAGCTAATAAAATATAAATTCTATTGATAAATTTCGTGTTTTGATTATTGGTAATTTATAGTTTTAATTGTTTTATTCAATGACTATAATTTTTTTTTTAATTTTGAAACTCAGGTATGTTTCGTTTTCGTATACGGGGTTGGAAATAAATTCACGCATAATAGGGAAATCAATATAAACGAACCAAAGTGCGGAGTGCGGTCCAGTTGAACAATTATTGGAATTTATCGCGACGTTCTATTGAAATGTACACTGGTAGACTGGATTTAGACTTTAGACGGCTAAGAATTTAACGTTAATTTTTAATATTATGCGAAATGAAATTTTCAACGGTGTATATTTTTGTAGATTAGTGTACACAGACAAATGATTATTATCTCTACTTATTGTTGTATGAATTAGAAATAAGAAAACATTTAGGAATAATTACACAATATTTCCTATTATAAAATACGATATTTTTATAACAAATTTCATTAACTTATGTTCTCACATAAACCTTACAAAAATCTTTACCAGCAACCGGTAGTAATGAAATTTAGATTCGTTAATGACAATAACATTTTAACAATATTTTTATCTTCGTAAATGAAATTATCAGTCATTAACACTCTACTGCTTATACCTAAGACGTATACATTTCCTGCTTTTTTGTATATGTCACTTAAGATTATAGCGGATATGTTACTTTGCAGTAAAATATGTGAACAAAATAAGTTATAAGTACCTATATTAAGCAATAAATGGGAAAAGTAAAGACACTTTACGAGATAAATTTTTAAAGTTAGATAAATAGAATGTATGCAGTCGAATAGGTAATTTATTTCTTTTGTTGCAGGGCCTGTAAGTTTTCATCTGCTCACAAAAATAACTCGTAATTAAAAATGACGGCAGACAACTTACCTTCCATTAAAATCGAAAGGCCTTTATATGAGCATAATCAATTAAGGGAAGACCTTATGTATGAAAAAACAAAAAAATCACGTACGTATAATAATTACTTTATACAATATACCTTAGGTACTTATTAAGTCCCTATATTACTAATTTCATTGTATTTTGCTTATAGGTATTTTTTACACTTTAAGGAACATACTTTAATTTATTATTTCGTTATTGGTTATTCGTTAATCGTTTCCTTATTGGTTATTACGTAATTATTCGCTATTGCAGGTAAATGGTGCAAAAATATTAGCTGTAGAAAAATTATAACAAGTACCATTCCTTCCTTGGGATGGATACCGAAATATGGGAAAACTGATTTTTTCTCAGACTTAGCCGCTGGATTTACTGTCGCAATTATGCATATACCTCAAGGTAGATTCATTTTATTTCTTTATTATTACTCAAGTATCTAAGGCATTTACGATTTGGTATAGTAGAAAAATGGGGTACCGGTCTAGTATGCGGCCTACCCAAATTTATTTTATACAAAGTATTTTTTACAGAGTATAAAGAAAGATTTTGAAAATTGACCCTTCACTAAGCAAAAGAAAAAAATATACTGGTATTGTATTATTTATAGAACAACGTGTGGGTCAATTCACCAAGAATTGCAGAAGTATCAGAATTGGGTGAATTTTTTTCGATGTTTAGTACAGTGATCTTGAAACCTGTAAAAGATAGAAAAAATTTAAATTGACAAACATTTGCAGTTTTCTGAGGCATGTTCACAACCAGTTTCAGTTTTGCAAAATATGACACCTGTCAAAGTATTTAAATATACGAGGGCGACGAAATATGTAGGTAGTCCGCATACTAGACCGGCGCCGAAAAATTTATTTTAAAATTATATTACATCTATTTAATCATCTTTCAGGAATGGCTTATGCTTTATTAGGCAACGTCCCTCCGGTGGTTGGGATTTATATGGCTGTATTTCCAGTTCTAGTCTATTTCTTTTTTGGAACATCTAGGCACGTGTCTATGGGTAAGTAAAAAAAAGCATATTATCTAAACCTAAATATAATATCTACCTACATATTTTTAAATGTTTAGGAACATTTTCCATAGCTTGCCTAATGACTGGTAAAGCAGTTTTAGAATATAGTGATCCGGTTTACTTTAAACCAGCAACAACAAACGGATCAGATTTAATATTTACAAGCACTTCACCAACGTATACCCCATCGCAAGTTGCCTCTGCTGTTACTTTAGTAGTAGCTTTTATACAGGTAGAAATTTTACCTCAAGCAATCCCTTCTTTAGCAAAAAGACAAACTGAATGTTCTTCATGTTGCAGTTAATTATGTATTTCTTAAGACTTGGTATAGCGAGTGCCCTTTTATCGGAAATGTTGGTAAATGCGTTTACGGCTGGAGCAGCAGTTCAAATAGTAATTACCCAATGTAAGGATTTGATCGGCATAACCATACCAAAAGTTTCGGGGAAACTTTCTGGCAATTAACGTAAAATAGATTATTTGTTTACAGGATTCAAAGTTGCTTTTAAAAGGGTTTGTTTTAGACGCTTACAGTTATATTCGAAAATATTGGAAATTATAATGTGGCGGCTATAGTAATATCTTCAATTTCAATTGTGATATTGGCTATAAACAATGAAATTTTAAAGGTGAGTGTTATACATAACTGATTTGGTGGAATATTACAGTAAATTGAAATTTTATTTCAGCCAATTGTAGCCAAAAAAATCAAAAATACCGATCCCTATTGAAATAATTGTAGTAGTGATTGGTTCTATAGTGTCTAATCAGTTTGAGCTACCCAAACTTTACTCTATTAAAACCGTCGGTCACATTCCTAGTGGGTAAGATTTACATGTAATTACACAAACTAGATTATTTGTGTCAACTTTGATACCATATTATTTTCAATTTTTAGACTTCCCGCTCCAACTCTTCCTCCATTATCTTTAATTCCTAACGTTCTCGTAGACGGGTTTTCAGTAGCTATTGTATCTTACGTGACATCGATGTCCTTAGCCCTCATTCTAGCTCAAAAAGCTAATTATGAAATTGATGCAAATCAGGAATTACTAGCTATGGTAGGTAAATTTTTATTTATTACAAACAAACCTTAACCTAATAGATAAACATGTAGATAAACATATGTATAGAAGCTTTGTTGTTACTACTAGGTAGAGGTGGGATTTACTCCTTTTATTTTATGAGCATTTTTCTCTATCTTTAGAAAGTTTAAAAAGCTTTATATTTTTAGGGAACGAGCAACATAGCAGGTTCATTGTTTACTTGTATGCCTGTATGTGCATCATTATCCAGATCGATGATTCAACAAGTCGTCGGAGGAAAAACTCAATTCGTATCAGTATTTTCGGCTCTTTTATTAATAATAACACTTCTTTGGATTGGACCATTTTTTGAACCGCTACCTAGAGTAAGTTACTATGAATGGGGATTAATAATTTATAGAATATACTATAATTAATAACTTTAACAAACTTTTAGAGCGTGCTAGCCAGTGTTATTGTTGTGTCTCTAAAAGGAATGCTGATGCAGATAACGCAGGTGGTAAAATTTTGGAATTTAAGTAAATTAGACGCCATTGTATGGATGGTAACATTTATAACTGTTGTTGTAATTAGTATGGAAATTGGTCTCCTGGTTGGCATATGTATGTCCCTATTTTCAATTTTTATCTTTAGTTTTAAGCCCTGTACCAGTCTCTTAGGATCCGTTCCTGGTACGGACTTGTATTTAGATATAAACAGATACAAAGGGGTAAGAAAATGTTTTGTTATAATATGTCGTTCTTATGGTAAAATTATTTTATGTTTTTCAGGCGATAGAATTAGATGGTATTAAGATTTTTCATTATTGCGGTGGGGTGAACTTCGCTACAAAAAATGTTTTTCGGGATGAACTATACAAGACGATCGATTTAACGCTCAGAAAGAATTAGTGCTGCGCGCTAAGTTAAATAAATATCAGAAGAAGGTAATAAATAAGCTTCACCTTTTTTAATTAAAATTTTTAAAAAACGTTCTTATAAATATCTATTTCAGTTCGACAAATGCGCAAATGCTCAGACTGATGAAAATTGCAGAAGACAAAAACAAAAATTAAATCATCACTGAAATGCTTGATAGTAGATTTTTCGTCAGTTAATTACCTAGACCCGAGTGGTGCAGCTATGTTAAAAACGGAAATTGACAATTTTAATAAATTGAATGTTTTGTTTTATCTAGCCGCTTGTTCAGGTAAGAATAATTGATTTTTTTTTAAATATTCTAGGTATATTTAAAAAAAAAATTAGTACCTAATTTATCATAAAATGAAGAAGTTAAAATATTGTCAGCACTTTCTATTTATAATCTTTGGTTTCTTCAGAAATGTATGGAATTTTTACTTTTTTTAGATCGAGTTTACAATATGATTCTAAGGTGTGACCTAATTAGCAAAGATAAAAATGATTTAAGAATATTTTCTAGTGTTCATGATGCCGTAGAATGTGCAGTATTTAATATAGGTCCACAAAATGGACTGTCGGTGATAAGTTAATAGACTTTAGTTAGACTAATAGTTAGGTGCTAATAAAACTTAATTATTGATAGCGAATTACTTCATAGGTCAGTTAATTAATTTATTCAATGTAATATGTTTACTAATAGAATGTAGGCATATGCAAACAAAACTATTATAGCAAATAATTAATTGTTAATAAACACATATTTTACTAAAATGTTTATTTAATTCGTTGGGTTGTACGTACCTATATCTTAATTGTTTATCAAGATATCAATGATAATCTCAGTCTCAACTAAAAATTTGAAAGATTCATAATTCAATACCATTTACACAAGAATACAGATTTAATGTAGAACAAAGTCTATTTACAAATATACGATTATTGTAAAATAAAAACAAGAACTGTATAGTGCACACACTCCAATATATACAGTTAAAACTCAACTACTGAATTAAAAATAAAATTATAAATTACACATAAATATTAAAATGACATCACAAGTACTAGGTTATAGAAAGATGAAAAGCTATATCTACTTTATCACAACTAGTTAATTCCAATCGGAATCAATACCTATTGGTAACTATTTAAAGAGCCTAATTTACATATGAGCACCGGGCGAAAATTTTAAACCATAGACCCGAACATTCTTTTGCCTCTCGTGAGAATCAAACTCACGGCCATAACGGACAGCAGGAAAAACACCAGACCGAAAAAAGAAGTGAGCAATCTGCAACGACACCGCCACTTTTTGTCGTTCTTCATGCGCTTCAATAGATGCTCCGATCTCGGTACGTCCAATGTGAAGTCGGCTTCCGGACGACCGCCGGGCTGAAAAAGAAAGTTCATTTTTGTAATTGCGAAATATCGAATTTAAGAAGTAAAAATGCACTTGAAAGCTATACTAAAAAGTAGGTACAGTTTGGTAGGTACAATACAATTTTTGATCACGTCGTTCATGAAACATTTCCTCGTGATCAATGATGATTATAAAGGAATTCTACTTGTAACACTTCTCCAATAAATTCAACAAGCCTTAATTTTTCGCGACATCCTTCCACCCGGTGGGTATTGTTTACGTTGGTAATTGCCGCGACTTCTTTCAGTGATGTAACAATTAACAACGGGCGGTCAAGAGAAAGTATTTATGATTCACTGTATCGTAACCGCATATAAATGTAATAATTATTATGAGACTCAATTGCAACTTACTTTCTTTCGATTACGGTGGGAAAAATTCGACAAATGGCATTCATTCAAAAAAAAAAAATCGTCACTTAAACCTTTGCTTCAAGGATTTATTGGAAAATCTATTAAACTATTCAAAAGGTTGGACGATCATAATTTAAAAAGAATTCATGTAATAAACAGTCACTTAGGTATAATATAGGTACATAAAAATAAATGTTGCTTTAATAATAATTTATGTGCAAGGGACTATAAGTACTATACTTTTCATGTTTAATGTTTAAATATAGTATTTTTACTTAATAAATTGTTATTACCCTATATTAACCTATCAACTAATAAATAAACAACACCTAGGCATACACCAACCTATATAAACCAAGGGTAAATAGCAATATTTCAAGCAAATTATATTATACATCCATGTTGAAATATAGTAATCCTACATAATTTATTCAAGTTAACGGAGTTAATCCAAATGAATCAAATTCCACGCAAAAATGTAGTGAAGATTTATAGCAGTTTTGATTTTATTATGATATATACACAGTCAACGTAACGCTCTATTATTTTATTAAAATTTGGTAATATTTTAATGAGCCGGCATTATATAATTTCGGCTGCTTCTTTTTTGTACCAAACAAACTCAATTTTGCACCATCGAAAGGTAATGTTGACATACTTGGGGGAATTTCACTTAGATGATACATAGATAATTATTATCTATCAATAATTGAATTATGTAACTTGCCATGCAGGCATAATGTCACGTTTACCTTAAATTATTTCATAATCGTTTGTTCATACACACTACGTTAGGATTATACGAAATTTATATATCTAAAGAACTAAAAGAGCATGTTTTGCATAAATGAAATTTTAATTTAATGGGAATTTTCTGTACCTTTTTCTAATTAGCATCGGCGGAAAACAAGAGAATAACGGTGTTCTCAAATTAAGTGAATGTTTTAATTGTTAAAAATTAAAATTGAATTTCGCTCGATTTAAATGGGCAATTCTTTTTTATGAATAGGTGTAAAAAATGTTGAATTAAAATGCAGATCGTGGATGGTGCGTTCATTGTCAAGTGCTCATTTGCGGAAACTAAACAAAGAATGTGATATATAGTGAAATTGTCAAAAGACTTTCACTCGTGAAGATCAGAGTTCGTTCATGGAATATGAGAGACGTTAAATGTGGGATAACATCTAATTGTAATTACAGTACTTTCCGGCAATAAATAAATAGTAATATTAATTAAGAGACGAACTGTATGAAAAAATCATTGAACAGTGCTTACTAATTTGAATTAGGTACGTACTTCAGGCAAATTACACAATAAACTTAAAATTTATTAAAACATTTAGAAAAACAGTCGAAAATCTTCATCTAAAATTACTCATTTTGTAATTTTTATAGTTGTTTTCCTTTTATTATTTGATGTAGAAAAATCTATTGCCTCACGAACTAGCGGTAAACAGATAATTTGATTTACTAATAAATTACTAAATAGTCTCAAGTAAGACCATCAGTTGGAACACCATTGCTCAATTCTATGTTAACTTGTCAGGTTTCATAATTTTGTAACTTCCAGAGCGAATCAGGAAAAGAGAAAATTAAATTGGTTTATGCACTTGTAATTACTGATAGTTGCCGATATTTCTATTGTTAAAATTTTTGTTTGACGGTCATTGTGGTTTTGCCGAAAGTAAGAAACTTTATAGTTACATAAACCTTTGAAGATATGCTTTCTATCACTGGAGTAAAAGTGGTAAGACTAAGATCTATTGAAATATAAGTATATAAATGTCAACTACTATTGTTAAGTTACGTGTAATACCTATTTATTTTATTTTCGAATTATTTTGTGTATAATTATGATCGAACGCTTTTTTAGCAATTTGTTTAAATGATTATACTCTATTTTATAATATCATATAATTACCCATCACCGACATGTGTACCTTGTTAGTTATGTAATACTTGCGATTACTGATGTGCTTATTTTGTCTTCATTTCAATGTACCCGCATTATTTATTTTTACAAACGACATACATAAGTCTGGCTAAAATAAGTATTACAGTCGTAATAATAATTGTGAAGGAGGATGTTCCAATAAAAATAGATTTTACAAAAGGGTTACGTCGATGGTTCTTTATGAAAAGGACAGATTTATTGCAATCTACCTGGAGAATGAATAAAGAAATCTAAAAAGATCCGGCAAATTTAAAATGCGTTTTGAAAATATCTATATCGAAGGCCACAATCTCAAGAAGAGATTCATAAAATGTCAAAATATCAAAATTGTGAAATTAATGACCGACTTTCTCGTAACCTGAGGACACTAGCGTTATCCCTTGGGTATTTACAAATTAGACAGTAAATCCGGCAAAAAACATATAGAGACTTGCAATAATAACACAAACATATACATAGATTAATGCTACAAAGTTATCATATTAAACTTCCTTTTAATAGGACACACCTTTGGATTCCCTTTTACATTTCGCTACTTCGTTTAATTTCTTCTCCATTTAACTATAGGTCACCACTTGTATAACACGCCAAGTCTCTTGGACGAAATGGCGACGCCCATGTCTGAAAAAGCTTAATCTCCTGGTAAAAATTCCATCGCCTTAAGAGGAACCAGTTGCACTTGTATAGAGACTGTTACAATACCGCTCTTACATAATTTCGTTTATTTGACAACATACCTTCAATTTAAAATTAACACCTATCTTGAAAAATGTAAGGTCATCGAGGCAAAACTGGATTTCGAAAGGGAATATCATAGATAAAGATGCGTTCAAGGGAAGAGGTCATAAGCATAGGATGCAACCTGTAGTTTGAAAAATTGAATTTTAAGTAAAGGAATACAAATTATTTGTCTTCAGAAAGATGCCCCTTTACGTAGCTAGTATAAAAGGTATAAATGGTAAGTACCACGTTAATGATAGTTAGAGATTAAAAGATACCTAAAAACGTGATGGTTCCTTTGTATCGTAAATTTTTCAGATAATTCTTACATGAGGTTCAAGCGACACTCCTGAATAAAAGAATTTTAGCGTACATGTTTCGTTGCGAAAGAACAAGTTATGTACAGCGCCAGGTACCGCTAATAACAAAATCGGTTACGTCAGATGGTGAATAAACGACCTTCTAAGGACGCAGCCATAATGAGATCTAAATTCAAACTGGGTATTGGTATTTGTAAATAAAGTTTTTGCTGAATACGTTAAAAAGAAAGAACGGGCTGCGGTCAAGGAGCTTTTATTTTTTAATTATTGTCGGTATTCGTAAGCGAAGATTCGAAGAATTATTTCGATGGTATTTTTATTAGCGTAGGACGATTTTTAACAGTTAATGTTCAAATAAGAATTTTTCATAAATAAATATGTATAGTAAAAATAATTTAGCAATTCAAAGTATAACCGTTTACATTTCAATTTTTTCATCTATTCAATTTTAACATCTAATTCTTAGTAATCACAAGAAATTTGTGAATAATATGAATATTGATTTATTGAACAAAACGATATTTTTACAAAAGGACAATGTTGAAATTATGGCAATGAATCAAGTAAGATTCATGTAACGATTACAAGGTAATAATTTTTAATAAATTTGATTTTCACAATAATTTTGAATATTTATAATTTCGTTCTTTCGATCACAACAAGTAATGTCAACTACAAATAGTTTTATTAGTTGTCATTAGCACATGAAAACATATCAAGCGTAGTTCATAAAACGGTTTATGTAACTCATGGTTTAATTAAAGAGACTAAAGAGAGTATAGCGAATACTCTGGGCATGCATATTTAAAAGTATTTTTAAACTTCTCCATTGTTCTTAATAAAGTATTTTATTCAGGCTGTCCTAAATTTGTTCTATTGTGATGTCATTAGTATTACAGTTAAAACAACGTAAATCATGTTGCAATAGTTTTTTGTAGAATGCAAAAATTAATTTAGATTAATCACTTACTTAATCATTCATTCAAGTAATGTAATTTGATAAAAAAATAATACTGTGACATAAATTTATAAACTATGAATTGAACTGATGGAATGTGAGAATTTTCATTAGGATATCGATAATACAAGTCATTTACTGACAGTTATGCAAATTCTTTATTTTCTGTATGCAAAATGAACTTCCTTACAATATGCAAATTTTATTCTTAAGGAAATGATTTAAAGAAAATATTCTAGTATGTGTAGAAGCTGGCTTTACTCAGTATTTTTTTTAATTATCATTAAATGTACTGGTAGGTACACCCAGTAAAATATGCTAATAGTAATACTTAAATTAATTCGACTTCCACCGATTTTATATTGATGAAGTTAATTTTACTCGATTAATTTTACGAGCGTCATAATGATTTTAAATTGTAGAAAACTGTTATTCAATTGCGGAAGTTGTATTTTTTTAATTTTACCAGAAAGTTTGCACTAATTACTAGGAAAGTTAGAATGGTTTGGGAAACAAAATATACACCTAATTTAAAAAATAAACATTTTTTAAAATGTAATAGGTAGTCCTGAGACTACGTATATCCAAAATAAAGAGAAGCGAAAGGAAAGCAATTAAGCTAAGAAATATATACTATAAGCTTCCTTATCAACTATACTTTTCATTGATAGAAACAAGTAAGATTATATTTAAAATATATTTCAATCACACATCTGTAAATATTAATTTTAGATAGTTCATTAAAAATAGCTATTATATTTTCTGTTGAGAAAAACCAAGCTGTGACGAAACCAACAAACTATTATAAATATTTAGATTCATTCCATAGCGCCTAAAAGTAAAAGTAATTATACCTAAAGCTAATTTAAATTCACAGAAAGAATCGTAATATGTATACAGGTTATTGTAATTTAGTATTGTTTACTTTAATTAGTTATTTCGTTTGTTTCGGTTTCGTTCCATTTTGAATGTCAGCAGAAGCGGTTGCAACAGACAATGGTAAGTTAGAACACACTAACGCAATTTTACTTTTTGTTCGTGTTTATGTCGATTGCATTATTACTGCACAAATTTGCCATTTAACGATCGGTTAAATTGCCAAAAAGCGTGAACGAGCATCTCTTATGTTGACATTTACCCATAAATATTACACGTGCGTGTAAACATATAAAAAAGTTTTGTATAAAAGTATGGGATGCGCTTTGGAATGGGTAATAACTTAAAAATGCAATTAAATGACATACTATTTCATGGTTGGGCATGCAATGGAATAAATTAAGAAAGAAGCGAGTAATAGTTTTATCAACATATTTTTGAAACATCCTATATAATAATGATATCTCATAAATCAAAACGATCTCTATTAATTACTTAATTAAAAAAATGACACACTTATCGAGACTGACTATTAAAAAGTGGAACTGCAGACTAGAACTAGCACAAATACCTAGCCTAGCATACGATAATAATGTTTTTTTAAACTAATTTTATATTTATTAGTGGCCGGTTATGCAATAATAATACAAATTATAACGTTGACTTTCGATTTCGAATTTGCATACTCAAAGGTTCAAATAATAGGAATGTGGATTTAAACGAATTTTTAAGATGTTAGAAAATGTAGATATGGTGGTAAATATTTCCTATTTAAATTATAGAAATCAATACAAGATAATAAATAAAGTCTTACATATAAAGGGACATCTGTTGGTTTTGTTGGGTATCTAACGTCGCCTTCTTCTACAGCCTTTACTCCATAATATTGCTCCCAAACGCTTGGTTTGTTGTCACTCACAGCCCTCGTTTTCCTCGTCAGCGTTCCGATTTTCTTCGTTTTCTTGAGCAGACCGTCGTGGCCGGTCTTCGTTCGACAGAGAGTTCCGTATATCAACGCGTTTCTAATTATATTGGGCACGTTAACTAAATTATCGTGAACAAACACTGGCATATTTTGGGGTTCTTTAAGGGAATCACTGAAACCACTACTGGACGATCTCGACGGTAGTTCGTAAACTTCCTCGGTTTCCGAAGACAACGTTCTTATTCTGCTGTTCGATGTTTTGCTGGAGTTTCCGCTCGACGTGGAATTACTGAGAGCCTTCAGGGCGGAATTTTTTTTACGGCAATTGGTCAGGTTTACGCAGAGCCGTTTCATTTCCTCCTCGGTCGAAGCCTTCAGGACTTCTAATTTCAGGCGAATCCTTTCGTCGATGATTTTGAGCATATTTTCTGCGGTCGTTGCATTTTTGCCTGTAATAATAATTATTTCGGAATTGACTAATTTCGCTAAGTGTTATTAATAAAAAGCTAAAACTAGGTCATTTATAAGAAACGGAAAAATTCGACACAAAATTTGAATACGAATCATTGTAATTGACAATATTTCGATCATCATAAAAGTATAAAAAAATCTCCTACCTTCCAGCGTTTCGTTAATTCCATTAAGAATTTCCAGTAATAAATCCTTGACTGATATGTCTATGCAGGCATCGAGCGGTTTGGAGTTATCAGGTCTGTAATTTAAACTAGTATAGAGTAGAAGAGCATCGTCCACTAGCGAATCGTATTTGTCGTTTAATGGCCAAATGGGTCGTGGTACAGGAAGGTCCACTTCTCCTTCGTGGATGGTAGTAAGCGTTCCTTCTCCCGACGAATTCGATTGAAATGGCACTGATTTTTTGGATTTCACCCCTCTAGTAGCTATTTGGATGGATTTGACGAAAGCGGGATTTTGTTCGAGTAAAACGCCGACTTCCTCCATTATTTTGAGGTGCTCCTGATAGGGATCATGGCAGCTGTCCGTGTTGCTGTCACCGTATCCCGATGATGAGGATTTTTCTCGCGACCGGGGCGGCCTGATTGGCAGTGACGGTGGTTTTTGGGGTACATTCGTTGTGCTATCCAAAAATAATGGGTTCACCCTACAAAACAAGTAATTTTCTCAAACGACTTAGTTCAACGTCTATTATAATACGAATTCTAATAAAATGAAAAAAAAATGGATATTAGTAGTTTATATTTTAGAATTTTTCAATTACCTACCTACAAGTTCATTTAAAAAAGTTGTAGTATAAGTATTAACACAAGAATAGCTAAAATAACTAAGTTCGAATGCGTAACGGTCAAAATTCAAATAACTTAACAATAAAGTGAAATAAAATTTACATATCCGCGCATATCGCGTTCCTTGTTATATCTATCCATCTGTAAGTATGAAAATGAAAGAAAAACTGTAACAGGAAAGAGACTTAACTGTCTCCGATGCATTTCTAGCGAATACCTATTCATGCGTAACCTTTTTCTAATTTTGCAATAATTTCTTCTCTTATCTATTCATTTTTACGACAACTTGCCAGGAAAGTTTCTTAATGTGCGGAATGCGTAAGTAAAATTTTCATCATTAATAAAAGTCACTAAGCGTGAAGCTCTTACTGGTGAACTTTAAAATAGTTGCGTTATTACATAAAGTTGAGATAACGTACGCACGAGATTTCTCCTTTTTTGGATGAGTAATGATAATTAGAATTTTAATTGAACTTGGGCAACGTCTACTGTTTGGATTTGAATTCAATTAATCTATTGTTTGCGAGTAGAAACGTTGTTTGTAAACTGTTGTATGCATAAAAACCTACTTAGGAACCATCTTATACAATCAAGAACGCATTAATTTTTTGTTATCTACACCTAACTTAACTTTGAAATATCTACCTGCAATATACCGTATGATGCGTTCTATGCGTTCTATGAGTTGAATAAAGAAAGATTAATAAAATAACAGTTAGGGTGAAAAGTTGCAATGACACAATATCAATCTTTCTTTTTCCTTTATATATAAGTGTCAAATAGAAGTTGTCTTTATCGCGTCCATAGTCTATATAGTAACCTATATTGCAAACTAGAATGAACCAATCTGTAGAAGAAAGCTCATTATATCAACTCATTCTTTTTTTAAGTACCAAAATATAAAATAGCAAACAATAATTTGCATTTCCTAGACATTGTTTCTCAACATTAAATATTAAACACTAAAATAAATTTAAAAGTAATACTTACCTATGCTATTTGAAATAGAAAGTGTAACTGTTTTAAATAATTGATAACGTCAATGATTGTATTTGTAACAGTGTGTACATACATATTATGTTTGCACCACTATTTCCCGTTTTTGAAAAAACCATTAAGTAGTAGTAATTGATTAAAATGCAAATTTTTAAGTACAATTGAATTTTAAGAATGATTTTTGAATTTATGCATTGAAAATATATCTCTAAACGGATATTGTAGAATTTCCCATAGTAAAATCAATTTAGTGTGCATTCGTGACATAAGTCATCAATTACATCACATTTAGCAAACAAACCGACTTAGACTGTGTTTAAAAAACGTAATAATAAAACAAATAACACAACAAATAAAAAACTTTCCAGTTGATGTAATTTTTCATTTCAAAATTTAAGTGCATATTTGGTCGAAAGATTTTTGCTAGCAATTTACTAACGTGACTTCTTGGTTTAATTGCAATTTAGATGGATGTAATTATATCGATACAGTAAGATTAAATTAAAAAAAAAACAAATATACCGCGTTTAGTAACCGTGTAATTAACTTTAGAATTGGATTAGTGCAATTAAACGAAACGTTTGTCAATAACAATAAATTACAGCCTGTCTATTATGTCAACAATTACCAATAAAATAACTTAATTAAATACGTAGCGAAATGAGTGATGATATTTTTGTAACGCAATTCTGAAAAATTCACTCTTACTTTTCTAAATCAATTAACAATTTTGAAATAAAAGAAAGTTTAGATTCTTTCTACGGCCGAGGAAGTGCATCTAAACTCTTATTAATAAGTTTTCATATCTCCCATAAATAACCTAAACCGAACTTAAGTCACGTCTCGCCTTTCCTGCGGCGATTTAGAACAAACAGGATTGTTTCGTTTAGGATATTTGCTGTGTTATAATTACCGAAAATCTCACGATAGTTTGATAAATGCGAAGAAACGCTTTCATCTGTTATACTGAGGTCGTTTTTCAGGTCAAGAGCGGACCCATCGTGATTGGATTTTTTTTATCTACTCGATCAAAGCCCTCATTGTGATGAATTATGATATTTTCGAAAATGCGGTTGGGCAATTCAAATGGTGCCTTTAATATTTTCTTCGATTTCGAAGGACATAAATTAGTTTCAATAACCTATTCAAATTTAGTGAGGATATCTCGATAACCATCAAAAAACAATATGTTACATGGTACTGATTAAATTAAATTATTCATATAGTAAATATGTATTTAATTTAAATATGTTAGTATTGAAATTCCAATGTTATTAAGTAGGTATTTACAACAAAAAAGAAAAGTGGTGAATTGAATGATGCTTATTAATGTGAAAATAAGAGATTTTCAGTCCCTACTCACCCTCCCCCAAGAATCGTGGAGTCAGCGGAAAAAGTGCAGTTCTTGAGAGATACTCTTGGTAAGAAGACTGACCTGCTAACGGAATAAATTTTTTTCGGGTCCTTTTGCTCCGTTTCTATGGTGGCCAAAGGATCGTCGGTGATTCTTCCTTCATGCTTGCCTTGTGCAATGGAACCCGGTATTTGAGATGCATTCGTCGCTTTGCTAGGACCGAACCACCTAGGCATATTTTAGTATTGAAGGAGATTTCAAATATCGCACTAACGATGTCATGCTTATCGAGACCTGCGGAAGAATAGGAATTATAAATACCTAACAGTATATAGTATTGCTAAGATAATTGCTATGAACATGCCGTGGAAAGGGATGGTGTTGAAAAAATTGTAATAGCTGAGTAAACGCCTGCATAATTACGAAAATAATCTACGAGATAGTTAAAAATGGGAGATTTGCATTAAGATAAATTCTTAAAGATTTTGAAATGCTGCAGATAGTATCAACGAAATTAATTCATACATTTGCCTTAAAGCAATAATTACTCGTAAAATTTGAAAAAAAATGTTCCAGTTATCTAGCATGATAGTAATAATTGCATTACAACAGTAATAATTATTTTACATAGAACAGTAGGTAGATTCGTTGGCTTGGCATAGGCTCATGAATCATGTAACTAGGTGCAGTACGTAAAAATCACGAAAAATAATTCGTAAATAACATTAATTTTAAATTTCATTTATCTTTGCCTTTTATGATTTCATTAAAAAGCCTTGTTTGCTACAATTATTTACCAGTAAATATCTTATTGCATTTGGTATCCATAATATCTAATAATTAATAAATAAATTGAGTCTCTGTTGATTTCATTTCTAATAAATAAAATTGTATGCGATATTGGTACAAGTTTTAATCCAAACACCACATACTTAGTAGCAGGTAACAGGCAAGATAAATCCGAAAAATGCATTAACGCCTTGCTACATGCATAAATGTCTTTGCGAACTTAAACACGCCTTAACAACTTCGCTAATTTAGTAATTTAGATGGAGCAGATATCGAAACTCAGTTCATCGACTTCTACATCATAAAATTTATTTAATCTATAACTGTCTGTAATTGCTTCTGCTGCCTTACGTAAGCTCTAATGTGAAATAAAATTGGGAAATAATATAATGCAAACTAAATGGCGCATTCGAAGAAACAAGAACATTTACAATAAAGGCGTGTGATCGATAAAACGAGCTTTCTTTATTCACAAAAGGTTTTCATTTGCAATCATTGTTATTAAAAAGTTGATACACAATTGAAAAAAATGTAAATCTTTTAATTAGAATCGTAATTAATTTTGTGAACTCTATTAATTTACATAATTTAAGATAACTTTGCACATCTATGTAGATATAATTTGTTAAATGGACAACTCTGGACTTGTTAACTGGGCATCACTATTTGTCTTCTGTGATTCTAAATATCCTGTTCATACATAAGCAGGTATAGGTAATAATACATTCAAATTATAATTTTAGACTTTATAACCTATACATTTATTGCATAACAATGATAATATTTTAAGACACGAAATAATCAATTTCTGAATTTAAAAAAGAAAGCCATTCTTCAGCCATGGTCAAGGCCGGGCCGATAAATGTAGATACTTAAAGATGGAAAAAAGTTTGTACTTTATGATCCTATTATTTTCATAGAGCAAAAGAGGAGCGGTTAATACCTTTTTTAATGTTATAATTTATGATATCGTTGGGAATTCTTTTTAATAATTTATGAATAAATTGACAAGGGAGGAACTTTTATCATCGATCATGTTTGTATTGTTAAAAAGTTTATTATTGTGAAATAAATTACATGTGATTCTAAAGCACAAAGCACTAGTAATTTACACTAATAAATTTTCTGAATTTATAATATATAAATTTAGAAATTTATAAAACATTTAGATGCAAACACAAAATATCGTTTCATAAAGGTAATGGGCGTTTTCACATCTATCGACTAAAGCAGGGACCAAATCCAAAATCTACCAACTAGCTAGCTTATTCAATTCCTTTAAAACCAGAACAATTATCCTCTGTTATATTAACTGCTTCCAATTAACTTCTTCCAATCCTTTGCCAACAGAAGCACATATTTACCTCTCTCACATAATCCACATTTTCACAATCTTCAAAAAATATGAGGAAACCAAACCGGAAAAAATGCCAATATATCACAGCCAGCTTATATTCCAATAAAATAATCGCTTGGTTCAAAAAAAAAATATTAAGAAAGTTTAGTAAAACGTGCGCGGGCGGCGAATCGAGCGAAACAGCCGGCTAGTTCCAACCCGCCAACGAAACTGAAAGTGTCGACGGATCGCGGTCTTTACTGAATAACCGCGGTGATGCAAAGCCGAATCTGGTGCACACCATTGCATTAACTCACCTGGAGATGGGTGAGAGTTGCCGAAACAACATTGCAACGGTTTTTTTTTCGGTGCGCCACGAACTTATTTTCCCACTGAAAATCGCACGTAGGCCTCAATACCAATACGTATCGGTAGTCGTAACCGATTTATCCTCACACAGATCGAGGGATATTTCCAAAATTCTGGGAACCGTGCTCTAATTTAATTATATTGTTATTGGTGACAGACAATGACATGTTTATGCAACTATCTAGTGCAACATTATGCAGTCTGATTCAGGTGTTCGACTGATACATATGTGTTTTTATGTCACTGTTTTTATAACCATGCAATATGCACCAAAATCTCAAAGGCCCGGTTGCTCGTACGCGGATCAACTTATATCCGGGATTAAGCCGGGTTTAAATCGGGGTCAAATATGGCCGCCGTATTCCATTACTAATTAGTAACCCGACTTTGATCCGAGATTAGCTGATTCGAATTTAATGCGCGCACGAGCAACCGGGCCAAAGAACAATAATCGATGTACTGATAAATAATACTTTTAGATTCCACCAGACTCACAAAATACTTCTTGCAGACGCTAAATAATTTCTGATGTTTTCACACATTATTTCTACAAAAAGAAAATTATTGCTCTTTGATAAATTGCTGCGTCTTCCATGGTTACCAGAACAGTTGTGTACCTCATCTCTTTATCAGACTGGATACCCATGTCCGGAAAAGTGTCACTAGGGACTACGGCCCTAAGACGCGTTAAAATTTAGAAAGACGATGAATTGCCTAAATAGAATTTAATCCATTTAATTTTTGCCTTTTCTGCATATATCATTACAACAATTGTTCAAAGTGTCTTCCTCCAACCTGAATTGCCAGAGGTGGAGCAGTTTCTTGGCCTCCTAGGTCACCTGATTTAAGGTCGCTAGATTATTTCCTGTGGGAACATGTAATGTCTTTGGTCTACGAAACTCCAGTAGAAACAGTAGAAATCCAGTAGAAATCATTCAAAACCAGTATCAAATTTTTAGTAAAGTCCGCTGAAATCATATGCGACGTTTAAATCGGTGAATTTAGGTTGGAGGAAGACATTTTGAAGACATTTAGAGGGAATAATAAAAACTTTTTGAACGCCATGTAATTTGCCACTGCGCATAAGACTTTCAGGCATTCTGATTTTTCTCTTCATTATCTACAAATTTTCCAATTCATATTTAATTTTCGTTTCAACGGAAAAACGCTTAATCTAAAATTATTTTCCTGTATATTCAGATCTACAGACTGAAAAGGGGGCAATAATAAGCGAATAAATTAATTGGATATCTTGCTCAACGTTAATTTCGAAGAGTTTTTCACGCGTATAAGTAGAATTGCTATACCGTGTAGGTCACGGAAAAAATTGCTTTCACTTACATAATACAATATGCAAATGAAAGTAAACGATACTGACATTAGACTCGCGTTAAATAATTGTCTTGTCTGATGGAGCAAACAGATTTAGTCAATTGAAGAAGAAAGCAAACTCAATTGTAGCCAGTACAGTAGTCAGATTGCTTCAAAATAAAAATGCGAATAGCACTTGCTTCTCGTCAATAATAAGTAGGTGTTTATAGGTGTTTCGCTCAACATAATTTATGCTTCAGATTTATTTGTTTTCTGATATTATAAGTGTTTACCTAACTATACGACTTGTTATGTTAATCTTACAGCATGTAAATCTTAAAGGGTCATCCGCTCCGGTCTGATTGGTAACACTGCTGAGGACGAAGATGGAATCGTCGATACTGACCAATAACCTTGTTAATCCTGCATGATTCCTGTGATAATTGATTATCGAGACGTCAATTTCCGTTGAGGAATTGCGAAAGAAAATAAACACATACATTTTATTTTAAGCTCGCAAGGATACAAATAATGCATCATTAACGTGCGACGTGTGGCGTATTTAATTTTATGATTTAAGTTAATGTCTTTTAAATTGAGCGTGGTTTTATTCAATTTAAAAACAAATAATAGCATCTAATTTTATCCCAATTTTTATGCTATTCTTAAAAGTGAATATCTATGGCCCGTATTCAACGTTGTGTTTTGTTATCTCGACTGAATCAATCAGCCTAAGAACGATATATTACCACATACAAGTTAATAATGATAAAGTACTAAAAATAACTAAAGATCAATTGTTAACATTGACAATCTTACTTACCTATGCGTATACGTAGCGATAAATGTGCTCAATTATTAGAGCGTAACAAATTACCTTCACTAAATTGATCCAGATGTTTCGAATTACAAGATATAAACCAAATTGAAAGGAAAATAATCAATATAATGATGTGGCTGAACAAAATTAAATATACAGCAATTTTCCGTAATATCACTTCTGTTAGTTTATCATTTCAGTTGATTGGAATCTTTTACTAATAAAAATTAGGCAAATTTGTTAATAAACTGCACCTCGTCAGGAAACACCCTCCTTAGTTTTTAGAAACAATTTAGTTTCAATTTAAATTTCATTGTTCTCACGGGCAAACTAGATTTCGATCGTAACCTGTCCATTTCATCCCACAAGCTAAAGTATAATATCAAGTTGTCTTAAGTACTATAGAGAAATGATTTCGTGATTAATATTTTTTTTTCTAAATGGATAAACAATGCACTTTTAGTAGATTCGACCTAATGACCTACGGTCAATTTAAGCAGTTCGCCTTGTTCTGTCAGCCATTCAGGTCGCTACAAAATTCTTGCGACATGAATATTGTGCTTGCGATTGGATCGATGGCCAGCGCGCATATTTTACGTATAAGTAGTTAACAGAACCGTTTGCGAGGACCGCAAAATTATGTGCCACTTGTTCTTTCTGTCGCTATTTTGTTAACGAATTAACAACTCGATCAGATTTTATAACAAGTAGCGGATGCATGCTTGTAATATGAGTATGTAGTCAAGTTTTGCTTCTTGATGTAAATTCCTCTTTTGGTTCGTTAACAGAAGCAAGCTGGTTCGAATTGGTACTTAATAAAAATATGGTTTCAATAAAAATAGATGTAGTTGAATAACCAATAATGTATATTATTAGTACAATGGAAAACAATTAAGTGAATTAGTATATTACTTAAATGTTTAAATTTGACGAGGTCTCCAATCGGAGTTGTTCTCAATCCAATCCAGGAATCTATCGACTCTAGCGTAAACGCCTGGATATCCGCTCGGGCAATCTCTAGCTCCATACGAAACAATTCCGTACTGTTTATTTCCTATTATCATTGGGCCACCGGAATCGCCACTGCAGGCCGTTTTTCTACCGGCGCCTGATAAGCATATTTCTCTGCTTTTAACAACACCGTAGTAAGAATTGCATTGAGTGTTGCTAATAACTGTATTATTTACTGCTAACAGAACATCAGAGCCCTTTCCGCTTCCGGTGAGGCCCCATCCACTAACACGTCCGCTTAAACCTTAAATTAGATTTTATTAATATAATTCTTGGTTTTTTAAAAGTATTTGCCTTACCGTCCAAGTCATAAGCAACTTCACTAAAGTTGGGAAGAGGAGACAAGTTGATAGTCGAACTGAGAGTAATAGGACTTGGCAACCTTATGACTGCAACATCGTTATCGATGGTTCTAGAATTGTATTCTTCGTGTTGTTTCCAGCTCTTAGCATTCACGGAAATTCGACCAGATGTGGCTACTCTAAGATTATGAGCTCCCAAAGTAACTTGTATGGACGAAGCACTGGAAATAATACAAAACATTCATTTAAACCAAAATCAAATCATGTCGGTAATTAACTAAACCAGCTGAAATATGATGTCCATTTCCACAGAAAAAACTATGAGGCAATTGAATTATATTTTTACGAGGCGTATAAGAGATTTGTAGAAAATATTTTGTCATACCCATCAACACAGTGAGCCGCAGTCAATACGTAATTACGGGTAATGAGAGAACCGCCGCAAGACCACGATTGTTGGCTAGATTTTCCAATTAAATAGACTTGGTATGGTATCGAGTGAGCAGGGACTTCGTGACCATTGATAATTTGTAAGTTAGGGTGTTCCGATTCTTCAATTGGACGTATGGGGTCAATTTCCATGCGCCTATTAGCAGGAAACTCAGCTTGCTCCTAAAGGAGTTGCAAATTAGTAAACACTTAAACCATATCTAATTGAATTTTATTAAGAATTATTTAATAATAAAATAATTTAGACTTACTATAGAAGCGGCTAGAGCAGTTCCTAGTACTGCCAGAATTACTATTGCTGTATTCATTTTGACGACACTAAAATAATTTTCAGAATAACTCTTTTTATATGCAACTTGATAAAAACACGGAATTTATCTAAAGATTGTAATTTTTATTTAATGTCTATTGTCTATATTGTATATGCACACACAGGCACATATATATCTTAAGACATGGATTAATCTCTAATATCTAGATTTAGTTTCGAAATATTTATTGAATATCAATCATTAAGGATAATAAGATGTCGATATGTTTACATTAGACGTTTTGTGAATGATGAAAACGCAGAAAAATTTTAGATAAAGTACTTAATTTTTGATATTAGGTACTATTATTTCATTGTACGTATCATTCTGTGTCATTGTAAAAATGATGCGAAAATTGCATCATGTGATAAAAAAAATTCCGCGATAAATACCTATCGTATATTGGTTAATAACAAAGTAGAAGCTTGGCATAATTATAAGAACCATAGTTTAATTAGGCGTACAAATTCTTATAATTAGATAATAAAAACGAATTAAGGTAGCTAGTTTTTCATTCTTGTTAAATTAAATCAATTTTTCACGCATGCAGAGGTAATACACCGTGTAGGTCACGGGAAAAAATTGCTTTCACTAATTCAATACGACTTCTAGAAGATACCTAAACGAAAGTATACGTAACTTTTATAGTGGCTGTAGAATTATTTATGTTAAATAATTATTGTCCAGCAAATAAAAATATTTAGTCAATTGAAATAGAAAGCAATGAATACTCACGCAATGAGGGTTAGGTACTTTGCATAATTTTGTTTAAATTTCTTTATATTTTTTTAATTTCAAAGTAGGTGCTATTTTGAGACAAGAATTAACTGATTCTTTAATACAAATAAATTCACTTAGCTAAACGTTTGATCAAAAATTCCAAATTAAATTTGTTCTTGTCACATTCCAAAAATGTTCTATACTTCCGTCAAAAATTGAAAAGTTTCTCCTTTATTAAGCCAAACCATTAAAATATTAAGAGACATGTACGTGTTATGGCAAAATCCAAGTAATTTTGAGGATGGTTCACAAAAATTTCCATTTCCATTTTAGTTTTTGTTATTAACAAAATGAATTATTACAGAAATCAATTTTATTAATAAACAATTGCCTAACTATTGTGCGCTCTTGACATAATTATAAAGACCTCTGTGGATTTTATTTTATTCTGACGCTAATCAAGAAGAACGCCGACAACAACATAATATATGAGTAAATTTTACAATAATTAACCTATCAAAGTTTATTTAATGAGATTATCTCGTTAAGCTGCATTGAATTGAACACGACGTAGGTGAGTAAATACTCTTCAATGGTTTTGGTAGTAAACTATTTTAAACGAAATGATAAATCGTTTACAGATTGTATATGGTCGCACACTCATACCTAATTTAAAACTTAAACATACACACTAAGTATATGCTTTATTCGAAAAACAAACGTTACATAATTTTGCATTGAATATTCAAAAACAAAAATGATAATTATAGAGTTACAATACTTTCTCATCGATCCTTACCTAAATCTTCTGTGATAATGTTGATATGCAACAGTTCGTGTGATGAAAAGGGGATTTTACATCAACCATTGAAGCGTTAATAAATTATGCTGGGATAAGAAGTAGAAGTGACCAAGAAAAAGACTTTCGTGCGAGAATAAAAAGCTATTGGAACATTATTAGATAGTTCTCGCAATTTGGTTCTCATTGGATTTGAAATTGAATTAAACCTGAAAATTTGAAAATCCAGTTCAAATTAACGTGTTTTGAAAGAACTAAATTTAATATATTTTCCTGGTATTGGTGGGTACTTATTTTTTCCAGAATTATAAAATGTTATTAATCAAAATCAAAATAAATAATTTCTGTAAAATATAGGGTGTCCCGCATAAGAAACGACCTGCATAGAACTGGGGCATCTAGGGAAGCCTAAAATATGTTGCTGAACCCAATTTAATTTAACACGGCCAATTTTGAACCATCAAAAAATTAAAAATTCATACTTTATAATTTAGTGCTATTTTTAATTGTGCCCACTTCCTAATTTTAGTGCGGATCTGTTTGAGGAGAAGAACCTGTAAATCACTTTGAAGACCTATAACTTTTCCAGAATATGTAACTTTGTATAACATAAGTTAAGTTGGATTAAACAATGTTTTGGGTTCCCCTACATGCCCCTGCTCCGTGTTTTATGCGGAACAGCCAGTATAATTCTGTATAAACATTTCTGCATACATACAAAATTATATGCAACTCAAATTACATATAATAGCGACTGGACTCAAGGATTATTTTATTTGCTGTGCATTTTTATACAATATTTAATATGCAATAAGTACCTACCATATCTAATAATAAATTTTTTTTGTACGTTTCTTCGTACATTTAGGTTCTTACAAAAATGCAAGTGTAATTTCCATCTTTGGAGATGGACATTTAATCGTTAATTTTATCGACTTTAAAAACAAGAGTTTACTTTTATAAGTTTATCGATTAAAAAATGTATTTACGATATGTTTGCCTTATACAGATTGTCCCCATAAAAGTTACGAATTGTTAATCACTGGGAATACGCCGCCATTCTCTTCCAGAGAGTAGTGTAGGATTCATTTTATCACCAAATTGGACACATGGGTGTAGGTAATAAACCACAACAATTTTATTTTGTTCCCATACCTACCTTCTTCTACCCTACGACATACCCCCTTTTACCCTATTCTACTCCTCCCTAACCTTCTCCTACCCTATCTGATTCCTCTCTATCCCCTTCTACTTCTCTACCCTCCTGCACCTACCTACCAAGCATCGATTATTTTCGACAAATGTTTAATAATTTCAAAAGCATAAATCTATTGCCGAGCATTCCCTAAATTATTGGACACGTTTTTTTAGTCGAATATTTATTATTTAACTGAGCATGATAATTTTCAACTGATCATTTAGTAAATTACTGAGCGTTTTTTATTTTAGTCGAATATTTATTTTATTATTATGCGTTTAGATAAATTATTTAATAAAAGAACTTTGCATTTTGAAGAATCTGCCAGTCGTTTATATTAATATCTATTAAAAATAAAATTCTTTATTGTATATGCAACACAAATTACATATTATAATAGCCGCTGGATTCCATGATTAGTTTATATGCTGTACATTTTTACACAATATTTAATGTGCAATAAATGCCGCATCTAAGAATATTTTTGTGGGTTTTTTCGTACATATAGGATCTAACAAAAATGCAAGTAGTATTTTGTCATATTAATAAATGTATTTGGGATATTCGAAATATTTAAAAATTTTTTCTTTCCATTCAAAGAATCTTCTTGGACGGCATCTTATTTCCATCTGTAGAGATATATCGACGTATTTCAAATCGGTTTTTGCAGTTTTTGGCCAAATAATTTCGTCAAATAACGGATCTTTCACTGGAGTTGGATTTCTATAAAAGAAATTACTTAGACGTTAAAACTATCTACGATTTAAGATAATGACATTACGTGTATTTAATGAAATTAGCCCATAAATTAATCATTTTTCGTCTCATCAACAAATCTTCATCTGTAGGCGTCACTTTTGGATTTAACCTGTAGTAATATAAGAGCGGCAATTCTGAACAATGATCCGCATTTCCAATACCTGCAATAATAAAATTCTCATTATTTATTAAAATAAACTAAAAAATAGTATTTTACAGCTCATAAAATTATACAGATTGCTCCATTTTTGCAACAAAGACAACTTTAATTAGACACTTATAAAGGAAAAAGAACGAGTGATATTATGTTATTGCAACTTTTCACTCTGACAACTGTTATTTTAATAATCTTTCTTTGTTCAACTCATAGAAATGGCCATGTTGCAATCGCAAATGAAGCAAGGTGTATGTATAAATATTATTTGTACCTGTTAAGTTAGCCACCGGATTATTCCTCCAGGTTTCTAAACCATTTAAGGGACCTTTGTAAGAAAACTGATACAGATAGACATCGGAAAATTTCGATGCTAAGTAAGCAGTCTGAATAATCGGTATAGTAAATTCAACATCAGCGGCCATCTGTAGATATTAGAGAAATTTAGAAAGTAATCGAAAATGCTAGAAAACTGTGGAAAAACGAATATTGAATTGGGCACCTGGAGTATGGCAGTAGCATTATCGGCGAGTTTCTCAGTTGTTGTATACATATCCTTCAATTCCAAATTTGCTTTTCGACGATTCTTAGGTTTAATATTTATTCCTACATCTAATAGATCTAAACGTGAATCAATATCTTTTGCAAAATACACATACATGTAATCTAAAAAATTAGGTAAATAGTAGCAAAATTCACATACAGGGTGTACCAAAAAGGTGAGTCACAAATTATACCACATATTTTAGAGTGAAAATTGAGTCGATTGGAACATATTTACCTACATCCAAAATATCATACAAAACAAGTGTAGAATATGTGGTATACTTTATTATCTGCCTATTTGATACACCCTGTATATTAAAAGTATTTAACCAGCTAATTCTTCATTGGTGATACCAATCAAAATGGGAACATGATTGAAATTTCCGTTTTCGAAATTTTCATGTAACGGTCCTACAATAGCGGCATTTTTGAAAGTTGCATTCTCAACAGCGTAACCCCAAGGTTCTTTTATGGCACCGAAAAATATCGCCTTTACAAAATCTGGTCTCTGGAGTAAAGTGAATAGAAGTATTGAATTTAGTGCTTTTTTATAGGATTTATTAGAAGTATTCTATATTTAAATTTAGCACCTACTTTTTTAAAATCGGATCTTGCAATTTTCTCCGCAGGAAGTGTTCTCAAATAATTTAGTAATTGTTGGGTGTTCATAGATCGTGCTTTAGGTTCGAACGTTTCCGCAAAGCTGTAAGCTGCTTCAGTAGCGTTTAACATGCGACCTCTCATCAGTGGTGTACCACTTTGCATTATGGCCGCTCGAAATAGACCTACCAATAAAATACTGTAAATATTTTAAGGATATGGTAGGTACTTGATTTATTTTAATCCAGACCTGAAGACTTCGGACTCAAGATAAGTACTCCAACGGCGTTTGCACCAGAACTATGACCACCAATTGTGACTTTTTCGGGATCACCTCCGAATTTTTTTATATTTTTCTGAACCCACTTCAAACCTAGTATTTGGTCTTTTAAATACAAGTTTGCCGGGATTACGCCATCGTCAGTCGACAGGAATCCTAATAAAATCATGATGTATTAGTTTATATTTAGACCTCCAATAATTTCTTTTTACTCACCCAAACTCGATTGCCTAAAACCCATTGATACGGCAATAATATTTCTATCGATGAATCCTTGAAAATTATATTCTGTTAGATCTCCAGCTACATTCATACCGCCTTGGAAATACACATAAATAGGTAATAATTCGGTGTACTTTGCGTTTACCTGCATAAAAGACTCGAATTATTAACAAAATTATTAGCAAATAGGTACATTTGATATTCCTAATAAAGTGGATTTAAAGTGAATAAATCTTTTAAATATCAAGCTTTCAACGCAAGAGTAATTCGATTTAAAATTTATTAAAGAAAAATAGGTATGTTTCAATTTTTATAGGAGTACCTAGGTATAAATAAAGAATACTAATAAATAACCAAAGCGAGAAACTATCTATGGGAAAATTATTTTTGTGCTCTAAAATTTGTAATATTTGTAATACACTGTATTTTTTAAATTGTTACATACTTGTGGTGTAAATACATTTATGTATAAACAATCTTCATTTTCTCTTGGATCTGAAGCAGGTATGTCGAATAATACCTTCTGCATACATATTTTTGTATTTTTAGTTGCATCTCTTATTCCGGACCATTTTTCAGACGGTACTGGCTCCTACAATTTAATAACGCAAAACCAACGATTAATTAAAATTTATAAGAAGTAATAACAAAAGTGGTTAATTAATCTAAATTAGGTTCTCCTAAGGTTCTCTCTTATGAGGTGTTAAGAGGGGTGTTAAGAGATGTTAAGGTTCTCTCTTATGAGGTGTTAAGAGAGGTGTTAAGAGATGTTAAGGTTCTCTCTTAAGAGAGTATACTCTTAAGGTTTTAGTGACCTCTGGCAGAAACAAAGACCTTACAACAGCGGTAAACGGCAGAGGGTCTTACAATCTAGGTGGTTACGGAGCTGAAAAGACCAGCCCGCAAAAAACAACAACAATCTAAATTATTAACTAATTCCTTACTGTAAATCTTAAGTCACCTATTGGAGGTTTTGCATATGGTATTTCTCTAAAAGCATAATAATTAGTTCCAGTATCAGTAGTTAGCAAAACGCCTTCCAATTTCCCATCTTCTAGCTCCAAAATTGGATTAACCTTAAAATAATAATCAAAGAAGAAAGAAAAAAGTTAATCTCTAGTTAAACTCTCTAAATCAAGACCTATTTATAAAAAATATGAGCTAAATCTGCTATGCATATTGCTCACCTGTTCGGTAAAAACGATGGTTCCTTTATAAAAAATACAGAATATTAGAAACCACATGTTGAAATTTTGTTAACACAAAGTTACGCAGAAACATGCGTTTACATCATACACACAAAAATATAATATAAAAGGTGAAAACAAAAATCGAACGTCTCTCGATGTCTTTCCGAAGTCTTCACGAAATGTTGAGGAAAAATGACTTACAAGTTATTGACTTTATTCTGATGTTTCAAAACAAACCTATTGAAGTATTTGCAGAGTATGGGCAGAGCCGTATTTTAATTAGCAGGAATTATTTGCCAATTCTTAAATATAGAAAAATATGAAATACCTACCTCGTGACGGATGATTTAAATGTAGGTAATTATAATCATTTGTAAACCATACATTTTTAGAAAATTGATACATAATTTTTCTAAATTCTTCATCATATAATATTTCCTAAAATTTTCTAAGTCCTTGCCTAGAAATATTGTTTAAAGGCGGCCGAAGACCTGAACCAACGATAAAAAAAATCTGGAAATGGAAGAGCAATTAGTTAGTAAATATTTATCATTTACATTTTCAGGCAGAAGGTAGTAAACTCATTGGCTTATTAATATTATTATTATTTGACATAATGTTTCCTAAATATTTCAAAAAGACCTGTAACTTAATTTAACAAGGATCCTCTGGATTTTGCAGTTACTTTCCTCCCACTGCCTGTACACATATTATTGACGAATTCCAACACCATATTATTGTGTTTCCAGACAAATAAAAATAATTATTGTCTAAGATACGGATTTTTTAATAAATCTATAAACATTTGCGCAATGTGACAATAGGCCACAAAAGGTCATGTTTTGTAAACTTTATCACTTTATAATATACCATTAAGGTTTTTGTATAATTTATTACATGCACATCATGCACACGTAGGTATCTACATACAATCAGAGTGTAAAGTTTGGAACAAATTGGAACACGTCGATTTTTATTTAAAAAAAAGCGGATCAGAAAAGGTTGTGAGTGTTTATCCTGGATGTTCCCAAAATGAGATATGACTATAACTTACATTTTTTAATGCAATGCTCTATTTATTATTTCATTTTTAGTTTGTACGATGAAAATAAACGTAAGTTTCATAAAGGTTTTTTATGTCTAAACCTTGCCGTTTTTGAGAAAAATCGAGTTTTGTGATTTTGCAGCGTTTATACTTTAGTGTTCAAATTTTCGGTAGTTATTACTTTTTTAGGTAGAATAATTAACGCAGCATTACAATGGACCAACACTTTTTAAAAATTCGGTAAAATGTAAAGTAACTTTTCACTCTCACTGTATAAAATCCTTATTTATTTCTGTGAGTAATTTTCTGTTGATTAATCATCAGATAAGTTCTATTCTACGAATTTTTCCACATTGGAAAAATTGTTCCACATTGTTCGCAAAACTATTTACTAACTTGACAGTATAAAAAAAGTTGATAAAATACTGAACGTAATTTTACCTTCGCTAAAGTCAATATTTATAACAAATTAATTTTCTTCATAAAAGCCATCCAATTAAATCCTGTCAATATGTACAGTGCACACATGATCCCTGTGGGATTTTCGAGCGCGCGTCATCGGCTCCAATTATCACCTATATCTATCTAGGCATATCCAATAACCAAGAAAATAGAAAGAGGCTAATTGCATTTATTCCCAAAGGTGATGGGTAAATCACACGTGGTCAATAGGCTAGGTAAACAAGGTTAATTTTAACTCTCTATTCAGGGTTACTGAAACATACAGGCACGATCGAAATTACTTGGCAAATGCTAAAGTAAATGTTTTGCTAGTGGCTCGTTTATTTAAATGAGTTGTCAATTCACACATTTTTTATCTATGTTTGGTATCTTTCTCCTAAAAATGAAAAAATGTAATTATTCTGTCCAATTTAGTCCTCCAATATTCGTTTCTACGATTTCTGTAGGAGGCTACCTATGTAGCTATGTAAATAATCCTACATTATGTTAACATGTTATACAGGTAGATGCAAACTTATTATAAAGGAAAAAGAAAGAGCGACATTGTGGGATAGCAACTTTCTCAATCTAATAACTGTTATTTTAATAATATTTCTTTATTCAACTCTTAGAATTGATAAATTGTCAACAAATATGCACTTACTTATATATTTTAATGAATCTTCTTAGTCCCTGAACTTGCCACCTTGTGTACATTTTGCTTCGTAGGAGCAAACTATGAAATACCTATAAAAATAAAATGAAACCAATTGCATATCCACCTGTTCTCCACATATCTATTCTAGTGATATTACGAAAACGAAAGCAAAACATATAAACCAAATAAACTCTTCCTCGTAAAATCTCGATTAACTCAACAACTAAATATACACAGGCGCTTGTCTAAATAGTGTTTTAACGAGCGGTATAATCTACTCTAACGAGAATTTTATCGCAATTCGACCAGACTATTTCGCGCGCTCCAACCGCAATCCAACGATTTTATCGCATCTCCTATCTAACTGGGAACGTAGTTGATTCTATCAGGTTGATGTGGATGTCACTCATTCCCAAACCAGTCCTCTCGTCGGTCCTCAGTCAACCGGCAAGGCTCAACCAAACCGGTAGAAAACGGCGCGTTTCCTCTCGGTTTGTTTACTTACATTTGCGTAATGAACAATTTAATCACGAGTGGATGTGGATTAATAATCTTGCTAACAATTTTCGCTTTTGATGCGGATGCGGTAACCGAGAACATTGGAAAATGTTGCGGCGTTGGAGAAATTCTGCACGAATATTACAATGGGAGTTTCTCTTGCCTCAAAGACAACGTCAAAAGACAAAGTGTTAATTTACCTTTAACGGACGTCATTAAGGATGAGCCGGCAGGGAAGTGTCTCGAATTATTCAGTTCGAAATTTTTCGAAATCGAATTCTCCAACGGGACGATTACCGGAAAAACGTGGGTAAACGAGACGGTTTTTCGTAAATGTTGCCCATTAGGTTACGTTTACAATACCGTTAAACATTCCTGCGATCTAAAAAATGATTTGGAATATTCGTTCGTTGACCAACCATTAATTAAAGTCGGTCTGCCCGAATGCCACATAATTGTGGACGAGCTCCGGATCTCTTTGGATAATGACAATTCGTCCCTTCCGGAAGGCGATTATTGCGAGGACGAAACTTCCGGTGGATTCGTGAGAAGGAAATGCGTTGATAAATCCGTATGCGACGAAATTAGATGCGTAAAAAAATGCTGTCCTGATGGTAAAAGTTTTATAAATGGATCTCATTGTTTCGATACTTACGAATATGGGCTAAACTTAAGTTCAACCACGAAGATCGAAAACCCTACAGGTAATATTTTTTATATATCAAGTAATTTGCTATTTTGGATAATTTAAATATAAAAGAAAGATGTTTATTTCCTTTCTGGTATAGGCAATAGCCTCATACATTATAGTTTGGACACTGCAAAATTAAATCGAAACATAACATAAAATAATTATACATTAGGTATACGTATGTTTATAATGCATCTCATCTATTATTTCAATTTCCTGCAATGCCGAGTCCCGTTTATAAAAACAAGATTTAATAATAATTATGCGAAACAATTGGTTATGGCAGTTGATCCAATTTTAGTAATCATTTTTTATTGCAATATAACGATGGAAGCATGGTACGTCCAAACTTCAATAATACTTCACGGCTAAGCTATTTTCGATAGTTATACAATTAAGTTTGGCAACTTAACAAATCAACCCAACAGTATGAATAAAATTCATTTTAGAATCAATGTATCTAAAAATTAATGTGTTGCAAATATCGATTTTTTTTTTATATTTTTTTTTAGTTTATGTTAGTACTGGTTACAAAATTACCAAAGCATTTTTGGTATATTCTAAATTTCTAATAGTGGATTATAGGTATAGGAACATCGATACTGTCATTGTTAATTTTAAACAAAAATAAATATTATTGTTATGAAAAAAAAGTTAATTGGACACAAAAGTGTCAGTAAATTAAATAAACTTCTCAAATGTTTAAATCTTGTAACAAAATTCAAGTATTTTACTCCTAATATAATTTTGTTTGTATTGTTGATAAGATTAGGTAGAAATTAAATAAATACCTACCCAATATTTTGATGTACATAGATAGAATTTAAATGAACAACATCTCTACAATGAAATAATACCTGAAATTAATAATACTAAAAGAATATTTCATGTATAAATACAAACTACCTCAGCATTTACAGTCGATTAGACAATAACACAAGCAAAACGGCAAAAAGAGCCAGATAGGTAACAGTTACATTTTAATCTTGATTAGCATTAGCTAAGCTTTGCTTTAATCATTGACCTTGGCATTGATTTTAATATTTTCCTGTTGTACTTTTACATTTATATGATCTAAAATCTTACTCTATTCACTTTTTGTCATTATCTTTTAAAATTGACTTTAATGAACTACATCTTCTTTTCAGTGATATTTCTCTTTATTCATCAGAAAGAAATGTTTTTTCAGTTATTATATAATCAGATCAGTCTCGCATTCTTCCTAACATTTGGTCGGTTTTGCGGCAAATCTAATGAGACATTTATCTATTTTATCAAACATTTTTTATCTTATATTCTTGCATTGTGGTTGTTGGTTTCCAGGCTTTGTTCATTCTGATTTAATTAAAACAACGAATGTACACGCACATATTGTAATAACGTAACAAGTGGGCGAGTTTCATTTCTATTAATAAAAAAACGTTTCTTCGCTTAATAATAAGTAATGAGAATATTCCAGGATCGGATCGAATATAAAAAAATTAGGTGATACATATTTAGTTTGCAATTAATTCAATTGCAAATAGTTCAACATTTGTAGAACACAAGGACAACATTTTGTTATAAATTTGTTCATATCGCAAATGATGTTTTCAGTTGTAATAGAAGCCTTCGCGTATTGATATAAAAATGCATAGAATAATAGCAATAATGATCAAATTTCATATTTGAGAATTAAATTATTGTTATATTAGGTGGTTCAGACGGATCTGTAGATATTCTGCTTATTAAATAAAAATTTATGGGCTAAATAGTGCTATTAAAACTTTTGTTGTTGTTGTTACAACAGTTAGAGTTATAATTTTAGATAAACAATTTTAAATAAATGGCCGTTTGGTACTACGTAACTAAAAACTTGAAAGAAAATAAACTGTTTGGATTTTTTAATTTTATTTGTGCGAAATTTGAGAAAACTATTCCAAACAAATTATTTTTATCTTTGTAATTAAGTTATAGGTTAATAATTAAACGTTGCAAGAAATAATATTAACTTGCGTTGATTAAATAAATTTTGAAATAATCTCAAGGTAGAGGATTGCATTATTAATTAATGCAAATAATTGACTCAGAGAAAAAATAAATTTAAAAGTTATACAAATTAAAAATTAATATGTTATTAGGTAGTACCTACACATGATAAAAATTATACAAATTATACAATAAAAATCAGGAAAAACCAACATTTACAATCTTGTTCATTAATATGCCATGCCAAAATCAAGCTCATGAATGTTCAATTTACATATTTATCCCAAGAGTCACAATATGACCTAAAAAACATTACGTTATATGATTAGCAGAAAAATCTAATCAAAATTAAATTTTATAGACAAGTATAGGGTAAAACGGTAATTTTAATTAAAAACGAGGATACCGTTTCGTTTCGTCCTAATTAACATCCACATACACACCCAAGTGTAATACACAGCTGTAATTTTCATGAAACTTTAACAAACTACGTTGTATCTACATAAAATAACAAATTAAAATACCCTTACTCCTGCTGTGTGATGAATCGATCGTAAGTTGGATTACAGTTTTATTTTGTTCAAAGATATTTGTACATTAAAAGCCTGTCTCTAAATTAAATTAATATTAGCTAACTACTTGCTGAGTATATTTGCTTACAATGTTAGTTTTATGAAAGAACGCTTGTTTTTCAGAATCTTTTGCGATAATTCACAATAATACCCGTTGTAAAGGAATTTTCTACGTACTCAAGGAATCTCGTTACCAATTCAACTTGTTAAAAGATGGACGTTTTCAATATTGGTATAATGATAGCCAGTCTTACAAACAGGAGACTCCGACTCAAGAAGGTCCAGGGTACTGTATGGAATATTCCAAGAAAAAAGGATCCACAGGTGAGATATTTTTTTATATTAAAACTATTGTTAAAATATAATGATTGCGCGACCTTAAAAGGCTAGAGTTCAGTTCTAAACAAATGTATTTAAAATGCTGAAATTTCCGCGACGTTTTTAGGGGGTATTTTAAAATTTGAAAAGGAGATCGCACTTTATACAAGGTGTGTCTAAATAACACCTAAAAAAATTAAGGGATGATTCATTGATGAAAATTAAGATGGGTACTTGGTGGGTACTTGGTATAAAAAACACCATTTGTTTTGGTTGGCTTTTGTTCATGTTAAATATGCTATTTAGCATGAGATTGTAAATTGTAATACATTTATAGTTTTCTCGTAAAAGAGTTTTTGAAAAAACTTGTAGACATAAAAAAGTTAGTAAATGAATTTTCAGGCATATTTGTTAAAGAAAAATTTTCATTAAAAAAATCAAAAATTTCATTTAAAAATTTTTTCCAAAAAAAGTTCTAAGAAAAAATGTCTTATGGGTTGACTATTTCAACCGCTTCTAAGCATACTTCAGAGTTGACAAAAATTCAAAAAATTGTAGTTTCATTGACAAATAATCTCCAAGTTTCGTGTCTTCAGCTTAATATACAGGGAAAATAAAGAAGAAAAACCTTTTTTTATCTTCGGAGGGGTATAATTTCTCCAGGGAGTGTTTCTTAATAAAATTATAAGTATATAAAGTACCCACTAATTTTCATCAAAGAATCGCACATTAATTTTTTTCGGTGTTATTTGCATACACACATGTGTATCATCTTCCTTTTTAGTTGGATGACGGTACAAAGCCTTTTTTTAATGCTTTTATTTTGACTTAATTAATTAAAATGTTGAATTTTAGGCTATATTTTTAACTTTTGCTGTGCAATTTTTATACCAAAAGAAAGAGCTAATTAAATATACCTGATGGCGACACGAAAACCTTTTTTAATTCTCTTTCGCATTTGTTGTTAATTTGACTGTATTTGTTGAGAGCCTATTATCTACCAGAGAGAGTTGTATTTCATCAATTAGAAAATTGTTTATGAAAGCAGAGAGAAAATGTTCATGAAAATATTGAGATAATTTTGTGCATAAAAGTAGAGAGGTTGTGCATTAAAGCAGAGAGAAATTCTTCTGTAAAAAAGTTGAGAGAAAATTGTGTGCATAACAGTAGAGAGAAAATGTTCATGAGGGCAGAGAGAGAAAATTTTGTTACATTTTGTGAATAAAAGTAGAAAAAACTGTTGCATGAAATTATAGAGAAAAATTGGTTTACAAAATTCTAAGAAAATTCTGTTGTTCCATGAGGTTGTGAGGTTAAAATATTTGGAATTGTGATTAAAAGTAAAGACTTACACTTTTTATCGAGGTAAAAACCGACCTAGGCCGTGGGAAGAGTTTAACCCCCGTTGCCTTTTCCCGAAAAAAAAAATGTTAGTGACCTATTGAACTCTATATAGCCTTAAAGAACATTTAAGATTTGAAAAATGTTTAATATTCAAATCACATGTTAATGCATTGTACAATAAAAGCTGGAACAGAGTTTTTTTTCTAAATAGTTCTCCAATTATTCTTTTTTAGGGTACTTTTTTTTCAGTTGCATGGAAGTGCCTCCGAAGTACGGAATTACCAAATACCCGAAAATACTGTCGTGCATTTTCTTGGCTCTGACCATAATTATCTACCTGTTTTTGTCGCAAATCAAAAAGCTATTCGGAAAAATTTTAATTAATTATTGCGTTTCAACGTTTATGATGTTTGCACTTTTAATCTACGGCCAGTTTAGCGTTAATGCCAAGGATGATCAATGTGTAATTGTTGGTAAGTTAAAATTGTATTGCAATTTAAAACATACAGTTAAAATTGAAACATTGTATTCTACAAAATATTTTTTCTAATTAATAAATTTAGTAAATATACCTATCACATATGAACATATATTTTTTTATTGCAGGATTTGGAATTGTATTCGTAGCGACGGTATCGTTTGCGTGGTTAAATGTTATGTGCATTGACATATGGCTAACATTTGGGTAAGTTGTTAAAATAAATATTAATCTTAAGCCGATAAATTATACGAGTAATTATGAATATGTATAGATTAGAATATTTCATTTCATGATACGCTCTAAATTGTGATAAAAAAAATGATATGCCTACCTATTCTCACAAAATACATTAAAAAAATATTACAAAAAGCTCTTACATATCCTTGAGATGTCTATATTTAACAAGCAATGAAACAATCTTAAATATTCATGTATATTTTAACATGCGTCTGTTTATTGTCACAATAAAAAATTCCAGTGAGAATTCTACAATAATTCCGGTTAAAAATAGGATTTGGAAATAATTTAAAATTAATGTTTACATTGAGGAAGAGTAGGTATACGTAAATGTACAGGGTGATCAAATAATTCAATCACCAGTTCTCTATTTTTAGTAATGCTAGTTTAATTTTATAGATCGACAAAACATTCAATGGGAGTTTATCAACGAAGAAAAGAATTAAAGAAGTTGTTGATTTACACAGCTTACGGTTGGGGAATGCCTCTATTGCTAACTATTCTAATTTACGTTTTGAGCATTACCGAGTCTCTCTCCGATACAATCCGTCCATATGTTGGAACAAAGACATGCTTTCTCGAAAAGAGTACGTAATTTTTAATTTTCAGCATATTCCGCTTCATTTCGATTAATGTTTCAGGGACCGGGAATTACGCTCAGTTGATTTTTCTGCGTTTGCCACATCTTCTGATCCAATTAACCAACGCCTTCCTATTCTTAAAAACGATTTTGTACTGCTTAAGAATTAAAAATGAAATCGAACGAATCAATGATAACAAAGATGAGAAAAAGGCTAAATTTAATAAGGACAAAGAGAAGTAAGTTTGAACATCATCTCGAAAAGAAAGAGTTTATGTGGAAAAATCTAGAGGTTTATCTGGGGAAGCTAGAAACATAATTTGTGAATTCTGAGTAGGAGAAAATAATTGTTAAATTTAGGGTTTCGGTGGGGATACGTAGAGTAGGTAGGTAGAGTACAGTAGAAGAAGGTACAAAGAAGTAGCGGAGAGTAGAAGTGGATATGACGGGGTAGAGAGTAGTAAAGAGAGTAGAAGGGGATACAGAAAGGAAGAGGAGAGTAGAAGGGGATACGGAGGGGAAGAGGAGAGTAGAAGGGAATATGGAAGGGTACCGGAGAGTATAAGGGGGTATGGAGTGGTGGAAAGGAGTAGAAGGGGGTATGGAGGGGTAGGGGAAAGTGGAAGGGGATATGGAGGGGTAGCGGAGAGTAGAAGGGGATATGGAGGGGGAAGCGGAGATAGAAGAGGGTATGGAGGGGTAGAGGAGATTAGAAGGAGATATGGAGGTAGAGGAGAGTAGAAGGAGGTAGGGAGGGGTAGTTTCATCACCTAATTAGTTTAATTTTCAATATTCTTTACGGTTTTTGATTCATTGTATTTAATTGTTTTAGGTTGTTTTTAATTCTTAAACTAGCCGTTATCATGGGAATATCCTTCATTGTGGACACGATAACATCGTTCGTTGACTTGAACAGTCTCGGGACGTTTTGGAGCAACGTTGAAATCGTCATAGATTTCATTAATTGTTTGCAAGGTAAAAATAACAAATGGATTATTTGTTATTGCATTAAAACAACGTATTTGTGTGGTTTCAGGAGTTTACATATTCATCATTTTCATTTGTAAGAAGTCTATGTACAGGGAGTTTTTAAAAAAACTCCGAATAAAAATGAGGGATGCGTACATGAATAACACGAACGATTCTTTCACGTCTACAACTCGAATGAGCCTGAAACACGTCGGTGACTCCTCTACGGTTAGGTAATTCTGGTAAAAAAATGTGTTGCGATAAATATTATTTGTTACCTTACTTAAAAAACTGTACAGCTTCGAGTATTTAGCATGGAAGAGCAGATGATATATTTAAAAAAGGATCAGTCCAGTACTGAACACATATTTCGACACTTTTTAATAACGAATTTTGTCTAAACAGAAAAAATATAGGAAATGCCTTCATACACACGTATAAATGTAATGTAGGATTTTTGGAAATTATGTGCCTATAATATAAATTGCTTTTTTCAAGAGAATTCCAGAGTGATAACAAATGTTGCCTTAAGTAAAAAAAACGCTGTACCGATTGTTAAATTGTTTGGTGCACCTGATTAGATACAGAGACGTACTTGAGTTGAGTCAGAAAATGATTGTGTGATTGTTTCTTTTGTTTGCAAGATGCAAATTCTCACTTAATTTTTTCTAAGATCCGGAACCATTCGAAAGTTAACAACCGGTATACGCACTTATAGTACTTATATGGATCTATACATTCGAGCTTGGAGACATTCTTGTAGTCCGATTCCGCATTAGCTTACAAACTGTAAGCCGAGGAATCTGTAAGATATTTTTGATGTTTTTAATTGTTGCAGGATCAACCACTATATATTTTTATTATTTATAATTAAATAAATAGCTCTTTATTATTAACTTATTTTTCAGTATACACTGTTGGAAATTAAATTTCGCATAATAGGGAAATCAATGTTAAATTCTTAGCCGGCTAAAATCCAGTCTACCAGTATACATTTCAATAGAACGTCGCGATGAATTCTAATAAATTTAATTGTTCTACTGGATCGCACGCCGCGATTTGTAGAGGTACAAAGTTATTTGTGTTAGGTATGAGGTACAAAATTATTTAGAAACTACAATTAATAGGTTTTTTGAAGATATTTCAAAAAAATGTGTGTATCGGTAGGTACAGTTATGAAATAGCAACAAATCTTGTTAAAATAAGGAAAATTAAGTAAAAAATAATTCAATTTTCTGCTAAAATTACACCTCAGCTCAGTAATATGAGATGACATCTGTATGACAGGTTTGCCTATAGTTTAGCAGAAAGCGGTGGACTATTTTTTAGAGTTCTTTTATTTTCTGTTTTAAAATAATCTTTAAGTTTATTTTTGGAGTTTTCTTTTTATTATTTTCTTAGAATTTACTTTCTTTTTCAAGCCATTGTGGCAAAAAGACATATCTACATAATTCTATTTTATTATTAGTGATATTTTTTCAATAAATTATCGTTTAAAAATTCTCATTTCTTTTTAATCGACTCGACGTTCACCCATCCGAACCCGTTTTGATACTGTCGAAGTGTCGAAACCGTCGAAATTATTTGATTTTTAATCTAACCAAGCCAAAGCGCGGTGCGAAGTCCAGTAGAACAATTAAATTTATTAGAATTCATCGCGACGTTCTATTGAAATGTACACTGGTAGACTGGATTTCAGCCGGCTAAGAATTTAACATTGATTTCCCTATTATGCGCGAATAATTTTCCAACACGGTATAGTAATATATGGAATTACATTTTTATTTTTAATGTTACTTCATATCACCTTGCATTAGGAAATTTTGTGATATGTGATTGCTTTAATACTGTTTTAAACCTTACAGCTATAACTTAAGTTTTGGTGAAAATCTTCACCGCCGGAAGATTTAATCATTTCGAGTTTAAATTAAAAAAAAATATTTATTATTATTTTCTAAAGGGATCGCTTCGAGGGCATTTCAAGAAGGAAATTCCCAGCAGAGAATTAAAGGTAAAAATGTACATTTAATTTAAAAAATCGCATTTTTCTGATAATCGTGTAGATTAGGCGGTTTTGTATTTATTATTTTTGACACAAACGTTCAATAATAACTTTACTAAGAAATAAATAAATAGTAATACAAGGAAGAAGACGGACGTAATAAGGAATATTACATCAAGTAAATAATACTGATACCAAGTCAAATCGAGCCCGGCAATTCGCAAATGGGGCGCCCCTTTGTGTTTTATAACATATTCCACCCAGTAAACGGCCAAATCCATGGGTTTAATTGGCACATCACGCATTAAATTCGATCGAGTTTTCACGTTATCTCTGTATCTGAAAACCAAAAAAAAACGTGGGTTTTTTTTAATTCACCAATTTCAAAAATATCAACAGTTTCTCTAATAAAAAATTGAGTTTTTCGATGCTTTTGTCTAATCCTCATATTTTTATCTATTATAATAAACGGAGGTAACCCACTTTACAGGTGTCCCATTAAAAAAACACTTTTTAGACTTGTTATAACATTGTCAAGCATTCTATATAAAGCTTAAAAAGCTCCTATAATTGTTCTAAACAACGTTTTACTAAAAAATATACAGAACGTCCAGAATTTCATACACATATACAGGACTTTCAGGATTTCATAACATATACAGGGTGTCCCCAATTTGAAACTTCCAAATCCTCATTTAAACTTACTTGGTATCGTTAAGTAGCTTTTCCATAGCTTCGTAAAAGTTTTGCTCGGTGAGATCCTTGAATAATATGAACAAACCGTAACCGTCATTTTGAATTTTGGCTGCATTAAATTTTTGATCTCCGAAAACCGGCAAAACCAATACTGGAACACTATTATAAACAGATTCGAAATTGCTCAGTAAACCTCCGTGAGTTACGAATAGTTTGAGGTTAGGATGAGCTAAAATTAAATAATAGTTTATATAAAATAAAACAACTAATTGTGTGAGTAAAAGTGAGCAAAAAGTGAGTAAAAGTGTAAGATTGTAAAAGTCACATTATCTCAAATCCTTAAAGCAATAGGAATAACCAATACAAACACTTCAATAACCATAATAAATAATCAAATAATCAATAACCCAAAATTTTCGAAAATTCCTTAACTTTCACGACATTCTCACCTAAAACATCCTGTTGCGGAAAGAACTTCCTTATCATCACGTTATCCGGCTTCCCTTCAACGGAATCCTCGTCCCATTTCATCATCACCTTCTGCCTCAATCTCCCGAGGGCCCTCATTATAGCCCCCTTGATCTCCGGGCTGATGGCTGAAGACACTACGTTCGTGCCCAAACTGAAGTACACAACCCCCTCTTCAGCCTCATCCATAAACCTCTGCAGTTCGTCGGGCAGCTTCTGCACAGGCTGGACATGGAACCCCCCTATTTGCACCATTCCGGGAACCGTAGGTACAGGATAATTGACGCTTTCGTGGGAATTCAACAGCACCAGAGACACGTTGTATAAGTTTTCTTCGTACTGAGAGTAACATTGGGGAAAATGCTTTTTAACCAGCTCCTTTTGCGTTGGGAGACATTTATAATACCTAACCAGAACCCTAGTTAGAGACACCATAGTATTCCTAACTCTTTCCCATAAACTCATGCGATCAGAATAACCAGTAGAAAAATCTGGAATGTAAGAAAATGGATAAGGATTCCCCACTATTTCGTTAGTCCAAAGTGTAGCTGCCATCGTTGAAAAGGATATGAGTGGAGTTTTAAAATGGCAGCCTAGAATAAATAATCCTTCGTTGAGGAATTGCTCCGAAATTACCAGGTCGAATTTCTCGTTTGAACGCAGTAATTTCTGGAACTTCGGATGAGTCATTGTGTAATCGACTAGTATGCGGCCGATGGTGTTCAATTGGAGTTCAATTGCAAGGACTCCTCGTCCAGGAAGTTCCTGCCAAGATGATAAATTCGCATCTGCAATTATAATAAAATTTACTCGAGTTCCTCAATGTACTACCAAAATCAATCAGGGACTGCTAGAAGCTAATAGGAGTTACTGACTTTTAAGATTTTTCTATGACTTGCGAGAACTTCTATGACCTACTGGAACTGGAGGAATACTAGGAATTGGCTATGGTCTTCTTGGAGTTATTAGAGACTATTTGGGAATACGCTAATCTACTAGAGACTGCTAGGGTCTACGAGAAACTAATGAAAACTACAAGGAATTATTAGAATCTGCCAAGGGCTTCTAGTACATACAATGCTCTAATAAAGTCTACAACGGACAACTCCAACCTATTCGGGAGTATCGGAGAAGTTTTCACTTTCTTATTTAGAAAACATGGGTCTTCTGGACTTATTAGAATTTGTATATTATTCTTAGAAGATATTAGTATATCTACTAAGAACTGGGTATACTTCTGGGTACTACCTGAAACTACTTAGATTGCTTTAATATTCTGGGGACTGCTAAAAACTACTTAAGCCTATTGGGATCCTAATTGGTTTTAGTAGGACTTACTGCGAATTACTAGGAACTGTCATACTATCCATGACTCATGTCATACTACTAGGAACCTAACTACGGCAGTAGATACCTACTGCTAAGTATGACTTACTCATTATAGCTGTTTCTATTCCGTTCAGACGAATTGCTTGGAAACTTTCACTTTTTTCTTCGAATGCGTTTACCATGGTAATTTGATGCCCTGCATTGGCCAAGCCCTTGGCTAGAGATTTTCCCAGGAAGTAATGGCTGGGCGCGGGCGTCGGAAAAACCATTAGGATTTTAGCCGAGCTTATTAAATTTACGGCATTCAGCAGGAGCAGTAACTTAAATTTGGTACTCATTGTGTTTCAGATCTGAACCTATACTGGGCACGAGAATACTGGTTATCTTTTATAGACTTCAGTGAGACGGGACGAAATTATTATAAAAGCGCCTACTGATATTAGAAGTGTTTTTTTAAGAGATAATATTATAATTAGTTAATTACTCAACTTATTATAAATAGTTGCTATTTTTATGAAAACGAAGATATACAGGGTGGAAACGCCAAATGGAATAAATTCATTATTTCGGTTAATAATTTGAAATTCCTCAACGTTAAAATGTGAGCCCTATCTTCAAACCCGTTCGAAGGATAGTCACAACCCCTATTTTTTTTAATGCGAAGTATATGCTTCTGATATATCATTTCAAAGGTCTCTTCATTCTCTGTCCAAAAATGTTATTGTTTTCCAGTTTATTTTAAAAATTAACATTAAAAAAATAAAATCTTATTTCCCGTTTTAGCCTTAATGATAAAACTACTTTGTTTAAAAGGCCTTAGCAAATTGGTTTGTAACTATAACTGCGGGAGAGTAGTTGTCAGTGTTATAATTTTTGTTTGAATTTCGTTAACTGCAATTAAGGTAAGTGGTTAAATTAACAGCAATGCATTAAATTACAGTTTTGGTGAGGAGATTCATATTTTTTTACATTTTGGACAATTATGTATTACATATTGAGTGTATTATATCGAATTTACTCTATTAGATGATTTTATTTTTTATGGTGATTTTTAAAATAAACTTGAAAACAGTAACATTTTTGTATATAGAATAAAGAGATCTTTTAAACGATATATCACAAGCCTATACATATCCAATTTAAAAAAAATAGGGGTTGTGACTCTCCTTCGAAGGGGGGTAAAGGTAGGGCTAACATTTTGACGTTGAAGAAGGACAAATTATCATTAAAATTTGACGTGTTTGGGGATTTTCTTTAAATATGTACAATAACAGAAATAATGAATTTTTTCCATTTGGTGTTTTCACCCTGTATGAATTTCTATTAATGTAACTAATTTAAGACGAAAAATGCATTAATTAAGTATAAATTTATTACATTTTTTATAGTACTACTCGTATATGCACGGTAATTGTAAGAAATAATTCGCTTTGATCGATATCTTTTAACACACATCAAGGCAAATACGATAAGCAGGAATAGTACTTACGTGTAATTTGAACTTGGATAATTGATTAAAGGAACCGATAAACTGGTTTTGACCTTTGGCGAAATTATTGGAGATAAAAAATTAAAATTAATTCGATTGTTCCTGCTTTTGCATAAAAATTGTAACTACATAATAGTAGATACGATTTTCAAATTCCTATCTCACTTTAAAGAACGTTTCTCTAGGAATCCTTCTGCATTCGTCAATTACTCGCTGTTATAAATCTGTCAAATCGACTGAGTTTTAAAGACAACAGTGAATAGTGAAAAACTTCATGAACAATTACTTTATCATTATTCTTTAGGCATTTAGGACAGTACATCCTGTTCCTCTACCACAGCATGGAGAATAACGGTAGTAACTTTGAGCACCTTTTGTGATTGTAGAAAAGTTTATTCAATAAAAATACTTCCTAAAAAAAGGACTTTAGGCACATGATGACGAATTTAGAGAATCGAATACATCGACGAATTCATAAACCTTTCAAATGAGGTATTACAAGACGGGGAATGTCCCATTTCAGATTCAAAAACCATATTGACGTGTTTTGCATTTTTTACAGGAAAAATTTGTGCGGGGATACTTTTCAAAAAATAATCCTGTATACAGTGCGTTAATTGAGTGCCGATACTTTAGGATGTAAATATTTGGATGATTTTAGGAAGAAATGTTTAGGTCATATATTGATACAAACTTTTCTTCTTAAGATCATCCAAATTCCAAAATTATCACATTCTGAAGTATCAGTACTCAATTAATTAACACCCTGTATAGTATGCGGATAGATTATAGGGAGATAATATGCTATTTATGGTTTAAAAGTGAATATCGGTGCAGCGGGGAAAATATGCAGGGTTTTGTGTAAATAGTGGATATGGAAAACGTACTAAAAATTAGTCTTATATTATGTATCTACAGTAAGTCAAATTATAGACTAATTGCATTAATTGTACAGAATATTCCATTTTTTAATAATGCGAAAAGGTAAAAATATAGCTCACGAAACGAGCGATACCTTCGTTATAAGACGCTATAATAAAATTAGTTTTTGGAATTTACATTATTTATATTTTTATGACTGTTTGTTACCGTAATGTAATCCACACAGTTAATACTTTAATTGATTAATCAATACTTGTTATACTTAAAAATAATAGTACAAAATCAAAGTATACAGCATAACAACTGAGCGATATAAGTGAGTTCATAGTTACTTTTAACAAATTATGAATGCTAGAAACACTTGGTATAAGCAGTAGGTAAATAAAAAAGCTTATGGTGATGACAGTAATATTTGTTATTTGTACTTATAAATAATTTTTATTATCACTATTGTTATCTTTCCAGTCGACAAAAAAACGCGTTTTTAGATTCTCCAACATCCTCCCTGAGATACTTATCGTAAAAACCTAATACGACATTCTCCACTTTAAATCCGAATTTTTGATACAACAATAGAACGGGATTGTTCATGGACACGTGCAAGGTAACGTCCTTCCCCATGCTGGTCTGAAAATAAATGTAACTTTAAAAATGTTAAAAAAATCATGCATACAAATTGTATTCAATCAGTTTTTTTCATATAAACGAAAAGGTTGTGTCAGAAGAAACTCTTAATAGTATAAACTCTTAATAGTAATAGAAAATCTTAATAGTATATACCCGAAGACTCCTAAATCTTACAGAAATTTCTATGTAGAGTAGAGACCATACAAGAAGAAGAAATAGATATGAACCATAAATTATTTATAGTAGATCGCGTATTTAGAATACTAAAAATAGAGAAAACACAATACAAAAGAAAAGCAACTAATAATTTGAAAACAGGTAAAAAACCAAAGGAAATACCAAGAAGAAACACACAATTTTGAAACACAAGGGAAAGAAATTTTATGGGAGACCCTTAAAAAATCAGAAAAGGTATACGGACAATCAGAAAATAACCAATTGATGGAATAATGTAAAAGAATAGTTTGATCAAAGTTCACTAACCATCTTATGCCAATTAACTATTCTACTTCTCTTCTATGTTTACATAAAATTTTATTTAAAGTCCTTCTACCTGTGGGTAAGAGTACATACATATTTATGAACACCTCGTACATAAATGGAAGCTAATCTAATATATATTTAAATATATATAAAAATAATAATAATATTTTATACAAGATTCCTTAATATTGTTTGTTTCAATAAAACCATCTGTAAACTTACTTGTATGAGATGATAAATCATAAATTTGGCAATGCCGCACTTCCTCCAATATGGCCTAGTGAATATGAATGATAAGTAGGTTTCTGTGTGGCTGACGTCAGGTACCAAAAACGCGAAGCCTACTATCAATCTTTTGTATAAAACCACACAGCTGAAGTCCGGATAGAGTAAAGTTTCTCCCACTAAAATAATACCAGTAATAATAATAGCAGAATCACTCTTTTGATGCAATTTCATAAAAATTGTGAAAAGCAATAATTTTGAAATGTTTATTAAAAAAAAGCAACCGCAAGAGCTGGGTATTATACTTAAAAAAAGCTATTTGTAGTTATTTATTTGCATTTTATATTTACTTATTCAGTTACTTTTAATGTTACAAAGATATCCTTCAATCTGCCATAACTCTCTGATAGATAATAAAAAAAGCTCTTAAAACGATTCAAAACTGCTTAAAAACCGCTCTAAAACCATACCAAATGAACCAAGAACTTCTCAAACATTGCTCCAAATCAACAATAAATAAATACGTTCAAAGGTCTCTAAAACTGCTCTAAAGTGTCTTCTAAACCTCTTTATAATCGCTATAAAACAACCGCAAAAAGTAATTTAAATAAGCTTCAACGTTCCTCCAAAGTATCCTATTAAAAACTGCTTTAAAACCACCCCAAAACCGATCCAACAACAGCTTCAAAATCGGTCTAAAACAGCTCCAAGTACGGTTCAAAACTGCTTTAAAACGGCTCCAAATACAGCTGGCTAAAACAGTTCTAATTACGCTTAAAAAATCTCTCTAAAACCGCTCTCCCCGAAAGAATGCGTTACCCGAAAAAAAATTTCAAAAGTAATAAAGTAACAGTATCAACCTTTTTACAAGACTACAAAAAAAAGTAATTGTAATTAGTCGATTTTTTTCTATAAGTACCTTGTAATTGCAATTATTTAAATATTACAAGGAATTACCCAGCTCCAGACTGACCCCAATTACTTTTACATCTACTTCACTTACAGTCGATTCCAGGCCAGAAGAATTGATTGCACAAACTGTTTATAGCCGGAATGTGCTCCGGTTGAACATAAGTGTAATCCAACGAACTTCTCGGCGGTAAACTATAATTTTTCTCACCGCCGTTAACCGATAATTTGATTTCCGCCATCAATTTCAACCAGGTAGGAAACGATTCAACGTCTCTTCTAATGTAAGGCTTCAAGTACATGCCGCTGTAAGGGGACAGAATGAAATCTTGCTTGATGCCTCCCGTTAATTTCGAATACAAATTTAATCCGCTGATTCTCGAAGTACCTGCAATGTTATGTAACACCATTATTTAATTGAACAAATAGAGTTACAATCTAAAGAGTGTCTAAAATTGAAGGCGAGCATTTTGATTTCAATGAAAGATTCAAAGTAAGGAAACTTTATGGAGATGAAAAGAAGGCCTCCAAGGATATGGATGGAATTGTGGACAGGAATATTCAATGGAACAGAAAATATGATCTTGATGGGAATATTTTACAATTTTCATTTAACTGGAATTAAAAGATTATACTGACTATTCAAAGAAGTGTTGTAATGGCAAAAAGGATTCAAAAACCTAGTTTCATCCGGTTTTATTTCTTCACTCGTGCATTCTTGATTAGCATTCGTCTCCGGCGAATCGAAGTTCAACTCCATCAAATCGTCCGATGATAACAATGCGGAGGAATTCGATAATTTGGATAATCTAAAAAAACACTAAGTAAATAAAGTGTGTGATAGAATTTAACGGAAATATTTACTTATTGAAAGGTAATCCTAATTGTTTGTGATTTTTCCTCTTCTGGGAACGTTTCTGCTTTCCGTCAGAAGAGTACGAATACAAATCAACTCGATTCTCCTCTTCTTCATTTTTAGCCTCCGGTACAATCGTAAAGCTCTCCACGTTGAAAGTTTGCAGTAAATCTTCATTCTCGATGTTATTTCGTAACACAATCGAGAACAAATCGGAATCTGTTACCGAAGCGTCTTTCTTATTCTTGTAGATTTGTTTCTCAGCTAGCATTACAGAATCTGAAATAACTAAAGCTTTTACACAAGTTATCGCAAATTTATGATAACTTACAAGCGCTGATGACCGTCAAAGGGCTCAATTTGGGGTACATCAACGTCCAAAAAGCAGGTTCGTTAAATACTGATATACCAGATAAAAATATGTATTTGTTGAAATGGGAAAGTGTACCAGCTATAGTACCCATCCATTTCTTCTTTTTCTTCACGTTACTAAACAGCATATCCCAATTTTTATCGATGAAAATGGCCACATGATGCCTCCAATGGAAGAAACCTTTTCGGGCCAAACCGGGGCATTTGTGTTGCAAATGGTACAATACCAAAACGATGACTTGTAACCTTAAATAGCGCCAATTGTAATAAATGTATTTATGATTATTTGGCTTCATTCGCTTACCAAGAAAGTTTGTTTCTAACGAAAATTTCGCTATTTTCCGGCGAGCAATCGGCGCAAGTAAACGTGAAAAACGTGTCCCCGTGCAAGCCTCCTGGTACCGAGCCTCTTTTCAAGCATTTTACGTGCACATAACAGTGACATAATGTGCACTCTAAGCCTTCAGCGAGAGATAATTCAAGTTTTTCGCCGCAGTTATTGCAAAATTTTCCGTTTAAAGGATCCATTTTTGTGTATATTTAAATTATAACCTAACTTTTTCTTCTTCTGATTTGTCATTTGAAACAGGGTACACTCTATACTCTATCTACCTAGGTATTCGGCCACAAACTTGTCCCGTAAAATAATTGCCAAAAACTCGAAAAGAGATCATCATAGACAAAATAAAAGCGTCTTTCTTTCTCTATAGAGTGGAGATCATCTTATTATTGCATTAAGACCATAGACAAAATATAAGGACATCTTCATTCTTTCTTTTTACTTAGGACTTTACAAAATGTTCAATGATTTTAACTAGCTCTAGCTCATTCTCATAAAAAAAATTAAAAATTTCTATCACCAGAAAATACGAGTACTACGATCTTCTAAAATAATGTATAAATATGAATAATAAGAATCTTGTTCTTTTCAAAAGGAACATCTTGTAAATAAGGAATATTTTAAAGTTAAGTGATTTATTTCTAATGATTAAATACATATTTTAAATATACTGCTCCACAAAAGTTAAGGAAGTTCACAAATATTGACACTAATTTAAAAGTTGCAGGTTTTTTGATCGCCAAATTTAGTATGAGTTGTAGAGGAAGGGGCAAAAAATCCACTCAGATATGAGAGAAAACATTTAATTTCGCATATTTGAAAATTTGGTGATCAAAAAGTCTGAAACTTTTAAAATAATCGCAAAATTTGCGAACTTCCTAAACATTTGTGGAGCAGTTTATTTATAGATGGTAAATTTATCTGCAGCGACAAACGCGACGACCATCACACCATCCTCCCGTTTTTCCCCTAAGGAGACAATGCACCCCGCATGCTGCATGATTCAATTTCACCCCTTTCGCTTCAACGCTGAGTACGTCGCACGTGAATCTTCTTACTCGATAATGTTCTGTGGAACAATACAAAAAAAATATATATCGGAAAGTTATTCTGTATCTTTTTTATTATCAATATTAAAACAAGTTGGATAATAACGAAGTATTTTGAGGCCGAAAATCTATATATTATAAATCTATACAGGGTGGAAACGCCAAATGGAATAAATTCATTATTTCGGTTTTTGTACATATTTAAAGAAAATCCCCAAATACGTCAAATTTTAATTACACTTTGACATTCCTCAACGTCAAAATGTGAGCCCTATCTTCAACCCTCTTCAAAGGACAGTTACAAAAACAGTTAGACAGTTAGAAAAATTAACATTAAAAAAATAAAATCTTATTTCCCGTTTTAGCCTTACTAATAGGACTAGTTTTTTTTAAGACCTCAGCAAATTGGTTTGTAACTATAACTGTGTGAGAGTAGTTGTCATTGTTATAATTTTTGTTTGAATTTCGCTAATTGCAATCAAGAAAAATGGTTAGATTGATAGAAATGCATAAAATAACAGTTTTGGTGAAAAAATTCATATTTTTTGAACAATTTTTTTTTAACAATTTAGGTATTACATACGGACTGTATTATATTGAATTTAAGCCATCATTTATTTTTTATGTTAATTTTTGAAATAAACTTGACAACAATTACAATTTTACAGATCGCAACGTAGTATCTAGTACATGTGCGATAGAGACAACTTCCACTGGACAACTGTTATCAGGGGGGTGGCACTTACTCTTGAAAATTTTGGAGAACGATTTGCAATGCCATCTATAGGGGCCCAACAACATTTTCTGTTGCCGAAGAGCATTGGCAGCTAAGTCAAATCTAAATAATGGAAAAGAAGAATTCCTAAACGAATTGTTTTTGTTTACAGTACGCCATTACGCCATTATGACATTACGCGTAAACGTTTATTTTTATAAAGTAAGTAGTAAAATTGTTCTTAAATTAAAATGTATGTCATTTATGTATTATATATTATTATCCTTTATTTATTTTATTTTTATTATATATTTGAGTGTATTATTTAGTAACAGTTCAATATAAGTATACAGCAAATATATGTATTTTTAATTCCTAACTACAATCTCACCTGCTACATTTAAATGTGTGAGAATTCCCGCCAATAAATGCTAAAATCTCATAGGTTCCTGTAATAGGTTTTGTTGGACCCCAATGGATGGCAGCACATTCAGGCCAACCACTTTTTTGACAGAGTGTCCGGTCTATATGTGTATTTTGTCTATGACTGTTATTTTATTAATCTTTCTTTATTCAAATCATAGAAACGACCATGTTGCGGTCTGAATTGAAGCAATCTGTATCACAAGCCTATACTTCCCATATTAGAAAACCAAGTCTGTAGGAAAAGAAGGGACTGTTTTCAAAAATAAGACTTTTACAAACGTTTTTGTCTGAAAAAAGTAAGAGTTTTGCATCTCTTGCATGAAATAGAAGAGCAAATCATATGTATATTACCTACTATCAGATTAAAGAACACTTAAGCTTAAAGTCTCCTTTTGTCAAAGGATAGTTGCTCAAAGTAAATTGCTAGTACTTACCCGAGTGTTGTAGATTATTGGAGATTTCCGGGCGAATTTCATCAGCGATTTTACTGTCAAATTCGCTGACTGGGATAGTCGAAACGTAGGCAAGAAAAGCCCAGCAAAACAGCAAGATTACAGTTGATTTCCACATTTCGAAAAGACTTCAATAATTCTATCGATTAAAAGGTAACTAACTAATCAATTCGAGAATCGTTACCTCTATTTATATGTTTATTATAACTACGAAAAAAAATGTGATTTCTTAAGATCGTGTTTATTTGTTTATACAACAAATTACTAAGGGGAATTACTTGCTCATGTAAAATACTCTTTACAAAGATATTATGACTAATTTCTTGGAATATCTGATTTTCTTATCGTGTATTTCATATAAACTTCGAGCATAGTGTAATTAAATGATAACTCATATTGTATCGTATAGGTGACATCAAAATAATCTTATATAAATTCAACTTTCATATCTTCATATAAATTTTGTTAATTTGAGTCCCTATTTTTGAGCTAGAGGCCTGTTGAAATATGAACTTATTTTTACGTTTAATTTCCAAATTATACATGGGAATAATATAAAAAAATTGTGGTTTATTACCTACACCCGTGTGGTTTATTACCTACACCCGATTCTTTAATCGATGAACTAACAAAAATGTAATCTTGTTTGAAGTCGATAAAATTAACGGTTTAAGATAAATTTAAATTTTTAGATTGAGATGATTGGTAGAGAGGTTTTTGGATTAACAAAAATTCTGGACAAACTGTTATTATTTGTACCTAACTATTTACTAAAAATACTGAAAGACAACAATAGACACGATCTTGGAATTTCTTCAGATTGATTTACCATCTCTTTGATAAAAAAAATTATACCTGCCTTAATTTTCAAACAATCCCACCTTAAATTTGATCGGTGTTATTTAGATACAACCTGTATAAGTACAGTAATTTTCTTGGTATTATAAACACAAATTCAAAATGAAATTGGACAAATTTATTTGGATTTACTGATCGTCAATCACCGCTCTAGCACTGATCACATTTTTGTAGTATTCTGCTGATTTTTTTGGAGTTCTTCTTCGACAGGGACTTCTGTAATCGACGGATATCAAACCCATTCTAGGCCTAGAAGAGAGATCAAGCGAATACTGTGTTATTTATACCTCACCAAATGCAACTTGGCACTTGAAAATTTGCCTTAGACTCTCAAATGGGGAAGAAAGATAGACAAAGGTAAAGAAGTCTTTTACCAGTCTTTTGCCACCTGAGAATTAAATGGCTATTAATTTAAGTATACCAAATACAAAAAAAAATGTTACAATTTTGAAAATAACCCAGGCTCAGTAAAGAAATAATTGGATGCTTTATACAGGGTGACCCAGAAAAACTGCAGCCAAAAACATGGAAAAGTTTTGGTCCTTTGGTAATTCTTTTGGTAAATTAGAAGGTTTAAAATTGATCCATCCCAGTAGCAGTTCATATACGCGAAAATGACGTGAATTAGCTATACACCAATTTGACATTATTGAAAGATTATTTGTCCTTTTCACTAACAAGGTTAACAAAAGCTGCCAAAATCAGCTCTGAATATTGATCAAAGATTTGCTTCCAAATCGATCATTCAGGAGCTCCGTCGTGCTGATACCAAACCTACAGAATTTTTTATCGCTTCAAAAGTGGTTCGAATCGAATGATAAATTTTTTGATCGATTTGAAAGCAAATCTCTTAGAACGGCTACTGGGATTGATAAATTTTAAACCTCTTTATTTACCAAAGGAATTACCAAAGGACCAAAAGGACCTTTTTCATGTTTTTGGCTGCAGTTTTGGCATCTCCATTGTTGTTTCCATAAGGCATTTCCCGTTTGGGGTGTGAGTTCTGGGCCACCCTTTATAGCATACCTATACCTGAAGCAGCAACAATTTTGAACCATAAAAAGGGAGATTTCATGTGTAGCCTGAGAAATTTGGAGAAATAACTCCGGAAATGGTTAGAAACTAATAACAAAGGTATTCTTATAAGAGAAAAAGTAAGTTAGTTATTTAATTTTGTTTTAATACTATTTTGAAATAAGATTTTTTTAGATCAACTAATCTTGTTCAAATTCTCGTTCATTTGACCAGAATAAACCAGATCTCGGATCATGTTCAATCAAAAGTTGTAACGTTACGATAAGTTAAATCTCGGCATCACACTACTACACTTCTATTACACTTTACATAACATAATTTTATACATTTTAACATACGTAACATTACAGATTACTTCAACCTACCTAAATCCCTCTCTCCATTCGAAATTGTCCAACAAGCTCCAATAAGCGTAGCCTTTGACGTTGCAGTTATCCAAGTCAATGGCATCTTTCACTTGACTCAGGTGCCTCTGTAAAAGGAAAATTAAATAATAATAAATAAATAATTTCGACTAACCCTCGAATATCCTGGCTTACCTTAATGTAATTAATTCGAGCATAGTCCTCTAATCCTCCATTGTCCGCGTATCCGTTTTCCGTAATGTAAATCAGAGGCCGTTCGAAATGATCTGTGAGCCATTTTAGAACATGCCTGATACCTTTTGGAACAACCTAGTCATAGAAATGGTAATTATTTAATCATTTAATTACAGAAAGTTACTTCACAAGAGGTACTTAGTGAAAGAAAATAATTACTTTTAACCAAAACAGAGCGCAGGATTCCCAACAATGCGCTTGATATTCGATAGCTTCGCAATCAACAAAGCAACCCTTGCCTTCTGGATTCGAACGATCCCCCTTGGCTATTCCAGACGTATAGTAATTTAAGCCAATGAAATCGAAGCATTTCTTCAATTTCAACTTTTCATCGTCGTTGAATTCCGGCAATCTGGATCTCTGGAAACCTTGAACTTCGCTGCGCCTCTTCACTTTCTCTTTCACCACGTCCGGGTAATCCCCAAACACCAAAGGATGTAAATATATTCCTATCTAAAATAAGAGAACGAAATGATAGAATTTAGATTGAAAATGTCGCTTACGCCGAAGAGTAGTTTCGAATCCACCGCTGCGACATCATCGGGATTACCGGGATCTTCCGGTTCGTACCAAGGGGAATCGACTACTATCCCTAACATTCCTGAAATTACTTTGAAGCTTATCGGTCGGATTATCTCCATTCTTACCTCCTTGTTTGCACCGGAACTCCTTGTTATACACGTGGTAGACCTCAGCGTGCGCCCTGATTACGTTGTGAACAGCCAGGTACTCCCCTACGCCGGGTGAACAAACTCCTGGAGCGAGAAGTCCTATTCCGTAGGAGAAAGAACAGACTTGTTTCGGTTCATTTATCGTCATCCAATGCTTGACATCGTCGCCGAAAAGCTGGAAACACAATCTGGCGTAATCGGTGAACCACGATAGGATCCAGGGATTGGTCCAACCGCCCAGCTCGCTCAGCTTCTGAGGCAGGTCCCAGTGATATAACGTGGCAAAGGGAAGGATGTTGTTGTGCTTCAGCTCGCTGATGAGGTTCCTGTAGTATTGCACGCCCGGCTCGTTTATTTTGTGGACGAGTCCTGGAAATGTGTATGTTCGGGTGAGATGAACACGCAAGGGCATATCTACCAGATCAAATCGCGAAGTGTTCCTTGAAATTGGGAAAATATAGAAAAGATAAATTGAATGAGCTGTAGAGGTGGGTGTACCCTACCCTACCTATTTCTATCACAGTATCGTAGTGCTTTTCCAGATTTGCCCAATTTTAAAGATCACTTTGACGGTAAGTAATCTTCAATTACTCAATTTGTTTTTTAAAAATTGCAAAATTTTGAGTTGTATAATTGATTTTCATTATACAGGATGTTCTGAAACATCGAGCACCTGCGAAAGGGGGGGATTCCTTGGCTTATAAATGCTTCGTTACCGATCTCACGGGGGTGTTGGATTTTTTTTGTAGCTTCTGCAGTTTTTGAGATATTTAGTTCAAATTTTAAATCTAGATTATAGGGGATACATTATTGGGTATGTCAGATGGTTGTTGAAATCTACAGGGCGATATTTTTTCAGGGGTCATGTTCCCATTTCTCCCACCGAACTTTTTTGCTGTGCGTCGCACGTAGAGGTAGATTCAAAAATACAAAATGCTTTGTCTGTTGTCATTTTGATTAGCAACTTTTTTGTTTTTATTTTTTTTTCCTTTCTGTGACCGTCACCGAGAAAAAATTAAAAACGAATTTCTGTACAAATGATTTATTTTACAATACAAATAATAATCTAAATAATAATTTTTAAACTATATTATAACAAATGTTGAAAATGACTCCCTCCTACTCAAATTATATCTTATACACAATATCCTATACCAAATTTGAGATAAACATCTCAAAAACTGCAGTATTTCTAAAAAAACAAAAAAATCTTGAAATTTGAACACACTTACATTGGTAAGGAAGCGTTTGCGGACCTATGTTTATATGGATTTTTAATCATGAAATAAGCCAAGCAATCGCCCATTTTCGGATGTGCACGATGTTTAGGAACACCCTGTATACAGGATGTCTACACCATTTCCAACTGTATTTCAGAAAGCGTCAATTGAATTTCAGAATAGTCACTAAGGAAGCAAACATTCATTAAAGCAGCATTAAATTAAGGTAGACTGGGGCAAATGTAAAAATGGGGTAAATGTAATATTTTTACCTATTATGTTAATGTTTTTATTATTTTTATAGTTCCTTTGCGCATTAGACAGGGTTTGTTTTTTATTTTTTCTTTATTATTTTGTAGCTCTGTTATTTTTTGAAATAAATAGACCATGGGGTAAATGTAACATATTGTCAACATTTTAAAAAATATGTAAAATCGTTTTCTTCCTTTTTCGAAAAAACTTTTTAATACTTCGATTCTTTAGTTTAGGAAGTTGTGAATTTAATGTGGTATCAGCATTTCTATTAAGAGAAAAAATAAAGCCACATTTTAGGATTTAATTTGAACTATTCAAATTTTATAACCGATTTGCCCCAGTCTACCTTATATTGTGTTCTAATTGAAGAAAATAATAATTGATTTTTTTTTTAAATTTTATTGTATTAAGAAAATTTCTAAATCTTGGCAATTGTCAACGAATGAATATTATTACAAAACTAACCGCCGGCTCGTACAAAATTAATAACTAAAAAAATATTGTATTTAAAAAACGAATGCTATACATACCGTCAGGTAATATTCTTGGCCAAGAAATCGAAAATCTGTAGAATTGGGCGCCCATATTCGCTAATAAAGCGACGTCTTCTTTGTAATTGTGATAGGAATCGCAGGCTACATCCGCATTATCGCCGTTCGCAATGAGACTAGGGGTGCAATGAGTCCACCTGTCCCAATGACTTTCCCCTTTGCCATCATCTGACCAGCCCCCTGGACATTTTCAATGTTTTGTAAAAGCTGGATGGTTAATAATGCAAAACTTTTAGCTAACCTTCGATTTGATACGCTGCCGTGGCACTGCCGAAGATGAAATCATCTGGAAATTTAGTGGTATTAATTTTTTCATTATTTTTCGACATTTCTCTTGTTGTCACATAAAGCTTTTGAAAATTATTTGAGAAATGAGCACACTATTTGCCATTTTTCTATTAATAAGGGCTTTCTGGAACGAATACACTGTTGTCCAAAATGTTGACAAAGAAAAGGGAAAAAACAAAACAAAGGTAAATTCTGGAAAACATAATAAGAGATAACTGGAAATCTGGATTTCTACTTTAACATGGTCGCTTTATAATATTCATAAAGAACCTAATAAAATAGCAAGAAGAAAAAGAAGAAGTACTACAACTTACAAGCTTGATAGACATTTATCTTCTCTTCGCCATCGAGCTCATCAACAAATACAATCATTTACTAACTCCACATTTACATCATCTTTTCTTTTACATTTTCTCAATTTCGATCGAAAATTGTCCTTCGATGTGGAAGGACCTTAAGAACATTCCTTTAAAATTTCCCGTTGTGCTTTTCTATGCAGTTCGGCTAATAAAAATTAATCGTAATTTAACAAACTAAATCAAATAATTCTCAATAATTTTCAAAAAATCAACATTTATTGTAGTTTGTACAAGATGTTTATCTAATATCTATCCAGGTTGTTTCGAATTATTTGGAAGAGCTTCTTCAATTCTTCTCACAAATTGATCTTTAATCATTTATTAATCTACCTATCTGTTAGATTTATTATTATAGATTTTGTTCTATTCATTAACGTTGATATACTAATTGCAATATTTATCAATGACACCTCACTATTCACCATGACATAGTTGGCGGGTAACTTGAACCAAGCATTGTGATTCGCTAGACTTAGTGACATCATTGCTAACAATTGAGCCCTTTAGGTGAACTTGTTATTGTTGTTTGTAGGCAGGTCTTTTCAGCCCCGTAACCACCTAGCTCATAGGATCCCCTGTAGTTTTCCCGTAAGGTCATTGTTCCTGGGTTCTTGGGTGAACTTACTAGTTCAAAGAAGATCCTAAACCAATTTTTGAACAGTTTTGAATCTCATATTGTCCTTTTTGTTTTGGTTAGTAGATTTCTTTATATCCGAAATAAGGGTTACCACTGGAACTATCAGTATCAGGTTACACTCATATCATAGGTGTTTCGAGAAGTCGAAAAGTAGCATTAAGTGATCGGTAAGATTTATCATAAAATTTCAACTACTCGTTGATTCATTGTATAAAACATTTCCACGGTTTGTGATAAGAACGTTGCTTAGTATATGTATCTTCGGTGTACTTCTTGCTTTGGGTGAACTGGAATTCCGATTATCAAAGCCAAGGAAATCGTCATCTGATTGATAAGAAGTATCAAATGTATTTAATCCGAATGAATCGCTTGTTACAAATCCTTTAAATTCTTCATCGGAATCCGAATTATCTTCGATATCATCACATGAATGCCCACTAGATTTGTTTTCTATACAAGTAGCATTGCCGTTTTGTTTTTCGATGGAATTATCAGTTGGATTTGATTTACGATTCTTCGTTTTGTTCATTATGTCTTCGATGGTTGAATTTAATATGGCATCATATCCTTTCTTTTTGCTCCTTTGGGTTTTTCTTGATTCAGTTTGAAAGCTTGAATTCGACTCGTCATCCAGTAGCCTATTAGATTTTTCTTTGTTATTCGTAACATTGTGATTTTGATTTTTCTTCCCTCTTTCCACAACTTCTTTAAAGATTGTAGTATTAAATGTGTTATTATTCTTCTTCCTGAGTTTATTTTCCCTTTTTTCTATTCTATCTAATTCTTCGTGTATACTTTTATCATAGATGACCGAGTATCTTCGACGTTTTTGAGGCTTTTCATGGAATACATCAAGTGAGTAGGGATCTTTCCACTTTTGTTTAGTTTCTGTACATTTAATTTGTTTATAAATAGGGACTTTGGTGTTTGTTTTTACCACATTCAAGGGAGTTCCTTCGTGACTTGATTCCCTCTCTTTGTAATTTATGTTAGATTTTCTATTTCTAAGCCTCTTTAGAAGTGTTCTTCGTTGATTTATTTCTATTTCTTTAGTGAAATTCTCCCTCTTAATGGATACTTTTAGCACTTTTCCTGATTTTCCAATAGTTTTTTTCCACTGATATCCTGTTTTGATTGACGGATTTTTTCTTTGTGAAATATCAATGAAGTCGTTAAACGGTATTAGAATCACTAGTTCCTTATTAAATATAGCTTTCGTGTTTTTCATAATGATATAATAGTAAATTTGTAATATGAACTGAAATCTTCACAAAAACAATATTCTCCACACTCACATTCAAAAAGTGAACCTAAAATATTAGTTGACAATGACAGCTCCTAATTTTCCTCTTCGTTTTTTAAAAGTATTAATTTAATGATCTACTGTAGGCTGTTGGGTTGGGATTTTAAATAAATACATAGAGAAAAAAATATGTCTTTTATTTTGTCTATGTAAATTTATATTAATTGATATTTTTAATGTTTTTAACACATTAACAATTTTCTGAAAAAAAATTTTTCGAAAATATTTTATCTTTTTAACAATCTTTGTATAACCATTTTTTTTTAATAATTATAAAGTTTTACCTAAAGTCCGGGCGTTTTTAAATTTTTTAAATCTCTCTATTGAATTCAAAAAATAATTTAAAATATAGATAATATGTTGTTTATATACGCATGCTGATATTTTTAGATATAATCAGGTATAATTGTTTGTAGAAAAAAAATGAAGTCAATTCTTAATAATTATTTACTTTATTCGTAATGCAGTGTCAATGTTTTTAAAAATAAATACATAATATTTGGGTTTTCCCTTTTTTCCAATTCATATAGATAAAATATTAAGTAGTTAAGGATAATGTGTAGGTAAATAGTAAATTAAACTGTTCTTAACAGCTATTGTTAAGAATTGTTTAAGTATTGTTAGTATATTATTATTGGATATAGTCGACAATATTGAATTTTTGGATTTCGTTAATTTATTATAATATATTTAAATATTTTTTTGAGCTGATAAAAATATGCAATATCTGAAATAATTAAAATTTATTTCAAAGAAATTGCGGTGTAATTATATTTTCTGAAAAAATTATCGGAAAGAAAAAAAAAACTATGGAAAAAACGTGGTACATACTAATTCATTTGGTTTTTTTTCAGTACAAATAATACATATCGGAATCATGCAGTTGGGCCACCTTCAATATTAAGATATTATCCGACCATGCAGTTGGGCCAAGGTCATTAAAGGATTAAAATCCCGGTTTCTGAGAAAATACTTTATCACCGATTGCAATTTAATTCTCTAATAGAAAAATTAAATAAACCATAAAACAAATTTAAAATATTATATTTATATAATATGTACAGGGTGGCCGATTAAGATTGCGAGGTACTGTATCTGGGAAACTATGCATCGTAGAGGATCGCGGTAAAAAAGTTATTACTAAAACGGCCAAGAGAAAAACCTGGAAAATATTTTTAAGTTTCTCAAATGGTCGCTAGGATCGAGGTGTAACTGCAATATTAAAACAAAAAAGTGATATTTCTTTGAATTCCGCTATATTAACCTAACAAAAAATACCAGATATTTAAAGTCGAGTATAATATGAACCTTTTTTGTTGAACAATTTTTGCTGTATCTCTGTATCTTCGAAATGGCTGAGCCGATTTGAACAAATTTGGGCTAGTTGAAAAGAGCTATTCTTGGGCTACAAAAGTTATCGAGATGCGGTTTTCGCGAGCTTGTTTAGGCACCATTTAGTTAATTGTTCATGAAAAAAAAATCATACCAATGCATTTAATTTTTTTGAGAAAATTAACCATTTCTCTCGGAATGTCGAAAAAAGCGCTCTGCTAACGACACGTGAATCTATAAAAACTTTAAATAATATAACTTTCGAACGACGAATTAAGATAGGATTAAGCAGGTATACGTAATTTGTTTATTATTTAATATTAATAATATTTAATCTAAATGAATTTTCCTACTTTTGCATTTATATTTTTGACAAAAAGTTCAATTAAAATTTACTTGAGATTATTTTTATTTACGTAGGTACCTAATATACATTATAGGTAATTAATTAGATAATTATTTCGAGGAATCACGAAAATCCACTATAAATGAATGACAAATATGTAAAAAGTCACTAAACACACATTGTGCAGCGTTCTGCGACTGGAAATCTGAGCCGCTCAATCTAAGTAGATATTCTCTGGCATTTTGATGGACTTCTGTTGACTGGGTGGTTCCGATTTACCATGGAACCTGCAACATTGCATTTCATATGAGAAAAAAACTTTATGCTTTAACTGATGGATGTTCTAAATATTGAGCCAGCCTGTAGATATATGATTTAAAAAACGTTAAATATTGCGTAACAACGGTATAATTATTCCAATAAGCCATATCGCAAGACGGGAATTCCTGTTGACAATTTTAATAAATAATTTACGACCATTAACGTACCCCTTATCAGCATTTTTTTCTTTTTGTAAATGTATATAAAAGAGAATTTGTTTATTTGGTATCAATAAGATTTCATACTGCGTTGTGAAAGGTAAGAAAGTGCGTTTACCTATTGTAATTACTAGATTTTATTATTTTTAAAGTAAAAATTATGTTTCAAAGAAAATAATTTTAATTTAATTTTATGCAAAAGGTATTTTATAAATGTTTTTCGTGAATTTAATGCTTTTATTATTTTAAAGCTCGTCTTCCACCTTCGTATTTATTAATTCATCAATTTTTTAGAGGCTTTTTCGAAGCAATATGATAGGAAAATTAACGTTAGTTTGCGCTTTTCTTTACATTTTTTCCGTTTCGGGGAAGAAATATGATAGATGTCAGCTGGCCCACGAACTTCTCGACAAATACAAATTCCCCAAGGACCAGATTTCCACATGGATTTGTATAGGTAAGTGATAAATTCAATTACTCTAACTACTCTAATCAATTACTCTAACTAGACTACTGGAAATGTTGCGATCTTTATTCTTTCATCCATGAGTGTCAATTGAGCTCTCTTATATAATAACCTATACTCTCTCCTCACTTTAAAAATGTTGCTAAATAAAATCAGTATAAATCATAAAACAAAAACACCACAAATTACCCAAACTTGTAGAAATTCTCCCAAAAACAACACTATTAGAACATCTTACTCATAAATTCCAGTTGAACACGAGTCCCAATTCGACACTAATGCCTATAATTCGGACACCAAGGACCACGGGCTGTTCCAGATCTCGGAATTGTACTGGTGTGAACCACCGGCCCATCCGAACGGCTGTCACGTGCAATGCTCGGCCTTGCACGATGATAACATTGATGATGACGTAAGGTGTGTAAAGCAGGTGTTTGAAGAGACACAGAGATTGAAGAACAACGGATTCGAAGCCTGGACAACCTACCCCAAGTATTGCAAAGGGAATACTGCGAGTTACATTCAGGGTTGTAATATTTAAGGTGTTTTGTGGTGGATTTTTGTAAGATAAGTGTAGATTAATAATAAATTTAGGTACCTACAATTTTTCTACTTTCTGATTTTACCTTTTCTTTACCGTTCCTTCTGTACCCTTTCTTTGCCAATTCTTTATCACTGAAGTACATTTCCTGAAGTAGGTATTTGTCACGACTAACTAGACATGCATATTTCTGTCTTGGTTACTCGCCTTACCTGTAAAGGTTGAGAAAAAAGAGAGTAATATACAGATGTAAACATTTTTTAATCAAAAATTTAAAATAATTAAGAAAATTTTCTAAACAATTAAGAGTTTTTCTAAAATATTTTCAACCATATATGACTTCCGGTTAGACCGGAAGTAGATGTCAACTTCGTTATTTTAAAGGAAAGAAGTTGACAGAAGTTCGTTTTTTTCGTTATTTATTGCTAAAGCGATCGAATGTATTTCTGTTAATAATGCAGCTTGAAGCTTTGTAATTTGAAACTTTGTTTCTAGCCTTGTTACTAAAAATTTGGTATCGATAATGTCCAGGACACATACGTATAGTACGTACTAAATGAAACTAAATTGGATTTTCATGGTCCGATTCACAGGGCGTTTAAAATTGTCTGACTAACTTGGTCAACTTAAAATGACTATAACTTTGTTACATATTTCAAATATGGATCACCCTGTATTTTTAAGCATTGAGCAAAGGATACTTTTATGCTCTTTCGAGTCATGTGGGTATTCCCTTTAGGTAGGTATCCAAATCCACTCGTTTTTGAAATAATCGAACTTTTATTATAATTATGTTGTGCTATATCTCTTCTAGAGTCATCTAGATGGCTATTCCATGCCTTTAGTTCATTAATTGAGAAAATTAATTAAAAAATATACTCCGAAATGTTTGCATTCAAACAATTGATGAAAAACAAAAAGAATTAATAATTAAAAAAATTTGAAATGGGTAAAAAAAGTTAAATTAACAACAAGAATATATCTTCAACTGGTTCAATAACTAATTTTTTTTATTTTATGACGTTGCTCGTGCAACTTTGGCATCCTATATCTTTTTTTATTATCAATATTTTATTCAAGCCAGTGGCATTGCATCGTAACATTTTTTAAGGTCGACAATCTCTTAATTCACTTTAGACCATTACTTACGGACCACCCTGTAAACAATATTGGGAACCCGACAATAATTAAAAACGTTTTTCACAAAATTACGAAAACTTTGGTAAATACATTAAAAAATCAATACATTAGAAGGTCGTATTACATTTTTCGATAATTTGATATTATCTTCTCGCAATAAGACAAACTATGCGAGCGAATTTTGTTTTTTTTACTTTCTTGACACCCGCACATCGCAAATACTTTATTATAGTCTTTTATTTCTATTGCTGCCTCTTGGAAACTGATAGCGAATTGTTATCTGCCAGACTGCTGATTCTTTGGAATGTTGTAATGTTGATGGTCTTGAAGATGAAAAAACATCGCAAACACTTAAGATATTTAATTCGCTTTATCTCATCTCCTATGATTGGTTGTATTTAACGTTAACGACCACAGAATTATTGTGATTGGTCGTTTTCCAGAACGGTAAATACACCGAATCTCTATTTTTTTGGGTGGCATTTCACGTCCTGCCGACGAAGTTGGCGTCGGTTGTTATCAAAGTTATCACTCCGGATCTGATATTGAAATTTATACCTAAACGTGTTGGATTTATTCAATATGTCCTACCCTCTTGCCGTTGCGCCCGTACGAGTTACTTTTTAATGGGGGTAAACGTTCACTTGGTCTACCATCTGAAATTCAAGGGTACGATATGTGATGAATCGTATCTCTCCTTTAATTTTCCTGACGATCCTGGATCCTGGATTTGTACCGCCAAATTTCTGATTGCAAGGATCATATCTCCAGGTTTTGTTCCGTACACAAGTATCCGGTCGTGTTATGTATAAGTTAATTAAGTTTTTGTAGTATTAGCCTTTGTAACGAGATAGTTGTAATCGTAATCAAAATATCTTAAAAAATACCTCTTTTAATTAGATCCTGTCCCAATTAAATAAAAAAAATTACTACCTGAATATGTAAAAAAAGTGATCCAAAAAAGCAAAATGTACGAAAAATCACCACCATGATCATCAAAGATCAATTACACACAAAAAAATAAAAAATGCAAGAAATACGTACAGGGTATCCCAAAATTCCGTGTACATGGAGTTAGCGTGTACTGTGAGCAGGTGAGATCAAGGGCTTCTCGTTTGCCTGTGAGTGAGGATGCTATAAAGCGAAATGTTAAAATTTTTTCAATAACTCAAACACGCTTCGTTCGATTTTCATAAAGTTCAGTAAAATTAGAAAATTTTCTTTTAACTTTGAAGCTCCTCACAATCCTCAGAGACAAAAGAAGCACTTTTGTGATATAAGTAATTTTCGCTCAATCCACTTTAAAACTGACTTTAATTTATTCCTCATCCTAAATAAAGCAATTATGAAATTTGAATCGAAAGGAATTTGCTCCAATATCGCTCTAAAATAGCCATAAATACGGTTTAGAACCCCCCCAAATACCGCTCTAAAGCAGTTCTAAATGCGAAGGCGCTTTGCGTCGCTTTGTGCTTTTAAAATCGCTTCAAAACCGTTTCAAAACCGCGTTTCATTCCAATTTTTCAAAAATGCCATCTGACAATGTTATTATTAACTACCATTTTCTTCTTCTTTTCTATTATGTGCTTTTACTTAAAGGCATCCAGCTAGTAATACAATAAACCATTATTTCTAGTCTTGAATATCCTACATTGGAGCAGTATCCAAGCCTGCACCATTTTAATATCGAATAAATTATAGAATTAAAAAGTATGTAAAAACACTAAAAACATAACAATCTAGTAGCTGGTAGTTCAAAGGAAACTTATGTCAAAAAAGTGACAGTGACAGTACTGACTAACACTGAAACCTGAAACGTCAAACGGCTGATATATTATTAAGAAATGTCAATCAAAATAATAAATGGATAATAGCGAATATTTCTGGAATAACACACAAAAATGGGTTAAAAGTTCAAATAGTGGTTGAATTATCGTTATTGCACGTTCCCGAACGACATTAATTCATAAGTATTGCATAAGTAAATAGAACTATCCAATTAATTAAATAAAATGGAGGCGACGAATATAACACATTTAACACCAAACATAACTTCTAAAAGCACTTTGAATTTAGAGGATATTAAGATGGATTCAAATTTTGCCATGCTATTATGTAGCTTGGTATTTGCTATATCATGGGTTATTTATATTACATATTATAATTCAAGGGTCATAGGATACGTAATCACAAAAATAGTTAATAAACTGTTTATTCGAGAGGGTTACTTTAAAATAGGTAAGTGTAATGTTCTCTTCTATTGATATGCTTTTTCAGCAAATGCAGTTTGCTCCGATTCCTATTAGATAACTAATGTGATTTTTGTTTCGAAGATAAGATATTTATTGTAATATTATTCAATCTATAATATTAAATGCAACTACTTTTATACCTTAATAATTATTTATTCAGTTAAATAGCTACTTATTCATTTATTAAGTAATGTATATGTATTATTATTTGCAGGTTCTTTAACACTGAATGCTTTATCTGGGAAAATTATGTTTAGAGATGTTGTATATATTACCCACGATTATACACTACGAGTCCAAGATGGTTATTTAATCTTTAGATGGTGGAGATCGTATGTTCCTAAGGACGTGAGTGAAGGTACTATAAAAAAATAAGTTCCCTACTGCAGCTGTTTAGCTAATATTCTCTATTTTTGTTTTTTAGATCTCTCTCATTCAGATACGAGGTTATCTGTTATGCTAAATGTTTTTGAAATTCACGTGTACAACCGCTCTCAACTTTATTCAAGATTGGAAAAAGTGTTTGATTTAGGTTCAAATATTTTTCCAAATAATGAAAACGACTTGGAGAGGTAAGCACATCTAGTATATTTTTTTAAATAGAAACTAATAAAAAGCAATAATACTTTTATTCTGCATTTTATCTATGTACATGCTTTTTGAATTAAAATTATGACTAAACTATGACACACACATTTTTATCGTTTATAATTTTTAAACTAATTCTATGAAAATTATCAAATGAAATTTAATGATATCAAATTATCAAAAACAAAATTATTTTGGAGTTAGATATTTAAAACTAAAAAAAGTTGAGAAAAATATCAAATTTTTAGAAATGAAAACGAAGCCCAATCAGTTTCGAAAAAACCGGACAAAAAACAAAAACCTGAAGCTGCAATGGCTAAAACATGGAGAGATTTAATACCTGTTATTAAATGTGATGTATCTTCTGTAAGTTCCCATATCATTCTTCTATTCTTCAACTCCTTTTTAACTATGAAATATTTTAGGGTCGTGTAGTGTTTGGTAATCGATTAGTTCCAACAACATTGAGTATTACATTTGAAGAATCCCATTTTGTTTACTCAACAAAACCTGCTGTATGTACATTAGACAGATTTATGCACTTTGTTAAATGTAAAGCAGAAAATGTGAAAGTTATGCTTGCCCCAAGCATAAAATATACAGGTTTGATAATATATATTTATTCCTTTAATTTGATTTTTTAATTTGTTATAATTTTCAGGAATGTTAGATGATCCTCCAAGGTATATGGGAGAAGGTTTTGTATTAGTCTCAACTAACGATTTAGAACTTTACTTTTACATGGACGAAGCAGGTATTCTTATTTATAGTGCTATATTACATAAAATATAATTTGTTTATAAAATCTAGGTTTAGTTCCTGAAGAACCTGTCTTGATAACTTTAGCTAACGGTGAAGTAGTTGAGCCAAGTCCTCCACAATGGGGTGTTGACATCAAGTGTGGAAAAGGTATGTTTAACATACAAACAAGTTTTTTTTGGAATTATTTTCGTTTTTTTTTAGGTACTGATTTCAGTTACGGCCCGTGGGCAGACAGGCAAAGAGAACATCTCTTCAAGTTTTTCTACCCACCCGATTATCTAACTATGGAAGTGACGGAACCACCTAAGCCTGGCGAAAAACGACAAATGCAATCCTTCGATATAAGATTAGTCATGCAAAATGACGCTACTATTGACGTATTATTCACCAAAGATAAAGAAACGAATGCTGTGCATTTTAACGTTGGCGCCGGTAGCTATTTGGAGGTAATAATAATGTTTATAGTTCAATAAGTAGTGTGATTAAAAGGAGTATTTGCTTGTTCTTGAAGTAAGAGCTTTTACTTCCTATTATTTTGTGGAGAATAATCTTTACCATGAAGTAAATTCTTCGTTGGGAAGTGTTTACTTTGGTTACAAGTATAAACTAGTAGTCAATAATAGTATATAAATCTGTCAAGTTAAAGACGCGACTTTAGAGTCACTTTAAAGTTAAATAGAGGCGCTGAATACGGGCCATTATAACTAGTACCCATCTATAACTTAGTGGTAATGTCTTTGTGTAAATGCTATAATTTTTTTAAGTAAATTGAGTATTATAATCTATTCTTTCGTTTATTCTGTTTTAGGTAACAATACCCTGGGTGACAGCTAATAACGGCTACACCACCACGATCAAAGGACAACTGCTTCACTTAGAATCCACAACGAGTTTGCAATTCAGAGATTTTGTGGATAGCGAAACTTTGGAATTTTCCGTGTTGTGTCATTATCCGTTGGTTTGGAATGATCATCAATTGTGGGAAGTCAATCTAACAGGTTGCAAAGCAACTGTTAATCTTATTTTCTTCCACAAATGGTTTTTCACAGGTATACTTTATAAACGCCCTTTTAAAGTTTCATAAATTTAATAGAATACAATTATTTTTAGATTTAATAAACGACTGGTCATCGAAACAGCGTCCCGACCTGTTGCATTTCGTTCCTTATACTTGGAGATTCGGCATAACACTCAAGCATTGCGAACTATTAACTTTAGTCAATCAATACAATTGGATAGACTGCAGCAGCGTAGGACAGAGGAGTCGTTTAGAAAATACACAATTCGCTTTATGCGCTCATTTCTTACACATGTCTTTCGATTTGCCATTCGATGAATACTTGCCTAATACACTACCCGTGAATCTGTCGATTCAGGGAGAGAGTATAGATTTAAGTCTGTTCATACCAGAATTTCACACCAGCCGTAACATCGTGCACGCGCTAGACAAGCACGCTAAGGTTTTATCGAAAGACGGTTCGACTGCCAAGAAAACCGAAGTTATTCCAAAATGGCGAAATATTTGTCAACATAGGTTGGTTATTATCTAATTTAATATTAAATACTCTTTCCTAATTATAATGCTTTTTAGTGCTGGATGGATCGATTTTTGGTGGGTGCCCATCGGCGCCATTAATATATTGTACGTTTATCATCCGTGTCCTCCGCTGGGGCCGCAACCTCAAGCGAACATTTCAACGCCTGTTAAAGAGGAAATACTTTTATCGCCCATACGGTTTCCGCACCAGCGAAAAAATAGGAAACGTTCGCCCGACGGCTCGAAGAAATTCGATCCGACATCTTTGGAGCCCGACACTGTGAATGTTGAATTGGAAATTGGCCCGTCGGTGTTTCTGGTTTACGGAACGGCGCTAAAAAATTTCATGAATTTTAAGGTAAAATTCCACCAACTCGAATAGTGTATAATGCTACCTGTCCATTTGAGAGTTTTCCTGAGAGCAACTCTCGAAAGTTACCTACTCTCAGGCCTTTGTTTATTTGAGAGCAAACTTGCTAATTTTTACTCTCTGAGAGTGTCCAAAAAGCTAGTTGCGAGTTTTATAAAATTCATAATCTCAGGACCGTATCCACTAGGTTTGTGCTGAGAGTTTTGTGAACTACAGTTTGGAACATTTTTAGCACGTTAGCACCTTTTTAACATATTAAATAACTTTTATAAAAAATCTATTTGCTAATCATAAATACCATATTTTTAACAGTTTTTATAAATTACTAAAATATATTTTTTACTTTAACATTTTCTACCAGTATAATGACTAATAAAAATGACGGGCTAAAAATGTTCCAAACTTTGGAAATTTAAAAATTGTATAAATGTCAAATATTGAGATTTTTCACCAAAAATATGGATTTTATAGAAAATTACAAAGAGTCTAAAATTACTATAAATACGCCCGTAAATCTAATTTCGATCCAAAATTAGGTAAATATAATATGGGCGGATGAATTAGGGTTCTAAGGAGGTTGGACACCCCAATATGTCTGAGATGGATTGATAATTAAAAAAATATAAAATAGAGAATTTGTCACCAAACAAAGATATTCTGTACAACTTTTAACGAAAAAGTGTTAAGCTATTCTGGCCCAATATCGAAAAAAAACCCTTTCCATTTTTAACTTTAAAACCTTATAATTTTTAACAAACACATATTTGAATATCCCTTTAAGAGTAGTAAGAGAATTAGGGTAATTAAATAAACGATAGATATGTGGCTGGTCTCTAACTATTTATTTACGTACCTTTACTATCGGAGAGCACTCTCAGAATACTGATTTCATTTGAATTTTTCTAGTTACTCTTGATAGTACCAAAAACGATGTTTAACTCTCAAATAGTTACTCTCACAATATTGTCGACTGACGAGACCTACTCTCGAGAGTTTTTCTCTCAAATGGACACCTAGCATTATGCACAAAATTTATTATTTTTACTTCAGGAAAATATTTTTGGCGAGTTTCAAAGCTTCACCGATATGCAGAAAGTCGTCAACGTAGATAACAGTACCGGTGATGTAAAGTCTGATGATAGTAATTCGAACATTCCGTTAGAACTCAGGGATGATTTTGATCATCGTTATTACAGACCACTCGCAGTTGACGTTTCGATAATCATGCACGATATTCAGGCGCACCTTCTGAAGGTATTTTCATCTTCCCATCCGAATTAATATTATCGGATTTACACTCATTTCCTTTTTAGAATTGCACAGATAAAGATCCTCCATGTCCTGTAATTTTGTGCGAAAGATTCGGTTTTGAAATGAAGAAGCGCTACGATCAGACCGAACTGCAATTACTATTGAGTCCTACGGTTTTACTGGTATCTGACAATTTAAACAGGCCCGCCAGAGACAAGCATTTGAATCAAGGAAAACTATCTTTATCATCTCTTCAAGTACTTGCTTTCCTTACCTAAGTAGTCTTGAATTAATTGAATGAGTTTTTAGATTCGCGGACACGCCATGTTTTCCGACGTCGGTCAATCCCTCGATCAGGATACCGTCGAGTACGCTTGGCTGGTTGAAATTCAATTGGGAAAATTGAGCGGTAAACTTACCTCTCCACAGCTTTACACCATACTAGCTTGCTTGGAAACTTTAATTCTCTTGATAACCGACGACGAAAACGAGTTAAACAGTCCGAAAGACGACGTCATCTTAAGCCAACCTGTAGTAAAGAAAAAAATCACACAGTCTGCGCCGAATGTTCACGTGCAACACGTCCAACAGGCCATACAGCAGCTGCTGCAATCGAAAAACAGCGCGAACGTTACTAACAAAGCGACCGTCTCCGCTAATGCAACCAACAAAATCGGCACTCCTTTAGCTAATCTAGCCAGTAAGTTATTTCGATTCGAATCGTATTCGAATTCTAAATTAAACGACGATTTGTAGATCAAAAACCGTCCGCGAAAGGGGACAAAAAGAAAGAGGACGATAAAAAAGGATCGATCAGAAGTAGCGTCGTTCCGAGTGCTCAAACTCAACCGTTTAATGAACATAAACTCAAATACAAATTATGCAGAGTGGCGGTCGATGCAATAGATTTGTGGTTCGTTGAATCCGGAGCTGCACTACAATTATGGGTATATAAGGCATACGAATTTTGTTACATCATTAATAATAAAATAATTGTTCTTACAGATGTCTCCTGTTAGATTGGCTAATTGCAACTTACACGGAAAACAAGTCAGTTCAGGACTTAGTTGCATAATATACAGCATGTCTCTGAGGCAGCTAGTTTGGCACCCTCATAAATACAATCATACAAAGTAAGTTTTTTAAAACTCTTTAAAAGTATCCTATTAAAATGACTGTTGCTATTTTTAGAGTGAATTACGAGAGTAACGATTTGTGGCTCGAAGTGGGTGCAGTAAATTTTGGACCTCTAATCGTGGAATCTGCTATATCGGCAGATTCAAAAGAAACCAGCTTGCATAAAGATCAACAGAAATTTTTGAAGATGCACGATGAAAAATTGAAGAAATTGTGGTTTTTGTGGCCGAACCTGAACAAAACGTCTGGCAAATGCGGTTGCACTGGCGGTTGTCTCTTTTTTGGTTCCAACACGAACGGCACCAGATTTTTCAAACCCAGTCGAAATGACTTGGAAGAAGGAATGAATGTAGCTGCTTTTAGGTAATTTTTTATTAATAATTTGTATAATTAATCTGTTGTTTAATATTATTGAAAAACGCAGGGTTAATCCTCCGGGTAAAGATCCAGGATATGGCCAGAGCATCCTGCATGAAGGAATGCTAATCTTCCGAACTCCTCCTTACATAATATCCGAAATAACTCTTCAAGACACCCAAACTGGCACGAAGCAAAGCAGAAAACATAGCGACAGTCCTAAAGTTTTTCATGCCGAAAAAGAAAAACCTTTCGAAAGGGAGAATGCGTCTCTGGAGAAAAAAATCAACCGAAGATTTTCATCTACCTCGATTAAGTAACTCGTTTTTCGTCTATTTCCGATACTTGATGTACAATTATATCAATTTTCAGAAGCGCCGTTTTAAAAGAAGTTCCTTATTCGCGATTGATTGAAACCAGTCCTGCCAACTTGCCGGCGAAACTAGACAGCGATTCGAAATTGCAATGCGACAAAAGCAAACTAGCAGTGAACGGCGTCGGAGCCGAGCTTTTACCTAAAAACAGTATCTCCGATTCTAAATTAGCCGTCGATTATTTCAGCGCTACTTCATTGGATTCCAAGGAAACGTACTTAAGCACTAACAGTGTATGTATATTTTATTTTAATAATGCCTAGAATGATAGCACGACAGAAAAGGTGTTTTGTTTTCTTATGCAGGGTATTGAATTATTGAGAATCGATACCTCAGGATGTGAATATTTAGTTGATTTTAAGAAGAAAAGTTTATATCAATACATGTCCCAAACCTCTTAGTTTTCGAGCAACAGCGATGTCATAAAAATATATAAATAATAAGAAAATTATGATAGAAAAGTTATTTTTTACCCTGTACCTCAAAAACTAAGATCTTTTGGACATATATTGATATAAACTTTTCTCCTTAAAATCACCCAAATATTCACATCCTGAAGTATCGGCACTTAATTAATTAACACCCTGCATGCCCTTATTTTACCCTATTCTTTCAGGCTGAAAACTCACTTTTTTTGAATTTTAATTGTAAATTTTATGTACTGTTTTCATTTACCTTATAGGCTCAGTTTAGAACAGAGAAGTCCACAAAGTTATCCAAACAACCGTTTGTTGTATCCGAATCTCACAATTCCCTAAGTCAAGTGGGTTCGATCGAGAAACTACAGCAGGAAGTCCAACGAACTACTTCTATGTCTAGCGAAAATCACTCGGATGCATTCTTTTCGGCCGACGAAGACGTCCATTTTAATTCAGCGAGTTCTAGTCTCCGAAATTCTATACTCAGTTCAGGAGAGACGTTAGCCAAGTATGATAACCACGCCAATCGTACTTACTTGCTATAGATGTTAACATTTTTTGATTCCAGACCAGACACTAACAGTGCTCCGACTCAAAGGAAAAAGTTTTCGAGCGAACTGAGCATAGCGACGGACAGAAACGGTACGGGTTCCCTTAAATCCGGCCAAATGACAGCGCCGAGTTCGGTACCCGAAACGCACCGTTTGAAACTATCATCTCATAGAAGCGATCACGAAATCCACACGCCCGAACACAGAAGTTTCACCAACGGTAAATTCGACGATTCGCAGAGAACGGTGCAAGGCCTTGTGACGCCCAATCGCTGTCCTAACGCTCGCTCCGTCAGCCCGAGAACGCTTCCCGAATCGCCCGATTTGAACGGCAGCCCGATGCCGGAAGGCTCGCCCAATTTAATGGATCCCCTCGCCGATTCATCGGACAGTTACAGCAACAACAGCTACGCCTCGGCGGTGGGCAGCCAGGAGGATTTCACCTTAGTCGACTTGCACATGCAAGTGAACAGATTAATAGTTGATTCGCCGATGTTGATGTCCAGTTACGTGACGCATTTGACGCAAGTCAAGTGCAACAATTGGGGAAACACCGAACAGAACGATCAATTTACTCAAAATTTGTTCGAGAAGAATTACGATGAGAAATTAGTTTATGCTGGTGAGTTTTTTACCGATGCGGTCTCCACTTAGTTGTGATTTTCGTCAACTTGCATTATTCAGTTATACCTTAGTTCCAAAATAACTGACAGTGACTCATCGTTTAACAGCCATTTTCACCAACGTCTGTTAAATCGCTAACAGGGAGATAAGTCCTTATCAATCTGGTAACGTCATATTTTGGCATTCACCAATGTCAGTTAATACTTAACAGTCAGATAAGAGTAACAGAGCAAAATCGAACTGATAAAAGAATTAATTAACAAACTGCTAACTTCAATTCAAATGACGAAATTATCAAAGTTGACGACTATTTTACAGTCACATATAACATTTTAATTTTATACCTAATATAATGGAGTAGTTAAAGAAAAAAGGTCACGAATTGTTCAATTCATCTTCCGAATGTAATGATAGTAATAGAGATTAAATAGATAGAAATATTCAGAAATAGAATTTAAAAATAGATTCAGATTGAAGAAAGATGGAATAACCGCTAGAATACGGTTATTACAGTGTTTATCTTTTTAAATATACAAATTTAACATTTATACTAATAATTTAGTAATTTCTGGTTATGAGTTCCTCATGAAGTTTGGAATAATATTGTAACACCTACTTACTATCACTTCAAATATCGTCGTGAAGAGCAAATATTGCTAACCGACTAAAAGTCTAAAACATAACAAAAAGTAGCGGCTAAAATAATATTAAAAATTCTGTCTCCATTAAAAGTATCAAGGAATTTAGCTGCTTCATTGATATTTGACTAATTTATAGGGTAATATGATTGTAGTACATAATTCGTTTCGTTTTTCTAGGTGGACGATTTGTTCCCAATATGGAAATTTTAAACGACGGTGTTACATCATTAAAAATGGTATCCCGAGCTGATAGTATCCTCGGTAATAAAACTCCCACATCGCCTTTCATGTACGTTTGGGACCAAGAAGACCTTGAAACGGAAAGCGGCTCGTTTCAAGAAGAGGAGCTGTTGAGCGGCCAAGGAGACAGCAGCGGTTCGAGAGTAATATTCGTGGTTAAATTAAAAGGAGATATGGACGTGATGATAAGCCCATTGCTTCTAGAAACGTTACAAAGGTAATACGAGCCCAATCGTACACGATTTTAGATGAGTTATGGTTCTTTTTTTGTCTGTAGATACATAGACGCTCTTACTCCGACTGTTGCCAATTTACATCCTCTTACTGTGATAAATCATCTCCATACGTCTTGTATCGGCCAGGTGGAATCTGCGAATATTTTGAAAACGACGGATAACGTCTCTAAATTGTGCCAACCGCCTAGCGAAGATGGTAAAATTAAAGCCCTGAATATATACGAAGAAACAGTAAAAACGCAACTACAAGCTGCTATATTCTTACCGAAGGTTTGATTTTTTTAAAGTCTCTTTATTCGCGATTTTATGTAAAGTTACTATTTTTTTATTTAGGTTAACGTAACACTACTCCAAGCATCAATAGTGGAGGAAATTATTTCATTTTCGGCACTCGATAACATCAAAGATTTGACTTGCGTATCGCTGTTTTCCGTAAGCTTCGACAATATTATTGTGAAATTGCATTGCGACAAACAGGTAAAAATATTTCTACAGTTGGTGCAGAATTAATGTCAATGCACGTCATTACTGTCGTCATACTTGCCAAGCATTGTGCCGAACTTTTAAAAATAAATACATAAAATAGATTAACCTTAATAGCTGCAAATTAATTTTTATATTAAAAAGGGATGATAGAAATTGTTAAAAAGCAGAATTAAATCATCCAAGAAAATATGTATTGTCAAAATTCAACGTTTGTATATTAAATTATTAGGATTTTTTTATAGTAGGTTGGTAAGCACTGACTGTCAAGTTGCATAGTTGCCGTTGCCATCCGATCGGTACTTTTAATTTTTAATTTCTTCTCCTTTTTTCTAGTTTACTATCCTCAACTACTAAAGACTATTCAGCCGAATAATCAAGAATAAGAATTTTTCGCGTAGTTATCTTTTCCACGTGTTAGAAATTTGAGACACAATTTGAGCTCTAAATAATTCCGATTACTTATAATTCTAGATAATTCAGAAATTTTACTATGTACTCTTTTAAGGGTCATTTGTGCACTATTGTTTTTACTCGCACTGTTAAATATATTTCAGATGATAAAGGAATTTGATAACTAATTATAGTAAGCCTCTGAATACGTCCGTCGTTTAAAAACGTGAAACTACTGACCCTACTTTTCATTTAGTTCTTGTCATTTTGCCATTTGACAAGAAAATTCTTGGTTTTTGTAAGCTCTATAAAAGTTCGGCAACACTGCCTACTTGTGATGTACTAAATCATAGGTGACGTATATTGATATTTGTTTTGCGCCATCTGTATATCCTTCTTATTAAATTTGAATCCTGAAATGTTTTTTTTGTTTAGGCCAAAGAAGTGTTGCAGAAATTTTTAAAGCCGGCTGTAGTTCGCAGCGGCAGCAAAAAGGGCGCAAATAGGGCAAAAATATTACTAGGTTTTCAAACTAATACGAATTCAGACGTTATACAGTGCGATCCTGTCTTCATAGAGAGTTGTGAAAAACAACAACAACAGCTCGTAGTGAGTCTGAATATAGGAAAAATGCACGCTCAATTAAGGAGATTGAGAAATGAAAGTTCAATACTGGACGATGCCGTAATAACGGCCATTCCTAATTACAAATCCAAAGTTTTGTTCACTCCGACGAAAGTTAGATCATTAAGTAGAAGTATGGAGTATTATCTACAATCATCAATACCAGAAAGCCAGGTAAATAACCACTGTAACAAGTAATTATTAACTAACAATTGTAATAATTTCAGAGTATCCAATCTGATGATGGTAATATGGAAGATAAATTGGGTTTCATAATGTTCGAATGTGGTCTCGAAGGAATAACGATTAAAATCGTAAAGAAATCATTGTTTGAGCACATCGAAGACGATCCTCCCATCGTAGATAACGCTGAAGTGACGGATGTATCTGATAAATCCACACATACCACACCAAAACTCTCCGAAGTTAAGGGACAGGCGCTGCTAACGCCCAAAGTTAAGGATAAGGAAAGAAAGCCTCAAGAAGATTCTACTACAAAACAAGAAAAACCAACTGAAACTAAAGAACTTCCGATCGCGACTAAAGACAATGGAAATGTCTCGTCTTGCGTCATCGAATTTAAAGTTGTTTGGTTTAATTTTGCCGCGCCTCCCAGAGCTCCTATTACAAGAAAAATCGACTACACAAGGTAAGCCTATACAGGGTGTTAATTAATCGTGTGCCGATACTTCAGGATGTGCATATTCGGATGATTTTATGAAGAAAAGTTTATATCAATATATGTTCTAAACCTCTTGGTTTTCGAACTACGGGGTGTTACAGTTTTAGTAAAAAATAACTTCTCTATCATAATTTTCTTATTACTCCAGATATTTATATGAAATTTCAGACTTAGACATCACTGTTAGTACTAGAAAATTAATTTATATCCCCCCAAAAAAGTGTGTAGAAGCAAAATGTAAGAGAAAAAGGTTTTAAACCAAAAAAAAAAAACTTCCTGAAGAGTTCCTGAAGAGTTACGAATCTGAAAATTTAGGAGCAAGGTATATTCAATGTTACGCGTTTTTCTAAAATATTTTCAACCCTGGATTCTGATACCTTTTTTTTCTAGACTTAGATGATTAGTACTATATGCTAAAAATATCGAAAATGTCCAAACACTGTTCTAAATGAAACTAAACTGGGTTTTCATGGTCTCTTTACAGGACGTTTAAAATTGTCTGAGAAACTTGGCAATTTTTAGGCATTGAGCAATGGATATTTTTAGGCTCTTTCGATCCATATAAGTATTCCCAATAACCAAATCCAGTTGTTTTTGAAATAATCGACCTTTTATTAATAATGCAATGGTAATAATCTTAAGTCACATGGCTGAAAATATTTTAGAAAAACTCACAAATATATTTTACCTTACTCCTAAATTTTTAGATTTGTAATTCTTTAGGAACTCCTATAAGTGATTGACTCCTTTGATTAACTATCATATACATCTTGTAAACATTACAAAATTTTTAGATTGGACTGGAATTTACTAAGTACAGCTTCGCCTGCTATCAACGCTTGGATGAATCCCAGCAATCGCTTGGCAATTCGAGTAGTCCACATGGTTAGAACAATGTATAAAAGGTCTACAGCCACTATTGCCTGTTTGATGGCGGAAGCTTTGGAAGGTCAACGAATAACGTTAAACAAGGTTTAACACCCAACCATGAAAATTACCTTACGTTTATGATAAACATTATGATATTTTAGAGCCGATACGGCAAATTAACGCCTCTGGCGCAAACCCTCCAGGAAGATCCCAGTTTGCAATTGTGCTCGATATTGCAGAAATATTATTTGGAAACGAATCCTTCCTATATCGAATCGAATCTAAGAGAATCCGAAGTGCCGCAACTCTTCACTCTTAGACAAGGCGTCATTGTTCTGAGTAGGCAATGGAAAAATACGCTTTACACGCCGTTGATGCCTCAGCATTCGGCGAAAAGTCGACTCAAACCGATAAACGTTACGATAACAGTGCCAGATATACAGGAGGTACGATTTTTTTCGTTTTTTTATTCTTTTCATAGTATAAGTGCTGCTATAAATAAAATGTTAGAAGTTTCACGTTTTGGTAGAATATTTTATCTAAAGTTTGTACGTTTTATAATGGCAATGACGTCATTATTAGTAATTTCTACGCAGTTCAAAATTTCCCTAGTGCCAATGTTATTTCTGCCATGTGACTAGGGGAATTTTACCTAGCGCGGTTGAATTGACTACGTTTTGACTACAATTTGTTGTTTTTGTGACTTTCACGGCGACTTCTAGATAGTTCTAAATGATTCTGTAGCGTTCTAAATGATTCTAGACAATACTAAATGATTCTGGAGCGTTCTAAATGATTCCCAGCGATTTTTCCTTTTGTCCTGTTAAATTTTGTTTTTTTAAGTTTACGAGTGGTTTTTGTGTTTTCCCTCGTTTTTCTGTGTTTTTTTGTAAGTTTTTGATGTAATTTTCGTGCGTGTGTATTATAATGTTCAGGTTAATTAATAAGTAATCATTAGCTCATTTCTCCTCTCGATGTTCTTTTTCATGTTTAATTTAAATTCCACTGTTTGTGACTTTTTTTTATTTCGTAAACATTGAAAGTAAACATACCTTAAATTACATAATGTATCTGTCATATAAAGAAATTTAATTACAACCTGGCAACGTTGCAACACTCTGACTCGTGACGTCATTGTCATTTTAAAACCTACGAACTTTATTAAAGAGCCTAGTTGCGGTCTATAAGACTATTGTAAGTACTAAAATGGGGACTAGAATATACCATTAAAACATTTCATGTGTATTAAACGTTTAAGGCAGTACTGGACAATAATGTGTTAAAATGACACAGCAGTTGTTAAGTCTTAAGCAGCTCATTAATTATTTACATTTCAGCTAATATTATTTTATTTGTTTATCGTTCTCCGCAGCGTAGAGGTATCATTTTTTTAACAAGTTAACTGTATTCAATATTGTAAGTACCTAGGTAAGCATGGCAGAATCGAACATTTCACTACATTGCCTGATAAAACTGTTTAATTTTATTAAAAGTGACTTACGAGTATTATAAATTCTCTATTTTCAACCTATCTAATTTGTTATTTCATCCAGATGAATATGTTAGCAGCTCTTATACTAATTGATTTTTTTTTATTCTCAGGTGAACCATAATTTTGAGAATGACTATAGAGTTAAAAACAGTAAGAAATTTAAAACTGTTTTATCTCAGTCCATAGCTTTTACCTCACAGCATTAACTCTCATTATTGGTGCTACGATTCCATTTCGAAACTGTTAAAAACCGGTAGTTTAGTTTTGCGCTTATGGTCATTTAAAAAAATTTTAACGTTGGTTCAAATAAATTCAATTGCATCATAATGTGCACGAAAAATTGTCACTTTTGGGAACCTTTGTACGAGTATCACAAAGTATATACCATTGAACATTATTTGAACTGTTTGCCAACGTTAAAATTTAACTCTTTACAAAAAACGTGTATTTTTTCTGCGGCACCGCGATATTTATTTGTACGTATTTTTTTTTCGCTGTATTCTCACTACTTTTCATTTCTTATTGACAACTTACCACCATTTTTGTGCTTTTTTTTATCACAAACAGGAAACGTGCATGACGGACGGTGAGGCAAGCGGAAATGAAGAGCCTGATATTACCGACGAGCATGCGCGGTTGCTACACGCTGGTATCATTCTAAAGCCAAACGCTCATAGAAACATGGGTAGGTTAGGTAAATAACACAAGTTTCACGATTGTTGTGGTAGAATAGCCCCCTTTTTATGTCAGTCGGGTGAATTTTATGAAAACTAAATTTCGGTTTATTAGAGTAAACCGAAAATAGATCTTGATTTGATATTACTTAATTTTTAATAATTGATTACGTTAAATGTTTTTATGAATTGGTTTTTTTGTCCTACCTATTTTTTGTAAATAATATAATGGTGTTTAAAATTTGGTTTATTTCACGTTTGAATTCAATAAATTTTGAGTGATTTTTAAGCTTTTTTGGAATATTTGATTAATAATTCATATATTTTTGTATTTTTTTTGAAATTATTTAAATTTATGGATTACAAATCACTCTGTTGTGTAAAATAGTTAAACTGCTTTTTTTGTGTCTAAAATCCACGCAATTCATTCCAGTAAAACACGAAATATGCGGAATATACATTGCTGCTAACAATTATTGAAAAAATTTACCAAATTTACTGTGTATATTCTGTATATTTTAATAGTTGGCATAGAAAATAAAAACACTTACTATACAGGCACATTAGTACGAAAAAGCTCATGTCAAAAAAGCCTTATTACAAAAGTTGTAGATCTTTTTAAGTTGCATATTTTCAAATTAGTTACATTTATACAGAGTATCCCGTTTTTCCGTGGTAGACCAAACATACATTTTTTTTAAATGGAACACCCTGGTTTTATTCAAACAATCAATTAAAATTGAAGAAAATTCACGTTTAAACCATTCAGTATAACATTATACAATATTATATTTTTTGAAAGCTGAAAACGAGCTAAATTACATTTTTGAATAAAAAAAAGGGTGTTCTTAAAAAAATATATGTTTGGTCTACCTCGGAAAAACGGGGCACTGTATAAATGTAACTAATTTTAAAATATGCAGCTTAAAATAATCTACAACTTTTATAATGAATTTTTTTGATATCTTCTGCAATAACTGATATATTAAGCTTTTCCATACCTACTAATGTGCCAAGCTGTACATACAGGGTGTTCTGAAATAAGTGTTAAACTTTGGGAGCAAGTAGGGAACCTCAAAAGATGACAAAAACTTATGTTTTATCGAAATGTCAATTTTTTGAAAGAATTTGTTCCTACTTGGTTTTTAAAGACAATATTTTAATTATTTTGTGTATCAGAATTTTAAGTCATTTTCCGTGAAAATGGTTCACTTTACGGAAAACCAACAAGTATAGGTTAAAGGTTAATATAAAAAAGTTAAGTTAGAATTATCCCACGAACCTCCCATTTTAACGCACCCCAGGACAACTTTTTTAACCCGATTGAATGAATAGTGCCGTAAGACATTTCATTTGCTTAGTATGTGTACCAAATTTCATTATTTTACCTTTGCTATTAATGAAATTATTAATAAAAATGCCTCTTTAAGAATCCATCTTTAACACCCTGTATACCGATAACCAAGGAAATTTCGATAAAATGACATTTAAGTTTTTGTCTTATTTTGAGATTCTCTACTTGCTCCCAAAGTTTGACCACTTGTTTCAGAAACACCCTGAATAATGGAATTTTAGTGTTTATATTTTCTTTGCGACGGATCCATTAACCCTTATTATTATTACTATTATTATTATTAGCCCAAACGAAGGAAATATTGAGCACCCTGCAACCATCACCACATATTTCTAAATTCGGCGATTCTTCAAATAACACGCCTCAAGTAGCAGTCGTTTCCGGCGGCGTCGAAAGCGTTTTAACATCTCCCAGTCCTCCAGGTAAGCTCTACTTTTTAATTCACCGTCGAATCGACAATAATTTCGTACATTTCATGCGTTCATTGCGATGTTATAGTACCTCATAGAAAACGTAGGAAGAGCGCTCTTCCTCCCCTTCAACCTCCTAACAGCAGCAGAGCCAGTGTCGTCTTACCGCTTTTAACAAATGCTAATATATTCTCATCAAAACGCCCGGAAGATACCATATGTGAGTGTTCTAATTTTAATTCCTTCTTGTAGTTGTGTTAAACAAACTCTAATGTCTTTTCTCTCCAATTTGGGGCTGTTTCAACGTTCTTGTTTCGATTGAATTGAAACGATTTATTACAATTTTTTTTGTGTTCTAGGCTACGGTACACTCCGCGGAGAGAAACCCTTCGGGAATCTAGGCTCGGATCCTAGTGATGCGTGTAGTCATTCTAGCCCAGAATTACCGGCTAGTCCTTTCCATCGTAACTTGGGTCACGATCATTCCTCGGAGGACTTGTACAGCTGGATGGCCAAGCAAGACACTGTCACGTCGAATTTGGAAGGTAAAAACATATAATCGCGCATAAAAATAATCTGTTTAACTTTAAATGTCGCTTTTTTCGAAAACAGAAGGATTAAACCTCGGCACTGAATATAACGATATGGTGCTTAGGAAAACTAACCTTGGTGAGCCTAGTTTGTTCTTCTCAATACCTGCATTGTTTTTAATTTGAGTCGCTCAGCGCCAGATGGGGCCCAATAGCTGCTGTCATGCAATCAGGAAAAGTGCTGCGTATTTTCCATATTTTACGTCCACATTGGCCCAAATGAGCTTTTCTAGTTCACTAATAGATACAGGGTGTTAATTAATTGAGTGCCGATGCTTCAGGGTGTCAATATTTGGATGATTATAACATGAAAAGTTTATCAATATACATATGTCCTAAACCTCTTATTTTTCGAGCTACAGGGTGTTACAATATTAGAAAAAAGCTATAACTTTCCTATCGCAATTTTCTTATCATTCCAGATGTTCCTATAAAATTTTGTACTTTTTAATTATTAAGAAGCACTTTTTGAAACAAAAGATTTTTTTAAATTTTTACCAGAGACGTCCGTACGGGGTTTGAATTGAATATGTTTGAAGAAATAATGGTACGCCACTACTTTTTCTAAAAATCTAAATTAGTTTTAAAATCCTCATTTATTTTGGAGTAAATTCGGTCCGAAGACTTACTTTCGTACGACGCACCATTTTCGTATAAAAAAATAACCAACACTATTTTTCCCCAAGTTCTTTGAGACTGATTTTAATATTTTGTTGAAATTTGGTAGGCGCCCACCATGCATGGAAACATTTTTGGGGGACAAAAATTAATATTCTACTATTACCAGTGACGTCCACGTCCGAAATTTCATAAAAATATCTGAAGTAATAAGAAAATTATGATAGAAAAGTTATTTTTTTTCTAAATCTGTAACACCCTGTTGCTCGAAAACTAAGGGGTTTAGGATACAAAAACTTTTCTTTTTAAAATCATCCAAATATTCAATTCCTGATGTATCTGCACTCAATTAATTAACAACTTGTATAGCGTGTATACTTCGGCAATTTGGACTCATGTATACTCGAAATTTCGAAAATATGCAGCACATTTTCCTGATTGATAACAGTAAATGCAATTTTGCAGTTGGGCCACTCTGGTGCCGAGCGACTCATTTATGGTAGTTAGTAGTTTGATTGTTACTAACTATACGTTTGATTTCGAATGCGTACAACACGTTTTGTTATACATTTGGTCCAGTTTTAGGAGTTTTGATTTTTAAATAAATCGAGTGAAGGCTGGATATTTCTTCCTATTGCCTCTCTTTGTTTGAAAGATTTAATAAGGTATTTTTTATTGCACGTTATTTCCTTTTACGATTACTACTGACGATTTGGAAGTAAACCTTTAAATAAAATATCTTCCTTACAGTATCGAATACTACTAAGTACTATTCTTTTTTCTATTCTTTATTTATGACAAACATGCATCAAAACATTAATCACCTATTGAATGTACAAGTTATTTGAAAAAAGTGAATCAATTTGCTAAAATTGAAATATACGATTCTAACATTCATACAAATTTTTTTCTGGCATACCTACACTTGCTTGTAGATGGAAAATCATTTTTAATTGTTTAATAAATTTTGAATACAACTTTTTTAGGTTGTTTAGAATCGAAAATTGATACAACTCACCACACAACAACGACCGATCCGGACATTTTGCCGAAAGAAGAAGCGCCCTCATCGGGCGTGCCTCTCTATCCCATTCAAGAATCAGTTCGACTTTTGGACGCCAATCAAGTGTTCCAGCCCCTGCTGTCTGGTCTGGGAGTTATGCCGCAACAGCTCAGATTCACAACGATGTCGGATTCGAGTAAGAAAAATTATCGCTGTTTCGTTAAAGAGATATTTTTAATGGGAATTTTTAGATGCTGGAAACGACGTTACTACATTAGACGCGCTGGGTTCGAACTTCTGCCTCGTAGGAAACATGGAAACTATGAGAATCGATATAGTCGTGTCGGAACACGGAAAAATCGAGAAGAAGAAGGGGAAAAGTAAAGGGAAAAGATTACTGATCGATGTCGTTTCCGGTAAACCTCACGTTACTAAACGATTACGATTTGAATTAATTGATCGATTGTTGCTTTTGCAGACGAATCGCCTGCTTTCGTGTGCGAAAAAGTCGGCGTCGAATTAGAAATCGACAGAATGACGGATATGGCCGTCAATGAAATGATGAAAACCCAAAACGTTCTCTACATATCGAGAGGGCAATTGAAAAATCACACGAGTACCGTCATCAATTTCACAATAGGCGTACGTTACATTCATCAAAGGGTGAATATGCCGTTGTTGCGACTCTTGCACCAAATCAGCAATATGTACCAGAACGTTAAAGATACGCAGAACGAATTAAGGGAACAACAACCTGTAGATATCCGACGGCCAAAAACTAGCGCTAGTGATCATGCGGATATTAAGCATCATTCATCTAGTATGTATTAGTTTACTACACATTATTTATAGGGTGTCAATTTAGGCTGGGTAGAAAAATGCGTTTTGCTCGTGGAATAAATAGCAAACGCTCAGTAAAAAATTAAAAACGCATTATAAAATAATGAAATACACCTTATACAGGTTGTTAATTAATTGAGTGCCGATATTTCCGAGTGTGAATATTTGGATGATTTTAGGAAGAAAAGTTTATGTCAATATACACTGTGCTTCATTCAGATCGCAACATAGGTTATATAGGCTACACGAGCGATAAAGACAACTCCCATTAGACACTTATAAAGGAAAAAGAAAGGGTGACATTTGTGTCATTGCAACTTTTCACTCTGACGACTGTTATTTTAATTATCTTTCTTTGTTCAACTCATAGAAACGACCATGTTGCGGTCTGAATTGAAGCAATCGGTATGTTCTAAATCTTATAGTTTTCGAGCTACAGGATGTTACAGTTTTAGAAAAAAAATTAACTTTTCTATCATAATTTTCTTATTACTCCAGATATTTATGAAATTTCGGACGTGTACGTCACTGGTAATAGTAGAAAATTATTTTTTGTTCTCAAAAAAAGCGTTTCCATGCACGGTAGGCCCCTACAAAATTTCAAAAAAATATCAAAAGCAGTCTGAATGAATTTGGGAAAAAAATGTTTTGGTTTTTATTTTCGGACCGAATTTACTCTAAAATAAATTAGAATTTTTGTCTCAAAAAATGCTCTTTGATGGTATTAAAAATAATTAAAAATTGCATTAGAAAAAAGATATAAATGCTCGGTAACTAATTTAAACGTGGCAACAGTGTAATTATTCGCTTGTTTACCCAGTCACAGACTAGACAGGACCCAATTTATCTACCAACCTGCCTTCTATTTTCCTCTACTCCTACCTACCCTCTTATGCCTCTCCCTACCCTCTTCTATTCTCCTCTACCCCTACCTACCCTCTTCTACCTTTATCTACCCCTACCCACCTTCTTCCTATCCGTCCTTACCATCTCCTACCTGCACCTCCTGCACCCACCGACCATCCTATATTTTTATTAAATATTTATTATTTTCGAGAGCATATTAATTATATGCCGAGCATTCATTAAACTTTTGAACATCTATTTTTATAAAAGAACATTTATTTTCTTGTCATGCATTTAGATAAATTACGTACTTGGAAAATGCACTTTGCATTTCGAATAATCTGCCAGTCGTTTATAATGATCCTAATTCCACAGCTAATTAGGCACTGCCTAATGACAGCTAATTGCAAATTTGTATGCAATACGGTCTATGCGTGGGTGCAACAAAGACAACTTCCCATGTAATCACATTCACATGTAATGAACAAAGAAAGAGTGATATTGTGGTAATACAACTTGCTCACTATAACCACTGTTATTTTAATAATCTTTCTTTGTTCTTTGTTCAACTCATAGAATTGACCATATTGCAAACACATTTACATGTATCAATATAACTTTCTTTATTCTTTGTATACTTCTCAATACAAATATGTGTACATTTTACAGCTTCCGACATTCATTATCCAGCGGCGGATTTATCGAAGCAGCTCAGCTTGAAAATATCGGATCCCGGTTCTTATTATTCTCAAAACAAGCCGATTATATCGCCGTCGCCCAGTATACGATCTCGTCCGCAGAGTTTCGCCCAAAAACTGCGCTCGACCGGCAAAACGGTCAAAGGTTACGTGAACCTGAGCGAAGGCGCCGGTACGCCCTTGACGATGTCGAGTCCGTCCGGATCGGCGCTCGAACACATTACCGTTTCATCGGACAAAAGTACAGGACGATGTTGGAAAACCATATATTACTTATTGGAACTATACGCTAATATGCCGGACACTAAAACGATACGGCACAGGTTTTCACTCGGCAACGATATATCGGAACATTACAAAGGCAATAGAAAATATGATATTTTAACAGAAATAAAATCCACCGAAGATATGGACAAATCCGATAGCAACGCTCCGTTAAATAACAACAAAGAAGCCAAACCCAAAGGTGAGAATTAATACAATTTAACAATAAAACAAGCAGACGCGTAAAAAATTGTTTATTGCAGGGTTTTCTAACGAGCATACCAAATTGATCGTATTCGGCGTAGCCAGAATCCATCGAACGCGACTTTTGGCCACGCTGTCGGGTCTGAAATTAGAAGCGGAAATCACTAGTTTACATTCGAGCTTTACGTGCCGCAAGAAATCCATTCCTCAAGTATTGGAATGCTCGATAACCGGCCACATCGGTCGAACGATGATCGTTTTACTCGAAGGCGTCGCTCCCAATCAACAGACGGTCGTCAAAGTGACGATCGGAAAGTCACAAGCGCTCTACTCGAGCATCACCAAGCGACAGAAAGACAAGAATTCCGGTCTGCTGACCGTCGGAGCGGTTAACGTAGACATACCCCAACATCCGGTCGCCCTGCACGGAATGGTCACCAGAGGTAGTAAGCAGTTGAGTTCGACTTTGCAGGAATTGCGCGTTACGAGAACCTCCAGCCGGCTGTCTAAATTGCCCATGGAGGAGGAGCAGCAGAGTTCGCCTAATCATCAAGTAAAAGATGAGCCCGTACCGAGCGCGTCTTACAGCAAAGGCGACGTCTCCGAAAAGGGTCTACTCCAACCTTTGGTTATGCAATTTTCCATTATTTTGCAAGTAAGTTGATGTATTCTAAACTTTTAAAATCCCTGCATATTTTACTTGCATAGTAATAATTGTACCAACTTGTTTGTATTAATGAACTTTCGTTTCATAAACCATCTACTGTATTCGTACTTTCGATCCATCGATGTTGATTTTTTTTCAGAGTTTAAGCATAACCGCAGCCCTTCTGCCGTCGCTGCAGGCCCAATACAAAATGGACCAAGTCAACAGCACGGGATTCACCGGCAGCAAAGCGCGCTTCACCATCGATTTGCCGCACCATTCGCTCAGTTTCACCACGAAATTGCCGCAGGGTTACAATCAGAGCGAAGTGGCCGAGACGAATCTACCGTCGGAGGCGAGCATCGCCTTGCCCGCCGTGCACGTCGTCGCCGAATACGTTCCGGAAACGGCGGCGAGCGGCGTCAGAGACGGCCATCGCGGTCCCGAAGGCGTCATCTTCCGGCAAGGGGGCTATTTGAACGCCAACGCCGATATCGGCGTATTCGAACACAGCCTTACCACGGATCTCTTGAATCATCTGGTTTTCGTACAGAAAGTTTTCATGAACGTAAGTTTCGAAATTATAACTAATACGTAGGTGTTTTTCTTATAAAAAGAATGGTATAGTTAAAAGGTGTATTTGCTTGTACCTACTTCAACTAAATGCTTAATTTCGTAGTTTTTACTTCAAAAAATGATAGCATTTACTTCACATAATTCTTAAAGTTAGACTAAAAAAAGTACTAGGAGCAATTACTTCATACTTTGTTTTATTTATTTCGATATCGAAGTTAATTCTATAGAAATTACTAATGTTGTCTAGTATTTCCTCCATTTGAAAGTGTTTGGTGTAGTTTTTATGAAGCTGATCACAGAGCAACTTCATATCAAGTACTTCACCTAAAAAGGTGTTCAAAATGGCATTTCTGTGAATTATGGTAGAAAAAGTAGGGAAGAGGCACAATGTAGAAAATTATTTTAGGCAACTTTCTACAAAATCAAATTCTATCAAATCTCTATCATAAGCACTACGCTTTTAGCTTTAATCCAAACAATGTTAAATGGGTAGCCAATCTCATGAATTTTTGAGAACTCATATTAAGAGTTGGTGTAGATATCGGGATACATTAAATAACCGTGTCAAATTTTTGTAAAAATGTAATTAAAGAAGTTACATAAAAATATGTCGAAGAAAAATGATTGGACTTCTTTTCTTCAAAATGCACAAGAAATAGAATTAGCTAACGATGTTAGATAAAGATATTAGAATAATAAAACCAAAACTTCACGGATAAGAATATTTCAACCGCAAAGGATTTGTAGTATTAATGTATGCAGTTCTAAAGGAATATTCACGTCTGTAGATGCATCATGGCCAGGAAGCCTCTTCGTATTAGTCTTAGTATTTACTACTAGTTTATACTTTTAAACAAAGTAAACACTTCCCATCGAAAAATTTTCTTCATGGTAAAGATTATTCTCCTCAAAATACTAAGATGTAAAAGCTCTTACTTGAAGAACAAGCAAATACTCCTTTTAATCACACCACTCAATCTCTTGGGTGGTAGTCCTTTTAGTCTTTTTCCCGTTGGTCTTTAAGTCATAGTTGTCTTAGTTAGCCGGTTCTCGTCCTTTCTCTCTACGTGCTCCTTCAATTTCTTGTTCCTTATTTTAAACCACTTTATTACGTCTTGAATAATTACATCGTTCCCTAATGTTCTAATAATCGTTCCCATTTGTTAATCTATCCCATATTGTTACTCCTATTATAGATCTTAATTTCTTCACCTCTGGCGCTCTCATGAGCAAACCTAATAACTAATAACGATATAATTTACCCGTTTTTTACCGTTAGGAAGTCAACGAAGTAGTACAAAAAGTATACGGCGGTGAAAGACCCGTACCGATATGGTTGGAAGATTCCGAAGAGCCATCGAACATTAAAAGATTGTTATTTTCTTTGGTGATTAAAATGCAACGCATGCAACTTACTGCTACAACGGCCGGTAGTTCGGCTGTACGTCTAGAAACAGGTACAACGCCTTGTATTTAACACCACTCGCTTTTGATTGATGTAATTGATTTTCTTATAGGTGCCGTTATTTTGGAGTTGTCCAACAGAGTTCAGAATTTATCAGGTTCGGCGAAACGAAACGCCAACACTAGGCTCTTTGGGAAAGCCCAAATCGATCTGAACGTATCGTTGGGCCAGTTAATAAGAAACGCGGTATTCGAAGAAGCCGACATAGAGTATCAACCTGTCGCTTTTTTCAATACGAGAATAGCGCTCAGAAACGCTTTTCAAGTAAGTTCCTTTTTAGCAATGAACGTAGTGATTTATTTAAAAATATCCCCTTCTTTAAGGACGAACTAATCGAAGGCGAAGACAAAGAAGTGGTGCTAATAACGTTAAAACGTCCGCTTATATACGTTCAACCTGTCGCCGTCGACAAGGCCATTTTGGTCTGGCTGAACTACAAAAACGCCTACGAATATTGGACGGAGAAGCGGGCCAATTTGAACAAAGAGGCCCAAGGAACGACCCAACAGGTTTACGAGAAATTCCAATTCGGTCAGCTCACCAGCCAGCTCAGCGCACCTTACGTCGGAACGCTGTTTCTACAACTCACAGTCGAAGATATGGGAATTTGTCTACCCCTCAATCCATTGCCGCTAGCCACCTGGAGCCAAAGGAACGTTTACGACGATAACAGAGGAGCTGTCGTTATAACATTAGAAAATACCAGCATATCAGGTACGAAGAAATAGCCCAAATTTGCGCCGATTCTTACTCGCAATACGTTTTCGCAGCCTGTAATTCCGGTTCGCTCGTCAGCAAAGGAAAGTTCTCGAATCTTTGCCTCCGTTTCGCCGACGATTTCGAAAATTCCCTGGACGACTGGAAACCCGACATGACCGATTCCTCCATCATGAATTTGTGCGTGGTCACCGAAGGCACGTACGAAGTGTGCAGCAGGACGCTCGCAGCTAAACAGCCCAACGGTAAACCGTTCGTATCTAATCAACAAACCGTTTTCTTTAGCGATCCAGTTTCCAGAAAACGCCAAGTGGATACTGAACGTGCAATGGCAAATGGAGGGCGTCGACATTCAATTGGACACGAACGTCGGCAAGCAATTGTCCGCATTGGGTTACACTTTGACGATGCTGACGGGCGCCGAGGACAATACGGGAATACCCTTCGATTACGATAGCGACGACAACGAGCCGGGAGACGGGACGAGAACGTCGCAGGAGAGCATCCTGCCGGCCTTTATGTTCGATCCGTCGTTGGACAACAGGAGTCGATCGAAGCTGATCGAAAAAGAGATGAACGAACAGGCGAAGATCATCAACGATCTCAGATCGCTCGGCGCCTCACACGGCACCATTGAAATGGAGATGAGGAGATTGCAGGAACTGGAGACGATGGTTAAGAAAGATTTCAGACGGTACGTTGAAAAACATTCTCTTGTGTAATGCTAAGTGTCCATTTGAAAAACAAACTCATCGTTTTTGGTACTATCGAAAGTAACTAGAAAAATTCAAATGAAATCAGTATTCTGAGAGTGCTCTCCAAAAGTAAAGGTACATAACCAAATAGTGAGAGACCAGCCACATCATCTATCGTTTATTTAATTACCCTAGTTCCTTTACTACTCTTGAAGGAATATTCAAACATGTAATTTGTTAAAAATTAAATGGTTTTAAAGTTAAAAATAAAAAAGAGGTTTTTTTCTATATTGGGCACAGAATGGCTTAATCCTCTTTATGAAAAATTGTACAGAATATCTTTGGTGACAAATTCTGCATTGTGTATTTTTTTAATGATCAATCCGTCTCAGATATATTGGATTGTCCTATCTCCTTAAAGCCCTTATTCTTCAACCCATGTTATTTACCTAATTTTTTAATTGAAACTAGATTTATTAGATTATTTATAATAATTTTAGAAAACCCAAATTTTTGGAGATAAATCTCAATTTTTGGCATCTATACAATTTTTAATTCACCAATAAATAATAATAATTTCTGTTAATAATAAAAATAATTTCATAGCACCTTTTTAACAGATCCAGTTATTTCATCAAAAATCTCGTTATTAGTCATTATACAGGTAGAAAATGTTAAAGTAAAAAATATATTTGTTAATAAAAGTAAGTTAATCTGTTAAAAAGGTGCTAACGTGCTAAAAATGTTCCAAACTGTAGTTCACAAAACTCTCAGCACAAACCTAGTGGACACGGTCCTGAGATTATGAATTTTATAAAACTCGCAACTAGCATTTTGGACACTCTCAGAGAGTAAAAATTAGCAAGTTTGCTCTCAAATAAACGAAGGCCTGAGAGTAGGTAACTTTCGAGAGTTGCACTCAAGAAAACTCTCAAATGGACAGGTAGCATTCGTTTACTCCGAATGATGATATTACACGTTGTTGTTTTTTTTTTCTAGGGATATGTTGCAAAAACTTCGACGTCAAAGTGTCAGAGCGTCGTCGATAAAAGGGAAATTCGGATTAGGTTCGAAACAAAACACGTTTAGATCTAAATCGTTCGTTGTACCTAGCCCGATGCCCGAAGGAAGAGACAGGTACACTATGACGATTGTAAATTTATTTTAATGGGCTGGCACTTTTTCTATAGTTTTTTCTTTTATTTTTCTAGCACCTTATTCTTTTTCTTTTCTTATTTTCTTTAGGTCAAAATCTTTAGTAGTTGTTCCTAGTTCGAATCATGACAGTCATAATATGAGGTTTGTATTGAGGTTTTCGTTGTAATTTTTTTCTTGAAACAATTAATATAAACTCTTCACAATTTTTTGCATGTATAGTTAACGCTTAATCATAGTTGCTTTTACAATTTTAACGTTGCTCCATTCACTTTAGTTAAAATAATTATTACAATAATTGCTACAGATTGTTCTAATTTAAACACTGAGATTTAACAAGATACTTAATTAATTCAGTTTTTTATATTTAAACGTAATACATAGTTCATATTAGAAGAATCTTTAGGAGTAAACATTTGTATTTATTAATTAGACAAAACTCTTATGCTTAAGGGCACAAATCTCTTAACACTCTTACACTAAATATTTCACTATAGCAGCGTTACACTAAATTTTTAAAATAGCGACATATTTATTTTGTTGTTAATTACGATAGTTTTTACGGCTTTTTGTATAACTTCTAGCCCGGAAATAGCAAAAACCAGCCTTGAAACGAATGTAGCTAGTAGCTATGAAAGTTCACCTAAATCTGGACCCTCACGATCTGCATCATTAAGGGTAAAAGCGGGAGACGGTGGTCCTAAAGTGACTTTCAGTGACACTCAAACGATGGGAAGGTAGTGAATTTTTTTAATTATCTTTTTTGTTCCCTTCGAGTTATTAGTTTCGAGTTTTGATTAGATACGTATTTACTCAGAAATTGAACCGTGTTGTGCCGAAAACATCGTTTTGGGTAATGTGCAATTATGATAAAGAAGCTTTCTTCGAGTAAAGAGATACTGTACATAGATTTAGTTGCAGTAAATTTCAGTTTTTATAGCTTTCGTTTATTTTACGATCACATTGCACTTACACAGTATACTTGTGCTCAATTTCGAAAACAAATTCGAATCATAAACGTTTCAAGTGTGTAATATACTGGTATAACAAAGTAGATTTAAAGTGGTTTAAAGTCGAACTTTTGCTAATATTTTTTTGCGTTTTAGACAAAAATCACTACCTAGCGCTAGTTCGGATTTGAGTTTACCAGAAACTCAACTAGCCGATTGGGTAGATCAAATCGACATCGACGGAGAAACGGTGACGCTTCGAAAAAAACTACCAGCTTCTTATGATTCAGTTGAAGGGTAAGGATTCCTCGATTTTACCATTAATGGTAGTAATTAATGTTGGTCGGTTTTTTTAGATCCGTTTTATCCGATTCGTTCTCGGATCATACCCTCAATTCCCCTCATTTCCAAACAGGAAACATGAACACCTCATCCAGCATGCCTCAGAAATCTCAAGAACCGAATATAGATCTAGAATTGGACGTGAAAGTGTTCATAAACAGCGGAAAGTGCGCTCTACATACCAAAGATCCAATTAGGGAAGAGGAGGCTAAAATGTAAGTATTATACAATTTTCGTTAATGTGCTTGGGTTAATAAATTTGTATTATGCTTTTTTAGTACGAGAATGAGAAAAGACAGAAGTTGCTCAGCGGGTCTTTTGGAATTTCCGACATCTTCTAGTCCGGATCCCATACGACGCAATAAAGATAAAATCGCTTTTCAACATAGCGCTTCTAAACTTAGAGGTTCCGCTCATAATTCCATTTCGGATATTACCATTTTCCACATTCCCGGAATGGATGTTAAGATTCAATATCAATCGAAGGTAATAAACTGATAATAATTCGCGTTATTTATGATTAGAGCTAGAAAATATGGTAAAAACAAAGCTCCTACATCATTTAGGTCAGTCTGAAACGATTTAGAACGGTCCATATTCATTTAGAACTTTCTAAAACCATTTAGAACGCTTCAGAACTCTATTTAGAACGGTTAATTGTCATTTAGAACGCTAATCATTTAGAAATGTCTAAAACCATTTAGAATGCTCCACAATCATTTAGAACGGTTTAGAACCATTTAGAACGCTTCAGAACCCTATTTAGAACAATCATTGTGGTTTAGAACGCTATATGATCATTTAGAACTGTCTAGAACCATTTAGAACGCTATGCAATCATTTGGAACTATTTAGCACCATTTAGAGGTCTCCAAAGTCATCTAGAACTGTCTTGAATCATTTAGAGCTGTCTAGAATCCTTTAGAACTCCAGAATAATTTAAAATTGTCTAAAACCATTTAGAACGTTCCAGAATCATTTAGAACAGTCTAAAATAATTTAAACGATCCAGAATCATTTAGAATTATCTAGAACATTTAGAAAGCTTCAAAATCATTTAGAGCAGTTCAAAACGATTTAGAACGCTCCAGAATCATTTAGAATTATCTAGAACATTTAGAAAGCTTCAAAATCATTTAGAGCAGTTCAAAACGATTTAGAACGATCCAGAATCATTTAGAACTGTCTGAAACCATTTAGAACGGTCCATTCTCATTTAGAACCCTCTAGAATAATTTAAAACGTTCCAGAACCGTTCAGAACACTATATTAAGGAGTTCGCAGAATCAGCTTTGGGTGTTTCTTTTAGTTACCCGAATTTGCAAGGAATTGTTAACGTTTTTATTTCATTATTCCTTGTTAGGTTTAACGTATTTTAATTATTTATTAAATCTATTATCACTCGCTATTATCACTTTACATGAATTTTGCATATATTCCATGCTCTATTTATGATATTTGTATTCTGAAATGTAGGTGATAACTGAAGACAATACGATGAACGAAAGGACGGAATGTTCCCCAGACTTCGACAAAGCATTCCAACAAACGCCGACCAAATCCCAAAACGAATTCGATCAAATCCGTATCGACAGGGCGTTTAAGCGACAGGAAACCCATCCGGTCGACGTGAAGCCGAAACATCTGGCCGAATTCGAACTGAAAAGTTCCAATTCCATGCAGGGCATCACGAATCCGAATTACGGACACAGTCCCACGTCCAGCCTGGACGATTTGCAATTCGGCAACTTTACGCCGCACAGCGAATTCCAGAAAACCATAAACATACCTTTCGTTAAGAAATCCGGCGTTAAAAAAGCCTCTTTGTTCGCTTGGATGACGCTGCAAAGCGTACCCGAAGAGACCATCATCAGTCCGCACATACTCGAATTTTTGGAGCAAACTTTGGAGCCGATACCAGTCAAAACGATGTCGGAAGCCGGTAAGAAAAATACCTCGACTAAAATTTAAAAAAAAACTACTCGTTTGTTAATGTTGCAGATACTTCTTTGCTAACAACCGAACAAGATTTATCGACGTACGGCAATTACGTGTACGCAAGTTTTCCAGTTGACGTTATCGTGTATTTTCATATGCAACCCAGCACGTTCAGATTCAGTTGCTTGCCTGTTTCGAGAGTGGAGTGTTTGCTGCAATTACCTTCGTTGGATATAGTTTTCAGTTCGAAGAGAGCAGAGGATGAATTAATTTACAGGTACTTTATACGTGATACTCGAAACAAACTATGCAATGCTAACGTATTTTGCAAATTTTAACGCAATGTGGTAAATTCTGCGCGATGGGCAAATATTAAAAAAAACTAACAGTGTTCTTAGAATAGGAAAGTTTCAATACCACTATACCCTGAATAGCCTAGATTTAGCTCCTCTATCTCGCAAAAAGTTCTAATTCTTTGTTGTTTTACTACGTTTAAGTAAGCAAAATTCCTTCCATCTGCTACTATTTGAAGATTGGACAGGTTAATAATTTTGATTTTTAGAAAAAGCAGTGGCGTACCACCATTTTTTCTTCAAACATATTCAGTTCAAACTCCCTAATAAGAAAATTATGATAGGAAAGTATTTTTTTCCTAAAACTGTAACTCCCTGTACTAAAGGGTTTAGGACATACATTGATATAAACTGTTCTTCTTAAAATCATCCAATTATTCACATCCTGAAGTCTTGACTCTCAATATTGTTACTCAATTAATGCCCTGTATTTTAACTGAACATTCGTTTGCAGCGAATTCGGCGACGGTGCACCGAATACCGCAGCGACTGCAGTAGGCGGATTGAGCGTTACCAGTTGTTTATCCGATTTTTCCGTGTACGTTTTCCATCCTTACGGCGGCAAAAAGTCGGCTATTAAAGAGGCCCAATGGTCCCCTCTATCGGACAGCGAACGTAAGGATTCGCTCTCTATTAACGTGGAATTCGTAAAGTTCCACCTTTCCCGTTCGAGGATGTTGAATTTCAAGCAAGAAATAACGAAAGGAAAAGGAGCCGATCAAAGTAGAGCCGTTATCCGATTCTCGAGTGCGTACTCGCCTTATTTGATTGTATAATTTTAATTTAATCGCCACCTTTTTTTTAGCTATTATCGATATCGGTTCGGCATCGTTTAAGTACGATATGAGAAGATTGACCGAAATTCTCGCTTTTCCGAAAGCTTGGTACAGACGATCGATTGTAAGGAGAATGTTTCTCGGCGATTTAAGTATGACTATGCCCTTCAACGATGAAGACGATTCGTTTTCTTCTCAGGCTTCTCCTAATCTATCAAGGTCCCACGAAAGGTAAATAAATTGTATTGTAGACTCTGGTCCGTGTTCAGTGCCGCTCTTTAACCGTAAAGACGTATTTAGAGAGTCTCTTTAACGTAACAACGTCCATAGTTAGATACTCCATAACAACAATATACAAATGTCAAGTTAAAGACTCGTCTTTAACTTTCAAACGAAAGCGCTGAATGCGGGCGTAAGAGTGTACAGGGTGTAACAAAAACGTGGGTCATGAATTATACTACTATTTACACCTACACCTTGGTGCATTTCAGTTTGCAAAACGGTCATTTTTATGAGTTGAACAAACAAATATTATTAAAATAACAGTTGTTAGAGTGAAATGTTGTAATGACACCTTAGTCCATATTTATAAAAAGCATTTACTTTGAAGGAAAAGGTAGAAGCAAAAGGAAGGAGGAAAATGTTTTGCTTTGATGCACATTTATTCATAATCTCTGCCTTTTCCTAGCAAGGAAACTCAATGATTCTGGAGTGTTCTGGATTGATATAGAGAGTTCTAAAGGATTCTAGAAAGTTCTAAAAGACGCTCTAAGAAGCGTTCTAAATAATTTTGGAAAATTCTAAATTGTTCTAAACAGTTCTAAATGATTCGAGACAGCTCTAGAAAATTCTGGAGCGTTCTAAATGGTTCTAGACAGTTCTAACTCTGTCAGCCATAACAAACTGGGGAAACAGCCAAAATACACAATTTTACATTACAAGCTGTATGATGGCTGAGTTGAGTTACTACTAAAAGTTACTATGAACCTAGACTTACATTTTTACAAGAACATCCTTTTGTTTTTAAGCAAATGCTTCTTTTATAAGTGTCCAATGGAAGTTGTCTTTATTGCACCCTTAGCCTATACAGGTTTCTGAAATAAGTGCTCAAATTTTGCGATAGTGGAGAACCTCAAAATATAAAAACTCAAATGCTATTTTATCGAAATGTCAAGTTTTTGAAGGAATTCATTTTCCTCCTTTATTAAAGATAACATTAGTTAAATAATTTTGTGTATGAGAATTTTAAAAGTCATTTTTCGTGAAAACGATTCACTTTACGGAAAATCAACAAGTATACCTTTTTTATGTAAAAAAACTTTTTCATAATTTTTTCATATTCTTTAAAAAAATCAATAGAAAAGGAATAATAGTACCGTAAGAGATTTCATTTGCTTAGTATGTGTACCAAATTTCATCATTTTACATTTGCTATTAATGAAATTATTAATAAAAATACCATCCATCTTTAACACCTTGTATACCGATAACCAAGGTCATTTCGATAAAATGACATTTAAGTTTTTGTCTTATTTTTAGGTTCTCTACTTGCTCCTAAAGTTTGAGCACTTATTTATATTACAAACTAAAATGAATTAATCTGTGTATCCAAAATGCCTTACAAAACAAGTTACAGCCTTTTTTTAACGCTATTTTTTTAAGGTCAAGTAAATCAGAAAAATCACCTTTGTTGAGCACGAACGAACGAATTAAATTAGGCTTGGATTCCCAGCACAAATTGAAAGATACAGGCAAAACGTTGAGTACCGATTCGAGCAACCATCCCGATACGCCGAGTCCGTCGGATCTGAAGAATTCCTCGACTTGGGAGACTCTCGTACTTTTCGCTGTGAACTTCAAAAAATTAAACGTCCACATGAACATGGGAAACGTCATGGGCAACGTTTCGTAAGTTAAATTTCGTCGATTTCGATGAGAGAATTCGTATCCCGACCTTCCATCACACGACTATTCATCACAACGACCATGTATCACAGCGACAATTCATCATGCCTACATACTTTAAAAAAATATATAAATTAAAACAAGACTTTTGGGGACATCATTGTCTCATGGTCGTGTTCCGATGAGGGTAGAAATTAGTTTTTTATTCGACTTTTGAATTTTTTCTTAAACATTTTAATTTTAATAACTATTTCATCACACATTTATTTACACATGGTAGAAATAGAGTGTAGAAGCAAGTGAATATTCGATTAAAATATGTACTTTCAGGTTTTTAGTATAGCTGTAGCTTTGTCTGGATGCCCAACCTAGCTAAAATATTATTAACTTTTTGCCACTTAGGCCGAAGTTAATATTTACTTTGGGAATATAGCTGGTGACAAAAAATTGAAAATATTTTAGCTGCGTTGGGCATCCTTCCAAAGCTAAAGCTAATCTAAAAACATAAAAGTATTTCCAACGACTATTCACTTGCTTCTACATTCTTTCTCAACCACGTAGAAAGAAATGTGTGATAAAATGATTATTAAAATCAAAATGTTTAAGAGAGAGTGCCAAAACCGAATAAAAACTAATTTCTAAAGTCTTAGAGTCTTGTTTAATTTCACCATTTTTTAATAGGTGTAATGAATAGTCGTAGTGACGAATATGTAGTAGTAATGATGAATCTTCGCCGTGATGAAATGTCGCGTGATAAATAGTCGTGTGATGGAACGTCGTGGAATCGAGGGAATTGATTGATCAAGAGTTCATTATTTGCAGTTGGATGACCAAAGAATTTCGCAGCGACGGACGTTTGAGCATCGGATCGACCGGTCACAAAAATCTTTACATCACTCTAGGCTTAGGAGGGTCGAGTTTAGACGCTAAAGGCGGTATAGTCGGTGGAAATATAGAAATTTCGCGTATCAATACGTACAGTAAGTATGCTTCTCGTCAATTTATCTACGAGGAATGTTTCCAAAGTACTGGGAATTGTGCTCTAATTAAATTACACAGAACTTAGAGGTAATGCTATTGGTGACGGACAAGTCTTGACATGTTTATGCAACTATCCAGTGCAATATTTTCATGTTGCGCATTTTCATAGCACTGTTTTTGTAACCACGGAAGACTGCAAAATCTCAAAGAGCAATATTTTTCTTTTTGCGGATAAAAGGTGTGAAAACATCAGAAATTATTCAGCGTCTGCAAGGAGTGTTGTGGTGAGTCTACAGAATCCAAAAGTACTGTTTATCAATAGAGGTATTTAAAATTTCAAAAACGCTTCTATAAAATCACTGGAATACCTGAATCAGTCGGAACAATATTGCACTGGATAGTTGCATAAACATGTCAAGATTTGTCTGTCACCAATAACATTGCCTCCCAAGTTCTGCGTAATTTAATTAGGTAGCACCAGATAATTCCAACTTTGTAATTTTCTTTGGGGGGATTGGTGTGGAATTTTACGCTGAAATTTTATAATCTTCAATAAAATGAACTAAATTTTTATAAAACAAAATAAAAAAATCGTTACGGAAGCTAATTCCCAAAACTTTGAAAACATAATTCGTATATTTTATTAATAATTGTTGTTTTTGTAGTTTATATTAGAGAAGAAGCAAACGTCGAACCGGATCACAAGTTCAGTTTGCGCCTGCACGCACTCGAATTGCGTTTGGATTATATGGCGACGTCAGTGTTAATGTGCAGAGTGAGCGATTTGAACGTTAACCTGAGAGACGAATGGAAATTAAATAAAGTAACGTCCGCAAGAGATTCATTTATACCCACACGAAGGTACACAAGTATTTATCAATTAATTATTTGACGGCGTAATTTTCGAGGGTATTGCATTTTCAGGCCGGCAAATATCTTTATGCACGGCGTCCTCGGCTGGGACCAATTGCAAATGATGATATCCAAATCGACGACGGCCGATTTGTTGAAGATGTTCAATAAATTGGAGGAGTTCTTTTCGCAGCAGTTCAATAGCAGCAAAAGGGCGTTCAGCGGATTTGCCGGATCGGCGAGACCGCCTAGAGTGACTCCTCAAAAAAGTACATATAATTGCACATAATTAAGAGAATAATTCAATGTTCATTAGAATTCCTTATACTTTGTTTCTATTGGTAAATAGTGAAAGGCGAAATGTTATTGTTTCTTTTACATTTTAGGTCGTGAACCACCGGTAACGCAATTACCACAAATTGCGAACGTGACCGATGCGAGACATCACAGGCATTGGCAGAAGGTTTTGTCTCACGTGGCCGGATTGCAACTTCGTACGATGCCGCTGCCTTTACCCTCTTATGGTACAGTCTTGGGCGGTACGATGGAACTACAAGGGAAAAACATATCGTTGGCATGCTTCCACGGAATCAATTTCAAAAGCAAATCTTGGGCTTTGTTCAGTTTAAAAGAGCCCTGCATTAATTTCAACACCGAAAGCCAAGAAATTCCCGCTAATGTATTGGGAGGTAAATCGATCGAGTATATGTAAACGTTTTGTATTTAATTAATTGGACGGTTTTCAGACGAAATTCCGAAGCAGGACGTACACGTGGTTCAAACATTGACGTGCAGCTTGGGTCTCAGTGCTTACAAAACGCATTTATCAATGGCGACTGTTTGTAAAGTTTCCAGGACCGTTATATTTCCTCCTCAATTCAAAACTCTACAGGAATGGTTCCATTACGCGTTCGCAAACAGTCAAATAGACGGTAAGCAATTACTCGATAAACGGTCGCGTTGAATTTTAAACGTTAAATATTCACAGAGGTGGATAATTTCCCGTCGTTAGAAAGGGAAAAATCGGACGGATCGATGGAAAGAGCAAGAGGATCGACGGCTTCGCCGAAAATGACCGATCATAATCACACTCGAGAAGTTATTTTCGCCCTTCCGAGTCTACAGTTTCATCTGAAAACCGAACATTTACAAACCGCAGACGTGCCTGACCTTTCAGGTGAGAATTTTCCCAAACCAAGTTTATATTGTATAAATCGCTTAATGTTAACAACTTTCTTTACTGTTAAAGGCGAGAAGCCGAACGTCGATTGCAGCTTCATAACGGAATTCGAAGATCACATTTTCGTCACGGTCGACGCCGAGGCTTTCTTCTTTTTGCACGATTTAATCAGCTCGTACCTCAAGGAAAAAGAAAAGGTGGGTGGTAATGTCTCTTAATCGATTGATGTCCAGCGAATAAAGCTTATTGGGAATATTTCAGCTGAGCGGTTTCGATAAGAAACTCGTCGCGGATCAAGAGCGACCGAAATCCTTGAGCGAGACGCCCAAAAAGGGCTCCATAGACGTGGATATTTTCGCGAAGGATTGGCGTAATTACAATTGCAAAACGTGGCATTTGGAGCCGACCGTGCGGTTGTTGAGCGTCGCCGGAAAGTACATAGAACCGTACGGTATCGATTACATTCTTCAAAAGTTGGGTTTCTCGCACGCGCGTACTACCATTCCGAAATGGATGCAAAGAGGATTTATGGATCCCCTTGATGCGATTTTGGCCGGTTTAACATTGAGGATGGTTCAAGTGGTGAAAGGAGATGGTAATAAAGAAAAAGAGGAGAAGCGTTCGATCGAAAGTAGACCATGATAATTTTTGAACGTGTTTTTCAAAAAGTTACCAGTAAATTAAATTTACAATACATGTTAGTTTAAATTTGTGATAATCTGGGTTGTGTGTTAAAAGGGGCAAAGGGAAGAATTCAATGGTCATGGTAATTAGATACCTAAAAAATACATGTGTAGTTTTCGATATTATATCATTAAATATTGTACGTATTACTGTTGCCCTTAATATTGATAGGATATATCTATATATTTATAATTACATTTTATTATTTTTGTATTTATTTTGTTGACTGATAAGTTTGTTAACAACAATTCTAGGATAAATTATATATTATTCAAATTTATTTTTAACTCTTTTTACGAATGTTTTCAGAAAACAATGAACCAAAACCAACATTTTAAAGAACATTTTTTTAGATTTCCCATGAGTTGAACAGAGAGAAAGAGAGAGAGGGTGTTTATTTTTACAAACCATTGTAAAACATCATCTCATGTAAAATCTTTTGTTTTCTTTAGTTTTAATAACCAACACAACATAAATTAAAAAAATACACACCTGTTCTATATTAAATATACAAATAGATAATCTTAACAGTTTAAAGAATACTTATTTAATCCAATATAATTATATTAGTGTTTTTTCTTGCCTTTTTTGCGTTTTGAAGTATCAGATGTTTCTGCTATTGTGACTGTTCCGCTTGCAATATCTTCTTTTTCATCAGATTTTTCAATTACCTAAACGATTAAATACATTTCAGTAATTATGTCCATTTCATTCATCTCTTCTTATATTTTTCGCCATAGAAAAATAATAAATACTTACCCTTTGCGCCTCTATAAAGAACATTAAATCTCTGACTTGCTCTTTTAAATCGCCAATTTCTCTCTCTTTGTGCGATTGTAATTCGCTCAATTTCTCTTCTAGGTTATTAATTTTTGTTTGCCATTGTTGTTGGTTATTTCGTAAAGCTTTTCCTAATTGCCTTTCTTCATTAAGATCGTTTAAAGTAGATGTCAGCCTAAAATATTTTTTATCGTACTGATATTCTTTAGAATTGTAGGATAAAATACTAACTTAGAATGATGTTGCTGTAATTTCTTTTCTAAAGCTTGCTTCTCCTTTGTAGCAGTATTTAATTTTTGCCGAAGTTGTTTGTTTTCTTCCGATAGAGAAGCCATGTTTTCCCGTAAAAGTTTCGTTTCATCAGATAATTGACTTTCTAATCTGCAAAGTTATGTTATTAAGTTGTATATAGTCTATCGATAATTAAAACGCAATAATCCTTACAAGGCCATTTTGTCTTCAAAATACATTCTCTGTTCTTCTAGCTGAGATGTCAGCAGATAAGTAAATTCTAATTGTACCGAATCGACTTTTTCTTGGGCTCCCTCCGATTCCGATGGGGGTCCCTCTGAAGCTACCAATTTTCCGTCGACCTTGTTTTGAAGTAACCGATGAACAAAATTATCACCTACAGTAAACAACATTATTAAAAAAAATTAAAGAAAAAAACTATTAAAATATAATAAACGCATACCTTTATAATCCCAAACACGATGAGATCCTAACTGTAAAGCGTAACAATGCCCCGTTTCTCTATAATGGGAAGCAGCATGTCCACCTTGATATCTACGAAAAAATAATAATGTACTTATGTTGAATTAAAAAAAATAACATTGTTTTACCTGCCGCATCCAACGTGACCGCAAATAAGGCATATCCAAAGACTATCGGGTGAAGGAACGGAAGTTCCACATTCCTCGCACTCGGACATTTCAGCTTGTTCTGGACTTTGAACGCATCTACAAACAGGACAGGTGGCATCGCCCCATTGCTCCAGGCAGCTAGCGTGAAACGCATGATTACAAAGAATGGTTAAAACTCCATCGACAGATTCATCCATACGTTCTAAAAAAACATATATATTCAATTTAAAACGATTAGTCAAGTGATAATATGTGATAGTACCTAAACAGACAGGACACAAGGGTAATTCAGTGTGACCGGGAGGAGGCACCCCATCATGAGCCCATTCTACTTTAGACACCCACACTATGCGACATATACTATCAGGTTCAAGGCTGTTGAACGGAGCTCCGTTATAAGTTAAATAAAATTCCATAGCAGAGTCGTGATTTCTGAAACTAAAAAAAAAAGTTAATTCCGTGCAATAAATTTTAATACTTAATTAGATCATTTAACTGATATTATAATCCAGAAACGTATTATTAGCATTCCTATACTGATAAGTCACCTAGCTATTACAGTCCAAAATCAAATTTTTACAATTTTATATATTTCTAAATATCGTCAGTGATTAACAATTTTTTATTACTTACGTTAAAAGAGCCATGTACTGATTTGGCATTGAATCTCTTAAAACTCTAATGTGTGAAATTTCATCATGGCACGGTGCAGTAAAAGTTAATAAATCGTGACATGTCATACTTGTAGGTACTCCCAAGAGGCACAGTGTAAGAGCGTCCTTTCTGCTACTTAAAACACTGTAAAAATGGAGTAAGCAGTAGTTTTATTAAAACAAGTAAACAGACAAAAACCTACTCTTCTTTGTATAAATGTAAAATTCCCTTGGTAATCTCCACGAAGGGGTTTCCACTGAAAAATCCAATTTCTGAATCTTTCTCCGAAGGTTCTTTTTGAGATTCACTGACTGGAGTCGTTTCTCTCGAATATTTAGGAAGAAGACCCCAATCATCCCGGGGGCTTTCCAAGCGACTCGGAAATGTCTCAACGCTGATGTCTCGTATTTTTCGTTGACCTCTACTTCGTTGTACATTATCTGAAGTTACTACCGCTTCGGCACCTCTAGACTCTAAAGAAACAACCGAATATAAATTGAATAAGGACAAACTCGCCGATTCCTATTTACCTTCGCTTTCTTGCGAATCGTTAACTTCTACCCTTAATACACATTTCGACACTAACTCTGACATGTTTCAATTTTAATTTAGAAAATAATTTCAGGTGTATAAAATAAAGGTAAATATTGAATTATTTAATGACGTTTCGACTTTTGACAATAAATTTTGGGTACATTTGTACTATTTTTGACGTACAAAGTGTCAATTTTTGAACTACACATGTTAAGGCAATTTCACAATTCGCTGTCAGCTGTCATATACTTGAACCAATCGTTAAAGATTACCGAATATCCTTAATAGCTGAAGTCTCAAATGAAGTAGAAGAAGAAGAAATGTAACAATAAATAGTGAATAAAATTTGCCTTTAAAAGTTGATTTTAGTGTTTTATGTGCATATTCGTATTTATTAATTTTATATTTTTTTGTATAAATAAAACTATTAAAAATAAATGACCTTGATAATAAGCACGTGCTGTCAAAATGTACCGCATCTTTGCGCAGTCGCTCACTTAACAAATCCATTTTATCAGCAGCCACTTTTTGGCAGTGAGTTGTGGATACGACAAGAAGGTAAGATTTAGTTTTTTAAGAATATAATTGTATTCTTTTCATCAGAATTATCCTATTTTATTAAGTTTTATTTACTACACATTTTTACTAATATATTTACAGCATTTACACTAAATAATCTGTGATTATTACAATCTTATGTAACAGTAGTAATCTAGTCATTTTCAAAATTGCAACCTGTGCTGTAAATTTGTCCACGTATATTAATATTAATAAACTAGTAGATTATAATTTAGTTAACTAATAGTTACCGGTATTCCAATTGTTAAATTATAAATTATTAGGCCTAAGAATATAGGTTATGTAACGTGTGTCAAAAATTGATTTGATCACATCTTGTCACAAGGTCGTCAATAAAATTCCAAATAAATATTATAAAACAACTCTAACATTGTATACTTTAGATAAAATGCATTTAAAACCGATAATTTCGCTCAATAAATTACTCCGATTTTTGATTTATAGGGCCGATTCACTCTACCAAAGATGTTTTCGAGGTTTTTCAACAAAGCCTCTTGCCAGGCCTCGCAAGATTCCGCAATCGAAGCACCCATGGCCCCTATCACCACAGACAACTCTCCGAAAAATCTAGTTCAATCACTAGTCGCCGGCAGGCAAATTGCTGCCGCTGCTGCTGCAGAAGGAGACAGTTGTGAATTCGGTTCTGCCCATTACTTTGCCTTGTGCGGTCTGGGAGGTAAGCTCTTTCATATCATTCTTTTACATTGAATATTTGAGATTCATTGAATATTTGTTAAATATTAAAGTATTAGAAACATGTATTTCAAAGGTAATTGTTTGAAAAACATAATGTTTGTACTTTTCTTCAAAATGAGTATTGATTATCTGGTGGTGCCGGTCTAGTATGCTGTCTTCTCTATTGCATTTGGTTTAGTACACGTCTGTCCAAATTTATTTTATACAAAGTATTTATTACAAAGTATAACAAGATTTTAAAAATTGGCCCTTCATTGAGCAAAAGAAAAAAATGTGGTATTGTATTATTTATAGAACAGCATGTGGGTAATTCAATTTACCGAGAATTGGAAAAGTACCAGTATTTATTTAAACGTAAATATTCCCATCTTTGCAAAAGAAAAGATTTTACAAGTATTATATTATGCATGGAATAGCAGGTAAATAATTTAATTTATTGAGAATTACGGAAGTATCAGAAATATACAGTTTTTTTCGATATTTAGTACAAGGAAACTGTAGGAGATAGAAAAAAAAGTTTAAATGGACAAACATTTGCAGTTTTGTAAGACATGCTCACAACCAGTTTCAGTTTTGCTAAATACCTGTCAAAAGTATTTAAATGTAATTGGGCGACGAAACATGTAGGTAGCTAAACCTTAAATATTATTATGGTAGTTCGCATATTAGACCGGTACCGATTAACTACTAGTATTTTTACGGGAGTTATTTGAATAGGTGATTGAATAAAGGATAAAATTGCAAAAATATGGCGAATTAAAGTGAGATAGCCATTTTGTTCTAATTTCTCTTATCTTCCCGCTGAGCGCAAAAAAATAAAATTATCGGCCTCCTTCACATCATAATTTTATTGGTGAGTGGAAAAAGGATAATATTCCTGGACTTTTAACCAGGTTGATAACTTCGTTGGCCATGAATGGCTGATTTGAGATTTGATTCATCAATATTTTCCTATCCTAGGTCATAGTTTTTTGCCTTGTAACAGAAATTTTTCCGAAGAAACTAAACTCATAGTTTCAAGTAAAACGGCTAAGTAATACCCATGATTTCAAAAGCTGGTGGCCCCAATACTTCAAAAAAACTAACAAACATGTTAAAAAACAGATTGCACGTTTTTTAACTATTTTTTGGATTTTGAGTGGAAAAAGGATAAAATTTTTGTAATTTCAAAGACAGATAGCTAGTTACCAAAAAGTTATAAAACGTTCAAACTCATCATACATATTTTGTTAAAGTGTATAATTGAGCAATAGTAATGATTTTAAAACAAATCTATTATTATTAAATTACTAATTTTTTTTTGTTTCAAAAAAGTTTTTTTTGATTTACCAAAAATAAGGTTCACTGAAATTTTATCCTTTTTCCAATCACTTATTTAATTGCAGAATAAAAATATCTTCATTTTTTTAAATAAAAGTAATAATATAGAATACCAGAAATACTGGCATTATTTCAATAACATCTAGTCATTCTAAAATATTGAACTTTGATTTCTAGAAGGCAACTTGTATATTTTATTGCCTATTCTCACAATCACTTGATTATATTTAATGATACCTTTTAAAGTATGCTTTCATTATATTTCATTAATTTTTTTGTTATATTTTCAGGTATTTTGTCTTGTGGTATCACTCACACAGCGGTGGTACCTCTAGATTTAGTAAAATGTCGTATCCAAGTCGATCCGGCCAAATACAAGAGCGTTTTCAACGGATTCCGTGTAACGCTGAAAGAAGACGGTGCAAGAGGTCTGGCTAAGGGTTGGGCGCCTACATTCTTTGGATACTCGGCTCAAGGTCTTTGCAAGTTCGGTTTATATGAAGTATTCAAAGTGATGTATACTGATATGATCGGCGATGAGAATGCCTACTTGTACAGAACGTGGTTGTATTTGTCGGCCTCCGCTTCTGCTGAATTCTTCGCCGATATCGCCCTATCTCCTATGGAGGCTGCTAAGGTGAAGATCCAAACTACGCCAGGATTCGCGAATACTCTACGCGAGGCTTGGCCCAAGATTTACAGAGAAGAGGGTACATATTACGTTTAATTTTATCCCTGATTATATTAATTAATGGATTTGTTTGTTCTTACCAGGTCTTAACGGTTTCTATAAATCATTGGTGCCTCTATGGATGAGACAGATTCCTTACACGATGATGAAGTTTGCTTGCTTTGAACGAACTGTGGAGCTTCTCTACAAGTATGTCGTTCCCAAGCCGAGAGCGGATTGCACTAAAGGTGAACAACTGGTTGTTACCTTTGCTGCCGGTTACATTGCTGGAGTATTCTGTGCAATTGTATCTCATCCCGCTGACACTGTTGTTAGTAAGTTGAATCAAGAGAAAGGAGCCACGGCCTTGAGTGCTGCTAAGAAGTTAGGATTCGCCGGTCTGTGGAAGGGATTGACTCCTAGGATTGTTATGATTGGTACATTGACTGCCTTACAATGGTTCATTTACGATGCCTTTAAGGTATGATTTTATGAAGTCTTTAAAGTATATATTCTAGTTATTTAATCGTTTTTATAGTTATAGATTATTTTCATAAACTTTGCTTTTTTTTAGGTTGCCATGAGAATGCCGCGTCCGCCACCACCAGAAATGCCAGAATCCCTTAAAAAGAAATTAGAAGGCAAAACCGAGTAAACCAATTTTAACTAATTAAAGTTTAATTTATGATTTTTATTTTCAGAGAGAGAAACAGAAAGTATTTCCATTATTAGTGTGGCGTAACTATTATTATATTGTATTGTTGATTATCACCAGTCCTGAAGAATATTATTTTGATATCTTAAGTTAATTAATCTGTAGATTGTAAATAGTTTAATCAGTATACACATTGAACTTGATTTTTATGTCTTTTACTTCTATTTCTTTGTTATTGTACATCCATACACTGGTGATAAATTAAAATCGATAAATTAAAAATTATGTTTGTATAATTTATCCTAACTGAAAAAATAAATCGTAAATCGTCTAAAAATAACATTAAAAGTATTTTGTCTTTGTATAAATATTAATCCCAATGCGTGGCCATTTGAGAGAAAAACTCGAGAGTAGGTCTTGCCAGTGGACAATGTTGTGAGAGTAACTATTTGAGAGTTAATGATTACTCTTCGCGAGTTGCTGTCAAGTAGACACATCGTTTTTAGTACTGTCGAGATTAAATAGAAAAATTCAAATGAAATCGGTATTCTGAGAGTGCTCTCCGATAGTAAAGGTGCATGAATAAATAGTGAGAGATCAGCCATACAGTGTATGTCACGACGATGGCCCATTAGAAGTACCTGGAAAAGTAGTAATAATTAAAATTTGAAAATTTGTGTACAAGTATTAGTCAATGCGCTCTATTCAATGAAAATATTTTCAACTTTTTCTTACCTCCGGTTATACCGGCAGTGGCCAGCTACTTTGTTATTTTAAATATTTTTTTAATTTATAAAAACATTTAAATAAAACTTTCGTTATGATTTGTAAACATATTTTTAATAAAAATAATTTGTTAAAAAGATGTTATCGTACTAAAAATATTCCTGAGAGTTGCTCTCAGGAAGACTCAAATGGACAGGTAGCATAATGCTTCCTAGTACTTGCATTAAAAGGGGCAGATGCAACTCGACTTGAAATAATTTAGTGGACATTTCTCTGATAGAGCTGGGGCTACCTGACTTTCTTGTCTGTAATAATGTGCCTTCTAGTTTTTTTTTATTTCTTGAACCTAGTTACAGGGGCCGGTTTCATAATGAAGCGTTGAAGTATCCTTTAACAGAATGAAACTTTAAGATAAACTGCCCTTTAACCTTACTCCGAATGTCAAATAGTTTCATAAAATATATAGGGTGTGTCGGAAACTGTGGAAGATCTCTCGGATGTACATAAAAAATAAGATGATTATAAGTTTCTATAAAGTTTTTCCCAAAGACAAACTTGGTATAAGAAAATAAAACAATTCATTTATTATTTTTCTCGTATACGATTCATTTTATCGATAATTGAGAGGAGTAGGTAGACCTTTTTTTAAGTTTAAGGTTTAAACTCTCCAGATTTATCTTTTTTAAATCTCTATCATACAGAGTGTTGAAAATTTAGGCATTAAGGCGTAAACCTTAGCCCGGCCCTATTAAACTAAAAAACTAAATGTGACACTATTTTATGAGGACCTTAATAGTGTCCCTCGTATTAGATTTTTAATAAATTATATCGAGTACTTTAAAATACTGTAGAGAAAACTTTATAAGAACTTATCTTATTTCAACGTTATCTTGTTTTTTCAAGTTATATCCGGAATTCAAGAGATTTACTACATTCTCCGGGACACCCTGTATAAAAGGTTGTTTTTAAGATACAGAGTGACTCAGATTAGATTTTAGTTTTCAACCTTGCCATGTGCAACCGTTTGAAAAGTTGTGGTGAATACGCGCGGATTATTGGCTTTCGACCAAGGCTGTTTTTAAAGTAAACGATTTGTATGTACTTAGTGGCAATTCGACATTTCTGTAATTATGTATGTAATTTTCCGTCTACAAATTTAGTGTAGTCATGGGTTCAAAGTTTCCGATAAACAGGTTCATTGATAAATAACTCAAAAGTGGCGCATATTTGGCATATGGTATTATTATCAAAGTTTAGTTAAAAGAGCCACAAAATCCAAAAATGAATTCAAAAATGATACTTTCCACTTGAAATAACGAAGTTTACATCTACCTTTGAACTGTATAACCAGAAGTCATATATGGTTGAAAATATTTTAGAACAACTCACAACATATATTGATTATACCTTGATCCTAAATTTTTAGATTTATAACTTTTCAGCATCTACTATAACTTCTAATGGACGGTTTCCTTGAAAAGCACTGTATATTGAGATATTGAGCGCCTTTTTTTTTGGTTTTCCAGTCGCAGCAAGTCGCTCAATATTAATGTTCTCTGGCGCTCTGATGGACTTCTGTTGACCTGGGTGCCTCCGATTTACCACGAAACCTGTTTGTTGCAAACTTTGAACCCACCACTACACCAAATTTATCGACAACAAAGAAACGTTGAATTGCCACTAAATACGAATCGTTCGCTTTAGAAACCGCCTCCACCGAAAACCGAAAATCCGCACGTATTCACCACAAATTGCCAGCGTTACCTCCCAAAAACTTTTCAAACGGTTGCACAGGGCCCGTTCGAAAACTGATGTCTACTCTGAGTCACCCTGTATTTTAAAGCGTTGTCAGTTTGAGGTTGTCTATGATCGCTTGTGATTTGTAATTAAAAGTTTGTTGGAGAAATGTGAATTTTGATGAATAAATAAATTCGCTCTTCAAATGTTAGTAGCGGAGAGAAATTTATTATGACTGCTTCAAGAAATTGAAAAATCGTATTTTATAAAATGCAATACTACAAATGAAATTAGTAATTCAGAAAATATGATTTGCTCCTCTGTTTCATGCAAGAGATACTGTTTCGTTTTTCAGACGAAAGCATTGAAAAAAGCCTATATAGCTCATCGTATTTTTGAAAACAGTCTCTCCTTTTCCTAGAGACTTATGGTCTCTTATATAAATATATTTTTCTTCATCAGATGAACTCGAAGTTTCGAAATTATTCATCCCACAAGACTGGCAGAAATCATATGAAAACCTAGAGGTTTTGTTGTAGTTTAACTTTCAATGCCACATGAATGATCCTTAAATTTGAGTTGATAATGAAATCAATTACATCGGCCGTGTTTTTTTATTCTTAACGGTTTACGGTTACATCCTATTAATTCACGCTGCAGCCAGATAAAACAAGTGTCATTCTAATGCTTATACCTAAAGCCATCTTAAAGCATTAAAGAAACGGTAAAAGCTTCTATCGCTACAGCGGATGCATGCAACTTGAATAAAAAACGCGGCCATCTATTAAAAGATCCTTTAAAGTTTCCTATATGTCTATGAAATCGGTCGTAAGTTGTTTAATAATGCCAATGATCTAAAAAGAACATGATTGGATGCTTTTATAATAAATAGTATGGTATTGGTAATTCCCTTAGGTAATTTGTTTAAAAACTTGAGCCTACTTGGTTTCGAAGTTTTGCTCGTCGTGTTTGTTATTTCACATGTCGCATTCATTGTCAAAATTTTAGTGTGTACATCTTCATTTTATGTCTCATGTAACTTTCCAGGTAAATATCGAATTATAAGTTTAATAAATAAACTTATTGGCGAATAAAAGGGAAGCACTGCAACAAAATCTTCGCAAGGAATGAGCAACACGACTGTCGGCTGTCCAAAACTCACGCCGCCTCCTCCACCTCCTCCTCCGCCATGTTGCTGTTGCTCGCCTTGTTCGCCTTGTCCGCCTAGATGTCCACCGTGCTGCAAGCCACCGCCGCCACCACCGCCGCCGCCGCCCCCTCGATGCATACCCTGTTCCGTGCAGGTCAGGGGTTGCCCTCTTCCGACGCCCATACGATTCTGTCCGTTCTCGCCCACCAAATGCTGCGGACCCAGGTGTACGCTGACCGCTGCGCCCAAAAGGCCGCCGCGTCCTTTGTCGCCGCCGCCCAAGTGCCCGTCGACTTGCAATTGCAAACCGGACCCACCTCCACCGGATCCTCCTTGCTGTTGTTAGCTGGTTCGTCAGTAAGTAACGATCTGTTAATAGATATATTAGGTACTTATCGATTCAAAAAGCTCTTATTTAACTTTGAATGTAGTGATTAAAGGTAGAAACATTATCCTGATTTGAGTACCTGGTTGATTATATAATTTAATTAATGATAGTTTACAAACAATCCTTGACATAATGAATGATCAAGACACTTCACTCTATACCTTGTAGGTGAGAACATTGTCCATTAAATGAATCCTTCCACTATGCATTGTGTTATCTAGTTAGGTACCAATATTTTGGTAACTGATAATTTTCTCTCGAAATGATGTGTTTAATTTACTATCAGTGATTTTATGAGATTTTATGAAAATGCGCTTGCGCTGGATTCTAAATCTCTGTACTTCAGCAAATTTATCTGACTATCGCAAAACCAGTCCCCTGAACTGTTGAAACAATAAACAATAAGTTTGTTGGAACGCCTAAATTGTGACTGTGCAGACTCCTGACGACCACCGGCTATTTCTGACTGTTGTAGGAACAAACCTAATATGTTATTGTGTTATTTTTTAATCATTATATACTTTGTACTACTTCACACCTATCCGTTAAGTTTAAATAACATTTCGTAGAATATTATTTCACTTTTTGCACAAAAATCAAATAATCAACTGATAGTCCCTCAGACGACACGTCAGTGATTATGTCCTAAACTGGTACGTCAGTACTTAGGGGTTAATATTACAATAAGTAGGTATTTAGGTGCATGCGCCGTTGCAGTAACAATTATTTCAATTTTTATTGCGTTTTGCAGATATTACGCGGAAAATTGTGCGGAATACGTATTTATAACTTTAATTTCTATTCTAATTGATTGGTGATTGTAACTAAAACTACTAAAATTTGCGTCAAATTCCCATTTTTTAAGAGAAACGATGTCATTATATATTTTATTGCAAAAACCCGGCCATGAAATAACAAAGAACTATTCTAAGAAATGTTATGTAAAAAATGTACAAATATCATAATACGTAAGTACAAAAGTAATTTAAAGTTTTACATTTTCTAAAAATGTTTTTAAGTAATTATAGAATTTTAGAATTTCTGTATATCTACAGGGTGTCCCAATAGTGCGGTAAAGCTCATTTACTTAGTTATTATAATAGATACGGAAAATGGTAAATAAACAAATGTTAAGCACCATTAGGCGCATAATTTGAAATTATTTCGAAATATACAGGGTGGCCCATAGATTAAAGCAGTACCAAACATACCTTTTTTTGGGCAATGCATGATATATTTTTTATTTCATATTTGATGTCAGCTCGTTTTCACGAGTTTCTCAATATAAGATTTCATATGACTATATTGAGTATTAAAAATGTTATCAATTTTTATGTTCAAATCGTCATCAAGGCCTTATCAAAGGTCAGCACTTTTCAAAAATGGTGTATTTTCACAAAAATCCACCATTACTTAACAATTACCTCTTAATTTAAATGAAACACCCTATGTTAATAATATCCAATGGGAAGGCTGAATCATTTTTCATAACAGTTCCCCATACCTATAACTGTCACCGTTTCTGGGTTATTTTTGTTATGATGGCGTCATAGAGGTAACTAGATTAAATTAAAATTATAATTATATCAAAAACTGTACAAAATGAAATTATAATACGAGTTATATCGAAAACTGGACATTTTTAATAACGAAAATCTCAGAGACGATGACAGTTAGGTATAGGGAAATGTAATGAAAAATGATTCATCAAGAAATTGACCTCCCATTGGATATTATTAATATAGGGTGTTCCATTTAAACAAAGCGAGTAATTATTATGTTTGCGTTTTGACTCACCCTATATACAAATTGTAATTTTGTCGAAATATAACTGATTTTTGTGAAAATACACATATTTTTAATGGACGATTTGAACAATTAGCTGAAATCGAATATGAATTAAAAAATAAATAGGCCACCCTGTATATATTTCGAAAAAAAATTAAATTATGCGCCTAAATGTGCTTAACATTTTTCCAATTTACTATTTTTTCGTATCTATTATAATAACTGGAGTAAATGAGCTTTACCGCACTATTGGGACACCCTGTATATTACTAGTAAATAACACCAATTAAATGCGATTATAAAATTATTTACTCTAATAAGTTTCCTTGGCGAAGGTACATTGAAATTCAATTATGTTTTAAACAATTTTTTTTGAAATTATGTAAATATTTTCTTTATATTTGGTTACCTACTTAATATTAGGTACGTAATTTAAATAAAATAACTAAAAATACTCGGGATTTTATTGCCATATAGGCTGTGGGTGCAAGAAAGACAATTTCCATTGGACACTTATAAAGGAGCAAGAAAGGGTTATACGTATTGTGTCAATGCAACTTTCTCACTCAAACTGTTTTAATAATCTTTCTTTGTTCAACTCATAGAAATGATCATATTACAAACTTTTGAATTGCAACATATTTGTATTCTCTAGTTGGAATGCGTAAAATTTGACAAAAAATAGATCAAAAATATTCTAAATATTGTGAAGTACTCTTCAAAATTCTCTTCTGTCATTTGATGGTTTAAAAATTGCGGAAAATAACCCAACCTTTTAAAGGTTGTGGTGTTGGTTTACCGATAGACTAAAAATATTCCCTTAAACCGCTACTGATTTTTTTAGAATATCAATTTAATTCGACAACAAAACATAATGCATAATTATTATATTAGTTGAACTTTGGTAAACATCATGGCACTTTTATTTATATTTCTATGTATCAATCGAATGTCGAAATTTTCCTATATATTCAGGTGTTTATAAATGTTTTTCTCTAATTACAATACAACTCTTTACAATACAAATCAATTAGCTTACGAATGTTAACGAATTTTCGAAAAATGAAATATTTTGGTGTTTTGCTTTGTTTTACCATCGTTTGGAGTTACAAATTACGTGAGTACTCATTATATTTCTGGCGATAATCTATTTTTAAAATAGTCCAATAATGTATCCTGAAAATGCTTTTTTACTTATTTTTGATAGGTCCTACCTTTTTTATTTCTCTTTGAATGTTTTACCTTTATTTTTCTTTCTTGTTCAATGCGTTCTTTTTCAACCTTTAAGGGCTGCATATCTGATTATTTGATGCATGTTTGAATCTTAAATGGACGATTCAATTTGAACAATAAATGAAATTAAATTATATACATTAAAATTTACAGCTGGTGCTATAAAAACTTGCCACAGAAGTCAACCGGACTTCGCCGAATGCGTTGCCAAAGGCATGAGAGTCGGTCTGGAAGCCTTTGCGTCAGGTTTGTCTCGAACACGTGAAACTCTAAAAATTTAAAGATCTAAATTCGATTTAGGAAACAAGGAGATGGGAGTGCCCCCGTTGGATCCTTACTTTGTCGAAAAATTGGATATCAAAACGGCTTCTTCCAGCGGCAATTCGGTCTCCCTTCATTTGATTTTTAGCAATTTGCTTGTTCACGGTATGACAAATTCCGATGCCGTACACATGGAGTAAGTTTTCTACTAAAGTTTTTTTAATTATCATTTTTAAGAAGCGAGTTGCTGCATGTTTTAGATTGGACGTGGATAAGGGCTGCAGTTGGATAATGGACGTCGATACTGCTTTGATTAAACTTGAGGGTGATTACGAGGTTGAAGGAAAAGTTTTGGTGTTTCCGTTAAACGCGCGAGGAAAGGCTGTTGTATCACAAGGTAGGTATTTTGTTTCCAATAGTTATTAACATACTCATATGTAATTGGAAATGGTCATTTATAGTGATGCTGCATAATAGGCACAGCATGTGGTGCGAGAAATATAAGAAAAACGGGAAAACATATATTCGTTTTACGAATTACACCATGGATATGCATCCTGAAAAGATGATCTATAACTTTTCCGACGTTTTCCCGTCTAACAAGCAAATCGAAAACGAGATTAGTAAAACGCTGAACGAAAACAGTATAGAGATTTTCAATGAAATGAGGAGTTCGTTCGAGCAAATATTTTCTACAATACATATTACAGTGGCTAATCAAATCTTGTCTAAGATTCCTTTCGACGAAGTATTTTTGCCCTAAATGAAGATCGCCTGCGTAACCATAGTAAATTCATTGATTATTTTAAATTGTAACACGCACATTAAATAAAAAGATAAAAAAAGCTTACATTATGATTTTTTATTACACTTTTTTAAAATTTTTATCTCAAAAATAATTTCTCATACATCATTCTCAAAAAACATTTAATTTCGCATATTTGGAAATTTGGTGATCAAAAAGTCTGTAACTTTTAAAATAATCGCAAAATTTGCAAACTTATTTTAATTTCGTCTTGAAATGTTGTTTTTATTTATCTAATGTAATATCCAGCTCGTCTAGATAGATGGTACTAAAGTGTGCATAATAAAACTAAAAAAATCACACAGAGAAAATGTATTAAAACTGTTATAACATTTTAAGTACCTACCTAGTTTTTAATATTTAGGTATATTTTATTCGATGAGATTGGTGACAGTTTGGGTGTATATAACACGAATTTTATAAATACTAAAAAGTACATTCAAAAACTTTGTCATTGAGAGGCAGACTGTGGGCTCATTCATGTAACTAAAATCACTGAGCATTTTGACCAATTTTTACATTATAGTCTAATTTAGCAATGTATTAAAAAGTGTTTAAATGTGACCAAATTTTTTACTCATAAGTGAATTTTTGCAATGTTAAAATTAAATATTACAAGTACCTTAAATTGATCATCTCGGCATGTTATTAATACCTATTTTCCTTTAATCACAGTTTATTTACAATTATTTACATAACTAAACTAGTTTGTATCTACAGTCGATGGTTTTCGTTTTCGGTTCTCTTGGCATTCCTCACCAGCGCCGTTATTGTTGGTAAATTCGTATCGTCACCTGTAAACGTTACGTTATCGTGACCTCTCAGCTCCTTCTGCGGAGCGGGCTGAGCAGGCTGAGCTGGCTTCTGTCCGTCCATCAGGAAAGTAGTGAGCAAAAATAGTATAGAACCTGTAAGGTAATTCATACTTGACCTACAACTACTTTTAAGTAATGTACAAGATTATGACTTACTGCAAGCGTAAGCTCCTACGTAAAAAACGTACAAGCTCTCCCTATATCCGATTTGCTTGGAAACCGGCTCGACGGCGATGGGAAGGTTTCCCCCGATATTATTCATGACGAAAAGAAACACCCCGATCGTCGTGGATCGCACGTGCAACGGCACGATTTCCACCACCATAGCGAACAGAATTCCAAACCACATTTCGGCTGAAAATATAATACAGTTGGCAACAAATCAACGAACTCCTCAATGTAATCGAGCGACGAACGTACCGAAGAAATATGAAATTCCTAACGTTATCATGGCTCCCACGGGGGCGAAGTAGACGCTTCCGAACGCGAAAGGCGTCGCGACGATTTGACTCACTGCCAAGACGACGCATCGCGAGCGGATGCCCATTTTGGCCACGATTTTGTCTGATACTATGCCGCCGACGACCACTCCAATCGACCCTATGACTATAGTCACAGCGAATAGCCACCAACCTGCGAAAAAATATATTATACGTGATTTTAGTTAAAAGATTTTTTTTGTTGAATAGTTGTTGTCGAGGATTTTAATTAAATTTGTAATGTAGTTTTAGAGCAGTTTGTTGGAACAATTTTATAAGATGTTTTGCGATTGCTTTTAAACTCCACTTAAATATTTTGACGTTTTACCAACACTTTTAATCTTTAGTTAAAACAAATATTACTGATAAACCAACCCTTAGAATTCAAATCTTTCCAAAAAAAAAAAAGATTTCTGAATTGCTCAGGTTATTTTTTGGCTTTAGTCGCTGTGAGGTTTGAGTTATTTTTATTATATTTGGAGTTTGAGAGTGATTTTGAAATGGATCGAAAAAAGGAAAGAAGCAAAAATTTCTTGGAAGAGGAGAAGGAAAATTTAAACTATCCATCTTTCCAAAACAATTCGAGGTCGTCTATAATAAAAATCTTCATCAGACGATGTTGAAGATGATGATGAAGATGATACTAAAAATCCAATAGATAAATAGTTTAGAAATACAACTTAAAAATTACATAATATGTATTATCTTGCCTATTATCCATTATTTTCAAACAAACTAAAAATACATACAAAATACGACCAATAAATAAAAATAAAAATTCACAATCAGAATAAAACACTTGCAATTATATTATTGTTCCATATTGGTAGCAGTTGAATTTATTCATCCAATAAGATCTTATTTTTCGTTGGTGAAACCATGCATAACAAAAATTGCTTGCCGCTTAAAGTCAATACTCAAATTGCGATCCACCCGCCTCTATGCCTATTTAAATTAAATATTTTTTGGTGACCCTATTTCAATAATTACGGTAATGTTTGCATCACTGAATAGAGAATTGATAAACCTTTGAAATGAACTATCACAAGATCATCAAGATCTTAATAAAAAAAAACGGTCATCACGCACACATGGATAACGTCACTAGTATGAAAAAAATGTATGTATTCCATAATTTTGCACCTTACTTTTTAAAACATCCATAATATGTACTAGTATTTAATAAGATTGTCTAAAAAGGAAGGTCCTTAAACTAGTTAAATGACCTAATCTAGCCTTTAAATTAAAAAAAAAGACGAAAAAATTCCTAATCCACACCTAATGTTTTGAAAATAATACAACTATGCAACAAACAAATCGTTCTTAATAAGCAAAACACATCCTTACCTAAATCGTAATCAGGGAAGTAAGTTTGATAATACAAATCGCAATTGTAAGCGAAGCACATCCCACCGCAGTGTCTGATCGAAGCGGCCAGACACAGCAGTATCACCCGAGGATCGGCGATCACGTTCCAAATGGTGATTTTCTTCGCATCAGTCTGGTTCGCGTCTTCGCCGATAGACTTTCTCTCTGGTTCCTTCAGAGTGAGCCACGTCAACAGAGCGAGTATTATTGCCACGATTCCGGCACCGTAGTAAGTCACCCTCCAGCTCAGACCCCAAGCGTCCAACGGGGGAATGTACCTACCCACGGGAAACGCGATACCTGAAAGGATTATTGCGAAAAAATTATAGTTGAGAAGTTATTGTAATTATGTAGTAGGAATACAGGTGAATCTTTCTTACCATAACCACCGTATATTCCCCAGTTGAAAACGGACATAACCAGGGCTCTTTTCTCTTCGGGGAATATGTCTGATAGGATTCCTGTGGCTAGAGGATTGCATCCAGATTCGCCCGCTGCCATTATCATACGCAGCAATACTAGTTGCCAGAATTCTTTAACACCGCCGCTGATGACTATAGCTACGCCGAATACTACTGTACAAATGCTCAACAGTCTCACCCTAAAATCGGAAATGAATTTATTTTTTACGCATTTTTCCAAAATTGCCAATGATTTGGTTAATTTTTTTGAACTTAATACTATTGAGAAAAATACCAAACCTGTGAAATTTATCAGCAAGGAACCCCATGACTACTCCCACTATAGTAAAAACGGCTATGAAACTTGGACCAGCAAGTACTTGATAATCTATCCCCAATCCATTATACGTCCATTCGCAATATCTAAAAAATTCAATGGTAAAATAAAAAAGCTACTTTAACAAATTCATCAATTCTCATTATTAAAATCTTCCATACACAGAAGCATTTAGGCTAATTTAATACCTTGTTCCGTTCAGAGTGAAGGTGGCGCAGACTTCTGAACTATTAGCTTCGGAACATTTTACCGGCAAATCGCTAAGATAAACGTCCGTTAGATTGAGCTGGCAAGCGATGTCCCCGAAGTGGAGGTCCTCCGCTATGGCTTTGCTGGTGACGCCTATCAGGTAGTGCCCCAACTCGCCGCAGATGTAGCCTATGGAGACGATGGCCAGCACGTAGGCGGGATAGAAGGACGCCAGGCTTTTACTTAGATCGAGCATATTTCAGGATTTGCGCTGAAATAGCGAGGAATATAGTATTTTGATGAGTACCTATAGAAGGCTGCATAGACACTTGCCTTTTGCAGTTAGCTTTTCTTTAGAGGCATTCTAGATTCATTTTATGCGGAGCTTTGCAGTTCCACCTTATTCAATTTAAAGCTACATAATTTTAGGTAAAGTGGCCAAATTATAATGCACCTATTTTATGATCTAGCTATATTGCATTTTGGAATTCTTATACTTGATAGTTACATAATTTCAGGTAAATACAAACGAGTCGTAATTAACTAAAGTGCAACTGACCTCGTCATTTTTTTACTCCAACAAATTTGCTGGTATTTGCGACATGAAAGCCGGTCAATAGACATTTATTCTCGGCGCTTTTATTATTTCTAGCATTGACTCCGATGTAATTGGTATCATTATGTCTACGCATAAGTGATTTTTTACTTTTTTTTCTATTTAAACATCCACCATAATGAAATTATGCGTGAGCCTCACATTAATTATTACAATTAAAAATAAAACAAATAATTACAGTGTAAGGTTGCGTATTTTGTAGAGCACACTTGCTATTGTTGTGAGTGCAATTAAAAAACGTCTCTTTTGTTGTTTTGAAATGGAAATTCTTGAAATAAAATATATACAAACTGAAAGAAATGAGTCTGAAGAATGGGATACGAGAGGGTCGGAACTGTAATTGAAAATTTCGAATGAAAAACGATGGAACAGAAACACAATAGCGCAATCTGGTCGATACCAATAATTACGCCTTCTGAATTGAATATATGCATAAAATTACATTATTCAAGAATTGTTTATTAACAACATTATTTTCCAATTAAATACTATTATAGGTATTGTAAAAAATAATAATGAACGTATGCTTGAGATGAAATTCTGCTAAATTGTAAATTAGATACAGATATTTAATTAACTGCTTACTTGCTTAATTGCTTATTCATTAAAATTTTATGAAGTAAATGTAATTAGGCGTAATGTATTTCCTTCTATACTGGATTAATGAGACTGCTGACTGCGGAAACTATTATAAAAAGTCGCATGAAAAATAAAAATATATTTTTAAAGCGTCCTGTTTGTTAATAACATTATAACAATTTTCAACCTTCAATAAAAAAACAGCGAACGCATTTAACTGCCTATTTGCTTTACGTATTATTAAATTACATATTTTTGTATTGTCTTCTCTCATAAGAGTACAAGTTTGCAAAAAGTACGCATGATAAATAAAAATGAATCTTTTATAAATTTAAAAAAATATTTTTATTGATATTCGTATTATGATTTATGTAGATAACTCATTGTCAGATAGGCGGACAGGACACACCAGGATATACAGTTACCTTACAGAAAGACCTTGAAATGAACAAATATTTCAATATTTTTTATATCATTTAGCAAGCCTATTAAAATACTTATTAATTAATGATGCATAGGAATAAGTATCGAAACATTCGACACGTGAATATTAAAAATATTAAGAAGATATTAATTTGTTAAACTCGTTTTACGCATTCTTCTTAAAATAGAATGATAGTAAGGGGAACCCAAATTAGCGGTTTTCGATCATGTTTATTCCAATGAATGAATGGAAATTACAATTTTTAGTGAAAATTTTAATAAAACGAAGGTCAAACGAGATGTTGTTTGTAAATTAACCAATAAGTAGGTTAACACGTTCACTGCAATACAATACAAAAAAATTTAAAAATAAAAAACTGAGTAGGTAATTTTTATTTTTAAAGTAAAAGTCATCTTTATAAAAGTTTTTAATAATTTAAATTATTTTAAACCATTTTAAATAGCCTGTAAAAAAATCTATACAAACTACATTTTTTGATATAGTATGTGTTTTTAAAAAATTAATAACCCATAACATTTAATTATTTCGTCCATTAAACCTTCCACATTTCATCCTCAGGGACACATATGTAATTAACATAATATTATAGAATAATCTCTAATTAATTTAAACGTGCGTAATTTTTTATTTACGTTTTGTGAATACGTCAGATTATTTTTTTTGTAGGTATTTACCAAACATTAATTTAACCACTGATTTTGAATTTAAAACACAAGGTGTCCCCCGTTAAACATAAAATATTTGCATGGGTGTAAATTATTTTTATGAAAATTTGTTGAAGTCGGATTTTTAGTTAATTTATATTACACTAGCCTTAATTTTCTAATATTTATTGATATTATGATTTTCCCTTTTTTTTAGAAAATATTGTAAATATTAAAAGTAAAAATTAGGTAAAAATACTTACGTATACACAGAATAGTAAAGAAATAAATAGCAAATTTACGAACAAATATAAAATCACAACACCAACCCTTATCGACAAAGTCACTTCCGCCCCCCCTTGGAGAAGTTTACTTCGCCGCTACCCGCAGGAACTGAAACAGTCGCTCGAGTAAAGTGGAGGTACGCCCGACACTTTTTCTTCGAGTTCGAGGTTTTTTTCCTATCTCCCACTTCGCGAACTAGGCCTAGAAGAGGCCTTGTCATTGACAATAAAGCTGAAGAAGGTCATCTCGGGCTTTCGGGGGGCTCTTGCCTATCGATCGAACGTCGAACAAAACGGCTATTCAATTCGATGGGAAACCTAATTTCCTTAATGGATATTGCGAATTGTCGATGGAATTATTGAAAATTTTCAACAAAACATCGGTAGAAATGTAACATTTTTTTCCAAATGGGAACCTAAGCTTGTGACAATTATTACTCCAATATGTATTATTTTACCAACCTTGGCTTTAAGATAACTGCGTTTGACTTTTAAATTAATACTTGGAAGAATATTGACAAATTGAGATTAATTGCTTTTAAGTAGATATATTAAAACCATACGTTCGTCCAAAAGAAGGAACTATTTGGCCTATTTTATTTACTATTTATTTAGTTCTTCTATAACAAGGGAATAGTCAAAAAAGTAGGAATAACAGAGGAATGATTTGCAAATTGAAACGAATAACATGTACTGAAAGTAAAATATTACCTTTGAAATTACGCAGGAAATTTGAAAACCTTACTACATAAATATGCCTCTATCTACGTTTGGGAATCAACACTTTATTTTAAAAGATAGAGTCAAAAATATATAACAAAAAATAATCGAAATTATCTTAACTATCAAAATAAAACACATTTTTGATACCTTTATTTAGGAAAATTTTGAAAAAAATTACTTTTAAAAATCAAGATTGCGGATACTCCCCCTAGCGGCCATTTTAGACTTAAACATTATTTTCAGCATGATCTTTTGGCCGATTTAGTCATAAGATTTTTTACCGTATGTCTCTATGACAATTAGTTTGCGAGATGTGGCCGAGAACCATTCTTATTTGGCCACCTTGTATATACATATCTTAAGTTACTCCAACATCCCTTGTAAAATTTTTTTGTGTTGCGAAGAAAACTCCTTTCGTCTCTTCACTTATCTTGTTGTCTTATTTTTTTATTAACAAATTTAGCATAATTTTCATATTTTTTCAATTTGCCAACACCTTGTACATCCAATCTAAGATTTTTCAATGTTATTGTCATTTTCAAAAGAAGCAACAATTTTTTATAAAGAATGACTTTTTGTTATGGCCCCTGGAGACACAAACAGGCACCTATTGAAAAGGATTGAGGCCTTCATCGAGGGACTCGGCTTCATGGATGCATAAGCAGCAGGAATGGCACAACGGGCCCGTTAGAGACCTCAGTGCCTGAACCTTGGCTTGAGCTGTCTCGTAGAGATATCTTAAATATCTTAAATTAAACATTCGAATACGTTTCTAAAAAATATTGAAAATAATTAAGTAACTCCCATATGCCAGTATCAATCCGGTCTGTAGATGATTTTGTATATTGTCATCATTGCCCTCTTTGATACATCTTATTTCATTTAATGCAATGTTAATTCGTTTAATTTTAAGAATGATGCCTGATAAAGACATAACGACTGAATATTTCTAAACCTGATGGCATATTTTTCCTCTTAAGCTATTATGTTTTTGGGCAATATTATGTCAGGACTCTTCTACCTCGGGCGATTTTATCGAGACTATTTTGACGAGGTACATTTTTTCATGTAGCGCATTTATTAACGAAGTACGAGTAATTTACTTAACTGCCATAAGTAGATACATAGATACTTAACTGCATTTACGTATTGGAATGTAAAAATGGCAATTTAAATGATAATTCATTCCGATTCTATCACTTTACTGGTAAATGATAAAAAATCCTCAAAGATTGATGGTATCTTTTAAATTCAGCATGCGTATGGACATGCACCGAGCGAGCGCCCAGTTTTGCTTTTCGCTAAGCGTTAGAATAAAATGCCGATAAATTATGTTTGACGTAAAGGCCGTTCGTGACATTCGGTCTCTGATCGCAATGAGAGAACAGATACGAGAAATAAAGTAAAAATATAAGATAAAAATACGATAAGTAAAAGTTTCATATACCTAATAACCTTCGGTCTGTAAGGACTCGAATATTCGGATCTGACGTGGGCGTTGGTATTTATAGGTTATTCAACACGTGATAAAGGATATCCTATTGGGCGTTGAAAAAATTTATAGGATACAACTCAAGTTCAGTAGATAAATCCTAGTTCAAATGAGCACCTACTTAACTTTAAATAAGTTGTTTTAACGAATTAAATTAACTTGTATGTAGGTTTTATATTACATATATTACGTATAGTATTGTATTATTGTATTTCATATATTTTATTACAGAGAGGTACAACTAATACCGAAACATATTAGTGCAAATATTGGACAATATTTTGGCTCAGTTAGAAAATTAATATTCTTACTTTCAATTGTAAACTGTACGATGCGCAGCCATTGCGCAAGTTTTGATCATCATTTGCGAAAGTTGCGCATGTCATGTCTACAGCTATTTCTGTAGACCAAGTACACGAGTTAAGTAAATAGGTACAAATTTTGATATAGTAACATTATCTGTGCGTTTATGTAATTTTCTTTTTTTCCGATATATACTGCTCCACAAAAGTTAAGGAAGTTCACAAATATTGAGATTAATTTAAAAGTTGCAGGTTTTTTGATCACCAAATTTAGTATGAGTTGTAGAGGTAGGGACAAAAAATCCACTCAGATATGAGAGAAAACATTTAATTTCGCATATTTGAAAATTTAGCGATCAAAAAGTCTGTAACTTCTAAAATAATCGCAAAATTTGCGAACTTCCTTAACTTTTGTTCAGCAGTTTATTTAGGGGCGATGGGCTGTGTTAATCCGGCCCGGTGAAATTACTATGATAATGTATGTAGGTTCATCTTTTGTGGCATTTCGGCGATACTATTTTACTTTTGGTGAAGTGTGGCGAAAAATCGAAATATCGTCGAAACTCCAAGAGATATAAAAATGAAATACTAGAACTATTGGTACTATTGTGGCTTTGTGGCCCATCCGCCCCGGTTTTTATATTTATTTCAATCTTTTGAGCATACCTACAAAATTTTTCTTTAGCCTGTCTTATTTATTTGCTTTACATCCTTTATTGTTTTGGCACATTTTCTTTAAATGAATTTTATGTAGTGGTTCGTGTGATGCATTTTTCATATTTCCCATTTCCTGAACAAACTACTTGATAATTCCATAAAAAGAATTAGGAATTATATTTTTGATTTTCTGACCGAAATGAAATAAAATATCTAGAAGATTTTTAGAATTTCTTAAAAACTCTTGGAAATAAATTTTAAATTTTTCGACATGCTTCTTAAAGGGCTTCTGGTTAGTTTTTCATCAGTAGTTTCTTCAGGATTTGGGAATATTTATATCCCTATGCCAAAAAAGTGTAGGTATGCTCTTATTATTTTCAGTAAATACATTTTTTCTTCATGCCTATCTTTAATTCATCATTGTGGTTTAATTTATTACCATAATAACAATTAAGAGACTCATATATTTTATAATAGCTTCTAGCCGACAAATCCTGCAAGACAATACTGATGTAAATTTAATGATCGACGCAGGTGCACGTATTATTTATACATCCATGCAAATATAGATAAATTAAATTGACTGAAGTCGCTTTTAGTATGATTTTCCTCCTAGTTTAACGAAAGTCTGCAACTTTTTTCTGTCGTATATAGAAATAACAGAAATAAGCCCAGCAACTTGCACAAAAACATAATAAAAATGACAATCTCAAGTACCCTCATTGAAAGCAATTTCGAAATAATTTTCACAATACTACAAAAATGCGGCAATTCGATATCAAATTTGTCCCACTTTAAACTCGGCTATTATTCTTTATCATCGTCGTTGTTAACATTAACATTCTTCTTTAATTATTACAGCACCTACAATCGTCAGAGTTAAAAACAAACTCATTCAATTAGAAACAGATCTAGCTTACAGGCAATTACATATCTGTACGGTTATCACACAAGAAGCGTTATTCATTAGTCGTGCCAGAAGGGGCCAATAAAACACATCGTTGGAACGGAGAACCATCACCAACCCTCATTAAAGGATTTACATTTTTCCTCAATGTCGCAACGAAACAAGGTAAACAATCCTTGGAAGTCTCCGCGGCTAAGACAAAACACCCTCCCTATCCTACGCGGCACGCTATTACAATCACGCACGGGAAAAAATCGCGAGCCGCCTCTCTTTCTCCTTCTGCCCCCCCCGGGTTATCGATCGGAGGCGGTTCTGACCGTGAGCCAAATAGCGAATCAACCCCAACCCTGAATTCAGTTCGAAATCTACCCTTAGTCACGGTGCAACAGCGCGCGTCGCGTTGCGAATTAACGCTGATTGTGTACAGCAATTAATCGGTGGTGCATGTCGCGATTCGGCTGAATTTAATTTTGGAATTTTTCGGGGAATCGTTTTTCCTCCGGAGGTTATCCGGAGTTTCCAGATTGAGGAATTTGCGTAAGTAAAGGATTTTGCAGTATACACACGTCTGTAAAGCGTCGGACTGTTGTTACAGATTCGAACGACTTGATTTTTGGAAAAGTGTGTCAATATTTTGAAACATTTTTATTGATTTGATTGAAAATAATAAGTTGTTGCAAAATTATTTCAATTTTCAAAAACCTTCCATTCTAAATAAATTAATGTTTGATATAAGAAAAACGTAGATGTAATAAATCATTTATTATTACTTATAATTACTTTAAATTCATTCTTACAATATAGGTATAGAATCCAAAATACAGTGTGATCCCTTTTAAATCCAATTTCATTGCCTTTTTATTTGGGTTCTAGAAATTATTAATCACTTATTTTGGAACATGACAAACTAAAATTACCAATTATATATTTTAATCGGATTTTATATCAATTTGTAACACCACAAAAGAGTTACTCTCAGTGCTATAGTTAAATTACTGCGATCGTTAAAATAATAAATTTGCCCTTCATTTTCCATAAATTCATGAAAAAATGCTGATTTCGCTTGATCACAATTAATTATTCAGACGCGATAATCACTCGAGAAAATAGTGGGCACCTAATCAAGCGTTGTTCTCTAATAACGCCCATCCACCTTGAGAATTTTTTTTCTCTTGAAACCTCTTGAATGCGGCACGGCACGCAATTCGATGTGCAGGAAATCGGATTTCTGCTTTAGAGATGATTGTATAATTAATAAATCGCAGGTAATGAATGTTTTTTCGTTGACGCAGCGTTAAGTCGGATTTTTTATTTATTTACTAATCACTATTCTGTCCGTTAATGTGTTTCTAAATAATGGGAAATTGCTTGTAATCATTTATAGTTCGAATAGGATGCTGGTTAATTGAGAAAAATCAATTTATTCCTTATGCTACTTATGTAATAAAATTTAGCATATCCATATACTAGGCGTACCAAACTACATACCTTTAACCCTGTTTCTATTCATTGCTTAATTTTTATATCAATATACATATAATCGAGAAATATTATACTTATTTTTTAGTGAGTTCTTCCTGGTAATCGATTTTCTATTAAACACAACCGCAGCAGTTCTAGCATTTCAATGTCGTTTTACCATCGTGATTTTTTGTAGTAATGTCGCTTTAAAAATCGGTACAATTTAAGCGACGAACGATTTTTTTAAGAATTTACCGATATGCACCATTAGCGATGTTTCGCTTATTTCGTGAAATACGACAATTTGTTCGGTATTTTTTATTAATAATCTAGAAGATGTAGGTACTATACAAGGTCGCAACAAGAGGAAAGGAAGTGTCGAAATTGTATTTTACCTGGTCGATTAAATCGATTCAAATTCACTTAAAATTAGTAAAATAATTTGAAATTTTGCTCTATTTAGGTATAGTGTATTGTATACAGGGCGTTCCTAAACATCGTACACATCCGAAATGGGGTAATTCTTTGGCTTATTTCATGACTAAAAGTTCATATAAACATAGGTCCACAAACGCTTCGTTGCCGATCTACAGGGTGTTGAAACTTCAAGATATTTTTTGTTTTTTAGAGCTCCTGCATTTTTTGAGATATTTAGCTCAAATTTGGTATAAGGCGGGGTTCACTTTCAACGAATCATTTGTACAGAAAATCGTTTTTAATTTTTTTTCTCGATAACGATCACAAAAACAAAAAAAGTTTACAAACAAAAAAAAGTTTCTAAACAAAACAGACTAATCATTTTGTATTTTAGAAGCTACCAGTATAGCGCACAGCAAAAAAGTTCGGGGAGAGAAAAGGGAATACGCCTCCTGAAAAAGTATTACCCTGTGGAATTCAACAACCAACTGTGATACATACCCAATGATTGTATATGCCTTGTAACGCAATCTAGTTCAATGTAGTCCAAATTTGAGCTAAATATCTCAAAAAATTGCAGGAGCTATGAAGAAAAAAAACAAAAAAAAATTTGAAATTTCCACACCCTGTAGATCGGTAACGAAGCGTGTGCGGACCTATGTTCATATGAACTTTAAGTCATTAAATAAACAAAAGAATTACATCCTTTCGGATATGCACGATATTTAGGATGTATTATGATGTATTATGATTTATAAAATGATTTTTTAAAAACATTCCAAAACATTTTGGAGCTGTATTTTTTATTATTTTTATTTATTTACTACTATTAATTAGGTTATCATAAATTCTTAGGTTTTATAACAAAGTTTCCATCGTATTCGTTGTTAAAAGTATCAACGTATCGATTTTATAGCGTGCAGGTATTTAACCGATATGTGTGTCTGGTTTTCACAAAGGGATGAAAGGTTTATTCTACATCAACTTTTATGTACTTCGAGCTTCGCAGCTGCACAATAGAGTACAGCATTCAATTCTCAATATTAGCATTTTATCAGCTTTACAGAGCTTTCGATATCAAAGCCGTAATGTAATTTTCACCTCTACGAACTTTGTTTGCGACCAACAAATATCGTAAAAAAATTACAGCGGGATGTATAATTACTAATTTCCAAATTCATGAATTTTTAGGGGGACTTAGGAATAGACATAAAATTCCATGAATCCCCCAAACATCACTGGATTTCGCAGGAATCGGTTCATCTGTTATCCAGCGCAATCAATCATTACAGTTTCCCGAAACCGTACAGTATTATCGGGAAAATTCGGCGTCATAAATATCGGGGAAACCGTTGAACTTGGATCTGATGTCAGATTAACGTCGGCGTTTCGACTTTGGGGGAATCTAAATTGCGGTCGTTTCCCTTGAACCGCCGTTCTTTTTATAGCTTATCCAGCACCCGCACCCGACTCGACGTCAATGCTTTTCCATATTCCTCATACATCATCATCTGAGACAAACAACTGGTAATAGGATGGAAACTTTGTCGCGAATATTATTAGCTGGAGTAGGAAATGACGCCGGCCGAACAAGGATCCCATTATCATGCGTGTAATAATAAAACTGGAACTTATTTGCATTACATACATATGTGCGAATCTGCCGGGATATTATGTTGTTATTTATTAGTCCAGCGTAGCAATTTGAGCGGAAAATATACATATTTCAACGTAAAATAACAAGATGCTAATGGGTGTTTTCCCAGTGGAAAACCGACAATGCATTTGATTAAATCTCGATACCTATATTTTTAGGATTATACAGTCAAGGATTTGTTATGCTCTAATAATTTTTTCTCTCTTGTTTATATACCACAGGTCTTAATTGCAGGAGATAAATTACACTTATTAGCGCAATAATTAGCCACCTTTGTTATGTATGATTTTTCGGCTGTTATAACATACAGGTTAAGGATTATATCGGTTATAAATATGTATTCCATATAGTTGATTAATAACATACGTTTTAAAATAATGTAAAATGATAATTTCTACCATTATTGTTACATTATCATTGGTCATTTAGAGCTATACATAGAAGAACTACATAATATTAGATCCAATCTGTAAGGTTAAACAAACCTACAGAAAGCTTGTTGTTAATTTTTTTACAACAACTCATTCCACGTCACGTACTTTTACCTTCTTATAATGACAAATTAACTCAAAGAAAAGTATGTAAGTGCATAGGATATTTTTTCAGACGTGACTTTTATCTCGTTTGTTATTTAGATTTTTATGGTCCGTTAAACTTGTTTCCAAGGCTCTCGAAATAATTTCGTCGGCGAGACGAAACTTTTCGTTCTGTGAGCATAACAACCCTACGAATAATTTTCCTTATGTAGATAGAGAAATAAAGGATTAAATTTATTCCGGCGTGCGGATTATTCAGACATCGGGCAGACGGGCGAATTTTCCTAAAGCTCAAAGTTGCAGGAAAAGTTTACAAAATGGATTATAAATTGACTATCAAATCGCACTCAAACGCGTATTGCTAAAATACTATTTCTATAAGTTTTCATTGAAGATATGAAGGGTGTTTGTTATTTCTTTGGCTCACCCTGTATCTTCGCAAAAAATCGCATAATTTACGTATTTCTGAAGTTGTAATCAAATGAGAAACGCTCTATTAGTTATACATTCGCCCTTGCGAGCGCCTCTGATTTATTCATAAAATTTATTTACCTAACTGTATTTCATTAATTAAGATATAATTTGAAAGCTGATCTTGTTTAATTGATTCAAATGTTACCGACTAGCACACCTTCAACCAAGGCCGAGGAGTACTCTTTGTCATACGAACAGCACAAAGTTAAATAAAAAGAGAATGTTGAGTTTTTTACGTACAAAAATAAATTTCTATACCGAGTACCGAGTGCGTGATCGAATACCCGTGTGCTTATTAGAATTATTCACGCGGTAATTCGACCAATTTACATTGCAAATGATCGCTTGCTTGTATTTGCAGAGCCAGCCTCGAAGCTTCGACATGATCCAGAAGCTGGCGATTAAACGGAGATCCCTCGCGCCAATTAGCCAGGATCATTTCAAATGATTGTGCGGGAAAACTCGGTCGTGTGATGAATGCAAATCTGGAATCTCATACGAAATGGGTAGCCTGCCGAATTTGCACGAGCTGGGAAAACCTGAAGGCGAAGAACAAGGATTCAAACCAGGTATAATTATTTGACCACAATGAGAGTTAATTTCAACTATCTACCTACTACTGTTACACAAAATATGAAAATATGTTGTACGAAAATGTATTAATAATAAACACTAAAAAAATTATTTACAATAAATTTACTGGAAAGACAATGACCATAACATTTAATGTAAAATCACAATAATCATGAAATTTAATAAATTAAATTTTATATAAGGAGGAATTTCAATTTTTACAATATTACACATCCAAAGTAAAATAACAAAATATAATATTCATCTTTTCATCTATTACATAATGTTTTGTACTACTACATTGTAAAGGCACATTATAATATTGCGTGATTACATGTAGACGTATGTTAATGTAGGTACCATAAACCTACTAGGTCAGAACTAAGGTCAGAATTACATTTTCTTCCTTCTTAAGAAAGTTCCATTTCTGGCCAGTTAAAAGCACAGATAGAAGTACCGAAATTGCTTATACAAGGTGTTCCTAAACATCGTGTACATCCGAAAGGGAGTGATTCCTTGGCTTATTTGAACTTTTAATCATAAAATAAGCCAAGGAATCACTTCCTTTCGGATGTACACGATGTTTATGAACACCCTGTTTACTAGTTGTATTTCAAATGCAAAGTAGGTAATGGAAACGCATTGTGTAGTCCAGTTCATGTCAGATGATAAAAGCAAGACATGCAATTTTACAATTGTTCAACACCCAAGATGCAATTTGTTAAGTTAGATGTATCAGTCTGAAGTTGAATCCCCAACAGCCTAGTCTGTCGGTGTCCATTCCTTATTTTACAGTTGACCGGTTGGTCGAGCACAAGATGTAACTGCTTCAATACCTCCGTGCGTGGGCTACTAAATTTACATTAAAATTGTAATAATAATTTTCTAACGGATATTTCACACGTAACATGTTTAAGTTTACGTTACATTTTAACGCTTAAAAATTACAAAGCATAGTTTTTTTACCTGAAAATTTTAGCAAATTCATTACGGGAAATATAATTTTTCACAACAATATTTTGTGCATACCGTGTGACAATTTAAAATTTATATTTAAATACTTAGATATTTAGATGTTTAGATAAATTAGATAAGTATTTAACAAAAAAAAATCTTACGGACTCTTATCATTGACCATAAGGTTTTTTACAAGCTTTTAGAGCTCTTTAACATTGTATTACAAGAAGCGTTTGTTTGTTTTTAAAATTGTTATAATAATAATATAATAATGATAATAATTTGCTAAGTTTTGATACACCCTTTATAATTCATATATTATTCATACTATTGGATAGCATTTTTTGTAAGCTCATTAATAATATATCACGAGTAGTGGTTTTGTTATTTATTGTTTTAGTTGGGGTATGTGGGACCTAGGGGGTTGATGGGGCTGAGTTCTCTTTTATGTTATTTTAGTTCTCCCTTCATATCCCAGAAACGGTTTTAGGTAGTTTTTGATAAATATTAACTTTCGTTTATGAGATATTTCTATTATAATCTTTTAAACTGTCACACTGTATTTACACATATTTTCTTAAGTAGAAGTAAGTGTATTAGGATTTCACAGTCATTTAGGTTCAGTGTATGTATACCTAAGTATTTCTGGTTCCTTCTTAGATAGTCTAAAGGTCAGGTCTCCATGTAAGAGCCCTGTACCAGTTTTATTGTCACAAATACAGTCAAAAATACTACTATCAATCAAAAATCCCGCTACAACTTCAGACCTGAAAACCAATAAGGAATGGAGAATTTAGCGAAAATGTCCAAAGAAGATATCAACAGGATCTTCGAACCTATCGAAACCGTTCTAATAGACTGCGAAGGAGTGCTGTGGGTGAACACGGACCCGGTTCCAGGCGCTGCGGAAGTAGTCAACATATTAAAACGAAAGGGAAAGCACATTTTATTATTTTCCAATAACACGATAATACCGCGTGACGATTTCGTCATCAAAGCCAAAAGGTACGGCATAAACATCGACAAGCCTGAGATGCTCACCACCTCCTCGTTGGTGGTGTCCTACCTGCGAAGCAGATCTTTCCAGAAGAAGGTGTTCGTCGTTGGGTCCATGGGATTGAAAAGGGAGCTGCAAGACGCCGGCATAAAACATTTAGACATAGGCCCGGACGAGATCCAGAAGAGCATATACCAAACGGTCGAAATGTTCCACCCGGATCCGGACGTGGAGGCCGTCGTCGTCGGTTTCGACGAGCACTTTTCCTATCCGAAGCTCCTCAAGGCGGCTTCCTATCTCAACAAGCCCAAGTGCTTGTTCCTGTCCACCAACGATAATTGCAAGTGCGTCTTCAACTCGAAAGTCGTCATTCCTGGAACGGGGGCTATCGTGAAGGCGGTGGAGGCGGCGTCGCGACGGGAGGCATATCTAGTCGGCAAGCCGAGCAATTACATCATCAAGATGCTGATCAACAATTACGGAGTCCATCCGTCTAAAACGATGATAATCGGCGATAATTCTAAGACGGACATCGAGATGGGCTCGAAAAACGGTTTCAAAACGTTGTTGGTTTTGACCGGCTTGACGAAACTGGAACACATTACAGCTTGGAAAAATTCTCAAGTACATGATGATAAATATTTCGTTCCGGATTATTACTGTTCTAAGTTGGGAGATTTAGCTAAAATGTTATAATGTACCTAACGCTCAAAATGTAATATTGAAATTGTATTTCATCATTTTTTTTAACATTCGTATTAATAAGGATAATATCGGAAAATAGCTGTTAACATGAGAAAGCTATTGTTTTACAATAAATAGTTTGATGTGAGATTAGTTTTCAATGTATGTAAATGCGAAATTCAGTTAAATGCGCAATAAAGATTTCAATAAAAATTCGATAAATAGATAACATCATATTAATTATTGGTTTTGATTTTTTGGAGGTCCTGCTCTTGGCCATTTATGCAGCGGTTGTAACGGAACCTTAACAGAAGCGGAAAAATCGAAAATACTCCACAGATTCTCCGGTCACAACCGAATCACCAAGGCCAGAAGCAATCCGCAGGAATCTAATAAAATCGTTTACGATGAATATACAGGAGAGGCAAGTAGATATATAATTATTCTAAATTAATATTATAAGAAATTACAGATAATAACTGCACTATGTAACTATAATATTGATTTAAATAACTGATTACTGTTAATTTGGGTAACTGAATACGATTATGTAGATTATTCTCTTGTAACACGTACCATTTTGAAGTTATGATAAATTTTAGTTTCATTAATAAAGAAAACTAGCAGTTTTCTTTATAATTAGTAGGTTTCTTAGTAACAGTTAATCAGTACTTCTAATACGCAATTTCAAAACTTGAGAGTGTTAATTGATTCTAAATGATTCTAATGATTTCTAAATGGTCCTCGGCCAATCCAAATGATTCTGGGCAGTTAATTATGGCAGTAAATTATTTTAGACAGTTCTAAAGTCATTGTAGATAGTTCTAAATTATTCTGGATAGTTCGAAATCATTCTAAACCGTTCCAAATGGTTATCGACAGTTCTACGCAATTTAAATGATTCTAAAGAGTTATGATATTAAGTTATACTGTGGGATTGTAACTTTTTCCACACTAACCAGACTAACATCTGTTATTTTCATAATATTCTTAGTTCAACTCATAAAAATGACCAACCATAATGCGTTGAGTTCTGCCTGTATCTATATGTATAGTGTTAGATAAGGAGAGTAGGAACATACGTATGTAAGTAATATAAAAGAAAATATACTATATAAGTAATTGTCTCTGGTTCCAAATAAGATTATTGCAACCAGATATTTAACTAAATATGCTTGGGTGAGAAGTTTTTTCTACCGATGTCTTTTACCCAGCATCAATTATTGTTACATCTTTGGATGCGCCAGAATTTGGAATTTTTCCTGAAACTCCATTATATTTTTGGTGTATTTATTATTTTTTTCTCTTATTATCTACTTAATATTTTGCAGCAGGCGACTTATTCCCCGATGTGCACTCGATCCCGATACAATCTGCACTTACAAGGAAGCGCTCGAAGGAGGGATTCCATTAACAGCTCCATCGGTGCCACCTCCGTACGGAGACTGCTAGCAGTCGTAAGAGGCGGAACAAACAGCAGAAACGCAGGTACATACGCCTATTTCTCTCTAAGTATCCACCAACGAAAAAACCTTTAACATGATGTGCAGGAAGAAACCATAACAGTACGGTTTACACCAAGAAAATCCTCCTGGCGAATCTGGTGGTGGTATGCTTCAGCCACATATTTTCCTCACTGGCCTTCCTACCGTTCATGGCTCTTCAGGGTTCGGTTTCCGTTTGGTACCAACCGGATGACGAGAACGTAACAACCATCACCAAAGGCTCCTTGTTTTTGACCAGCAGCTTCGTCATCGCTGCAATTGTTACTCTGGTAGCGCCTTGTGTTCTCAAGCGGATAAGCGCAAGCACAATTATAGTAGTTTGTAATGGTATGTTTATAGTATAGAAGGAGTACTTAAATTACACCTGTACAATATTTTTAGGCGCAATGATAGTGTTCTACTTGTCCCATCTGTATCAGTTTCTCTACGTGACAATCCCCGCCTATCTGCTCTTAGGACTCATACAGGGTATGTTAACCAACGGTCATATATCATTCCTGCTGGTGCTGTCTCAACGGATTACAGCGCTGTTTCACGAAGACGAGGAAGAAGGTCGATTGGCCAGACGGACCGTCGTAATTAGGAGAGTTGCCAGAGCTTTCCAGGTACCTCGTCTCGTATTTCTGGAGAAACTCTATGATTCAAGCAACGTTGATTTGTTTTAGGGGTCTTACGATTTCGGGTTAATTTTAGGCTCCATATTATCGGCGATGCTTATTACATATACAGTTAACCTTAAGACTAACGGAGGAATAATGTCTGTTGATAATTCTACATTTTTATTCAATGTAAGTATATTACAACGGTACTGCATCGCTACATCAATCAATCAAGGACAAGTAGCAATGAAAGAGATTCGTAGACAACCAAACAAACAATTTAATAGTGTTATTTAACCAAATAAATTCTTGTCAAGGACTGTCTGGTCAACTCCAGTTACCCTCTCACGCACTGCCAGAACGCGTCAGGTCCTTCGGTAAGCTTGTACGATTACAGCGCCTTCCTGGATGATGTATTCGATCGAAACGAGGAGGGCCGCCTGTGCGGCGCCCAAGCCTGCCCGGTGGCGGCGTCTTCGACCAATTCCACGCTCGTGACGGAATCAGGGTTCCGGATATTGCCGAAGAAGGCGGCGGACATTTTGATCGGCGTGTACGGGGCGATGTGCGGCGTTGCTCTCGTCATCTCGTTGCTCGGTTTGGACAGGATAAAGACGCCCGTGTACCAGGTGGGTATTTTTCAGAATCTACTCGGATATCTTGGTCAATGGGGTTTGTTGGAAATGGACTTTTTTGTTGATGTAGGACCCGTTGGAGAGGGGAGAGGCGATGGCGGCCATTACGGCGGTGAAAGAAAGCTTCAGAGATACGAGACTGCAAATGGCTGCTCCATTGGCTGTTTTCATCGGAATTGAACAAGCGTTTATGTACGCCGGTTTCAGCAAAGTAAGGGCTTTTATTATTGGATTTTAAGTCAAAAACAACGCTTGTTGGGAAGAAACCTCTTGCCATTTATCGCCGGTTAGTGTCAGTATGTTGGGATTTATTATTAAGGTATACCAGTATGTTAACGAAGGCTAGAGTAGCTTAAGAAGTGGTGGAGTGAAAAATATTAAAACCTGGATAATCTGAATCATTTGTACCTGACCCTACAAAATGCTAAAACATTGACGAAATATGGCAATAGATCTCTTCCATCAAAATATATATCATCATATATTAACGTTCTTGTTTTACTTTATTCAGTCTTATGTCGTCTGCACGTTGGGAATACACAGACTGAATTTGGTATTTTTGGCTATGGGCGTTCTACAATCTATAGCCGCTTGTACGCTTAGTATGTTCCTTCGGACAATCAGAAGATATTACGTTGTCGGTAAGCGATTTAGATCTTTCTTATCAGTACATTATGATATTTTAATTTAATCTATTTCAGGTGTTGGTTTCACTTTTCATGGTTGCCTACTTATGGTTCTGATCCTTTGGAACCCAACCGAAGATGATCCGGCGTTGTTTTACGTCATTTCAGCCTCGTGGGGCGTCTGCAACGCCATCTGGGAAATGCTGAGCTTTAGTAAGTTTATCTATCTAAAAGAAACCAGACATTAAAGTAAATATTTAATATACAAGGTGTCACTTTAAAAAGGAATCAGGTGTTTTTAATTTTGGGTAGAAAAAAAACATTTATTTTTGGAAAATCATTCGGACGCGTCCAACATCAAGGTGGACATCTTTTAAGATAAAAATCGTTATCATATTATTTCATCCCTTTGCCCAGCAACCCCAACCCTTCAAAAATGAATAGGGGACTGGGATCGTGTAAAAAATCATTAGAAAGATTTTGTTTCTATGAATATAACAAAAATAGATTAATATACAGGTCGTACGAATTATTCCGCTGCAAGCATACAATGAGAATAATGAGATAGCTAATTGAACTTTTGCTATGTAAGGAATAAAGAGAGCATACAAAATAATCACGCCCGCTATCCCCGCTATTCGCTAGTGGACGAAGCGAAGCGAATTGACGAATTCTAATATCGGCCGGCAACCGATAAACAAGTTTCTGTTCTTTACTATCTTATAGTATTCATTGAGATTCTAATTCTAATGCTTGCAGCGGATCAGTTCGTACGACCTGTATACAGGGTCTATAGATAGATTGTAATAGATAGTAATAGATTGGGGCAAGGCTTAACTCACTTCTGGGACGAAAACAAGATAATTTAACCTAACTTACCTGTATCCAAATTTGCTTAGTAAATAAGTTATTGGGTTTTAAATTTAAAATTTAAAAGGGATTTTTTCATATTGGGGCGAAAATGGCTGAGGTCTTTTTCATGAAAATTTCTAAATAACCTTTTTGCGAAACCCTGTATATAGTATATAGTAGTCTATAATATTTATGTAAATTACCTTTGATAGCTTTCCTGACTGGTCAATACACGAACAACGGAGAAGCGGCGTTCGCAAACTTTGCGTTCTTCAAGTTCTTGGGGCTGGCGTTGTTCTTCGCGTTGCACGGGCTCCTCTGCAACGTGTGGAAGTTGTACGCGATGAGCTTCGTGCTGGTGGTGGCCGTCGTGTCGTTCGCCTGGCTGGAAGTACGCCTCGAAAACGTGAGAAAAGTGAAGAACATCACCAGGTTATGACCGCGGCTAAATTTCTGGTAATTTTCGCGTCGGTTCGTTGAACATATCAAATGATATTTTTTTGGTTAGTTGGTTTTAGCGGTGTATATGTTACACGGATAGGTAGGATTTAGGATTAGTCGAGTCGAGGAATCATCAATCAGTATTTTACCTTATGTATTTATTGTAACTGAACATTGTAAATGAAAGACTTATCTACAACTATTTTCTTATGTCGAAATCGTTCAGCTTAAGATAAAGGCGGAAGGATTTATATTAATAGACTTGAATTGAAATTTAAGACATTTTAAAATGTAATTGTAATTGTTAATGAGAATAAAGTATTTTAAATAAAATGAATAAAAACTCTTAAGAATACTTTGCGAATTACACTTATTTATTGTTTAGCATTCTTGCTAATTTAGCTGCTTGCTAATTTTTCTGAAAGGAAATTTAGGAAATTGATAAAATAAGAAAGGAAAGTTAATCAAAGAGATTCATAAATTAATTGCTAAAATTATATAAATAGTATGATTAATTATATAAAATAGCGACAAACTGTATGTCAAGTAGTGGCATAAATTTATTATTTAATAATATTAGCGTTTTTTTAAACCACATATCTACATATTTAAATGATTTAGGGTGTGTTTATCAATGCTTAGATAAATAAATGATCCACAATTGACTATTTGATAAATTTATGTGCGTGTTGATAAATCCACCTTCAGTTAATTTAGCCTTGTTCAAAAACATTTTACTACTTTTCGTAATACGCAAACTGCATTTTTATTTATTTGAGTTCGCATTGAAAATTTCTGCGATTGCGCCACGCCAGTTTCTTCACTCTGCGACTTTATGTAGTGCATATTTCCCATTTAAATACGATGACTAAAAAACACGTAGAATAAAAGGAACACGTTTTAGATATTAAAATCCTGTGATGTTGTAAATAGTACCTACGAGATAAAATTTGTGTAATTTTAAATGCATATTTTATTCGACTACCGACCTCAAGATTAATAAAGCTGAATTAAAAGTGTGCCCTTTTTTTAAGTCTTTTCTAAAAAGTTCCATAAGGGAGACTGAAGTTACAATTACCCTCATGGATTGTTTTTTCATCTCGTATATAGGGATACTTAAAAATTTTTTACCCAATACTCTACGCTTTTTCTACTTACGAGTATTTCCTGTCGTGGATAAATTGGTATAATCGACTGCCGTATACTACCTACTATTTATTTAAATTTATACACTATATTTATGTTCTTAACAGAAAATTAGCTCTATTAAATTTAATACTTTCAACAAAAATCACAAGGTACATTAAAACAGCATAGAAATCTCTCAAACTAAATCCTCGACGTCCATGAATATATCCGCTACGGCCACTTTGGAAAATACCCTGTTCGCCAGTCCGTGGAAAATGAGCCCGAAGCTCTTCTCGTAACCGTCTCGGACGTCGGTGAAGACCTCGTTCCAATTCTCGTTGAGGACGTTCAAGATGTTGTTGGCCAGCCGCTCCTCGCCGTTGAAGAGATTGTCGAATTTGTAGGTCATCCTGTCCGGTCGCAGGGTCACCGTGTAGTTGGAGAAGTGCCAGAACGTTTTGCCCTTCTTCTGGAACGGCTCCGCGTAGATGGTGTGGTTGATTTTGGTGTTGTCTGGAATGTAAATAGGAAGCGAATGATAATAGGAGGAACCGTAGGAATACGAGAAACGGGATTTTGTTTTTCACAGTCACTTTACTAGAAAAAATCTGACGTTAGACTTGACTGGTGTAGACTCACGAAAACACAGAAAGGTGCTCTTTTAAATTATTTCAAATTATACAATAAGTTATCAGTGACAATCTGATATATCTACCCATTTTGCCATTTAAAAAAGAAGTCAAATGATTTTTGGATTCGGCAAGCTTTTTATGAACTAGATGAGTTTTTAATGTATTAGTCGCTTATAAGTTTTAAATGTTATGTTAAATCTTGCTACCTTCATACTTAAGCAGTGACAAAAAAGTACCCCGAAAATTGGATTAAAACGCAAAATTCCTATAATCTTATTTAATTTTTGTTGAATCTCCTTTAAAATATTTATGCTCCTTTTAAAGAGTTTCACATAGTCATCAGACGTCTTTTCCAATCATCGACACACTTTTATAGGCCCTTTTTGGTACGGCTTTTAGCTCCTTCTGCGAATTTATGGAGTCAAAACGGAATTCCCGAAGTGGCAATTTGAGCTTAGGAAACAAAAAAATGTCGCACGAGGCTAAATCTGACGAGTAAAGCGGCTGGTTGATGGTACTTCACAAGAACCAGCATGTCTGCATTGACCACTTGATAATATCGTTTTTGAAGGAGACTCAGCTCTATCCGAACGAGCCGAGCCTCAATGCGCAGCCTGTCCGATTGGTTGAGCAAAATCAAACGAGCGATTTCACGAGAGATGTTGATATGCGCTATTTCGTTAATACTAGCATGATGATTTTTGAACTCATTTTCCTTCATTTTTTCTCGCCGTTATCATTGGTTAAAGAGGTCGAAAATCGTCCGGAATAAGTTTTTAACGATTTTAATAAGGAATAATTTTTTTTAGCGATCTCCCGACTGCCTTTAAAAGTTTTGGGTAAATATGGGTTTTCTATAAAACATAGACACTTTAAGCATTTACATCGATTCGCCCTAGAAATTCCGTTCAAAACCCAAAATACGAGACAAACTCTTTGTTCATTATTTTAGATTTTAGTCCATTGCAAAATTCGCAGAGAACTGCTGAAATGAACTAATTGAATCAGCTGCTACAACCAAACTAATTGAGAAATCTCTCTAATTTTTTGCATGCTAATTAAAAACAGTGTTACCTACATACAGAAACATGAAACTTGAAATAGTTAAAAATATTAAGTACAGAAAATTTAAATCAGAAATTCCGGATACTTTTATTTGTCACAGTGTACTTTCGATTTTTTTCATAAAGCAAGGATACATTTTATACCTTTAGAGAACAATATGCTTACACAACTATTCCACATATTCCAGAATTATTTCAGTATCATTTGGCACTTTATCAATCGCTTAATAAATAAAATTGGATGAAATATACTCACACAAAGTGACATTACACGGCCCATCACCGAACACAGGCAGAAGCATCACCCGGCCTCTCATCGAGTATTCGCCCTGCAGCCGCAATTCGGGAGTGATGGAGGTCGCGTGGAGTATGCGATTCTTGAAATCCGCACTGAAAATATCCAAATTAATCATCGAAATTCAATCAATTCGCAAAAAAAGTTACCTCGCTGATAGCACTATCGAATCCGTCAAGCCGTACAATTTAACGTTCTTGAAGTGCTGCACCACGTTCACCGGGCCGTGACCTTCTCCAATTATCAGCTCTGGAATATCCAGGGGATCTAGGGTGTTTAATCCCAATTCGGGCGTTTCTGAAAAGGTTCGTTGGATGATTGCGTTTATAAGATGTGTCCAGAAAGTAAGTTCCGTTTGGTAATTAAAAAAATCATGTAGAGATACATATAGGAATAATATTTATGTTCAACTATCCGCGATAACGCTTGGATTTTAACTATGAGAACAGCATATAAAAACTTATGCCACGCTATGAAAAATGCCCACAAAATTTCAGGATCTATGTAGAGATATAGCTTAAGAATCGGAGATTTGGGTGCAATAAAAATTTTTTTATACTTATAAGATTTTTTTTAAATTACTTAATGGAACTTACCTACTTTGTGGACTAGTAGGTAACTACTATCTAAGATCATCATTTTTTTAAACCTACCTTTTTTGAATTGGTGGATGGCGTCTTCGACATTTTTCTTCAGGCATTCGTTGAATTCTGGATCTTTAACACTGCATCTTCCGATACTGTTCGCTGAAATTGTTAAAATTTAGCTAATAAATATACTAAAACACTGTAGGAAATGAGTGAGGTAATTTTGAGAGGGAATGATTTTACTTTTTTACTTTTTATTTGCTTCGTCTTCGAATTGATGATTTAAAAAGGGTTATTAAATGTACTCGTAGAAATCCTGTTTATTTGTGTGAACTATTTTTAATTAGTCTTTTTTTACAAATTTTCCTTCTTTCACATAGTTTTACTTATTTTGCTGAAATTATGCTGCCTTTCGTGTAGATCAGGTAACCATAAGCAAATACAAGAAAAACAATAATATAAAAGCAAGGTTGTCAAATCTGAAAAATTGTAACTACTTTAACGGAAAATCCGACCGACAAATAAAAAAATACACCTACCTGGAAAAATATTTATTTATAGTGTAATTTCAAGTACAAACTGAATTAATTATAAAAAATGGTGTTTGCTTTGAAATATAAAGCCAACATTTTTTGTAGTAGGTAATTAGGTGATTAAAGGTATATTTAATAGCGGTTTTGCCGGAAGCATTTTCATCAGTACAGTTCGTTTACATGAGGTTGATATCCATATTAAAATAAATCATTTATAACAATTGCACAGTATCGAAGAGACTCGATTATTTTTATTCGACTAAGGACGCGAAGCTCCTAATAGCATGTTTGGAATTAAACAATAGTTCACAGTGTTTACTCAATATACATAATTATTGGGTGTATAGTAACAATAATTGACGACACACTTGTTAAATAGGTTAGTTTGTAATTTATGGTCAATAAATTATTAATTATCAGTTACGTTTCGAAATCCGAAATAGAATATTTTTTCAGGAATCACCTGAATGATAATAGTGATAGGATATGAAAAAGAAAAATTTTTATGAAGAATTTATTTTAAATCTTTTTACGTTCCCTCGGGCTTTCTTTTTGTACTTAATGAAATAAATAAATTAAATAATTATTAATTACATATGCAACGTGTCAAGGTTTACTATAAATAATTTCTCAAAAAGCCATTGAACCAATGAATTATTTACTAATTATTGTAGAAAATTTTTCTGATTAAATAAAATTAATAACTCTTATATTACTTTGACAATCAATTTGAAGAATAAAATTTTTAATATATCTTTAACCAATAACCCAACTAATTTTATTTCATTACACTGTAATATACTCTCAAAATAAAGGTGAAATATTTTATTTTAATGAATATTGTGTTATAATAATAAATATAATTAACACGTGTTACTCCCCAATAACCAATAGTTAAATTACTTGATGTGATTCTGCATGACATTTTTCTGTAAATTTATCACAGGCTGTCGTGAAAAGAATGAGTTTTTAGTTCGAAATTCGTGTTACTTTATTTCATAGAAACGTCAATTTACATTATTTATTAACGATTTGTTTTATGTAAATACCATTAGTGCATTCAACATCAATTTAAGCAAATAAAATAAAATGAATACAATTAAAAAAACGAGTCATATTAAAATTGGGAACTCGGTGAATCCAAAAAGAATAGATTTAAAAAATTAAACACTCTCGATTTTGTGAAAGAATTGTTACATATTTTTTAAGTAACTCTTATAAGTTGGCCCGGTTGCTCGTACGCGGATTAAATTCGGATGAACTAATCTCAAATCAAAAAGTCGGATTAATAGTACTGGAATAGGGCGGCCATATTTGATCCCGATTTAAACTCGGCTTAATCCCGGATTAAAGTTGATCGATGTACGAGCAACCGGGCCTTTCAAATTCTTTATTTTTTTTATCAAATTTATACAAGTTTTCCCAAGTTTTGTAGGTACCTACCTGGAAATATGTTAAAATCTTCAAAAACTTTAAGTTCCCAGAAAAAATACTTGATTGATTTTTATTATTTTTGTGAAAAATTGGTAAATTTCTACGTTATGAAAAACAGAGTAAATAATGAATTTTAAGGTACTCTCCTGATTCGAAACGAAAAATGTATAAAATGTTAATACTTAAAAACCAAATAGATACCTAAAAACTTCATATAACATACTTTCAAAACATCGAATTTTCTCGTAACTGATGACCCATTGAATATTATAAAAAATCAATGCAACTTACGTAATTTCCCCGAGTTCGTTACGCAAAAAACGGCCGCCGCCAAGATTAGGCCCACTCTGGCATAGAAACCCATAACTTTCGAATGCAGAATGCAGAACTGGGTAAGGTGCAAGTACCTGATGAGTGGAGAAACAGAGTGCCAAGGTTGGGTTTTCTTCAGCGCGTCGTCGTCGCGAAAATGACGCCGAGTATCCCCCAGTTTCCTTTATATAGATGACAGATTATTGTTTAAACGGTCACTGTTCAATAGAAAAAAAATTTACTGGAAAAAATATGCACGCTTCGCAAGGTGAACAGGATATTTTTTGAAAGGTGCATCATTTCGCAGCGGCTAATTTCGTTAGTTGCACCTACTTTGACTCGAAGAAAGGAAATTAGGAGATTAAAATGTATGTAATTTATTGAAAAGTGCATCAATAGTATTTTTTTAAATAAATAGGATGGTCGCTACAACTTAAATTTAACACCTACAATAATGTGCTTACAATAGATAAGATAACCTTTAGAAAATAAAGTCTCTTAACAAGAAAATACCTATTTTTTATGTTTTTAGATTTTAAACGATATTCAGGGTGTCCCACGTAAGAACCGACCCAGAGCAGCCGCCTATAAGGGAGCCCAAAATAAGTTGTATAAACCAATTTAACTTTAATACAAAGTTACATTCCTGAGAAGTTATAGGTCTTCAAAGTGGAGTAACAAATTAAAAAAAAAATATCTCGGTAATATTCGAACTTAAAACAACTACAATTTGATGAATGTATGTTATGATTGTATTATGTTATGAGTGAACCTGATGGATCATTTAAAAAAAATATTAGTACATTTCGTAGGTAATTTGATTTTAAAACTTTTATATTTTTTTGTTTTTTAAAATTTTTGGTAGTCTTGATGACAAAGGCTAAAAAATAAAGTGATGTACACTATCAATGTTACTTAAAATCGTTGATCATTCAAAAGTTGGCTGAATTAAGTTAAGTTGGGTTAAATAAATTTTAGGATCCCCTACATGCCTCTGCTCTGTATAGGTTCTTATGCGTGACACCCTGTATGTGATATTTTTTTAAAAACTATTTTTATAATAATTCATAATGTTATAGATAGCAAATTAAAGAGAGAAGAATGAAATTATAGTACATCATGATAATAGAATAAAAAATTATTGTGGCAGGATAGTAAGGAAAGGAAGGTAATAAAGAAATAATTAGGTACATCTAAGAGTTTAAAAAAATTTAAGTGCTAACAGCAATACCTAAGTTTAACCGGTAACTAATAGATTATATAACATTATATTTAAATTTACTTAAGGTTTATTGAAATTTATTTTATGCACGTAAGTTCGCAAAGTTCTAAAATAATTCAGACGTCATTATTGGTTTTTATACATGCGAAAAATAATAGATACATAATATTCTCTTTTTGGCAAACCTGCTACATTATTACAACAATGAAATTCGATTATTCAAATGGACCTCATGTATCTTAAGTTGTAATAAATTTCGAACGAGTCCAAAATTTTTACGAACCTCGTACTACTAAAAAAATTAATTGTACAATTGAAAATCTGACAATTTACGTAAATGGAAAAGCGGATATGTTAAAAATATACATCTAAATGGAAATAGATAAAAAAGTTAATAATTAAGTATATTTAAATCTGCGATATTTATATGATTTACATATAACTACTATTTACAATTTACACCTAATTATTCGATCATTCAAAATCGTCGTGTAATCGAACTAATTTCCATATCGCATTTGCATTATTAGTCTTCTAGAATGGACCTACACCTAGTCCCCTAGTCCTAATATACTCTTACATACAGAGTGGAAACGCCTAATAATGGAATAAATTCATTATTTCGGTTACTCTATATTTATTTATAGAAGATCCCGAAACACGTCAAATTTTAATTATAAATTGACATTCTAAAAGGTGTCTTCATTCTCTATCCAAAAAGGTTATAAAACTATAACATAGAGAATGAAAAAATCAGGCTTTTAACTTTCTTCGAAAGGTAGGGATCCACATTTTCATGTTAAAGAATGTCAATTGATAAATAATTAAAATTTTACATATTTCGGGATTTTCTATAACAGGGTGCTTTTTAATAACATGAATAACATACTAATACTGAAAGGGTTTATTCTTGGACAGATTTTAAGAAAAAAGCTTCATATATAAACATACCGATTGCTTCAATTCAGACCGCAACATGGTCGTTTCTATGAGTTGAACAAAGAAAGATTAATAAAATAACAGTTGTCAGAGTGAAAAGTTGCAATGACACAAATGTCACCCTTTCTTTTTCCTTTGTAAAGGTCTAATGGAAGTTGTCTCTATCGCGCCTATAGCCAATATAACCTATGTTGCGATCTGGAATGAAGCACAGTGTATGTCCTAAACGTCTTAATTTTTAAGATATAGGATGTTAAAGTTTAAAAATTTCTTTGTAATTTCCTGTACATATCATACATATATTTAAATATTTTTATAAAATTTGGGGTACGGCGTTTATGCATTAAGAGCATTTTTTGACCATAAGGATATTTTTTATTTTCTACAGTGGCGTCCTTACTGGACTCAGGCCAAATATGTTTAAGGGTAAAAGTGGCACGCCACTGCTTTCTCTTGAAATAAAAATTATTTTTGGAAGCCCCGTTCAATTTTGAACAAATTTGATTTCTTGACTTTTTCGTACGAATCACCGTTTCGCATAAGAAAAAATTTAATGCATTCATATGTACGCTACTGCTACATTAGACCCTGTGCAGGAATTAGGTAGGTAAAAATAAAGTTTAGGTTTAGGACATATGAAGTCTTTTTTCTCAAAATGGGTCCAAGAATAATCCCCTTAAATATTAGCATGTCATTGTGGAATACCCTGTAAAATTGAATAATATAATCAATAATCAATCTAAAAGGAAAGTTCAAAACAAATCAGGAAAAAGACATAGGTAATACCGATAATTAGGTAAACCCCATCGTTATAAAAAAGCAACTTTTCACGTGTCCAATGACACACGTAAGCTATACGGTCGATGCATTTTCTATAAATGGTTAATTTAAGATCGTAGAGGTTACTTATAAGTGTGTCAAATGCGAATCATTTTAGCAATAAAACAAATGTTATATGATGTTATGTACGGACGAACGTCCGATTTGGTTATTTCCAAGAAGCCTATCTTCAATGCGACCACGTAACGTTCAGTTCTAGTTGAAATAATTACATTTTAAATCAAGCGAAATGATACGTGCATTTCATTGTTAACTGCATTTATACAGGGCGTTTCGCCGGTAAACCCTAACCCATATACCTACTACATTTTTTTGTCGTTATAAGAGACAGTTATGTAATAAATCCTTCACGAGCAATAGTAGGTAATATAATAATTTCCATAATGCAATTATAATTTCAAAAAGACATTGTAGAAAATTGGGTTATTTGGATGTTCTTATGTGACCCCACCTGAATTTAAAATGTATGCTTTTGATGGAACACCCTGTATGGGTAATAACGAAATAAAATTAGCAAATGCAGCTTTTTTATTCGCCCTTTTATTAATAATTTGTTGAAATTTTCTAAGGCAATTTACTTTGTTGAATTGATAAGTTAATTTAATTATAATAACCGCTGTCCATAACAAGACAATTATCGAATAATGGAAAACGCTACGATTAAGGCTGCATCATTTATATCCTCGTTATATTATTAAAAAACTGATATGTTAATTATTTGAGTCGTAGAAAAATTGCTTTAATTTTCTCATTTCCCTTTAATTATAGGTAGTTCTTGTTTGTTAAAGACAATTATGTAATTTGTCAGTTGAGTGATATGTAATGTACCTGAAAAATGTGTGCAGGTATTAGGCCGTATTTATAAAAATAAGCATAACCTTTTGCTTTCAAAAAAATGAAGCAATTGCTTCAAGGTATAAGCATAAAGTGAAGTGAAGGAAGAGTTTTTGTTTCGAGGACCCTGCTGTTGCTTTAAAGCAATAGGTTTTATGTTTTCCGTATTTATAATTTTTAAAAAGGGGCATTTGCTTAAAAACAAAAGGATTTGCTGGTAAAAATGTAAGTCTAGGTCTTTGTTATGGCGTTTGTTATTTATGTTAGAACTATTTAGAACGGTTCAGAATCATTTAGAACTGATTACAATCATTTATAAGGTTCCAGAGTCGTCTAGAACTTGAATCATCTTGAATCATTTAGAACTGTTTAGAACGCTTCAGAATAATTTAGAATTGTCTAGGACAATCTGGAATGCTCCAGAAACGTCTAGAACCATTTTGAACTATCTAGAACTATTTATAATACTCCAGAATCATTTAGAACTGTTTAAAATCAAATAGAAGCCTCCAGGCTCATTTATAACTTCCTTGAATCGTTTAGAACTGTTTAGAACCATTAAGAACGCTCCAGAATCATTTAGAACCGTCTAGAGCAATCTGAAATTCTCCAAAAATATCTAGATTTGTCCATTCAGAAGGCTCCACAATCATTTAGAACTATCTAGATAATCCACCTAGAACGCTCCAGAATCATTTAGAACTGTTTAGAACTGAACTCCAGAAATATTTAAACCGTTTAGAACCATTTAGAACTGTCTAGACCTATTTATAACACTTCAAAATCACTTATAACTGTTTTTAGAATCGTTTAGGACGCTCCAAATTTATCTAGAACTGTCTTGAATCATTTAGAACTGTCTAGAACAATCTGGAATGCTTAAAACAGTCTAGAACCATTTAGAGCGCTTCAGAATCATCTAAAACTATCTATATGTAATTATATAGAACGTTGCAGAATCGTTTAGAACCATTTTGACTAATTTGGCGTAATCGCCAATCTCTGCTAATCTGATTTATAAATATGGACTATTGTCATCAAACTTTTATAGGCCGACAAACAAAGAAAAACAAGAAATATATTTTAAAATGTCCATTTAATCGAATTTACATCGATAATATAATTACAAAATTAATGAGAACAATAATCGAAGCTCATGTTTAAACTTGACCAAATACAGTCAATTCAATTCAGTATTCAGTCAGAACATGTTTATCATCATAATTCATCATAATCTTTGACAATATTTGTTTCATTCATAGTTAAATGGAATAGAATGTAGTTTTTGTAGAGAAAAAAGACCAAGATGGCCAAAGAACGGGAAAACATTCCAGCTGAAAAAATCTAATTTAATGACTAAAATCATTTAGTTATTCTTAAATTGATTGATTAACCTGATTGATTAATAAATTTGTAACTAGAACTTTAGATCGATCACATTCAATCAGATAATTCCCACGCTTGAATGGATTTTCCACTATTATTAACTTTATAGCTATCAATTAAAAAAATGATCACACAACACTTATACCTTAAACAGAAATTCTATATAAAACATTATAAAAACTAGTACCAATTAAACATAAATTTGTAAAATTTTCAAGATAAATTTCCATGCTTAATTAAAAAAAAGCTGCTTGTAATGTAATCGCTTAATTCTAGAGAAATATCGAAAAAAGTGTAACAGTCAAAAATCACAAAGAGGTAACAAATAAACTAACATTTAAATATATTCGAAATAGTCTTAAAACAGAGAGAATATGTCATGCAGTCATCTCTGTACCACATTTATACGGAGATATCCTAAATTACACAATATTTTTTTAAAAAAACGCTTCAATTTGAAACGATCAACACTATTATAATCTAAACATTGTAACAAACTCTTTGTAGTTTAAACGACATCAAAAATATCTACATTTTTGTATACCGGAATAAAATACATATATAGCCATTTTATTTCTGAAATAAAGGGATTTAGAAAAAATTTAAAAATGAAAAAATCACTATAAAAATATTGCACAACAATCAATAAACGACGCCGAATTTAAAGGGTTTAAAAAATTTTACGAGATATAAGGCCTTTTAACATATCGAAGGTGTTTCCGTCTGGATTTAAAGTGTGTATTTCACCGTTGCCAGATCTGACTCTCAAAAACCCGAAATCGTCTATACCTATTATTTTCATAACTTCGGATTTTTCTTGACCTAATGTTACAGTTACGTCCGTACCGCTGAAATGCACACAAGAAATGTTTTCGTTAGAAAAAAAACAAATACTGCAAAACTCTGACTTACTTGTGTAGCCAATATTTATAGTACAAATCAAAGAAGTAATCTACATTTCCCGTCTGGACGACATTGTAAATCTTTTCGAATTCGTTGAACACGCTGGCAAAATACACCTCGTACGCAATCTGCTTCATGTTTGTACATTTCGTTTCATTCGATTTTCTAATCAACTCGTTTATGGACGTAGTGGGATCGGAATTATCCAAATTTACGCCAACACCTGGAATTTTATTTAATATACACACACGATATTTACTTCAAATAAGTACTAATTACCGATGTTAACTACGGCTGTTTTGTCCATTACAGAAGATGTCACAATTAATCCACCTATTTTAACTTGTTTATTGGCGTACAAGTCATTGGGCCACTTTATTCCTACATCTAGATCCTGCAAAATTGCTAATTATGAGTAAATAAAAAAGAAATTGAGTTATTCAAAGGCAATACAACTAAGAGACCGAATTGTTTACATTTTTATGTGGCAAATCATTACATTCATACATTCGCCCAAACTCACACCCTGTATTATCGCAGGTTGCGTCGTTGTCAGTTTTATTTACTCGTAACAATTAATTGAAAAAAATCCTTTAAAAAATGAAATTATTCTTTAAAATATTAAGTATGTAGAGGTAAAAATTAAAAAAAGGCGTGTGTAGTGAGCAAAAAAGTAGATCATTTAAATCCAAGTGTCTTTTCATCGATAACTAAGGTTATGTTATATTGTTTTCATTTGAACCAGTGATGTAGAGCACCTGATATTCTTTAAAAAATCGTTAATTATTTTTATACCTTGTTATATCAACTTAAAGAAAAATTAACGTTAAAATGAAATTTAAAGTAAAATAATTTAAAATTTTACTTCGTTACAATGCTGTTAAGTTCAAAACTTTACATTACTGGCGATCATAAAGACAATTTGGTTACAACATTGCCAGCCGGTCCTAAGAAATATGTCTTTCTCTTTCCCTCATTAGCAATTTTAAAGCAATAACAGTCCGCAATTATTTGGGATTTATCAATGAAATATTTGGTCTCATAGTTGTAATGTCTTTTGGAATTATTATACCGACCTGGCATCCTCTGTGCGATTTTATCGCCGATATAACAGCTACCATAGTAATATGTTGTATCAAAGACAAAGCTTTTCCCAAGGGGGAATCCATGGCAACGTGAATTTGTATGGAAAAGAGAGCACTTCCGACCGGGCTTATCCACGTGTTATTGGACCTGCCTGAAACAATATAACCGAATGAATATTTTCCAAATTGTTAGGGATAAAAATTGCTTACCGACACCTCCCGTTTGTTGTCTAGGTATTATGGCGATTCCGTGAGAAAGAGGTTTATCTAATAACAATTGTGAACTAACCATAACATCTGCGTATATTACTAATCTACCGATATGTTCAGTTGCTAAAGTCTAAAAAAATAATAATTATTAAATACTTACAGTATAAAAAATTTATAAGGGTCTTAATAGCTTAAATTTTGTATAAAAAAATTAATAACTCAAAAAGTATGCATTATTGGAAAAAGTATTTTAGACAAAAGCACCCTAAAATTTTACGCACTTTTCGAAAACACATCAATATACATGGCGTTCCATTTAAAACAACAAAGTTGATGCCTACTTTCAGTGTAACCAGAAGTGGTACTGTCATAATATTTTTAGTATAAAGTAGTTTCCTTTTAACTCGTCGTGGAACACCCCTTGTGTATAATCGTTGGTCGTTGGTTACAAAACCATTTAATTATAAAAAAAATGAATCCGGCGGTAAATAGACAAATATTTGTTGTTATGTTAAGCATGTTCACAACCAGTTTCAATTTTATAAAATATGACACCTGTCAAAGGATATTAAGGAAATAATGTTTTTTATCAAATTTTTTAATCGGTTATATTTCCGTAACTATTCGTTGTAAAAAAAGTTTAATGCAAAAGTTGAAGAATGACAGACTAGAATGTAAGATTAGCCATTTATTCGTATTACTGTTTTTGAGAGACCGCCTTGTCAGAGAAAGAATTTTCTTACGATCTTTTAACAGGTATCATATTTTGCAAAACTGACCCTGGTTGTGAACTAGTCTTCATAATTGCAATTATTTGCTCATTTAAACTGGTTTCTATCTCCTACAGTTTCCGAAATCTCTGTGCTAAACATAAAAAAATCGCCTTCTATAGGCTATGGGTGCGACAAAGACAACTTCCAATAGACACTTATAAAAGAAAAAGAAAGAGTGACATTGTGTCATTGCAACTTTACACTCTAACAATTGTTATTTTAATATTTTTAATATTTCTTTGTTCAACTCATGGAAATGACCATATTGCAAAATGAAATGAATTAATGTGTATCTGCAACTTTACCTCAAAATAATTAACAGTGGAGAAATTGGAAGGGCACGAATGTATATAAACCGGCATAAAATCGACGGAAGGCCGTTCAGATTGTTCGTCTTTTCCGCAAAATTTCACTGCGACTTTTTTACATTCGAGTTTCTTATCCTTGACGTCATCGCATTCGGAAAACAACTTAAGCTTGAGCTGGAAAGTAATATGAAAATAGTTATTTAACTACGATCGATCATCCTAAGTTCCGTGCGATACTTACATCGTGCCTGCCCAAGAAATAACCGGGAGTGTACTCGATCTCCTTACTACACGAACAATCTATGTCCAAATGGTTCACCAAGATATCCTTGAGGATATCCATTCGAGCTTGATCGCTGCCTTTCAGTGCCTCGAACTTGTTCTCGTCGTCTTCGAATTGATTCGGATTGATTTCCAAATGGACTTGTGAGAAAATGGCCCTGCCACTACCGCCTGCAATGCAATATTCATGTGAAAAAGTTCGAATCTATTATTAATAAGGGGAATTCTAACCTTTGACAGTGGCCAGAAGCAAACTAGGCGTTTGCCAGGTTTCTTCGGTGCCGAGGATTTGAACTTGTATAGTGTAATCCTTTCCGGCGTGCTGGATTTCCACGACAGATGGAGTTCTCGGCGCCACCGGACTCGAACTTGTACTACTACAAAAACAACCAAATTTGCGGATACAACTCTTCCCATTGATAGTTCTTACCTTTGGTTCGAATTGTCAGACTCTTTGGAAAATTGCTTTTTGGTCGGCGACGCCTGATAGCAAAATATGTGGTGCATCATCTTCACCTGGTGCCATTTGCCGTAACTGAATCTAACCAGTTCGTGTTCTCTCACCTTCAAAATTACTAGCATTAATTCATACATTATCGCAAGAAATAGCGAATTGCAACGAACCTCGGCTGTAGTAAATGTATGGAGTACGCTGTAGAGAAAATCGCTGCAAAGGCACAACAACTGGCCGCCGGTAAGTAAGTACTGCAGCAAATTGGAGGTCAAATTCGGCGGTACGTTTCCGCAAACTACGACCAATACAGTCGAATCGTTCCACATCGATACTTTGGGGTCGGTTGGGAGATCGTAAATAGTATATCTGTAACAAATGATGAGTATTATATCTATGCGTATCATTCAAGGATAATAAACTATCAAGGATTGCTCAATGCTATATGTAGTATATAGGAATTTATACCACTTAATACCACGGTCTTACATGCAGGTCTGCAAACTAGCCCAATTTTGTGGTGTGGGTGTCCCACTAAATGAAGATGTTTGGGATAGTTCATTTGGGCACCGAACCGTGGCGTACGATCGGACAATCAGACAATCAGCGACGCGCATGACTAACGTTCAAACTTAAATATATGAATTTACAACATTTATAGACAAGTAAAAATTATTGAACAATAAGCTCTGTAAACAATTAATAGATTATCTAAGTTATGGCTGCTTCTCCAGAAACCTAATGTTGCATTCAAAAAATATCCTTTCCAACATCGCCGCCTACCGGTCGTTTTTAGAAACTACGCACTTTCGCTTCAAATAACAGAACACCCCTTCCACGGGAGTTTCCAGACATATATGTAAGGCCGTGCTTTATAAACTGATATTTCAAAACCAGAAGTTCTTGAACTTCAAAGCTTCAATGTAAGTTTCATATTATTCATACTGAAAATGATGATAGAATAGGCTAGGCCACAAGTAGGATTAAATAGGCTTGCATAAAATTGAGCAACCTCGTTATTTTAGTAGCCTTGTTCCAAGCGTACTCTATAAATAGTATTTACTTGTCCTTGTTGAGCATATTGATGAATGCGGTTTTGACGTTCTCTTTGGCTAATAAACTTTCGGCGTATATTAAAATATTTGGTGGTTTGACAGCTTTCGCTGATCCATTGGCGATTGATTTGGCGTATTTCGAATCCACATCGTCCTCGCATAGGGCTGGGGTTTTGACGAGCTTCTTCTCCGAACTAGTGGTTCGTTTCGACATTGTCTTCTTCGACGATTCTTGTTTCTCCTCTTTTCTCTTATGCTTTTCCTTCGTCTCGTCCTTTTTGGTAGATTTGGCGGGCTTCTCCTCGGTTTTGGGTTTCTCGGATTTTAATTTTTCCTTCGTTTTCGCTTTCTTAACGTCATCTGTTTCCGCCTCGAGTTTGACGTCGTCTTTGGCTTTGGGTTTATCGTCGATTTTTTTGTATTTGATTTCGTCCTTCGCCTTGTTTTCGGCTTTGGCGCCGTCGGTTTTGTGTTTATCGGCGCTCTTTTCTCTGCGATGTTCGCCGGATTTGTGCCTTCTGTGGTCTCCGCTTCCTACCTCTAACGTGTTTTTATCCTCCGCTTTCTTGCCGTTCTTCTTTATCGGTTTCACTTCGCTGACGGGCACCTTCTTCGATTCGTCGATTTTCCCGTTTTCGATGGTTATTTTCGGGCTAAAAATTCAAAACGATAAACTAGCGATACGCAAATTAAGCAGAGATAAATTTACTTTTTTGTATCCCTAATTTTTGAATAAATTTCCCTTAAACTATCGGCGAATTTCTTCCATTGCAAAGGATTATACGAGTACTTCAGCAGGCTGTTTTGCGAAAACCTTCTGTCGTATTTAATTTTAGTAGGGTATCCTTCAACATCAACGGCTAAAAATAAATGTAAAACAACTATTAGTTTCTATCAACAAAGAAAGTACCCGTAGAGTATTCCATAATGAACATATGAGAACGATAACGAGTAGAAGGCAGTTATTTTATATATTTCGATTGTAGGATTTCATACGATTTTTGGTATTTCTAAATTGTACATACTTTCAATTTTAAGCAGCTTCAATTCGTGATTAATATCTATAGTAGTATTCGAGAAACGATGGACCAGCCTCGTTAGTTTGTCGATGTCAGTCTTTAAAACGGCTTCGAATGTATCGGAGGCTCTCCAAGCGATCAATTCACCAAAATTCTCAACCTTTTAAAAGAAAAAAAATATTCAGTTCAATTATATAATCGAGCGATATTACGTGGAAATACGTACCTGTAAAATGGCAGCGGAATGTTTAACGTACGTTTCGAGCATAGCTTGTACCAAAACGTACATATTCGGGGAGTTTATCTTAACGGGTTTGATTCTAATGTAAATAGGAAAATATTTGTAATCCTTGGGGAATGTCAGCCATTGGGACAGGTTAATTTTTTGCTACAAGAAAAAAAAAACTTAATTTCGCTTAAAAAAGGACCTTAATAATTACCATAAGCTACTATCGATGCAATTAAATGAATATAATTCAAAGTGCATAATGTATGTACCTCAAGAAAAATGGCCGTAAATAGCTCAATAGATTTAATTTTAGAATTTAATTGGCAAGTAAATATTATACTATCGGTACTGCCGAAAAAAATCAATCAAGTGTTATGAAAATCGAAAATAGTCTTTCACTGATAGCCTTTCGTTTATCAGTCAAAAATAATATTTTTAATGCAGTCTTATTCACTTCCATTAAACAAGTCCAGGTTTATAAAGGTAAATAAAATGTGAATTAATATAATCTAAGTATTATTGCAACGAAACCAATTATGATGTTAAAATCATTGTAAAAATAATGAATTGAAAAGGAAATAGAGGTGATTTTGGGTAGAAAAAATTGATTTTTGGGAAATCGTTTAAACAGATTTATTTTTATTTTTATTTTACTGTTTGCCTCGATATAAAAATTGAACTGTTTGAGCGATTTTCCAAAAATCAATTTATTCTACCCGAAAACACCTCGGTTTCCATTTCATTGGGACACCCTGCATATTCTTCGTGGAGGGTCCTTGGAAAACACTATTACCTACATAAGTAGAAGCTAATAAGTTCACAAACCTTTTTTTTATTATTTAACTAATGATCATGATAATCATCACTTTTTCCTCTCTTACAATGATGATCCTCGATTACTATTTCTTTTTTGTCTCTTAACCAATTAAATAGTGTAAAAAACCAATGAAGTAGGAACAAGGCGTACAAAATGATTAACGCAAATTCGTAAAAAATGAATTGAAATGAACTTACTTTAGGTACGATGGTGCATCCGATACGTTCTTCCTCTCTAAACAGCAGAGTTTCAAAGCTCCTGTTCTTCTTGGATTCGTGTACGACAGTTTCGTCGCAGAGCAGAAGTGCATTTTTGGAATTTAACGTGCCGTTCAATTTGTTCCTCAACGCCGACAACCTCCACCATTGAACCACAGTGGCGTACATGTAATAAACGGTTAAGATCATCTCTGGAGGCTGGAGAGGGTTCAGACGAACATTGTAAAATCTGGATCATAAGATGTACAAACATTTGTTAATAAGTTAAGAAGCATTATTATCAATTTAGAATATTCTTTTGCTTAAAGAAACCCTATATTACCACCTGCAGGTGAGAAATTTGACATATTTTAACTATTGATAAGGATTGATTATGAAAATAGATCGAAAAAGTTACATTTTCTTGTGAACACTTTCTATATGTTCAAATAAGTCTATCAATAATTTATTTAGATTATCTAATTCATATAGCAACAAAACATTTACAGAAACGTTTGTTGAGAACTAAATAATACATTCTATTTATCGTATTTAACGTCATACTTCGGCGATAATTCTTAGGAGGACTCTAGCAGCGACGTTTTTTCGCGTTATCAACAAGGAAAATTTTTGGTGATGTAGATTTTTGATATTAAAAACATATTCGAATTTCAACAATGAAAAAACAGAAAAATTAAATACCTATTGAGGAGGTTAATTTAGTACAGTTTAATAATCCAATTTACCATTTCAATGACTTATTAATCTCGATAAAATCAGTTACACTTCCGGGTGAAGATTTCTTTATTAAAATGCATACTAATTAAAGAGACATCCACTCCTGTGATTACGAGAATAATAATCGTAATCGAAACCAAACAACAGGGCGGTGGTTACTTAATCGGAAAAGGTTAGTAAATGGGCCTTTTCATCATTGTAGGGTCGCTAACACCACTATCTTTTAATTAGTATCACAGTAATTTAGAAAGTACACACCCTTTTTAAGGCAGGAGGAAGGTTATTAAAAATATGACTATGCAAATGAATGTTCAAATTCGTAGTTACATAATAAAAATTTTAAATGTCAAAATGTACTAAAAAATCGCTATTTAAACTTCGACAAACAAATATCAGCAATTTCAAGATCATAGATGTTAGTTACAACAGTTATCTGTTAATTTATAAACATTAATTGAATAATTCGTGATTATTGACCTATTTAGGACATAAAAATATATTACAATATTGACCTGCTTCTGGATTATTAGCTTTAAGAAAACACTTTCGATAATTGAAATACGTAAAACAAAACACCTGTAATCGCTTATTTACATACATATTCTTATATGTTTAAAAAATATCTTAATCAAAATAAAGTTCATTAGAATGTGAAAACTGCGCAATACACTTTATGCATCACAAGGTTTGTTTATTTATTTAAAATAGACTGTCAGAATCAAAGAGTTAATAAAGTTTAAAATTTTTAAAAACCTTACTAAACACAACTTAATAATTTTCTTATCGATATTCGCCTAATTAATGAAATGGCATCCAATTAAAAGATTAGAAAAAAAAATTAATTCGCCAAGGGTTGAGGAAGATTAAAAGATTAGGATCAATTCAGGACAGGTTCAGGACAGGATTCACACATATTCAATGCCCTACACAAATTTTTATACTTTATAATATTGATATGAAGAGGGTATAAAAATAGAATGCATTCGATAGGAATCGCATCCTTTGGCTCGAATTCATTCTAAGATATTCGATTCCTACATTATCTGTTTAATAAGAAGTGTTCTCTGTAAACACCACTGAACGATCTTATCGGACATTATTTTTCAATATTGTTACAGCAATAAAATGAAATTAGCACGGTCAATGATTTAAGGCCATTGCATTTGCATATATTTGCTATATGTAATTAAATCAAGAGAAAATTTAAAAAAACTTAACTTTGTTAGTAGTACTTTATAATATATCAATTAATTTTACTATTGTTAGAGTGTATTGAAAAATGGAATTATTATTCAACATCTATATGAGCAAACACATTCTTTATATACAACAGTAGTAATCAGTTTATATCTAAGGAACAAATTCATCAATCAACTGGACTAACAAAATCCTCTTCAATTTCTCCTATACAAAATATTATTTCATTTTGAAATTAAGCCTTATCTTAATTACCTTTTATTTATGGAACTTGTTTGTTACTTAAAGAGGCAATTTCTCCTATTTTTTTTTTATTTTATTTTTGTTAACATCAAATGAGATAACGGAAACAATGGAGTGTCAATGTGGAAACAATAATCAGCTGGGATACGCGACCGATGGTGGATGTTGCAAGGCAAGGATTAACATATGGCTATCTGAAGACATTAAATGAAAGTTATTAGTGATAATTCTGTAAGGATTGCGTTAAATTAGACGCTTAAATCCTAATCAATGTACGAACTTACGTAATTATAGTACAAAGTCATAAAAATTCACCCAGAATTTCACCTTCATCATTTTGAATTTATTTTTTAACTGCCTCTACCATATAATACTCTATACACCATTTTAAATTTTAAAGTTTTATTAGATTTCCTAAGAATTTCTAAGCTCAGATTTTTCAAAAATTACAAGAGTGAAAAAGACCCTTCTACGTCAATTTAATTTAATCATAAGAGCTCATTAATTAAGGAAAATTCAGTAACAATCTAACGAAGATAAATCATATTTTTAGGTATGTTTATAACTTTTTATCAAAACTTACATCCTTCAATTACAAATCATCGATTATAATAAACGGTCTTAAATGCGTCGACGCATTTTTAAAATTATTTAATAATGTTAAATTAAAATTGGTTTATTTTTATTATTTAATTAACCAAAAAAATGAAGAGACTAATATAATTTTAATATGAAAATGATAGTTCGGTCACTGACCTTTGTATATCTTATCAAAAAATATCAATATTTTTTCTAAATTCGCACGAAAAATTTAAAAAGTTAAGATTAATGAACGCCAATTAAGCATACTATAAAAGTATGAATTAAAACAAGGTTACTCGACACTTTGCTTATTGTTGGCTCTAAATAAATAATAGGTGTGATGCATTCTGCAAAACCTTAAAAGTAATCCTACATTTCAATGTTGTCTCAGTAAGCATTAAAAAAAAACAAGATGGTCCAAATTTAATAATGTAGGTGTGACTAAAATATTACCTAAATAAAATATGTAAAACAACAATAATTAAATTTTTGCGTTTAACAATTATTACATGTGTGTTTCAGAATTGGTTAGGTATCTACAATAATATGATATATTTTTTAAATAGGTAAAAAACGGTAAAATTTAACCATTGTTTCATATGTAAAAATAATCAGCAATCGATAGGAAGAAGTTTGATTAATAAAAAAGTATAAAATTATTAAGTGTCACACTAGGAAGGGTAGAAAATAGTTTGATTAACCGACGATAAGACTTGAAATTAATTTATCTAAAAAATTGCTTGATTTTTCTAAGACTTCAACATCAAATTTCTTCTACCGAAAACACGATTTAGTAAAAGTAATTAAACTAGTATTAAATAAGTTATTTTAATTAACAACAAACAACCTGAAGAAAAAAATAAAAATGGTTATTAAATCGACACATAAATTTTCCATAATTCTGTTGAACCCTGTAGCCCCCACCTAAAAATTCAAACCTCTCGGTCACAAGATAACGATAAGAAGTCGAAGAAAAACAATCGAACCAGGCTTTGTATTTACCACAACCAGAAAGCTTTAAACTGGCCAACGATTAATTTCAACGGACTTGAAAAAAATAAAATATTTACAAAAATACATCATACGAATTCGCGATCGGTTCGAGAAAGAAGATAGGCGGATAGGCCGGTGGAGGAAAAAAGCAGTGATATTTTAAATGTATTCAAAATCGCCGGTGAACAGTTTGAAAGTGTGCGAGTGTGACAATAACAATTTGTGCACCCCGCAAATTATGAATAAACTTTTTAATGCTAGTGAGAAATTGTCGAAGAAGGAAAAATGCAATAACAATAATGTCAGTAAAAATCCTGTAGCAAACATAGGTTAGTAAAATTCTGTTTCGTCTTGCTCGATTATCAAAAAAACAGTCTACAGTTTTTTGAGGACTATTAACTTTATCGCTAGTTCAATATTTTAAATCGAGTAATAACGACAAATAAACTTTGCTTGAACTACTTAAAATGCATTATATTATCTAATATTTTTTTTGTATAAAATTAGCGTGACAAGCGGTTTAAGACCGAAGAGATATCTCTACCAGTCCAAATTTCAATTTACTCATTACTTTATATTACTAATATGTTTAAATAAATTAATTTTATTTTGCGAATATTTTTAAAAACACGAATTCAATCAATCAAAAATCTAGTAAATTAATCATGAAGCATTACAATTTCGAGATTTTTGATTATTTTAACATTTGACTAAAAATATTAGATGTATGTAAGTATGTAATTGCAACTCATCCTGAAAATGGTATTGAAAACATCTAGTAATAGCAAAGTTTGTATTGAGTTGATCATTATGTAAACATTGGTTTAAAAGATAGAATAGATATTTTATTATTATCGAGAAATCGTAGCTTTAACTCCTATGTTTGTGCCATTACCAGCCATTAACGCATCGGATTAAGTAACTTAACAGCATTGTAGAAATAGTATTGATAACCAGGGAGTAATTTATAAACAATTTTAGATCTACACTAGAATAAACTGTATCTACAAATAAAGGATCCCAAAAAAAATAAGTTTATTGTTTATGAAATTCTCCTGAATTCGGATATTTATATTCCATTTATCAATCTTTTAATGTCGACAATTAAATCAAACATTCTCAATTTTCAGAAATAAGAAAAGAAGAAGTGCTTGCAATTAGAAATAGATTTCCCACAAAAATTCCAGTAAGTACCTTAGAGATCCAAATCGATCGGAATTAATAAATCAATAATTTAATCGATGAGCTTGATAAATGTATCAAAAGAGTAATTATTTCACATTAATGTTACAAAAGCTAATGCTGTAACCTTGTGGCGTTTCCTTCATTCATTGACTTAAAAGCCATCACAAAAATAAAAATAAAGTAAATGTTTAGTGATAAACACTACGCAATTTCATAAAAAAATGGAGTTCAATAAATTCAAGTTTATTTATATTCACAAAGATTGTAGGAAATGAAAACTTATTTATTTCTACTTAAAAGTAACGTTGTTTTTTAGGTAATAGTTCAAAGATTTTATAAGGAAACTCATCTACCACATCTTGATAAAGCAAAATTTCTTGTGCCCCAAGAGATAACCATGTCTCAATTTCAAACGATAATAAGGTAATTATTCCATTTCTTACAAAATAATTAGCATTCATTTGTTCTTTTAAACTTTCCAATCATTACATTAAGTCTTTTCTTAAGTTTAATTATTACTTACAGCTTGAATAATTATTGTTAAATACTCTTACAGAAATAGAATACGCCTCAATTCTCATCAAACGCTGTACCTATTAGTAAACAACAGATCAATGATGAGCCTAACCCTTACACTGGCAGAAGTTTATGGAGAGCATGCAGACACTGACGGATTTCTGTATGTAACGTATGCATCTCAAGAAGTATTTGGCCAATGACGAAGGTTGAAAAGTGAAAAATTTCTAAAACAGTATTTATTTGTAAATTGCTAGTGTTGTACTGCAAATATTGATTGAATCAGCAATCTTCATCACTCAAAATTTTTTGTCATAGTTTTATTAATGCATTTCAAATTTTCAGCTAAACTTTCAATAAAACCCGATTAATATTTATACCGAAGCTAACTAATTTTTATATCCAATGTTGATTTGTTTTTAAGAAGTTAAGACTAACGTATTGAGACTAACAAAAAGTAACGTTTGGAATGAGTATAATACTGTTATAGAAATTTAAATTTTTGGTATTATCTTAGGTAGGGTTTTTTAATTTTTTTCCAATTACTAGCTGTGTAATATGTTGTTGGTGTTGAAAGACTGTTCAAATTCGTTATAAGAATAATTTTAAGTCGATTAGTGATAATAGATATTGTCAATTTTAGAATATATCAATTATAATAATGTTTATTAAATGTACTTTTTTAAATAAATTTCTTTTAAAAGTGTGCACTTATATTTTGTGTTTGCTACGATTTTTTTATGATCTGATCAATGGTTTACGGAGATGGAAAATATAGCAAATTCTTTAGAAAATTAATACAATTTCTTTTTATGGGCAATATAAAATGCTACATAAAAGAATGTAAAAATACTTATTCATTTAATTAAAAACTCCTACAAATTCATATTTATAGCTTTCTGAAACTTCTTTGCTCGTTGAACCTATATACAGGGTGTGTCAAAAGTTGTAAGTTCAGTCAACTGCTCTAGCAGCAGCACTGGTATTATCATTATACTAAGTTTTTAATTAATTGAGTGCTGATACTTCAGGATGTGAATATTCAGATGATTTTAAGAAGAGAATTTAAATATCACAGAAAACTTATTTTGATGCCTTATATTTGATGGCTTATTTTAATGCCAGGATTCCGAATCTTTAATAAAAAATAGGGGTTTCCATATAAATTTTTAAAGTTCCCCCCTTGACCCCTCAAGGGGTGGGGTAGCTATTTGATATTGAAAAATTATTGGATACGTGTTTTTTCAATATATCATTTAGACCTTAATTTGCCAGAAAATCAACCGTTTCCATACTTTTTGGACACCCTGTATATCCATGTATAAAAATTAAATTTCTAACATCGTCATAGCCAGTGTCAGTCATTCGTTTTGTGTTTACTTCATTTTTAATAAGTTTACATATTGAATTTTAGATCTTTCTTTTTTATCAATAACTCTGTAACCAAGGACAAAACGTAAATTTTTTATTCTTTCGATTGCAATTCTTTTAGTCTCCTGATTCATTCATAATCGAAAAGGACCGGCGTCTATATTGAGACACCTTGTATACCATTATAAAGAAACCAATAAATGCTACATGTCTTGAATTCAATCTTTATCAGAATAATAAAATTTATTTTACGAATTATATTAAAGCATTTAGGGATTATTCATGATTAAGTAGAAAATTATCTAGAGATAGCAATTGTAACAAGTAAGCATTTTCCAAATAAACATTCAAAATTATAACTAAAAACAATACATGTAAATATATTGATTTCAAATCTAAGAAACAGGTAAATGAGTTTATATGTATAATAAAATTGAAAACTTACCTTTAATAAAGATGTTTATCTCAAAATTTCAACAAGTTTATTTCACTATTAATTAATTGCAATTTTCTGCAATCAGAAACTCCGGGGAAAATGTTTTCAATGCAAAAAAATGTCAAGGTTGTCGCTGTCAATCAAAGAGAACGTCAATGGTCAATCATCCAAATTTCTTCATTCTTTTCATTGGCCTCTTATTACTACCGTATTCAGAAAATAATGTTTTAATAAATAAAATGTTCATAGAATAAGTGAGGAAAATTAAAAACTCACAAATAGCTTAGATTCGAAATATAAATCTAGATAATTAGTATGTATATAATTTTGTTATTTAATTAAATGAAACGTACACATTTATTTTAGTGTTATAAGTGTTGCATAACTAACAGGAATTTTTTAATCTAGTGAAATCCTTAGACATATTTTACAAAATTACCTTCTTCTAGTTTTAATGAATTAATACCAATAGATATTAAAACATTATTTAAGTGGAATCAAAGTAATAACATTATTACGAATAGATATTAACAAAAAATAGGGCTAACATTTGGTTCAAATGTATCAACAGAAATAGAGAAAGAACAATGGATTTTGTTGAAGGAAGTTGATGAAACTGGCGAATACAAAATTTTAGAAAACCTTTAAAAATACAATTGTCACAAACATTGAAAAAATAAATCAATAATTAAATTCTTTATTTGCCATCAGGTTGAGTATGATCATACTGCAAATTGCAAATTGCAAATTGCAACGAAAAGTATTCACATGTCGTTACAAGTTTTTTTTTCCTGGAGATCGAATTAGTTTCCTACGTGTGCAGACTTTAAGGTATTTGATGATATTTAATGAACATGAACAAAAATCATCAAATGGAATGTGTAATAAAAAACTTTGAAGATGAACCCTTCAACAAATATTTAATGGAAAAAGAATTGAAGAATAACTTTCCAACACGATGGTCCACTCCCTAACTAAATGCTGTTGCTGTACGGGAACGTTTAAATGATCGTTTCGACGACATTAGTCCATATTTATAAAAATGAAGCATTTAGGTACTTTTAAACCAAAAGGTAGAAGCAAAAAGTAAGGGAAAAAGAAACAGTAATGTTCTCAAAGCAAAACCACTCTTCTTTTTATGTATATACCTTGAATCAATTACTTCATATTTTTAAAGCAAAGGTTTCTTTTTATAAATACGGCCTATTGGATTGGTACAAGTCCCATCGAAGGGCCACCAAGCTAACCTGATCTAATCCATTTGGACATTATTTCCCCCATGGTGTTAATTGAAATAACAATCCACGATGGCCGAAACACTAGATGTATTTCGCCAGAGAGTTATGGAAGAATGTTGATCATCAGAAGTTTTAGTAGGTAACGTTCGAACAGGATTTGAAAACAACACATCAAATAAAACATTGGTTTCGGTCACCTTTTTGGGTCTATTTAATAACTTTGTCAAATCTTGAGCGATTTTCAAAAATGATTCACCAGAGTATTCGCAAGGGCCTTCAATTGATGGATTGAAAGTAGGGTATTTAGGGGGATGAACATATCAAGGTGGCTTGATTGTCAAAAATGCTCCCCCCAGAAACAGAAATTATAAGGTCTCAGCGAATACCGAAAAAAAAACGGTTCTCTAGTTTTAGGAGGAGTCATGTTTTCGTTGAAAGACCCTGTAGATAATTACAGTGTTGTATTTTTGGCACTACTTAATTTTCTGGCGTATTTCCCACTTAAGTACTTATCCAAGTTTAAGTTCTAAGAGACCAGTTGAATCATCCTGTCTCTGTGTCATCAGACCCCCATCGAATTTCGCGATTCTCACTCGATTGACCGTACCAACGAGGCGACTCGTGTTCTCGTACACCGACGGAGGAAAATCCATCGACATATCATTTCGATATCTTCAATTCTGGGCCTGACCAAGACCATCATCAGTCACTCATCAGTCGCGACCGTTTCGTGAGCACACACGGTACGTGCACCAACGAAAACACTTTTAATCGAAAATTCCCCTCTCCACGTCAGCCTCTTAAAAGAGAATGTCTTTACTAGCAATTTAGTAATTTGCGTTGTTCGCAGTTACTTCGCTCGGCGACCTACGCGAAATCTTTAGATGAGCTTTAGATCTTTAGATTTTTACCGGTAACTGTATTTTTTCCGTCGTTTCTGCGGTGACAGAGCGAGCGTTCCTCCGACAATGAGACCGTACCGTTACGTCCGGAAGTACATTTGAAATTATTCCAATTGATTGCATTCTATTATCTGCACAATGATGGGAATTGAAAAACGGTGCGGATTAAAAGTGTTTTCGCGTTCGGATATTTGACGAGATATATACGCACGTTTGCAGAATAACCAGAATTTAGCTGTTTTGTGTTTCTGATGGTAAGCTAAATTTTTTTTCTATTTACATAAGAAATTTAGCGCGTTCATTTCGAAGGGGACCGTTTCGAGGAATGCCGTTGAAATTCGTTTGAACAGAATGCGAATTATCCCTCCAAAACAACAACACGACGTCATCGGCAATTGTTGCTCATTTTAAAATTGAAACATATTCGTACCGTATTATTAATACGGTCAATACGGCTTGAAATAAACTCTTTAATATGGATAATTAATTTCTCCTTTATTCATTCGATATTATCTTATTAACTTTTATTAGATATAGGTACTATATAATTTTGCTATCATCAAAACGGCAAATTTACCGGAAGCTAATAGTTTTGCAAAGAAAAATAAATAATTAACCTCCTATAGGGTAATCCAATGTTTTAGTAGTACATGCATCCAAAATTTATTAAGCATCATTCAAACAAATATACGTTTTATTATTATTATTATTTGCACCAGATTACGAAATTTTTGACTATTATTAATTATGTTATAAAACAAAAACAAGTACCTTTATTATAACACCAGCTAATAAAAATCAATTAGGTGCACCTATATTAGGCATGTGGTTTTAACTCGATTTCAAAAGAATCGGCGTGGATTCGAGAAATACAATGTATGTAATAATTTGACCCGTGTGCAAGGAGAAGTAATTTAATTTAATAGTTTTGCCATTGAATTATATGTTTGGATATACCTACACTATGTATTGTGATTTCATTTAAAAGTATCTATATCAACGAAATAGCAACAAAAATAAACCAAGTACTGTTGAATTTGCATCTACTAAGTTCATAATTCATTGATTTCGAAGTACAAAAGAACAGGCAAATAACAAAAATACCTAGTTCCTGTTTTTAAAAAAACATAAAAAATAGGTGCGCACTTATCCAACTAAAGGCAAATTTAACCAGTTTTTCCATCGTGATTAATTGATATAACACTCTAAAAATGGTAACAAAAAATTTACAAATATCTTCGCGACATATTGCTGTAATATATTAAATCTCTAAGAGAAAATTCAAGAGGCTGTAAATTTATTTTTTTAAAAATTGCAAACATAACGAAGTATGTATGATTGGTAATTCTTTGGCAATTCAGATAAATTGATTACCGAGGTGAAGCAACTATTTTGCATATTGAACTGAAAGCAGTACTTTCTAAAATAATCATATGCGAAATGTATGTATGTATGTCGCTACAATTATTGGAATATTAATTGTAATTTTTGTACCATTTACCTTCATTTCTATCTCATCAGTTAATGTTATTCTAGGAATGTTTTCATACAGTCCCTAAGTGCACATGTGTACATATAAATAAATATTAATAAATAAAATCATATCATTTGGATTCTACGCGTTTTAAAAACCATTTTGTGTATTCGCCGAATTCAGTGGTTAAAATAAAATTTGGGATGTCCTACTTCCGATTCTCGAAAAATTCGTAATATCTTGATTAAACTGTATCTACAATTCTAACACATTATCCAAATACTTTTGTCTCATAATGGCGCATACTAATAAAACTGTAGGTACCTTAATCCCTTTATAATCGAATCCTCAATTATTTAATTTGTCGTGTGCTAAGTTATAACTTAGCACATAGTTAATAACAAGGCATACGTTATGTGGTAATAAAATTTTTTGATAAATTGATGTTCATTTGTATATGATATGTGGTATGAGTAACTTTTCTTTCCGGTATTAAACCATGTCGCTCTCTTTAATAATTGATTCGATCCTGCAATTTTCAATAAAATGAAAATGACCGGAATGCTAAAAACCGGATGTTTTTATTTTCATTCGTAGAATTTTATTCATTAAAGTTTTCCAAGGTTTCTCATTCAATTGTAAGAATTGTGTAAAGAATACACTTTTTTATTTTCACATAAATATAATTAACTAATCCACATATTGTTGTAAATATGTTTTTTTCTTTAAATGTAGGTATGCTATAAATCTCTTTTATTTTATGTAATGTATGCATATTATTATTCATTTTGTATAAAAACATATTACATATAAACACCTAAAAACAGTTCTATGTGGGACAAGAAACATATTAATGTACCACAAAAAAATAAATCTTTGGTAATTATAAATTTAATTTTTAAATTGTAATAATTAAACAACCTGTTTAATAGGCTACAATATAAACTTTTTTTGTGAAAGGTCTAGTTGAGGAAGAATGGTTGCATATATTATGCACTTGCAGAATGTAAAATTTTGTATTATAAAAGAACTCCGCATAACACGAACAACAAAATAGACAAGGTCGACAGGTTTAAGATAATTTCCATTAATTATAGAGAAGGCCAAAGTGGACCATCAAATGGCATGTCATGCCATGTGCTATACCGATTGCTTCAATTCAGACCACAACATGGTCTTTTCTACGAGTCGTTTCTTTTAAAGAAAGATCAATAAAATGAAGTTGTCAGAATGAAAAGTTGCAATGACACAAATGTCACTCTTTCTTTTTCCTTTATAAGTGTCTAATGGAAGTTGTCTTTATCGCACCTACAGCCTATATACCCTGTGTTGCGATCTGAAATGAAGCACAGTGTATACAAAAATATGTTGTCAGACTAATATCAACAAATGATCCACTTTATAATATTACTATAAAACCAATTTTACCATAAAACAAGTTTAAACGATTTCACTTAAGATTCGCTATCATTTTTTTGCGGAAACGATTATCCGTATTAGGGAGTTTCCTATCTGAATTATTGTAGCATACTTAGATACCTGAATTATCAGGAATTTATAGAAATGTGTCCACTTGATCAAATTGAAATTACACCCCATCCAATTAATTAAAGTGATACAAAGTAAAAAGTTGAATTTGTTTCAGTGGAATGGTGTCTCCGTCAGAAAATCACACGTCCTTCGGGATGAACAACTATGGCTACGAAAACTCGAATTTAAAATCGAAGAAACTCGGCCGATCGGTGAGCGTGAACGCAGACGTGACCAGCTTCCGGCATTACAGGACGCCGACGTCCAGCACGATATCCCGATGGAAAAAGTCCAGAGACGATCCGGAGAACATCTTCGAGGAGGATGAGCTGCCCTCCGACGATTTCGAGTACATGGAGTGCGGCCCGTCGCCGCCCGCCGACCACACGCCCCACATCTACGAGAGCTTCGAGGAGTTCTCGACCAGCGCCGAGCTCACCGTGCAAATATGCCACGACACCATCAAAATGAACCTGCTCGAGCACATGAAGCTCTCATCGGGCCGGCACCAGTTGCTCGACGACATCGAAAGCAAGAAAATCCACCTCGAAAATCTCAAGGAGCACTTCCAGGGCGCTTCCAAGGCGGAAATTAACATAGCTTTCTTGTGGTCGGCGTTCATGAAGCGCTACGACCTGCTGGACGAGCTGCTGAAGCGCGGCGCTCAGTTGCAATACTACGAACCCAGCCAAGGCTTGACCGCCTTGCATCTCACGTCGTTCAGCGGTTGTACGCAAGGTACGAATTTTCTGATATCGAAAGGGTGCGACGTTAACGCTCTGTTCAAATGCTACGCTCCCCTGCATTGCGCCGCGTTCGGCGACAGCCCCGACACCGCGACGATCCTCCTCAACAACGACGCCAAGCTCCAAATAGCGACCAACAGCCCGCACAATTGCCACGAGAGCGTGTTGCATTGCGCCGTGCGCGCCAACGCCATCGCCTGCGTTAAATTGTTCACGCAAGAAGGAGCGGACGTCGCGCAAATGGAGACCTCCGGTGTGTCGTCCATTCACCTGGCCGCCGATCTGGGCCATCCCCAATGCCTGCGGATCCTGCTCGAACCGAAAACCTTCAACGTCAACGCGAGGACCAAAGAGAAGGAGCAGACGGCGCTCCATTTGGCCGCCGAGGGCGGCTACATCGAGTGCGTGGAAATTTTGTTGGATAGCGGCGCCGACGCTAACGTGAGAAACCAAAGGGGCCAGTCGCCGCTGCATCTGGCGGCGCGCGCTCAAGCGTACGATTGCGTGGAGCTGTTGCTGAGGAAAGCCAACGCCAATCCGAAGATGGGCGACTGCGACAAGAGAACGGCGCTCCATTGCGCCGTGGGAAAAACCGCCCGATCGTACGATATCATCGAGATTCTCATAAGTTACGGTGCCGATATCAACGCCAAAGACCAATACGGCTATACGCCTTTGCACATAGCCGCTTTGAACGAGCTGTCCCAATGCGTCGAGGTGTTGCTCTACCACGGCGCCGACGTGACGGCCAAATCGAAATTAGGCGTCACCGCTTTGGGGATAATCACGAGAAAAACGCCCGCCTCGCTGACGATGGTCACTCAGAAACTGGACTCGGCCATAACGATGCACCACCATCCGGAGTCGTCGAACAGAGAGGTGGAATTGCGATTGGATTTCAGAGGAATCCTCCAATACTGCCATCCGAGAGAGATCAGTTTCCTGAACACGTTCGTCGACGAAGGACAAAAGGAGATCCTCCTGCATCCGCTGTGTTCGGCGTTCCTCTACTTGAAATGGGAGAAAATCAGAAAGTACTACATAGCGCGAATGCTGTTTTGCTTCATATTCGTGCTGAGCTTGTCGCTGTACGTGCTCACCGCATTGGCTCACAATTGCTACAATCACGGTAAAAACATGAACGATACTCAACCACAGAACGTCATCGAGCTGTGCGAGAAAAAATCCATGATGGGGCACATGCTGAGGAACAATCCGTTCGTCATCGAAATGCAATGGTTCGTGTTGGTAGGGATAACTTGCTGCGAAATCCTCAGGAAGGTGTACGGCATAGCGGGATATCCGTCGGTAAAACAGTACCTCTCTCATCCCGAGAACATCATAGAATGGACCGTAATCGTAAGCGTATTCGTAATATCGTTTATATACACTGGAAGAACGTACACGTGGCAAAATCACGTCGGTGCCTTTGCGGTGCTCTTCGGCTGGACGAATTTGATGCTGATGATCGGGCAACTGCCCGTATTCGGATCGTACGTAGCTATGTATACGAGAGTACAAGGCGAGTTCGCGAAACTCCTTTTGGCTTATTCGTGTTTACTTATCGGTTTTACAATAACGTTTTGTGTTATGTTTCCGGATTCGTCGACGTTCGCGAATCCTTTCATCGGCTTGATAACCGTTATGGTGATGATGACCGGTGAATTGAGTTTGGATCTTTTAGTCGACGACGATCCAGAGGATCCGCCCTTCTTGTTGGAGGTCAGCGCTCAAGTCACGTACATTCTATTTTTATTATTCGTAACGGTCATTTTAATGAATCTATTGGTAGGTATAGCCGTTCACGATATCCAAGGATTGCAGAAAACCGCCGGTTTGTCTAAGCTAGTGAGGCAAACGAAATTAATATCTTACATTGAATTAGCGCTGTTCAACGGTTACCTTCCACAATATTTTTTAAATTTATTACATTACACGGCTTTAGTTTCGCCCAAGGCTTACAGAGTAGTGTTGAACGTGAAACCGTTAAATCCCAGAGAAAAGCGTTTGCCCAAGGATATACTGAAAGCGGCGCACGAAATTGCCAAGCAACGCAAAAATTACGGGAACACCATATCGTCGCAATCGACCGCTGGAATGACTTATTCCAAAAAACTTTTGAACAATAACTTAGATCAAAACTCCGATATCGTAGACTGCAACACCGCTTTGCCGCTATTGTATAGTAAAATCGAAAAGAACTCCGAACAAATTGAGCATCTGAGCAAAGAAGTCAGGCAACTGAAAACTGTAATTGAAACCAATCAAAAATTACTCGAACATTTGTTGAACACCATGTCGCTAAATAGTAAAAATAGCGAATGCTAAAAGGCGTTCTAATAATAATTGCTTTTATTAGTTAAACTGAAATTGTGAATTGTATTTTTTGACACTTTTATATTTAATATTTTTCTATTACAGCTGTATTGCCATTACAAGTGTGATATTAGATATAGTTATAATGTTTTTGTTTAAATAGATTCATTATTGTCATTTCTTTTTTTTACTTCCCTTAAAAACCGTAAACCGGAAGATATTACTATAACTACACAACTGTAGGAGACATTCATTCATTTACTGACTGATTGGCGTGTTTTTTAAACGTAATTTTCTTAGAAAGTACTGCGAATTTTTTTGAAACTCTCCTAAAAAATTTTACATGATTACTAATTACTTGCCGTAAACCACATGTCTCGGAAAATCCTGCAAGATACGTTCTAGGAAAAAGAAAATGTTCCTGGCGATTGGGGAGTGACGTCATATTCCTATTGCTCAGCCTAATGCTGGGTGATGCACATGCACAGAATGATGCCGTACTACTGGGTATTTACAGGGTTTTTTTTTTTAATTTAGTGAAAGAATATCCAAAAGGGTACATTTTAATTCATGAAGAAAACCCCATTTAAAAAATGATAAACCTATGTTATATTGAAAGAATACAAAAATAATAACTTAAAGCCACGGATGCCACGTCGGATCCATACGACAAAGATTATCCTGGCTATTTGCAGCAGCAACCAAAGTTGCCACCTAAAACACAATAATGCAATTAAAGAATATGTTGCATATAAAAAATAATCGAGTTTTTTAACGTACCTTACTCTCTGTGCCCTCGAAATGTGCCAAACTCGTAAGTCGATTCGAAATCGACGTTATAGCCTTATTTACCATACTAATAATCTTTTCAGCAGCGTCGCACATTTTTTCTTGATTCGAATCTTCCGACTTTTTAGCTCTAGATAACATCATTTCGTCTCTTATAATGGGTTTAAGTATTGATAATATCTGAAACAAACCGATAAACTTATCTTACACGATTTCGAATGGTACTAATGAGGTTACCTTAAAGTTAGGATAAATAAAACAACGGGAAGTGGCTATCATCGAAGTCGTTAAAGGTCCACTAACGCCGATAGTCGATAAATATTCGATGATATTCGGCGTCAATCGGAATGGTACAGGACGAGTTGTATCAAGTTCGCCTAAAAATATTCTCATATTATAATGGAGAAATTACTATTGCTCTAATAACTGTATAATAAATATTATCCCATCGATTTACTGGTTAAAATTCGTTAAATAACAGATTACCTGTACTGTCGTCCACGTCGAATTTGAAATAGGCCACATTCATCAAACCAGAATCTTGATGCAAATACATCATATCTGGATTCAATCTCGTCAAATGGAACACGTACTCGGCGAAACAAGCTAACGCTAATTGTAACGTAAACTGGAAATAGAAAAAATTACGTTTCACTAAAACATTTCCAAATTACTAATAAATACGCTTATTACCATTTTTCTGAATTGCCAATAATCCGTCGCTGAGGGGAACGTTTGAATGGCCCATTGCTTCAGTATATTCCTCGGAACTTTGTTTTGTTTCAAAATGTCCCTGTATACTTGATGGCTGGCTTTTATGCCCTTGCTTTGGATGTTTCCCAATCTGTCGTAATAATACTGAATCGGATCGTCATGCTCGATACCTTTAAATATTTCAACTTAATTAGATCTTTAGTAGATACAAAAAGTAGATTTAGTATTTACAAAACCTCATTTTCTTTACACTTAATGTGTGAATAAGGTCTCTAGAATATGTTATTTAAATTATACAGATATGAACGTAATCATTACCTAATTTCGAACAACTTTTCTTGAAAATATCCAACAGAGACAAAGATGCGGGATTATCCTCAACGAGCCGGATTTGCTGGGACAATGACACGACCTTAGGCACGGTATAATGCAAAAATCGCCGCGCCGTTTCCTAAAAATAAACACATTCAATTGATGAAACCATTAAACAAACATACAATTTCAAAGCTTCACCTTTTGTTTCCCCAAATACAAATTCAACATCCTCATCAATTGCAGGACCCTTTCCTCTCGTCTCGCGTCCGCCACGCCTGAATCGTTCACGACGAGATAGGGATAGATTTTACCGTTGTGGCCTCTTATGTACAGCCGTCTGGCCACCGTATTATGCTTCTGCACCACATCGACTCTCGGCATGAATCTGGCGATCCGTACGAAGTAATGATTGTGTTTCGGAATCAGAAATTCGCCGGGCAATTCGACTTCGGCCGTTTGCAACGTGAAATTCGACAGGAAACGGCACGTCTCTTCGATCAAACTGGATCTACAATAAAAAAGTAGCTGTATAATCCAACACTCTAAATCGTATGATAATGCGTTACGAAATCGACGAAGAGATGTACAGTTAATTTGTGTAAACTCAACGTTACTTACTGTAATAGCATTTTAGATCTGCTATCCAATATTTTAATCCACTTCTTCAGTTTGGAGATCAACGATTGCAGTTTCATGGAATTAGATTGCGAAAATTCTTTCGTAAACTCCTCTTTGGTGGCGAGAAAAACGGAATCCTGGCCCGGTTTGTCTTCGATTCGGCGCGTCAGATTTTCGGCATTAGTCGATGTGTATTTGCACGAATCTGTTGTGGCACTTTCCGGGCTGGTGCCGAACGTCGATGTTAATTTCTTCACGAAGTTCAGTATGTGAGGCGTTATCTCGGCCTCGTTGACGGCCTCTCTGTTCTCGAACGCTATCGCGTAGCACTTCGTCAGTCCTTGGCGCAGTTGCCTTACGACTTGCTCGTACCTAAAATAATTAACGAATTGATGGTTCATATTTATAAAAATGAAGCATACGCTTTGAAGTAAAGGTTAAGAGGAAAACGGTTTTACTTTGATCCATATTCATAACCTCCGCGTTTTCCTTGCAAGGAAATGCTTCGGATAAATAAAGTAAATGGTACAGAAATTAGCGGTTTCGTCAAACTAATCGAACTAGTTCTAGACTGATCTGGAGAGATCTAAATGATTCTGGGGCGTTCCAAATGGTTCTAAGCAGTTCTAAATGATTCGAAACAATTCTAGATTTGTTAAATAGATAAACAGTTTTAAATAATTATAGAGCCTTCTAAATTATTCTAAACGGCTCTAAATGATTCTGGGGCGTTCAAGATTGATCTAGACATTTATAAATGATTTTAAACGGTTCTAGATGACTCTGGAGTGTTCTAAAAATTATAAACAGTTTTTAAATAATTCTGGAGCATTCTAGATTGATCTCGACAGTTCTAAATGATTCTGGAGCGTTCTAGATTGATCTGGATAGTTTTAAATGATTCTGGAGCGTTGAATATTGATTTGGGCAGTTCTAAATGATTCTGGGCCGTTCTAAATGATTCTAAGCAGTTCTTAATGATTCAAAACAATTCTAGATGGCCCCGGAATGTTCTAAATGATTCTGGAGCGTTCTAAATGATTCTAAACAGTTCTAGGCTTCTTCTTATAAATGCGGCCTACGAGTAAAAATGTGCATGTTCGTACCAATTCTCTTTGAACAATTCCATTTGTTCGGCTATGCCTTCCAAGCTCGACGACACCGTTGTGTGAAGATCTCTCTGCATTTTCATAATCTTCATGCACTTGATCATCTCCGGCGTGGCCTTGAATATGAACTCTTCCGTTGGTACGTTTGCGGTGGCGCTGGCGCTTCCTTCTGAAGAGTTCGATAAGCTGTTCGATTGATTTCCACCGTCGGTATTTTGCGACTCCTGGGATTGCTGTTGCTTCTGCAATACATTAAAATCTCGTTTACATCTGTTACGTGCAATTTATCCAAATCTACTCACTTGTTCGCTGTTGGTTTTTCTGGCGACGGCCGCTCGTAATGTCAGATATAGCGTACGGGTTGGGAAATACACCGCTTGCGGAAACATTCTACCAACCTGACAGAGTAAGTTCAGTATAATGTTGTCCTCGTACTGTACTAAGCAATTGAGCAATTGCGGCGTCCAAGGTAACCAAAGAATAGGAGGAACGCCCACTGAATATTTATCCAATGCCTTTCTTAAACTGTAATTTAAGACAATCCAAACGTAAGTAAAGTTAGAGATTGTTGATGGACAAATTTGGTCTACCTCGAATTTTGATCGTCGTAACTCAACAACCAAAGCACTTTAGCCAAATATTTTCTCGCCTTCGCCTCGTTTTGGTGTCGGCACGCGTGCAACAAACAAGCCATAGCGTTGACGCCCAAATTTATTTGTCTTTCTCTCGTGAAAATTTGTTCCAAATAATCGCCGTACAAGGCCCATCCTTTGATCGAAGCGTCGTGCTTCTGAACGGCGGCCGAAAACATCTTATTCGCTTCGTCGGATTTATCTGCAGAAATTAAATTTCGTTAAATATTCTAGACCGTCCTTTTAAGGATGCCTTCAACAAGTCTTGTAAAGCAAACAAATTGTACGTTAAATACTTCAAGTTAGAGGAAAATGTGGAAACGAATTGATTCGAGAATTGATATTGTATTCGATTGTACTCTACTCACTGCTTAATTGGAATAATAAACCGTTCAAAGCGTAGAATTCCGCCACCATTTCCTTCGTGAAATACTCCATTCTCGTACGACTCAACACCTCCAAACCGTCGTTAATTTCGTTCTTATTAACGGCCGAGTTTTGAAGGTAGCACTTGACTTGCTGCTTCACTTTGTGGAAACAATCGTTCACCAATACGCTGGATATCCTATAGATTTTGTTCAGCGATTCCAAGCACACGTTTATCAATTTGTGCTTCCTGGCTATTTTACCAAAGTGAATGCTGGACTGTAAATAAAAATAAAAAGGCGTCATAAAACGACTCGTTCAAAGGACTCGAACGTGGCGGTAGGAAATTACCTGTACAGAGGCGTGAACTCCGAGCATCGAATGCGTAGTAGCTGTGTCCCTGTTGGTCTCGTAATGATTCACGATGACTTGATAATGATGTTGTCTCCATGTAAAAATGTCGTTCCAATGGACGAGATCGTCGGCTATGACGGGTAGCCTGTTACGCCATGTTTTTACGATTGCTTTCATGTCGTGCAAGGAATTTTGGTGGCCTTGCAATAGTCCTTTGTGTATTTGATAAGCCTCTTGCAATTCCATAATCTGTATAACAAAAACCATCAAAAACCAAAAAGAGACCAGAGTAGACCAGACTAGGTAGTAGGCCGTATTTGTAAAGAGAAACATAACCTTTTGCTTTCAAAAAATGAAGCAATTGCAAGGTATATGCATAAAAAGAAGTGAAGGAAGAGAGGTTTTGCTTCAAGGACCCTGCAGTTGCTTTAAAGCAAAAGGTTTTGTGTTTTCCGTATTTATAAAAAGAAGTATTTGCTTAAAAAGAAAAAAAAATTAGTAATGGAATTTAGGTTTATAGCAACTCTTCAGCATCTTTTCAGTAGTTACTTAGCTACCACACAGCTCGCAATGTTTTATGTATTTTGACTGTGTTTCCCCAGTTTGTTATAGAATCATCTAGATCTGTCTAGAATCATTTAAAACTGGCTAGATCAATCTAGAACGTTCCAGAATCATTTTGAACTGTTTCGATTAGTTTGACGAAATCTCTAACCTCTGTACCATTTACTTTATTTATCCGAAGCGTTTCCTTGCAAGAAAAAGTCGGAGAATATGAATGGATCAGAGCAAAACCTTTTCCTCTTACCTTTTACTTCAAAGTAAATGCTTCATTTTTATAAATATGGACAAATATCATTGTTACTGTTACCTGCTGAGCCGCTTGAAGATACGGCAAATGAATGTGACTAACGATATGAGGTAATCTTCTCCATTCGTTTAGGCACAAGGTGCTGGCGGTTTCCACGTATCTTTCGATAATCTTGAGGGGCTTGCTCTCCTCGGGCTGGCATATCAACAGATATCCACCGTACATGGTTATTTTCCATCCCAATTCCTTCGGACAAGTATATTCCACATTTTGAAGCGCCTCCTTCATGGTATCCCACTCTGATATTCTCCACGCGCATTCCAGCAACAAGTACGGATCGTAACAGCCGGTTTTGGCGTATTCCATAAGTATGTCCCATTGGTTTAGCTCTTTGGCACATCTAATATTGAAAAAAAAAACACAAAAAATATAAATATATCCGGTCGTATGAGGGTTAAACAAACACAACGCTTTACCTGATCCAATGGTCCTTCCATAACAAAATTTCTCTTTGAGTATGAGCCGGTATGGGACCCAAGTTGTTGTCCGCCTTGTGTTTCGCCATCGCCGCCTCGTAGGCCCCTTGGGCCTGTTCGAAGAAACCGTGCTGTTCGTAGGCGATAGCGATGCTTGTCTCTTTGTAGTGAGCGTGCCGTTGCCAGAGAACGGCCCAACAGTCCTCTTCGCAAAGTAAATGGTATAATTCGCCTAAGCAGTCGAGCAGATCCTTAAAAAATCGCGAAATGTATTTACATACTATCAGCTGGCGTAGTGTCAGATTAGTTACCGCTTTCGAAGGCTCCCCCTCGACCGCTTCGTAATTAGCGGAGCTCGTTGTTTTCGTCAATGCGTTAGGTTCGAACGCCATTTGTTCCAAGCCTAACGCCATTCGATGCCACAGGTTGTGCGATTTGCCTAAGTAGGTCATTAGAGGACTGGAAAAGTAATGTTAGAAACGGCGGGCGGTAAGTACGAAAACTAAAAACTCACGGAACGATTTGTAAGGGAGTGGAGCAGCGACATAACGCCTCGACGAACGTGTTTACAGCACTGGGGTGACAGTCTTTTTGAACAATGTGAGAGCCTGAAGTAATAAACGGTAGTATTTCTTGGGCCAAAATCTGAAATTACAAAAATGTGAAATAAATTTCATCGTCGGTTTTCTATTTCAACTCACGGTTCTTTGATCCGGTTCTAATATGCTCCAAAGTTTAGGGAACAGAGACAGCCAAACGTGTTCGGCTAATGATGTATCCATGTGGCATAACTGCGCTGTAGCCAAGAGAAATCTGTCCGTGGTAATACTCTTAGCAACCTTCGTGGATTCGTAATGTTTTTTTAGCATTTCAATGGTTTCTTCTCTTATCACGGGCTTCTCCTTTACCAGTGGATTCGAATCTATGTTACTTATATCGACGTCCAAAACTTCTTCTTTCACCTCGGACGCATCGAACACCGGATTTTGTATTTGTCGTCGACTAAACTCTTCCCGCTTTTGCTTGTCGGGTATAACGGACGTTATGGCCGGTAGTATGCTGCTCTCGTGGGACATTCGAATACCATCGCCTGCGTATTAGATAAAGAACTATAGTATAATTTTCCGAATATCTAAACAGGCATGTACGCTATACCTGGTAGAGCGGTAACGAGTAGGAGCTCTATGCACTGTTTGATCCAATAGTGAGGACCGATGGCGTCCCAGTTTTGGGAACAAACGATATAAAGTAATCGATCGTGGAGCCTTCGACGCATAGATTCGTCGAAAACTTTGAAAAACTTCGCTCGAATGTGCGGTTGAGTACATCTCAGCCCGGCTAAAAATGCCGGCTCCAGTTTAGACGTGAGTTCCGTCGTCTTGAGCTGCTTATCCCTGAAAACGAATCAAAATTATCGTCTTATAACTTATGCTATGTGTCCATTTTAGAGAAAAACTCTTGAGAGCGTCTATCGAGAGTAGTTCTCGCCAGTAGACAATGTTGTGAGAGTAACTATTTGAGAGTTAATTAGTTCCTTTACTACTCTTGAAATTCAAATATGTCTATTTGTTAAAAATTACAAGGTTATAAAGTTAAAAATAAAAAGGAGGTTTTTTGATATTGGGCCAGAATGGCTTAACTCTTTTTCGTGAAAAGTTGTACAGATTATCTTTGTTTGAATTAACTAATTTTGAATCGAAGCTAGATCTATCGGCTTATTTTTCATAATTTTAGACTTTGTAATTTTCTGTAAACCTCACGTTTTTAGAAACAAATCTCAATTTTTGCCATTTATACAATTTTTTAATCTCCAAAGTTTGGAACATTTTTAGTCCGTTATTAATAATAAAAATAATTTCATAGCACGTTTTTCAGATCCAGTGATTTCAATAAAAGTCTCTTTATTAGTCAATATACTGGTAGATAATGTTAAAGTAAAAAATATATTTCAGTAATTTATAAAAACTGTTAAATATGGCATTTATTATGATTAGTTAATAGATTTTTAATAAAAGTAACTTAATCTGTTAAAAAGGGGCAAGTTAAAAACACACTTAAAAATGTTCCAAACTGTAGTTAGTTCACAAAACTCTCAGCACAAACCTAGTGGACACGGTGCTGAGAGTTATTTATAATTTTATAAAACTCACAACTAGCATTTCGGACACTCTCAGAGAGTGAAAATTCGCGAGTTTACTCTCAAATGGACAAAGACCGGAGAAAACTCTCAAATGGACAGGTAGCATTAGAGACGAATGACTGCGCTTACGTGTATACATAGAGAACGAGTTCTAAAAATTGCGCGTTCAAATCGTTATCGTCTTGGAAACGTTTCTCGACGTACTGCATCATTTTAACGAGCAATATAGATTTCTCCCTTAAACTCGGCGCTTGATTCAACGTTACAACGTTTTTGCATTTCATCCACTCTTCCAGCATCTACGATTAATACAAGGATCAGTACAATTAAAGCTGTTATAAATTTAAGGATTCTCCTAATGATAACGTACCCTAGTAATAGCTTTCATAACTTTGATGTCCTGGGTCTTTTCGATCAATCCAACTAGAATCGCCCCGATGAACGTCTTTCTCATTTCCACGCCCAATACGACAACTCTAGTTTTAATCAAATCCAAACTGAGTATTAACAATTCGCTGGTCAAGGCGGTATTGTCGCTGGAATGCTGCAGGTGTTCTTTAGCCAGTCGATGGAGTACCCTCATAAACGGCGTTGCCAGCCGATCAATGTAGGATTGATTGTTCGCACAAACGGCTTTTAAAATCATAACAGTACCGAAGAGACTGGAGGGATTCTCTTTTTTCTCATAGCTGCTGAGGCCGTCTAAAATGGCTTTACCGACCGTCGCATAGAGAACGTCCAGCTCTTCGTATTTACAGCTCAAGTTCGTGGTCGTTCTTTCCATCGGAAATAGTGTGAACAATTTGGTCAGTAAATTGTGAACTAATTTGATTATTTTGCTATTGTTCGAAGTTATGCATGCGCCGATTCCTTTTTGCAAATGTTTGAAACTCGCTAAAAACAGAAAAAATATTTATATAGGTATATCGTATACAATCGATAAATTAATTTGTACTGGAAAATTAAACATAAAATAGTGAGGCATTTCAAGCTCTATACAAGGTGTCAAGAAAATAGATGTCAATAATTCGGGAGTCTATAGATGACATCAAAATAAGGGTATGTATAACTTCATATAAATTTTGTTCATTTAAGCACCCACTTTTGTCCTCCCATTTTTGAGTCCTCATCTCTCTCTACCTATCATCTCAATCTAAAAATTGAAATTTCTCTTTAACCGTTAATTTTATCGACTTCAAACAATAGTACATTTTTGTTAGTTTATCGAATTTACGAAATCGAAGTTACGAATTGTAAATCACAGGGAACACACCGCCAATGTCCTCCAGGGAGTAGTGTAGGATTCATTTTATTTCCATAGGGCATACTAGGTAATAAACCACAAAAATGTTATATTGTTCTCATATATAATTTGAACGTAAAAATAAGTCTTAAATTTTCAACTTTAAAGGACTCTAGCTCAAAAATGGGGGCTCAAATGAACAAAATTTATATGAAGTTACAGCCTTATTTTGATGTCATCTATACGTTCCCGAATTATTGACATCTATTTTCTGGACACCCTATATAAACAGATTTTATGTCCAGATTTTACACCCTTGGTAGATCAAATATGAAAATAGTGAGTACGAATTAGGTTTCAAACTTGCTTACTTAAGATTTGTTCCTTTTCGAAAACCGTTAAAATGTAGGTGAGAAGTTCCAAGGCCGTGCAAATGTTAGCGATATTAGGATTCGGAGCTTCTATGGTGATTAAAATTTTATCGAAAAAGGCCAATTTCAAATCGACAGGCTGCGGCCAAATGTCCGGCCTCAGTGCCGTTTTCAATAAAATAACGCAACGCCTAGACAACACCTCGCCCGGGCTATTCGTCGCCGGATTCACGGGATTTGTCGAAGCGGGCTCGTTAACCTAAAATAAATGTACATGAACGATCGCCATCTTAAAGTGGTTTCAAAATGAATACCTGACAGGCGAGCCTTAGTAGAAAGTTAAGCACATTATCCGTGTGTGCTCTATCGATCGGTTTGTTTACATTTGAATCGGCTTTTACAGACGCCACGGGACCCGATGGACCTGCTACCGCTAATTTCTTCCTATTGCTATCGCCGTTTTCTTCAGTAGAAGATCTCTTTGTCGCAACATTTTCCGTTGACTAAAACACGCATTAAGTATATTCCGAAGCCTTCGTAAAAAACAGAAGTATAATATTAACCTCAGGCGTTTCAGAGTCTTCCTTGATTCCGTAAATTTCCCATTTAATAATAACCTCGGCCAATTCGACGGCCAATTTTCGATGTTCCAGAGTAGCCGTAGGACTAAAGCCCAGCCTTTGGATCGAACTAACCATATGCTGGACCAAATGATGTCTTACGGGATAATAGACCTAAAATGTTTGTAACGACATTATTCCAAATCTTTAAATCCTGTTACCTTCCTTACTTTATAGTGCTTGACAACCAATTGCAGAATGTGGAACAATTGTTGCACGGAATGACCCTCGTCCACTATTATTTTCTTAGTCCAATGCGTCAGCATCGTACTGCCCTCTTCCATTCTCAAAGGCATCGAAGGAGTGAGAATCTCCAACGCCTGGCGTACCACGCTCCTCGCCTCGACGGCATGAGCTTTCAATAAACTGTGAAAAACTACAAAGAGAAAAAAACATATGTAATTCAAACCGACCGGCACCGTATAATATGTAACCCACCTTGCAGAATAATCTTTCGGTGGATGGCAAACTTGTCGATTATGTGAGAAAGAAGCAAATGGCCGTGGTATCTTGTAGCGGGATCTATGCAATTCTCCACCAGCAAACACGGCCAAGCGAACGTCATCAATCTTCTCAATTTGAAGCCCTGCGCCTTGTTACTGGCGTCGTGATCGTGAATGTGAGGGCTGGCCTGCTCGACGAGCAAACAAGAAAATTGTAGAAGCGAAATTCGCACGCAATCCTCAGACGGAAACGGATTGTCCGGATCGATTAGCTAAAGAAAAAAAAGATTTAGGAATATGTAAGAAAATTACAAAGTGAGGTAATCTTACTTTGTTTATGAACACGGAGACAACGTTATCGCTGCTGTCCTGATAGGGCGTCGGTGGCCCGCCTACGAGTTTGTTGGTTTCGCCCCTTTCGAAGCTGACGGCAAAGCATGGTATGATTATCAACTGAAGCACCTTCGCTTTCAATTCCTGTAAAATACGAATTAATCGTTGATGCGATTTAACCTGATCGACTTTAAGCGCAAACCGGCGACTAACCTGAGACATTTCGTTCGTCGGAAACAGCTCGACGAATCTGAAAAAGGCGGATCTCTTCCATTCGACGGTGTAATTCTGCGCGACGGTGTTTTCGAGAAAGTCCCTGAGAAATTGGAAGTTGGGCAGGAACCGATCGACGGTGGCCCTTAGCAATTGGAACAGAAGATCGATGTTGGCGTTGGGATGACGGCAAAAATAGTGCAGTAAAATCTTCACGACCAGTTTCGGCTCTTTCCAATGCGTGTACTCGAGTTGCTCCAAATTCTTGTGTCTCTCTTGGTACGAATCGTCGCACCAGATTCGCTTCAGAGCATCGACCAATTCGTTTTGAGTCGACAGCCATTGATCGTCGAATTTTATCAGCAACGAGACGATCCTTATCGCCTGATATTGCAGCTCGTTCTTCTCCTGCGCTTCCAAATTCACGTTAACGTAATTGGAAAGCATCATGGCCATGATGCGTTTCGTCATGTTGTTTTGAATGAAATCTCTGAACAATTTTCCGTCTTTGTGCTTGATCAAATACTCCAAGTATCTGCTGAATTGCTGGTCTTTGATGTATTTGTCGCTTAAAAACACCAGTAGCGTTTCGTCGGGGTATCGCAGGAGGAATTTCATCAAAACCTCCCTGAAGGGACTGCTGGCTTCGATGCCCATTACTTGTTCCGTTTCCAGAACCAATTGGCACAAATGCGTTATGAATTTCGATGAAGCGGCCGGCGTTTGATGGAAAATGCTGATGATTGTGACGATTTTCTGTTCGTCGTCGCTTTTTTTAGACACTCCGGTACCTTAAAAAAATAACATAAAAACACCATACATTTTTATCACCGCTATCTTTTTTTAATTCCACCTAACGAGTACATACCTTGATTGCTCTTAAAGTTCACCTTCAAGTTTTCGATTATCTTCTTGAGAAATTCAAGTAATTGTTCGTTAAAAACGTTAGGGAACAGTTGCGTTAAATAGGACAGCATTTTGAAACCGTTCAACGTGGTATTTTTAAAATCATACAGGGTCCTTAACAAAGGTCTAACAGTCTGATGTACCAATTTATTTTCTACGGGGTATCCAGCGATAAACTTTTTCATGCATTCAAAAGCTGTCTCCTGAAGCTCAGCGTTCGGTTTTTCCAACGTATCGTAGAGAACTTGGAAAATCTTATCTCTGACCTCTTCTAAGTAATAGCAGGCGGCTAAAACTCTCAGGGCGCTCGTCCTCAGAGGTATGAAATTCGTTATCGATTTATAACACGAAAATGTGTTTAATTTGCTATCTTCAGAATTGCACAACGTCAGAAGATCCTCGATGAATTGGCTGTGTTCCTTTTCTTTCATGTCTGAAATTCAATAAATATTGGTAATCTTGAATAAAGAAAAATGCACATACAGGTTGATGCATTTTAGTTTGCAATATAAAAAGAAAGGGTGATATTGTAGTATTACAACTTTCTCACTATAACCACTGTTAGTTTAATAATCTTTCTTTGTTCAACTCATAGAATTGCAAACTTTTATGCACTTACGTGTATGTAGAATCTGTACAAAAAAAGAAGCAATGTGAATCTATTCACACAAACAAAAATTAGAAAAATAAACAATCCCAGTAAATACAAACCTATAGTGAAAAGTCTAGGTGTTAAAGTTGTACAAAACATATTTCCATCCATGAGACCAATTTGAGCGATCGCAGGTTGATGTTTAAGAAGATGCTTCGTCGGAGGTACCATATTTTCTAGAACCTTTTTAAACGGTTCCATAACGGCGGTTACGGTCTTATTTTGCTTCTCGGCCAGTAGTCTCAAAGATGCCATAGACTAGTAGAATAACGCAAATGTTAAATTAACTAGAAAAAAAAACCATCAGCTCACTGCTACTCACTTGATTCCTAACCATCGTGTGAGGACTGGTCACTTGTCTGACCAATTCGTGTGTTACGTTCTTCAAGGCTTCCGCTTGCAGAGCTTCAGTCGCCTGATCGCCGTCCGGCGGTGGAGTAACGCACACAATCAGCATCTTCTGAAGATTGTCTTTGGCCATATCTAGGGCGCCGCTGGACACCTCTCCGGTAAGGTCCATCATCACGAACAGCAACGCTTTCAGAAACATCAACATGTGCTCGTATATCCATTTCAAGGCGCAACGTTCGAACATGAACTTTATGGCTACGCAACCGCCGAGCTTTGCGTACCAGGCCCGCTCGTAGCATAGCGCGCACATTTTTTCGGATAAATACTCGATCAAAGGTAGCCGGCAAGCCTAAAATACGTCTCGCATTAATCTCTTTTGTATTCGAAACAAACGAGTCGTACCATTTCTTTGCTGCCGAGAAGTGTGGACGCTGTATCTACTATCAAAACGAGTCCTAAATGTCCCGGTTTGCACAATTCTCGTTCCTCGTGTCCCATTATAATGGCTAAGGCGTCTACCAGTACCAGCGGATCCAAGGTAACTTGTTTGTTTGGTCTGTTGAAATGAAAAAAGTGCATATTAAACGGCAGTTATTTTCGAGAGAAAAAAATGTAATGATAAAATAGCATGTACTTACTCTGGGCAATTGGCAAATTCGCCAGATTGCTGAGCAACTGCGACCATAGTATAATGTCTCACTAACGAAACCAACGGGCGTATGACAATTTCTCTTAATTCCTTTATAGCGGCACCAACGAACATGCCTAAAAATATGTAAAGTAAAGACTAGAGGCTATTGTTTGATTTGTTATGTAGTGACCTATTAAAGCTGTCTGATGCGTTTCTCTGGCCTCTTTATAAACCGATTTGTACGTGGAACCTTTGATGCTGGGTATAGTTGCCGGATCATGGAAACTTGGATGCAAGAACAAATTGATAAGGATATTTTCGTCGTCGTCTAGACTCCTGGAAGCCGTTAAGTAACAGTTAATCACCTCCCACGCTTGCTTTCTGTAAAACGGATCCGTACTGCTTTGCTTGAGAGCATTAAAGGCCGTTTCAATAACCTACAATGACAATTCAACAGTAAATTTCTCTGCACACAATGTGTATGCAATAAATATAACTTACTTTTGATACTGGAAATTCTATTTCTTGCTCTTGATCATTGAATTTAGCTAATATTGAAGGTGGATCGAATTCGGTCGAAACGTATTCAAGTTTTTGGGGCTCGATCATCATTTTTCGGTTGCCACCGCCGAATTTTCCAAGCACCCTAAAGTTTACAATAGTAATTAAATCATGAGAATAGCACACGAAGGATCGTTAAAAATAATGCACCTTTGTTCCGACAAACTCACAAATTATTTTTGTCTTATAATCAATATTAATAGGTTTGTTCCTACAACAGTCAGAAATAGTCGGTGATCGTCAGGAGTCTGCGCAGTAATAATTTAGGCGTTCCAACAAACTCCACAGACATCTCTGATTCTGACTTGGTTAACAATTTATTGTTCCAACAGTTTAAGGGACTGGTTTTGTGATAGTCAGAAAAATTTGCTGATAGTACAGAGATTTGAAATCCGGCGCAAGCGCATTTTTAATTTGGGTTTAATTTGTATTTCTGAATATAGGTTAATTATTAGGTTATGTTGTTTGTTGTTTTTGTTTGATATTTGGTGAATATATGTAATAAATGTAAAGACTGTTCCATCAAGAAATCAGAAATTTGATTACACCATTCAATCATAAACCGCGCATGCGAAATAGAAGAGTCAGAAACTTACTGGTAACAAATCAGTGACTTTTTGTAGGAACAAACCTAATATTACTTACTTAAATGCCACCTGCGCAACCTGATCGTTATTTCTTAGCGTTCTCCACAAAGCCTGCATCAATTCAGCTCGCACAGGTTGAATGTGCTCATACAAGAAATCATGTTGTAAATTATCAACGCAAAGTTCTAATGTTCTCAATCCCTAAGATTATTAAACAGTAAGAGCGTTAATTAAAAGAAAAACTAATTATCTAATAAATCATACCTGACTGATTAATACATGAGAACCGTTTAAAGCAGATACCAAAGGATCCATTAACATGGGTAAATACGGTAGCAAAGAACTTAATCTTACGGGTACAGTTAAGCATAATTCGACGAATAAATCTTTCATATGTTGCTTATGCAATCCGCTTTGTAGCCTATTTAAACCTAGAAAAGTAATTTTACAATATAATGAGTTAGTATTAAAAATCTAACTTACCTTCTAATAAATTCGGCAGAAGGGGTAGAAATTCTTGATATAACAAATCGTGACTTCCTCCTCCTATTGACCTGAACAAAGCTCTCAATAGAAGAAAGTAATTGTACGGTTCCATAGCGCTCATCGCTAACTCCATAGACCTGGAATCGTTTCAATAAAAAAATGCGTAAAGTGCCTTCAAATTAATCCTGGTGACGGTGACATCACGACATTCACTTTTTGAATCAATTATGTAAATGGTATTATTAACTGTAATTAATACATACCTATTAACGATCTGATGTAAATGGGGTCTGAGCATATTTTCGTTTTCTTGCGGGAACAAGGAAACGCTCCCAAACACTAATTTAAACAGCCTCAAGTAAAGGTTGCTTCTTTCGATGTTCGAGCCCATTTCTTCCATTCTCTCCAACAAATACTCCACTAATACGGTAGCGAAAATCGGACTCGTCGTCGGATTGGCCAGAAGAGTGTTTGGTACCGTTTGCAATGTGGGATTTTTGTTGACTCTCTTCACCAAATACTCTATTGTAGTTGAGAAAATCTCGTGGAACGTTTGCGAATTCAGCATCGAAAACTACAAGAAAATGTAAACGAATATTTTAAATTCAAGAGAATTCAAGAGAAATTCAACTGTATGAATTTAATGTATAGATAGTTCGGTAGAAAACGAACTTACGACTCCACTGAAATGTTCCAATACTTCCTTCTCGTCCTTGCTTCGAACGTTTTGTTGATTTATTCTTTGTGGAATGCCGGCCGGTTGCGGACCAACGCTCAAAGTGTAAATGTCCAAAGCTTGCAATGCCCATTTGACGAGTCGAATTAGAACCAATGTTTCGTGCGGTGCGAAATGCTTGGCAGGTAGGGTAGTTTGACCGGAACCGTTCTTGCAAGCGAAACAGCCCCATGTTATTATCGTACGAACGCCATACACCAACGTTTTCACCAAACTTCTATAATCCGCCACGTTGTAGTTGTTATTCTGGGGAAAGCCGAATTTCGACTTTTCCTCCTTCTGTTGGGGTCCTTGCACGTTCGCAAGAACGGTTTCCAAAAGCTCGGCCGGATTCGGCTTGCTATCCGGTTTATCTTGTCCCGTTTGCTGCTGGATTTGGGTTTGCTGCGTCGCTTGTGATTCCTGTTTACGTTGTTCGCTGGAAAAGATTTCATATTTCAATAATGGACAGTTCTGATTACAACTTAATATTTACCATTTATTAATAAGAATAGGCAATTGAATTTTTGCTATCGTTTTAAATTTCAGTACAAACACTTCCAGCATTCTCATTAATAATTCCCGTCCCTCGTTGCTGTTTTCTACTTCCGATCTGGTCCTTATGCATTCGACCAAGTTGAGGAGCAGCTTACAAGACATCGTTTGGATACTAAAAAAAAAGATAACGTAATCGTTAAATTTTTGCGCTGTTGCCGATAAATAACAACATACGTTGTGGCTAAGCTATCATCGTGAACGTTTTTGCTGTACAAGTGAACGGCTCTTTTCAAATCCGCCAGCGGTAGCTGTTGTCTAACGTGATGTACTAAATCGGCCAGAGTCGAATAGGCCAACGGCCTCAGAGATTCGTGAGTCGTCCAACCTCTTCCCAATAATACGTCTTCGTCGAAAAGCTTCTCCATATGAGGCACGAATTCTAGAAAAACAGATTGAAAATACTTATTAAATAAGCAAATATACACTCACTGTTTCTTAACTCTGTGGCTAAAATGTGTCTGGCAGCTATTAATAGCTCTCTTCTAAGATGAGCCACTTCCATTGGGCACAAGGTCAGCAAACCGAGCATGCCTTGCACCATCATCGCAGAGTGATTTTGTACTACGTCCTGGTAAATTTTTATGATGTACGCCAAAAACGAGAGCGTTTTGATTTGGGCTCCCATGAAATCGACGAAAATTTCTTTGTTGAACGACTCCGCTTGTCTCTGTTTTAATGTAGGCTGCAACGTGATGGTTGTCATAATCAGAGGAATGAAGTCGCTGACATCTTGATGGACGCTTTGTTTGTACAACTGGTACATTAAAACGACGATAATCGGTAATTCCTGGAGGACTTTTAGGGATAGCACGGCTTTCGGTATTACGTAGTACTAGAAGTAATTAAGCGCGTTAATGTAAACTTTAAATAACAAAAAAAAGCGTGAAAATTTACCGCAATTAAAGTGCCATCCTCGTTTCTAGCTTCCGTCTGAATAACGGTCATGGTAAAGGTCTCTTTAAGGAGTTCCTCAATGTTAACCTCTGCAAGTTCTTTAACTTTAATAGGCGGTTTCGGTTCGAATATCTTGTTCAAATGGTTCGGTAAATTTGAATAAATCGATTTTACGAATTGCAGGAATTTTTGAATCTGCAAATACAAAAACATTTAGTTCGATCAATATGAACAAATCAAAAACTTACCTCAGAGCTGAAGGGCGGCTTGTACTGCTTATACAACTCGATAATAATTTTAAGGCATACCAAAACATTAGCTTCGTTATCGATTTCTAATAATTTTAACATAAGCAACAGTATTTGTTTAACGTAGGGTCTTAGAGTCTCATTTATCGGTAATCGGTACAACATTTCCAAAATTAATTTTCTGACCTGTAAAATATTACCGGTTAAAAATGTCGCCTATTTAGTTTTTAGAATTGCGTTATAACCTGTTGAAGATTGTATTCTGCAACAAATAGAGGATAACCTTCTCCTAATATTTTCAAAAATATGTTGATAGAATGATCGAGAAAATCCGGATACAAAGCGGAATTGAGTATAATCTGAAACAAAAAAAGATGCTAGCTCCAATCCCAAGCAGCTGATTCAAACTGAAACTCACCTCAAAATGTTTACTCAGTTCTTGAGTAGCTTTTAGTTTAAGGACATCTTTAGTATTTGGATCGCCTAATGTAGTAACGTAACTCTTGAATTGATTCATCAAATGGGTATGGGGATGGACGCCCCCAATACCAGATGACGTTGATGCTTGCATGGTTGTTTCTCTGCAATTATTATAAATAATTAATAAATAAAAAACAAATTGAAAATAAATGTCAATTCATTAATGTTCTTCTCTCGGTAATCTTACGAATTATACTTATTGTTAGTATAGTTACGTTGATTATTATTAGCGTTAAAGGGAATAAAACGCATAAAATAAAAACATCACAATACATTTTAAGCTTCTAGTTAAGATATAAAGTCTACAAAAATTTGTTTTTCGATGGTCGATTGCCATACATTTAATTGGTGTGAAACCTGTTTCCAAAGAGTCTCTATCTTTCACTGTTTATATGATGAAGAAAATATGTAAAAATTACTATTAAATAGTTAGATACCTTTAAAATTTGCTTAAAAACTCCAGATAATTTACGGAAAGACGAGATCCTGAACACATCTAAAAAGAAAAAAGGTGGAGGTAATATTGATGTACAGTACATTTAAATTAAGACTGCTTACCTTAATTTTAAGTTTATGTTCGTAATTACTTATTATTATTTTATTTAGTAAAAGTTTAGTTCATGTATAAGAATATTTATTTTATTCGGCTTTAACCAAAAACCAAACCACAATATAAATGACAATTGACACAATTTATTGACATTGACATCCGTTTGACTTCTTCTTGAATTTTGGGCATATGGGTAAGGTTATTCAACTAGTTAAACTTAAAAAAGCTACATGATACAAAAATACTATGGATGAATTGATATATTATTAAATGGTATTGAAAAATTAATGATTTATATTTCAAATTCTTTGTTTGAAATCACCTATTTCATATCTAAACTTGTAGACTTTTACTTCGAAGTTATAAGAATATTCTTCTTTTTTCTATTACATAACCTTAGTTATTTCTTTTTATAATTTTTAACTTTATTTTTTATAATTTATAAACGTTCATTCCATAAGAAAGAAAATAATGAAACATTTTTATAGGCTTTCCAATGATGTATCACAAGTTGCTATTTAAATTTCTACAGTATGGGGTACGTAGGGCTGATGGGGGTAACTTCCTTTTTATGTCATATTAATTAACCCTTCATATCCTAGAAATGGGTTTAGGCATTTTTTCATCTTTCGTTTAGGTATACGTACACACATGTACGTACATATTACACATACATGTGTATCACCGACAGTGATCAGTTTAGTTTAGGATTATCGTTAATTTTACTTAATTTTTTTAAATGAGCGATTCTTATTTGCTATATATTTGTTGGTAGATTTGTTTTATATTTGCTGACGAAATTCATACATTTGAATCAAAGAGTTTGCATCGTTTCTCGTTGATGATAAAATGTCGAAAAGTCTGATGTGAGACCCACGTTCAAGCAGAGACCGAATTGGAATCTTTTAGATATGAGAACAGTGAATTATTAGGTTTATTCTTACATACATAGATAAATGTATAAATGTATTTTTTTATCGTTTCGTTCATTAAAATTCGACTTCTAAAAAGCCCAGCTGAAGGACCAGTAAAAACAACACGGCCAGAACCCGGCATGGTGTAGCGTGAACGTCTTATAAGGATCCACGTTTCAAACTTCATAAAATGTTGCTTTTAAGGCAAGGTTTCACAATAATTATTGATTCACCCTGGCGATTATTATTTATACAATTGGATAGCATTTTCATAGGCTTTTCAATGTTTTACAAGTTGGGGGTTGCTATTTAAATTTCTGCAGTTGAGGTAGATGGGGCCCATGGGGTTGATGGAGGTGAATTCTTTTTTATAGCATTTTAGTTCCACCTTCATATCATAGAAACGGTTTTAGGCATCTTTATATCATGTTTCATTTTGGAGATATAGCCATTGTAAGTTTTTAAATTGTCATACTGTATATATTTTGTCAAACTTCGTTAAATCGATTTTAAAGGAAATTCCTATAATTTGAAAGAATTCCGTGTATGAATATTGTTCGAAAATAAAAAACATTTTTACTTTAGTAAAATTTTCGTAAATAGCGCAACAATAACCACAAACTCAATATATTAATGAAATAAATATTGGAAATCATAATTATTAATATGTACGTAAATGAGGCTAATTTCGCAAATTCAATTGAATCGATCAATAGCAATTTACAATTTGCGTTACGTGTATTTATAAATTAAGTTGTTAATTAAAACGTGTGCAATTACCGGGCCTCATTTACGTTTTCTACATTATTTGTTAATCAGCCTTTTTCAGCAATTTACTCTCTCTCTCTCTCTCTCTCTGTCTCTCTCAGTTCCATTCGTCATCAGAACCAACACCGTGATCGGTGTTCCTAGCCAACATGTAATTATCCATATCTATCGATTTGCAATTATTGATAGAGTATCTTAATTTTTCTGCCATTATTTCCTGAGACGTGTAAGGAGGTAAACGCAGTTGGAAGAAGCACGTTTGGGCCGTAGGTAGGCCATTCACAGCTTTATCTACTTTCATGATCTGTAATTTATTAAATGTATTAAATTAAACTATAGTAGAATGTATGTGACGTACAAATTATATGGTGAACGAAATAATGCTATATACATAATATTTTATTACCTGAAATCGTTGAGACAAATCTGCCAAATTGGCAGGTAATCTTGATCGCCCCGAAACGAATCTCATAAACAATACTTTTTCATTGTCCGTGAAATTTTCTAAAATATTCCACAGCCATTGTACCAGTTGATGGCTTTCGTCTAATTCTCTGTACCTTTAAAATAAAATAATTAGCTATTTTTTTGTCGAGCTAGCTATATTAAGGGAATTTAATTACCTAACAATTTTTTTCAATATAGCTATAGATATATGCGACATGCCGCATACTAATTGTTCCATATGCTCAGCGGTGACTAGAGACAGTAGAGGAACTGGAATGATGCCAGCCATTCCTTCTCTTATAGCAGCGATTTGCATATCAAACTCCTGCATTCGGTATCTTACGGCTTGCTCGTAATATTGCGTACGATTTTCAAACGTGAAGGGAATATTTCGACCGCCATGAACAATCGGAACAAGCTGAAACAACAAGAAATATGTAAGCAAACATATTCAAGCAAAAGGTTTACTTTATAATTCACCTTTCCAGTACAACTTCTACCTTCAAAGCATTCCAATGGTATAATATCGTGAAAGTACTCCGCAGTTACTCCGGAAAGATGGATGTCTCTAATACTTTTTAGGCTCTGAATGTACATCGCATCTGTATCCTCTAAATCCTCCACCGTTAACGGTTCGCCGACGATTAATTTCCATATCATAGGCGCTATAGGAAGGGCCAATGGTTTTCTAGTTCTGATAGCCACTCCGAACAAAATTCCTGTCAAAAAAAAACGACGCTTAAAAATGTCACAACAACCCGTCGAATGTATCAAGTTTACCTAAAAACTTGAACCACGTCAGGTGCTGTTGCGAGGTCAGTTGGGGATTCAACAGAAATTTGTCCCTGTTGAATCCTTCGTCGTTGAGGGCGTTCGGCGTTGGTATCAAAAGGGGCACCACACCGGTGGTGATTTCCTGGCACATTTCGGTAATGGTGTCGTCGAAAACTCCACCGGCATCGTCAGCTCCTTCGCCTACCAATTTAACTTTCCACGCCCTGGACGGCAACCTCATTTCGTTCGGCATAATGTCTACCACTTGCTTGGCGATTTGAACGAAAATCGGCTTACATTTGCGACCTAAAAAAATTGTAATTTTTCTATGCCTTAGACACTTTAATTCAAACAAAAATTACCGTCTTGAGATATTCTTCTAACTGTAATCTGAGGTCCGTAGTTCTTTCCTTGAACCATAGTTTTTCCAATACATCTCACGAACGGTAAGGTGTACACTCTAGGCGCGAGAAGTGTCCTCAACTTGGAAGACACCAGCCCTTCTAGCGGTGGTATTTGCAGGTCGAGTTGCTGATCGCTCAGAGGCATCAAAGTCCAGCAGGAGTACAGTTTATCCGAGAAATTATACAGGAATTTCAAGCGGGATTGAATAGATTTGATGGAAATGCCTTGTAGACAGTTGTATTGCGGCGGTATTTCAGTAGGTAAGCCGAAATTCAAACAATTCATATATCTGAAAAGTGTATAAAAAAAGTAGAATAGAGGATAGAACTAACGGAAATGAATGCAGGTAGATGTAGAATGTATGTACCTTAAATTTTTAGAAGGTAGAGGTGCGCTCGTCCATGCAGCGCTGTGCGTCCTTCCCGTGGATATTTGCATGATACCCTTATTCGATAGTTCCGTTATGATTTCCGGTTCCCTAACCAACGACACGTGAGGCAATCCCAGTTGTCCTTCGGTGTTCATGCCCCATCCGAAGACTTTGCCGCAGGTAGTCAGAAACAGGCAATGCTCGGTACCCACGGAAAAATCTTCTATAACGTAATCGGCCAAACCGGGCAATTGGTGAGGCCTGTAATCCGAACGTTCTCTCATGTGCGTCTGCCATGGTACGCGATCTATTCCGCACACGTAGATTTTTCCGCTATTTGTTAAAAATACGGTCAAATGAGTTCCGCAACCCACCTAAAATACAATATTATTAGTCGTAATAAGTATTTTACGGTCACATGCCGATACACTACTATCCGATACTACCGAGATTTGACCGGGCAGATCTAGATATATGCCAGTACATCGGCATCTGACCGTAACATACAAGGTGGTCCAGAACTTGCACCCAACCGGGAAAGAGATTATGGAAACGACAATGGAGATGCCAAAACTGCAACCGAAGACATGAAAAAGTTTTTTTTTTGGTAAATAAAGAGGTTTAAAATCGACCAATCCCAGTAACAGTTCCACGAACAAATCCACGAAAGTAATGTGAATGTAATTTACCATCGACTTGACATTAAAAAATTTTCAATATTCTTTTCACTTTTACTTTTCAAGGTTAACAGAAACTGTCAAAATCAGCTACGACTATTACATAATCAAAGATTTGCTTGAAAAAATAAAAGGATGATCACAAGATAACTTATCCTTCAGGGAAATCGTTCCGGATATATTCGAGCAATTTCTTGTGCGTTTCGTCCACATTCTCCATTAATTACAATCATTTCCATGTATTCAGTGGCTGTATAAATATTCGGATCAGACTTTAATAATATCTCTCAATAATGTCAAATTGCCATTCACATTATTTCTTGAATTTCAACTATTTCTGGGCTTGGTCGATTTTAAACTTCTTTGTTTACCAAAAGAATATGTTTTTCATGTCTTCGGCTGCAGTTTTGACACATCTATTGTCGTTTCCATAATCCTTTTCCCGGTGGGCACGAGTTCAGGACTACGGGCGTCCAGAAAGTAAATTCCGTTTGGAATTAAAACAATCGTGTACTGATATAAAAAAAACTATTGCACAATAATCTACGGTTCTTAATCTACATTTCTACATAGTTTTCGAAATTTTCCAGGCATTTTCCATAGCGTGACACAATGTATACTCTCCTCATAGAATGTTACCGCCCATGTATTTAACCATATGGTAGCGTGTTCTCTCAGCTCATCGTGATTGTTGAAGTTTTGACCACCAAGGAATGATTTTAGATGAAAGAAGAGATGAAAGTCACTAGAAGTTAAGTCGTAGCTATACGGATGATGGTCAATTACGTCATAGTGAAATTCATGTACGGGGCCTTTTGTAACATTTGCACTGTGTGGCCGTGCATTGTGGCAGGATTTTTAATGAACGCAGCCATTTTAAAGAAACTATACAAAACATACACGGCCAACTGCGATTTTCTTTCAGATTTTATGATTGGACTTGGTTCAGAGAATATAACAGCCGCCTATAAGGGAAATTGGCTCATTCGATAAAATTTAGAATTTGATCAAACTTTATATACAGGTCGTACGAACTGATCCGCTGCAAGCATTAGAATTAGAATCTCAATCAATACTATAAGATAGTAAAGAACAGAAACTTGTTTATCGGTTGCCGGCCGATATTAGAATTCGTCAATTCGCTTCGCTTCGTCCACCAGCAAATAGCGGGGATAGCGGGCGTGATTATTTCGTATGCTCTCTTTATTCCTTACATAGGAAAAGTTCAATTAGCTGTCTCATAATTCTCATTGTATGCTTGCAGCGGATCAGTTCGTACAATCTGTACATAAAGAAGAGGTCAAAAAAAATTATTACTGAAAGTTTCAAGTTGATCCGATCTGCGGTTCTTTGATTATTCGAGTTTAAAGATGCGATTATTTGTCTCCGCGATAGTACGATGATGACGTCACTGCATGCGATCTCTCCGCTGTCCGCTTCGCATTCACTTAACTTGCATTGCATTCGCGATCGTTTCGTCTTTTTAACGACTATGTTTAATTGATTATATAGGGTAATTATAATAAATAATTAATGCTAATTGTAAGTATAATATTTTGGTTATCGATTAATGAGATTATGTACGTAAAAATATTTAGGAATACCTAAATAATAACTATAATACCTACCTATGTAAGTTTTGGATTTTGCTCTATAACATGTATTACCCTTTTTATAATGTTCTCTAAATAGGAAGAGTGTCATCTAATTTACTAGTAAAATCAGATGGTAACTGTCCCGAACGGGTCAAATCACACTGAGTTTGTTTTGAAAAAAGTTTGGGCATTATGTTTATATAAACTTAAATTTTTTATGACAGGCCTCATTTGTAATAGTGTTGTTTAAATTTTTATCCATTGTCAAATTCACATCATCCATATCATCGTTCTGTTCATTCCGAGTACTTTTAGAACAACTAGACAAATCCTCGATAGTAGTTTACCGCTGTCTTTTTAAAAATATTGTTCTTGCTTGTACAGTGTGTTTAACGATTTGAACTTTTTGGAAGTCGAAGATATTAGGTACAACATCTTGCTATATTGGGAATTAGCCATTGTTTTAAAATACATGTAGTTTTCCATATTGTTTTCAAACTAAAAAATTTGATTATTTTTACTAAGCAAGCTAATTATTATAATTAATACTTATATTAAAATGATCTTCACAGACAAAATGTGTTGACTTCGTACTAACCAACATATACTTCTTTTCATTTATTTTTGCCACAATTTGTTTTTTCTTAAATCGCGCGAAAGGCGTCTTATTTAGGTATTTAGGCGCCTTTATTAGGCGTTTTAAAACTAGTGCTTCGACATTTGGGAACAATGCAATATTTATAACTATTTTTTCATTTATTGTCCGTCATTATTTAAAACTCCCTAAGCCTATTTAAAACCCTAAAAGCGCGTTTCAATATTATCAATCGACAGCCTATATTACAAATATGTTCTCGCAACGCATGCAGTGACGTCACAGTCAATTCGAGCGAACGCTCGGCGCGACGGTTTTTAAGGCCTTTTTAAGTGACTTCTACATGGAATTTAATTCTGATTTTTTGCATAGTGACTTAAAATTGTGTGATCTTTCCAAAAAGCAAATAAAAAAAAAGTGTCGAATGAGCCCATTGCGGATAGTTGAAACGCGAATAGTTGGCGGCAACCTTCCATGAGGAGTGCATACAAAAACTTGTGTCATGTTCTGAAAAATGGCCGAAAAATTTCGAGATCTATGTAGAAATATAGCTTGAGAATCGTTCATTATTGGGCAATAAAAAAGTTTTTCTACTTCTGTAAGAATTTATCAAACAGAATCTACATTCTGGACGTCCCTAGTATGTGGGTAAGTACAAATTTGTTTGCAATATGGTCTATAGTTGCAACAACGACAAGATCCATTAGTCTCATATAAAGGAAAAATAAAGATGATTTTGTGCGATTGAAACTTTCTCACTTTAATCACTATTATTTTATACAGAGTGTTCCTAAACATCATGAACATCCGAAAGAGGGTAACTCTTTGGCTCATTTCATGACTAAAAGTTCATATAAATATAGATCCGCAAACGCTTCGTTACCGATCTACAGGATGTTGAAATTATTTTCTTTTTCTGTAGCTCCTGCAGTTTTTGAGATATTTATCTTAACATTGATATAGGGTACAGGGTATAATTTGAGTAGGAAGGGGGTCACTTTCAACATTTGTTATAATGTAGATTAGTTATTATTTAGAATATTCAAGAACCATCTGATGTACCCAATAATGTATGCCCTATAAAGCAATCTAGATTCCAAATTTGAGCTAAATATGACAAAAACCGCAGGAGCTATAAGGAAAAAAAAAGACAAGAAAAATTAAAAATTTAAAAAAACACCCTTTAGATCGGTAACAAAGCGTTTGCGGACCTATGTTCATATGAAATGTTAGTCATGAAATAAACCCAAGAATCATCTCCTTTCGGATGTTCACGATGTGTAGGAACACCCTGTATCTTTCTTTGTTTAACTCATAGAACATATCGACCATATTGTCACGGATGGGGGGTGAATTCTCGCTAAATGGGGGCTAAATTGGAACTGTATAGGAATGAGGTAGGTCCCAAGAGGACTTGTAGACTACCAAAATAAATGTATAGTTAAATATAGTTTTGTGATCACCTTATGAGAGAATTTTAGTTGAATACCCCAAGCGAGTGAACCCGAAATCGTACTACGAAAACCCCCGTATGTGCAACTATACGAACGGACGCACACCGTGACAATATTGCAAACAAAGAAGCGCGACATTTCCTACTTTTTTTATTCCGACGTTGCATAGGGATTCGACTAACTGCGGCGTGGATTTGGTGGTGATGTTACCCAAACCCAACTTCCCGTAATCCCCTTCGCCGAACGTCCAAACGCTCATGCCGTCGGTCGATACGCAGGCCGTGTGATTCAAACCGCAAGCCACCTGGCCGACTTTTTGCCCTTCGAGCGCCGTCACCCTTTCCGGTAGCTTTTTATTCGACGTCGAACCTACAAAAAAAATTACCGGATTAATTTTAACGCCAGAACAAACGGGGAAACGAACGTTACCTAAACCGAGCCTGCCGTAGTCACCGTTGCCGAACGTGTACAGCTTACCGTCCCTGGTGACGACGGCGCTGTGCTTGAAACCGCACGCCACTTGGACCACTTCCTCGAATTGCAGTGCTTCGATTTGTCTCGGCCTGCGCTGGCGGTCGCTGTTGCCGTGCCCCAATTTACCTTCAATTCGACAAGTCAAATTATTATGTATAATGCACACGTTGGCGATTGAATTTGCAAACTCGTGATGGGCGACGAGCGTTGGTAGACAAACCGATTGTTGTCGGTTTTTCGTGCACAAATCAAAGGATCTTAGCACGAATTACAATATAGACTGAGCGGTCCACCAACGTGTGAACACTTTTCTTATTGGGCCCAACTAGTTGGCCAAACGTGTACTGGAGCCAATAAACGAAATTAGGATTCAAACAACTTAGGAATTCTAGTTGTTGCCATATTAGCCATATTAGCCGTAACATAAAAGGTGTTCCAAGAAAGTTGTGCCAAACTCAAGGAGGTTATAGGAAACATTGTGGTGAACAATTTTTGCAAAAATAACCCTAGTTAAAAATGAGCCGTTTTGGCTCCAGAGTCATTTTTGAGAGTCATTTCAGAGTCAAAACGGCTGATTTTTAACTAGGGATATCTTTGCAAAAATTGTTCACCACAATGTCCCCTATAACCTCTATAATTTTGGCACAACCTTTTTGGAACACACTGTATAGAGAAAAATACGATAGTTAGGGGCGAATTTCACGGATCCATATCTCCGAAAATTGAGTAGTAAAAAGTCCCAATTTGTTTCGGGAATCCCTAGTCAATTTTTGTTGCATTATACAGGGTGTCCCAACGAAAAGTAGCCCCTTTAATAGGCTTACTTATAAGTTTTAATATGTTTTAATTTATTATGAGTTTTGTTACAGTGATACAGAAATTATGTATTACCAATACAGGGGGTTTTATCAAAATCTCCTTTTTTAGATTCACAATAAGCAAATTTTTTAAATGTAACACCCCCGTATATATAGAGGTATTTTGAAAGATAATACTCTTCTACTATTTAAAAATGTATTATTTGTACATGTTATTCAACAAAAGAAAATGTCCTATTTCATAAAATTTGGTTAATGTGAATTTTAAAGAGGAGATTTTTATGCACCCTGCATTTATTTAACACCCTGTACAAGCGATATAAAATGTTTGTGTCATTGTAACAAAAAAATATAGCAAAATAAAATATATCTGCTAAAACCGCATGTTGTTACGATTAGGCGTTTAAAAATGATTAGCTCACTTAAAGGGGCTACTTTTCATCGGGACACCTAAGAAACGGTATTTGAGTATACCGCGGGTGCGTTGAAACTATAGACCTATTAACTATGGACGCGGTTTAGACAAAGAGGTAGTGTTGTCGATGAATGAGAGAGATGCAGCTAGTTTGGGCAAATGGCAATGAGAGATTGGACAATGCTTTAGCCAATAGTAAGAAAGCAAAAGACCACGTGAGTAACGTTTTCAGATATGCAAGGTAGCTGGGGTAGAGGAGGGCAGCTTATGGTAGAATAGGGTTGAGGAGTGCAGCAGAGGGTATTGTGATTTATTATTTTTTTGCCGAGCAAAATGCATTTTTCAGCTGAGCCTAAATTCCCACGCATTTGCAAATATAGTTCTTATTTTGTATTGTTAATTGGAACATCCTACCTATTAGCCAGTACAGATTTCGCAATTTAAGACCTAACTGCTTTTTCTTGTAAAAAATATACTTCTTCCAGGTCATTCTTCTGTCCAAGTGGATACCAAGATAAAAACAATATTTAAATATTAAGCGTATAAATATTTAATACAGATTAATAGCCTTTTTCCACGCACCCTGTATATATTTTATATTTTTTTTGGTCCCGCCTACTTTTAGCCCAAACTAGCTCCATCTCTCACGGACCTCTCTCTCTATCATCGGGAACGCTGAATAACCTCAAAATAACGATTGTGCCGCGTCCATACTTAATAGGTCTATGGTTGAAACGTACCGTAATCACCGTCTCCCCATGAAAACACTTCGCCGCTTTCGGCCAAAGCCAAACTGTGCCCGTCCGAGCCGACGGACGTCGCCAGATCGACGATGACGAATCCCTGCAAGCTCGAGATGACGCTCAACGAATGCAAATCGTCGGAGTTGCCCTGTCCCAAGCGACCGTAGCTACCTTCGCCGCAGGCCAGCACCGTGCCATTGGCTTCGATCACGAACGTGCAATTTTGACCGCAAACGATCTTCCTCGCTATGGAAAAGGACTCGACGGCGGCCGGAAAGGATGCGCTATAGCCCAGCTCGGCTAGTTGACCGTGACGGTCCGAACCCCACAGATAGGACACGCATTTACCTGTAAAAACGAACCGAGTTTAGTAAGCGAATGTTAATTTTTTTACAATACACAATTTATAGAGATTACAAAAAGAGATTTGCCTCATTTTACATTTTGACTTTGGATAGCAACTTTGTTATTTTCAATTGAACGCCCTGCACATTAATATATTTTTCCCTGTATACCCTATATGTATAGGGTGTTTCAATAAGACCGCAAGATTTGAATTGCCTGTCATGTTTGACAGTCATAATAACACGAGATTATAACATGACAGATCGAAAGTTGATAGTTGGGAGTTAGTAAATATGGATCATTGGATCTGGATATGGAACATAATCGCGTCATAATTGTTAAACATTACTCCCGGTCGGGTCATTTCCCGGTTTGGTGACCAGAATTGGCCGCCACGTTTTTGTGATTTAGCACCTTTGGACTTCTGGCTGTGGGGTAAATTGTAGTCCCAGGTTTATGCCAACATGCCCGCGACCACCGAAGCGTTGAAAGCCGAAATTAGACGCTGTATCAATAAAATACCGCCACATGTATACACTGTGTTATTTATAAGATGCGACATAGAGATTCCTGTACAAATGTGTCAAAAGCAAGCTAACTTTTTTACCAAATAACGTTCATAAAAAATAATAACAGATTTGAAAAGATCGTAAAAAAATAAGTCGAAATGGACATTACATTTTCTTAAATTCGTTCTGTTTTATTAAAAAAATATATAATTAAGTTGAAAAAGTCTTACGCCTTAAATAAGTCCTTTTTATAACACTATCTAATTTGTTGTTATAGGGGCGAAGCTAACAGAGATAGTTAACGCTCTGCAATTTCTACTAATTTTTTGACATTCGTTAGTAATAATATTTTTCAAATCCTCTTCTGTCTTTGGTTGATATTCAGCAACCTTATTTTTTAGGAAACCCAATAAAAAATTGTCTGATTTTGATTTTATTTTGTTTGTAATATACAGATTGTCTCAATTCAGACCGCAACATGGTCATTTCTATGAGTTGAACAAAGAAAGATTACTAAAATAACAGTTTTCAGAGTGAAAAGTTGCAATAACACAAATGTTGCGATTTGGAATAAAGCACAGTGTATAAGTACTTTACGTAATATTTACACAGTGAATTAATAGTGAATTTAAGTTCCATTTTATATCTAGGTACGTCGTCCTAGTTTTCTAAAAACGTTTGGAAGACATATGACCTATTCCTATACCTATTTAAAATACATGGTTTAAATAAATGTTTGCGAAATAATTTAAGCGGTGATCCCTAATCAAACATTTTTTTAATATAAAAGACCTTATCTTTCGACAAGGAATAACCCATTAAATTCTTTCTCAACCATTTGTTTACACCCTGTACTTAAACAAACAAAACAAATAAAAAAAGTAATCAATGACAAAGTGGCAACGTTATGTTTAGTTCCTTCGAATTTGTAGATGTCGCTTTATAGCTTTAAAATTATGGTCTATGTAGTTAACCATTATGCTTCAATTAAATACTTTTATTTTCCATTTCATCCCGTCATCGTCATTAGAAAACTTTTCCCGGTTAAATCTTACCTCCAAATTGCCAATCCTGCGGTCTTTGGGCGGCCCACTGCATAATTTGCTCGTCTTGTTTCAACGTCCAAAAGCCATTTTGTACTGCCGTCGGTTGAACGTCCTCACCTAGTACTCCGGCTAAGGCGATCATTCGATCCGAGAGTTCGGTCCTTTTCACCAAACTGTCGGCCATTTTTGTGGCCATGCTGAAGGTGTGCAACCAATACATGTCGGGAACGGGTTCGCAAACGTCGTTGTCGTCGTTGAGAGCTCGCAATTTGTAACACACGACCTTGTCCATTTCGAGTAAGAGCGCTATCGAAGCCAAACTCTTCAGATAAATGGAATGCATCAAACGGGCGCCGGTGTGTACCGTTAACTTTTCGCTGTTGTATTGTTCCAGGAGCATTTTGGGCAGCATGTTGACGAACACTTTGAAGAACGGCGCTAATTTCAAGCCTTTAAATCCTTTTTTAATAAGAGCACACCGTACCGCCGCCAACGGAAGATTATTGACTAGATCTTGTTGGCTATAATTCAGAAAGCAAATGGTTTTCGATCGAGTGAATGCTATCGTTAAATAATTATCGACATTCAGCCAATGCATTCCGTTTACACCGATGCCGCCGCTTCCTGCGAATAAATGTCACGAGTTAATTACACAAATCAATTATTCGATTAAGCTGTAAGTAACCTGTTATAGTATGAACGAGAGTCCCGTCATTTAATGACCAAATATTTACAACGCCGCTGGGTCCTTTAAAACAACCGCTGGCTAATAAAAGGCCACTCTTGTCTATAGAAAGATAAGAAACTCCGTTGTAGGAATGACCTTGTGCACCAATCACTTGCACGGGAACTTTGCAGCGTTCATTCTTTTCGTCGGGTAATTTCCAAACATTTACAGTACCGTTATTGCTACCTGCAAGTCACGAATATACAAGTTATTAATTAATTGAGTGCTGATACTTCAGGATGTGAATATTTGGATGGTTTTAAGAAGAAAGGTTTATATCAATATACAGGGCGTTAATTAATAAGTGCGACAAACTTCAGGGGGTGATTCTGCATGAAAAAATAATGATATTTTTTGAAACGACACTGGAGATGCCAAAACTGCAGTCGAAAACTTGAAAAAGTTTTTCCTTTGGTAAATAAAGAGGTTTAAAATCTACCAATCCCAGAAGGAGTTCAAATCCACGAAAATGACGTGATTGAGCTATACACCAATTTGACATTATTGAAAGATTCTATGTCCTTTTCACTTTCAAGGTTAACAAAAGCTGCCAAAATCAGCTGCGACTAGTGATCAAAGATTTGCTTTCAAATCTCAATCAAATTTCAATAAAAAATTATGTAGGTTTGGTATCAGCACAACGGAGCTCCTGAATGATCGATTTGGAAGCAAATCTTTGAGAAATAGTCGCAGCTGATTTTGGCAGCTTTTATTAACCTTGAAAGTGAAAAGGAGATAGAATCTTTCAATAATGTCAAATTGGTGTATAGCTTTTTCACGTCATTTTCGCGTACGTGAACTGCTACTAGGATTGGTCAATTTTAAACAACTTTATTTACTAAAGGAATAACTTTTTCACGTTTTTGGCTGCAGTTTTGGTATCTCCATTGTCGTTTCCATAAGGCATTTTTCGTTGGAGCGTGAGTTCTGGGCCACCCAGTATATACTGAAGTTTGTCGCACTTATAAACACCCTGTATGTCCTAAACCTCTTAGTTTTCGGAACAAAAATTTTAGGAAAAATTATCTTTTCTATCATAATTTTCTTATTACTCCCGATATTTTTTATGAAATTTTACACACTTTTTAATTATTACGGAGCATTTTTGAGGCAAATGATTTTTTTAAACTTTTTTCCTGTGACGTCCGTACAGAATGAACTGAACATGTTTAAAAACCAAATGGTACGCCATTGCTTTTTTTTAATCCTCATTTATATTGGAGCAAATTCAGTCCGAAGACTTACTTTCATACGACACATCATTTTCGCGTAAAAAAATAAAAACCAAAACTATTTTTCGCCAAGTACATTGAGACTGCTTTTGATATTTTGTTGAAATGTGGTAGGTAAACATTTTTTTGACAAAAATTAATTTTCTACTATTACCAGTGACGTGTCTACGTCCGAAATTTTATAAATTTATCTAGAGTAATAAGAAAATTATGATAGAAATTTTTTTTTCTAAAAACTGTAACACCCAGTAGCTCGAAAACTAAGAGGTTTAGGACATATATTGATATAAACTTCTATTCTTAAAATGATCCAAATATTCACATCCTGTGGTATCGGCACTCAATTAATATACACCCTGTGTACAATATCGTTGGCATCGATATAATTGAATTCCTTACCGATCGCTAGTAATAACGGCCTAGATCCTTTCCCTATCAAAGGAGACCAAACCAAACTGATTGGTTCGTACGTTTGAATCAACGAATGAACCTGAACCAACTTTTCTTCCACTAACATCCATATTTTGCAAGTCATATCCATCGACAGGGATGCGAGAAGAATTCCTCTGGGATCCCATTGGATGGCGGTTATCGTGTTACCGTGTGCGTTACAAGTCACTGCGTGATTTTCGTTCGTCACCCAACCGAGCTTGATGGTCCCATCGTAATAAGCCACGGCAAAAGGTTCGTCTTCTTTATGCCAATCGATTTGAACCACAGCTGAAATAGTGGAAATTAAGTCGGTAATAAGCGAACAATTATAGTATTCATCCAAGAAGAGAATTAAAAGTGTGGGTATGGCACTCTATTGATAGATAATGGTCCGTATTCAGCGTTCCACTTTTAACTTAAACATGGCTCTAAAGGACCAGCTTAACATAAACAAAGTCCCTAGTTACTCCATAACAACAATGTCCAACTGTCAAATTGAAAGAATCTCCTTAGTTACTCCCACGACCGTATATTTTTAAGGTCTAGAAATAGCCTATGCTCATGCATTAGAGAATGTGTCAGCGTCACGCTACATATAAATCGAGGTTTTGAGACGACAGTTCAAGCTGCCAAAACTTCAAAAATCATCTTTTGACATTTCGAGGAGAAATACATTAACCAAAGATACGTGAGGCATGATGTTAACAACAAAATCATCACTGATTTAAGTATATTTTTATATTTTGTATATATTTTTTAGTTTGAATAAAACCTTTTTTAATGCTAATTCTATATAATTCGTACGCAAAAAACCTACTACTAAATACTTATTCGACGTATGTTTCCAGATCTTAGAAATATACGGCCATGGTTACTCCATTACAACAAAGTAAAACTGTCAAATTGAAAGAATCTCCTTAGTTACTCCATAACAACAATGTAAAACTGTCAAGTTAGACATGCGACTTTAAAGCCGTGTTTAAAATTAAGTGGGGCGCTGAATGCGGGCCAATGTGTATAAATGACCAACTCACATCTGGTCATAGTGAATTCCTGAAGAACGGATACTTGTTTGCTATCCTCCGTTAACGTTATCATAGAAACCGATCCGTCAATTTTACCGACAATCAGATAATCTTTTACGCAGGTGGTTTCGTCTTTATTTTTCGGCCACGTCATCGTCGTTATGAATTCCTTTTGGTCCTCGATGATCCAATCGTTATAACAATTGACGTTTTCGCATTTCTTCAACGGCCATATGTTGATAACGTTATCCAAAGCGGCGGCGATGAAATTTCCCATCGGCGACCATTTTAAGTGACCTAAAACAACGTTTACTAAATCTATTCCTATAACGTATTTATAATACAGGGTATTTCAGAGAAGACATTTGAGTATAAGAACCCGTGTCCAGAAATGCATTCATATGGCGCTAGAGCCCTATGACGTTTAAAACCCCTTGTACAAAAAATGTTTAAAAATTTTATTTTAATTTGTTCGTAATAATAATGCTGCAAGAATTGTTCAAATATCGTTCTTTAACTTTAACACACCTGTTCAAACGACCCGTGTCATGTTAGCAGCCAACTAACTAGCAGCTTTTCGGGCGCATGGTAAACAACTAGTGCTGTGACAATTTAATCCGTTTTCTTTAAAAAGGTTTAAAATTTTATCTCTATTGTATATAGAGGTAAAAAATAGTTAACTTAATAATTTTGTAATTATAAAATTCACATCCACCTTCTAACAAACTCTATATGAAGGGTGTAAAAATTAAATAAAAGGTGGCTGGACTAAAAAAATTAACCGATTTTTAATTTTAAAAAACCGTTTATTAGATAATTTAATTTCAATTATTTTTTTCAAATACCAAATTCATAGCTGCCTTCAAATAAACCCCCTACGGAGGGTAGAAAAAAACAAAAAAAGGTGGCTGGACTAAAAAATTAACCGATTTTTAATTTAAAAAAACCGTTTAATAGATAATTTAATTGCAATTATTTTTTTCAAATACCAAATTCATAGCTGCCTTCAAATAAACCCCCTACGGAGGGTAGAAAAAAACAAAAAAAGGTGGCTGGACTAAAAAATTAACCGATTTTTAATTTAAAAAAACCGTTTAATAGATAATTTAATTTCAATTATTTTTTTCAAATACCAAATTCATAGCTGCCTTCAAATAAACCCCCTACGGAGGGTAGAAAAAAACAAAAAAAGGTGGCTGGACTAAAAAATTAACCGATTTTTAATTTAAAAAAACCGTTTAATAGATAATTTAATTTCAATTATTTTTTTCAAATACCAAATTCATAGCTGCCTTCAAATAAACCCCCTACGGAGGGTAGAAAAAAACCAAAAACGGTGGCTGAACTAAAAAATTAACCGATTTTTAATTTAAAAAAACCGTTTAATAGATAATTTAATTTCAATTATTTTTTTCAAATACCAAATTCATAGCTGCCTTCAAATAAACCCCCTACGGAGGGTAGAAAAAAACAAAAAACGGTGGCTGGACTAAAAAATTAACCGATTTTTAATTTAAAAAAACCGTTTAATAGATAATTTAATTGCAATTATTTTTTTCAAATACCAAATTCATAGCTGCCTTCAAATAAACCCCCTACGGAGGGTAGAAAAAAACAAAAAAAGGTGGCTGGACTAAAAAATTAACCGATTTTTAATTTAAAAAAACCGTTTAATAGATAATTTAATTGCAATTATTTTTTTCAAATACCAAATTCATAGCTGCCTTCAAATAAACCCCCTACGGAGGGTAGAAAAAAACAAAAAAAGGTGGCTGGACTAAAAAATTAACCGATTTTTAATTTAAAAAAACCGTTTAATAGATAATTTAATTTCAATTATTTTTTTCAAATACCAAATTCATAGCTGCCTTCAAATAAACCCCCTACGGAGGGTAGAAAAAAACAAAAAAAGGTGGCTGGACTAAAAAATTAACCGATTTTTAATTTAAAAAAACCGTTTAATAGATAATTTAATTTCAATTATTTTTTTCAAATACCAAATTCATAGCTGCCTTCAAATAAACCCCCTACGGAGGGTAGAAAAAAACCAAAAACGGTGGCTGAACTAAAAAATTAACCGATTTTTAATTTAAAAAAACCGTTTAATAGATAATTTAATTTCAATTATTTTTTTCAAATACCAAATTCATAGCTGCCTTCAAATAAACCCCCTACGGAGGGTAGAAAAAAACAAAAAACGGTGGCTGGACTAAAAAATTAACCGATTTTTAATTTAAAAAAACCGTTTAATAGATAATTTAATTGCAATTATTTTTTTCAAATACCAAATTCATAGCTGCCTTCAAATAAACCCCCTACGGAGGGTAGAAAAAAACAAAAAAAGGTGGCTGGACTAAAAAATTAACCGATTTTTAATTTAAAAAAACCGTTTAATAGATAATTTAATTGCAATTATTTTTTTCAAATACCAAATTCATAGCTGCCTTCAAATAAACCCCCTACGGAGGGTAGAAAAAAACAAAAAAAGGTGGCTGGACTAAAAAATTAACCGATTTTTAATTTAAAAAAACCGTTTAATAGATAATTTAATTTCAATTATTTTTTTCAAATACCAAATTCATAGCTGCCTTCAAATAAACCCCCTACGGAGGGTAGAAAAAAACAAAAAAAGGTGGCTGGACTAAAAAATTAACCGATTTTTAATTTAAAAAAACCGTTTAATAGATAATTTAATTTCAATTATTTTTTTCAAATACCAAATTCATAGCTGCCTTCAAATAAACCCCCTACGGAGGGTAGAAAAAAACCAAAAACGGTGGCTGAACTAAAAAATTAACCGATTTTTAATTTAAAAAAACCGTTTAATAGATAATTTAATTTCAATTATTTTTTTCAAATACCAAATTCATAGCTGCCTTCAAATAAACCCCCTACGGAGGGTAGAAAAAAACAAAAAACGGTGGCTGGACTAAAAAATTAACCGATTTTTAATTTAAAAAAACCGTTTAATAGATAATTTAATTGCAATTATTTTTTTCAAATACCAAATTCATAGCTGCCTTCAAATAAACCCCCTACGGAGGGTAGAAAAAAACAAAAAAAGGTGGCTGGACTAAAAAATTAACCGATTTTTAATTTAAAAAAACCGTTTAATAGATAATTTAATTGCAATTATTTTTTTCAAATACCAAATTCATAGCTGCCTTCAAATAAACCCCCTACGGAGGGTAGAAAAAAACAAAAAAAGGTGGCTGGACTAAAAAATTAACCGATTTTTAATTTAAAAAAACCGTTTAATAGATAATTTAATTGCAATTATTTTTTTCAAATACCAAATTCATAGCTGCCTTCAAATAAACCCCCTACGGAGGGTAGAAAAAAACAAAAAAAGGTGGCTGGACTAAAAAATTAACCGATTTTTAATTTAAAAAAACCGTTTAATAGATAATTTAATTGCAATTATTTTTTTCAAATACCAAATTCATAGCTGCCTTCAAATAAACCCCCTACGGAGGGTAGAAAAAAACAAAAAAAGGTGGCTGGACTAAAAAATTAACCGATTTTTAATTTAAAAAAACCGTTTAATAGATAATTTAATTTCAATTATTTTTTTCAAATACCAAATTCATAGCTGCCTTCAAATAAACCCCCTACGGAGGGTAGAAAAAAACAAAAAACGGTGGCTGAACTAAAAAATTAACCGATTTTTAATTTTAAAAAACCGTTTATTAGATAATTTAATTTCAATTATTTTTTTCAAATACCAAATTCATAGCTGCCTTCAAATAAACCCCCTACGGAGGGTAGAAAAAAACAAAAAAAGGTGGCTGGACTAAAAAATTAACCGATTTTTAATTTAAAAAAACCGTTTAATAGATAATTTAATTGCAATTATTTTTTTCAAATACCAAATTCATAGCTGCCTTCAAATAAACCCCCTACGGAGGGTAGAAAAAAACAAAAAAAGGTGGCTGGACTAAAAAATTAACCGATTTTTAATTTAAAAAAACCGTTTAATAGATAATTTAATTGCAATTATTTTTTTCAAATACCAAATTCATAGCTGCCTTCAAATAAACCCCCTACGGAGGGTAGAAAAAAACAAAAAAAGGTGGCTGGACTAAAAAATTAACCGATTTTTAATTTAAAAAAACCGTTTAATAGATAATTTAATTGCAATTATTTTTTTCAAATACCAAATTCATAGCTGCCTTCAAATAAACCCCCTACGGAGGGTAGAAAAAAACAAAAAAAGGTGGCTGGACTAAAAAATTAACCGATTTTTAATTTAAAAAAACCGTTTAATAGATAATTTAATTTCAATTATTTTTTTCAAATACCAAATTCATAGCTGCCTTCAAATAAACCCCCTACGGAGGGTAGAAAAAAACCAAAAACGGTGGCTGAACTAAAAAATTAACCGATTTTTAATTTAAAAAAACCGTTTAATAGATAATTTAATTTCAATTATTTTTTTCAAATACCAAATTCATAGCTGCCTTCAAATAAACCCCCTACGGAGGGTAGAAAAAAACAAAAAACGGTGGCTGGACTAAAAAATTAACCGATTTTTAATTTAAAAAAACCGTTTAATAGATAATTTAATTGCAATTATTTTTTTCAAATACCAAATTCATAGCTGCCTTCAAATAAACCCCCTACGGAGGGTAGAAAAAAACAAAAAAAGGTGGCTGGACTAAAAAATTAACCGATTTTTAATTTAAAAAAACCGTTTAATAGATAATTTAATTGCAATTATTTTTTTCAAATACCAAATTCATAGCTGCCTTCAAATAAACCCCCTACGGAGGGTAGAAAAAAACAAAAAAAGGTGGCTGGACTAAAAAATTAACCGATTTTTAATTTAAAAAAACCGTTTAATAGATAATTTAATTTCAATTATTTTTTTCAAATACCAAATTCATAGCTGCCTTCAAATAAACCCCCTACGGAGGGTAGAAAAAAACAAAAAAAGGTGGCTGGACTAAAAAATTAACCGATTTTTAATTTAAAAAAACCGTTTAATAGATAATTTAATTTCAATTATTTTTTTCAAATACCAAATTCATAGCTGCCTTCAAATAAACCCCCTACGGAGGGTAGAAAAAAACAAAAAAAGGTGGCTGGACTAAAAAATTAACCGATTTTTAATTTAAAAAAACCGTTTAATAGATAATTTAATTGCAATTATTTTTTTCAAATACCAAATTCATAGCTGCCTTCAAATAAACCCCCTACGGAGGGTAGAAAAAAACAAAAAAAGGTGGCTGGACTAAAAAATTAACCGATTTTTAATTTGAAAAAACCGTTTGATAGATAATTTACTTACAAAAACA